AGAAACGCGACCAAAAGCGAGCGCGCACGCAATTATGCCGGCGAGAAATCCTTTCTGCGATCTCGACGTAGCGATAAACGAAAAAAATAAGCCAGCTGCATTGTCCGTAAATGCGATTGCAAATAGTATTTGGGTCGCGATAGTCGTTTCTCTATGTACCACGCAAAAAGGAGACGAGAGAATTCTCGTCTCGACGGCGACGGTTGGGCTATTCAATCGCGCCTCGAGTCGAGTCATTGCGCGAAATGGGACTGTTTTGCGTATAAAAGCGATACACGGTAATCGCAGTCGCGATAAGGATCGCTGAGGATGACGCGAGAGGTCTCGCAAGCGAGGAGAAGCGCGATTCACTCCTGTATATCTCTCGTTAAGTATCTCCCGCTAATCAAGCAATCATTATACCTCTCTCTCTCTCTCTCTCTCTCTCTCTCTCTCTCTCTCTCTCTCTTCTTCGGAGCTTCATTAACTAATCTAATCACATTGTCAGGCAGAAAAAAATAATTATTCGATTACACAGAGAAATAGCGTAGTCTATGTGCTCGACAAGAAGCGTTCAAACGACGGAAAAGCAATAATTAGAAAGCAAAAGAGGTAGGTGGTCTCTCTCCCGCGCAGCGACGAGATCGATGCGGCAAAAACCGTCTCCTCTCTACGTCATTAAGCTCCAAGTTGAGCTTTTTCCTTTTTTCCCCTCGGCCGCAACGATCGCCGTCGACGAGTCAGTCAGTCATAAGGAATTCGGGCGGCGACGACGAAGAAAAATGTCGAACTTGAAATTGAGATCGACCTTCATTCCGTACACACGGGCGTGGTCCTGCTATACGAGACTGCTCGCGATATAAAGGCACGCACGCGTGTGTGACACGCGGTTTTCTCGCATATAGCGAGGCGATTAGCATCGATACAGGCCAAGGGGAAAAAGAGAGCTTCATTAGCATGAACACGACTGTCCTTCGCGATTGTATCGGTCCTCGCACATTTATCCGCGCATAAACTCCCCGTCCCTCTTTATTTTTTCGACAGGACCACTTTCGGTTTCGTCTCCCGCGAGCTCTCTCGCGGACTTTCTCGGCGAAACGACCGCCACAATTATGTAAGCGCAAAGTATCGAGCGGAATTACGCGAGCGAGGAGTATCTATGCGCCCGGCATTAATTGCCGCTCCGCTGAGATTTACATTGCTAATTCGCGGGATTTAATAGATCGACCTTCCCGAGCTTGATCGACAAGAGAGGGAGAGAGAGAAAGAGAGAGAGAGAGAGAGAGAGAGAGAGAGGAGGAAAAATATCGGGGCAAGTTCCCCCGTTTCGTTTGACCGCGATTTGACAGTCGTTACATTTCGCGGAACACGCCAATAGTTTGTTCTTTAATTAGAATCATACCGATAGAGACGCAACGCTCGGCCGTGTTTTGCAGAGATTGGCAAATTAGCGGGATCGGCTATATTTACATAAGTTGCGACGTCGCGACGTGATTGGCGGACGACGAGCCGTCGCGGTTATTACAGTGCATCGATGAGAATACGCGTAGTCGCGATTAAGTTCGATTTAGTCCTGCATTACGAAACATCAGTCAGGGCTTACATCATTGTTTATGTTCGCAAATACCGGAAGCCGTTTCCAGCGAGAACGGGCGAGACGTGGCGATGCCGATTCGAGCGAGACTAACCGGCATCTCGACTAACCCCTTTAATAAAAGGACATTAAATCGCGCGGACGAGCGGGTTTCCGCGCGCACGCTCATGCGTGAAGGCATTAAACCGCGGGATTAATCGACGTTCACGGCCAACGTTCCACGCAACCTGAAGCCGAAGCAAAGCCCGCTCTTATTACGGCAACTAATGCGGTTGGCACGCGTTTCTATAATTAGCGTGATAATATCAGCGCTCGAAGTAACGCCGATACCACCGTAGGTCGGCAAAGAATTGGCGAGTGAACGATGAAACGAATTCGGAATCAAAATTTCACTTCAACACTGATTTTGTAAATCCCGATGAATTTAGAGAATTCAATTTACAATCTCCATATAAAACGCAACATCGTACGTTGATACTGCAAATGGTAGCATCAATAGTACTAGTTTTCTTCACTTTGAATAGTCCATAAAAAAGGACTTGTTGCAAAATTATTTAATATTTCGAAATTATTTAATTCTCTCGATTATCTCGATATTTTCATCCTCTTTCTACTTTTATTTAATATTTACTCCTAATTTCAATCAATAACGTATCAATAATGCAAATCATTTAACCATAATTAAAGTACGGGAGATAAGCAAGTATTAATTAATTCATTTGACAGGCAATTGATTGACTTAAAAGGTAAATAAAATAATAAACTTTCTTTATCCATAATCCGTCTGCCATAATTTCTTTCGCGTTTACGCGTTGGAAATTTTGATAGGATTTACAGATTAAAACGAAATGATGAGGAAACAGTTGTTGGGATAAAAAAAGGAGTGGTTGAGCGACTAATAAGTTGCTGTGTACCGATAAAGATTTAAATATGGATTCAGTACAACGACAAGGCTAAACATACGTGAGAAGAAGGCGTTGGCAAATTCAAAATAGAATGCCTTGCGGCCTAAAAAGCATTAGACGCAAAAAATAACACTTGCGAGGTTCGCATTAGATGCCGATGTTCATAGCTTAAGGCCGATATTCATAGCTGTAAATTATTCAAAAACTTTGATTGACACATAAGAGCAAAATTAATTATAAATTCGTATTTATAGGCTGTTATTTGATTTAGATTAATATTGTTGTGTAAAATAAGGATTGGCACATGTTGACAAAAATAATCGAAGATTCGTGACTCAATATGATTATTAAATTACATTTCATAAAATGATTATGAACTACAAATGTCAGACCAAATTCCATTCTTGGACACATCGGTATTCTTGATAAATTTGCATAAGCATCAATTAAGAATGGGAACAAACAATTACAGTTTAATATTCATGAGCTATTAGCCGGCTGTTTGAACCGATAGTTTCTATTATATGAAACAAGTATAGGGGTAATCAATGAGATTCATGAAATTATAATTATTACAAACTATACATAGCTTATTCAATAATGATAAACTGCGGATATCGGCCTCAACTTCGACTCGAAAATCTCTTTTGTTCTCGGTAAATTTGTCAAACGTCAATCAAGATCGGAAATCATCTGTGTAACAAATAACAAATAATTTTACAAACGTACCTGGTGATATATAATGTATTGTTGCCTGCGTCCTCCGTTCTGACTTCCGAATCTATCATCCTGGCTCCCGAATGAATTTGACACTCGAAAATATTAATGAACGCGGTGTCGACGAGGGCCCGTCCGATTAACCGCTTCAAAAGAGCCGACGAAATATTCCGGTCAGCCGACGTGAATTGAAATTATACCGATACACGCACTACACGCACACACGCATCGTTCGTGAGCTCGCGCCGTAATGTACACTCGAAAAAGTATAACACGTACAACGATTGCTTTGAGGTTTCAGAACGTTTTCATTGTTGATTGTTTTTATCCTCCGGCAGTGCGCGCGCGGCCGCTGATGTTTACGTCTCTTAACGACGTAACTCTTTTTTGCTTATTGTTTTGATACACTCGCGTATCGCGATCGCGTATTTTCCGATCGAAATGTATATCTTTAATTATTTCTCAAGCCATATCCTCACGCATTTTGCATAACGGATAAAAATAGGCCATTAGGATAAACTCGCAATTAAGTACGCTGTCGATTAAAAAGTGCGAATAATTTACAACTGAACGCCGGTATTTTTAATACCTAATGTAAATCTCGCAAATGTTATATTTTGCATCTAATAATGCTGCTTGAACTGCGAAATATTTTATCTCTCTCTCTTTCTCTCTCTCTCTCTCTCTCTCTCTCTCTCTTCCCCCTCTCTCTCTCTGTCTCTTTCCCCCTCCCTCCTCTCTCACCTCTCCCGTTTTGAGCGATTTTCCCTCTAAAAAATATGTGATTTCAATCCCGAGTTGGTTAATAATCGGTAAACAATCAACGTAAATTCACGGTAAAGAAAATGGCGGATTCAACGAACATTGCCTGATTGCCAAGCGGCATTTCCCCTCCCCTCCCGCCGCAATATTCTGAACCCCGCATGTATCATCTATATATATATATATACGCACGCACATATGTTATTACATTATTGCTGATTCCATTTCTGTTGCATGCTAACTATAACCTAGGCCAGGTATTTTTCATCGTTACATCGGCAAATATGTACATGCGTACACTTACCTCGCGAGGTAACGCTCGCTCCACATCAGCCATTTGCGCGCTCCGTCGAGTAACCGTCGCTCGCAGCCGTCGTCGCTTCCTCGCTCGTCGCACATTCACGTTGATTCGCATTTGTTGTCCCGCATCGTCCGCGATAACCTCCTGTACAAACACGTCGTAGAATTCGGATTGAGATCACGGTGTCCCGTCGGGAAGCTCGACGAACCGTGGGAACCTCGGCGATTCGTTCAAATCGCAATCGCGCCATTACTCAGGCAGGGACTCGGCTCGCAAGCGCCACCAGCGTCATCCGCATGAAAGCCACCGACGCGAATTTGAAAACATGGACGCCCGCGGTGCCGCGCCGCGCACCGGACAACATCGTGTCCTCGGGCTACTCCACGGCGAAAGTTTTCGTGCCCTCGTATGAAAAGTACGTCGTACATTCGGCGATTAGAATGAAAATCGGGCGACCGGTTCGCACATGTCAAAGTTATTATTATTGGATCCGTTCGTTTTCGAAGAATTTCTGAACTAGTGCACACTAGTGCAGTAAGTTGGAGTGAAATAAAGTATACATGTTTCGCTCTTACTGCACTAGTGCATGTTCTTTAAAAACGAGCGATGTGAAAATTATTGATTTAACAGTACCATAATAAATGATAATAATAAATGGTACAACGATCGCGCGTAGATGCGTATGCCAACCGGCACGACATGCGCCTTATTTCTCGCACTTATATTTTCGCGAATTTTACAGAGAAGTACCTCGCATCGAGCAATTACTCGCGAATGACTACCAGCGTATTTGGTGGAAAGAAAAGCAAGTCTGGGACGAGACGCTGAAAAGAATCTCGAGCAAAAGAATATTACCCCGTATGGTAAGCGTGTTTCAGTGAGTGTACGATATGGTCGCCGCGACTAAATCGAATATTTTATGCAGCTGATCAAAAGGAAAGTTCCGACATGCGTGACCGTTAAATATCAAACGCAGACAGAGCGGTGGAAGGGAAGAAAGGTGCAGAATCCAAAGTTCAAAGTAAAGAAAGAGGAAATTAAACAGGAGTCGAATGAGAACGCAAACGCAGAAGAAAAAGACACAAAATTAGAAGAATGCGAAGAAACGAAATCAGAAAGACATAGCGAAACACAATCGGAAAGTGAGAAAAAGAACGAAGATGAAAAAGGAGAAAAGACAGAAGGAGAAAGTCATTTTGATTGAGTCTACTTAACCTGAGTTATAGAATGAGCGAGTTTCGAGACAAATTACATTACATTATTTTCGTAAAAATACTATGAGGAAAATAAAGGCAACAGTAAAATTATACGATACCTTGCACCTCATTTCTTTACTTTAAATCCATTTCTAATTACGCATCTTGTATATTGTAACATATAAAAACATCGTAAAATATGAACAAAATTTTATAGACTGCAAGTCGTCGTTGAGTACTAGCTACTATTTGAGAATACGATGATCTTTCGACTAACCTTTTGATCGTAAAAAACTTAGAAATCATATAATAAAATAGAAAAATTGTTCCTTAGCTGGCCTAAATTGTAATATTTGAAAATAAATAAACATCCAATCTATCTAATTGTTACATACCAGACATTAAGTTGTATTACGTAGAAGGATATTCTCCGCTGGATGGCAAAAGTCGAAATGGAAGATTTGTCTAAACATATTCTAGCATATCGGTGTTCAATAAGTATAATCAGGAGCCATCTAACGGCGTAGAGTAAAAACTCGTTCGAGTATGTAGACCCGTTACGGTGGAATAGACCCGTTGTGATTAGTAAATATAGAGGGATGGACGATGTTCGAAAATACATCGATCTGTTAAAATATCGGTAAATAAAAAAGAATTGTAATAACATCGATTATTTTCTAAAAAAGTCAATTTACCGATTAATCGATTAAATTTACAAAGTAAACATTTAAATTGATTAGCACCAGATTAAACACTACTAGAGGTGCGTTCGGAAATATCACTCGGATGCTCTCCTTGCTCACATGTTGGATGCGTTCTTAAATTCGCAACAGATGCGTGTAGCCGGCATTATTCAATCCTTATTTCTTACTGAATATTAAACATGGATGGAATGACGCCGGCAGTATTCTCAGTATTATTAGAAATCCTTCTAAAAGATCTTGCACATTGGACGCGATTAGCGACATGCTATAGGCGATATCTAATGAGAGTTCTGTTTTCAGAAGAAAGAACTTTCATTTCTTCTTTAAAACAGAATTCTTATTGGACATCGCTTATTGTTTGTCGCTAATCGCGTTAGTGTGCGAAGCCTTTAACTCGGTTAAATCTCATTTGATGTATCTTCCATGTGATAAGAGAATTAATTTTGGGAAGGTAAGTGCTGTTATTGGGCCATTCTGTAACATTTCAAAACTTATCAATAAAAACCAGACAACCTTATTGTCTATGCATGTACGATAGATGTAGCAAACTTTAAGAAATTAACCAATCCCAACTTACTTTTAATTGACTGTGAAGAATAATTGGCTGTGGTTGGCCAATTTCTTACGACTCGAAGCTTATTATACCTATTGTAGATCTGGACTTAGGCCCAGTTCCACAAGTTGCTTTAAACGGAGTTTAAACTCCGTTTAAAGCAACTTGTGGAACTGGTCCTAAATGCCTATCCCTAGTTTGAAATAGCGGAACGGAAGAGAAACGGAAAAGGCAAACAGTGGAAGTTAACCAATCGGAGCAATTCTATTCCATTGCTTCACAGGAAACGATGGAACGGAATTGCTCTGATTGGTTAACCCTCACCATTTGCTTGTTCCATTCATCTCCGTTTTTCTTCCGTTCCATTATTTGGAGCCCCATATGATTGTACTTTGCGTTTGCATCGACACATTCATCGAATTGAACGTGGTCCAAGTATTTATTTTTTCTGCAAGCACTCATAACCATATCTGGAAGAAAAAAAGGTTATTTCAATTGAACGCAGGCCAACGTGGATGTTGCATATTGCGTCTGTGATAGTTAATAAGTGAATATGTCGCCGGTACGAGATATTTTGCGCGATTCCAGCGGTGACTCTGGTATGTAATATCGATCATTTTACATTTATTCCATTCTGCAACCTCTATAATTATATATAAAAAAGTTTAATATTAGTTTAACATTAATCACAATTTTTCAATGATATTACTTAATTTATCTTTGAATGTAAAGTGTAGTACAAATATTCCAATCCCATATACAATCCTGTTTTTAGGATCGGAATCAGACAATGCGTCCGCTTCCTCGAGATCGAGTCGTAGTGGTAGTCCAACATCGCAAGCCCAGGTACAAGAGTCAAACAATATCAGGAGTGAGCAGAACTCTGAGGATGAGAATGGAGCACGTTCCGTTGTATCCAATGCCAGTGGTAGATCTTCGAGATCCAGTAGCCAAACGGTTGAGTCAAATAAATTGGATGGTAGTCGCAAGTCAGAAAGCCCATCACCAGCAAGATCAGGTTCTAGACATTCTAGTGCTGGTTCTGTTCAAAGTGAGAAATCTGGTTCTCACAGAAGTGCTACTCCAAAGTCAGTAGCCTCCAGAGCCTCTAGCTCGGATTCTCAAAAATCTCCTAGATCACGTTCACAGTCTCCACGTGGCAGTGTGCATTCTACAAGCTCAAAATCACCTGTCAGTCCGAGATCTATGCAATCAGAAACTAGGTCACAACAAAGAAAGTCTAAGCCTCCAGCTTCACCAGCTTCCAATGGCTCTGGTTATGATTCTCCAAAAAGTCACAGATCTAGAAGTGTATCTTCTCACAGAAGCAACAAATCAACTGGTTATGCGAGTCAACATTCTCCAGCAGAAAGGCATTCGAAATCTCCTGTATCTCCTAAAACTTCAAAATCATTTGAGGCATCTACCGAGAGAGCAAGCTCTGAAAAATCAGATACCAAAAGATCACAATCAAAAAGCCCTAAGGATAACAAAAGTGACGATGAATCAAACAGATCTTTCAAACAGACAGGTTTGTACTATTCTGTTTTATCAGTTCTAATATTCAAAATATATACAACCTTGCTCTAACTTCTGACTGAATTACACTTTTAGATAAGTTAAAAGTTATATTTGTACAATTTAACAATAACATTTTCCTTCTGAATAGATAACAATCGAAGTCCAAAATCTGACGAAAGCGATAACGAAGAGCGATTAAAAGGTAAACGAAAAAATAATGATTTTGCATTAGATACTGAGAAAACTATTAAACGACCTAAAATGATGATAAACTCAGATTCCGACAATGAGATAGCGGACAAGGAAAATAGCATTGCTCCAACCGCAGATGCGTTGTTCGGTGATGCAAGTGATATCAGTACAGACGATGAGAAGGATAAGAAAGAAGATGAAGAACATGAAAGAGATCGTAGTCGTAGGGAGAGCAGAAGTAAGAGCAAAAGTCGTAGCAGAAGTAGAAGTAGAAGTAGAAGCCATAGTCGCGGGAGATCTGAAAGCGGTGGAGAAGGTCCAAGCCATCGAGCTCTTATTGAGGATGTAAGTTAATGAAATATGAAGTGAATAATCTTTGCATTTTTCTTCGTCCATTTTTATATCTTACATAACGCACTTCTTTAACGCTGTTTATATTCGTAAAAGAGTTTTATGCAAGAAGATCATACATATTTTAATGTAGAACATATTCCTTGTATAGGATGATGATAAGGATAAAGAGGATGAACCCGAGCCACCGCCAGAAACTAGAATCGACGTGGAAATTCCAAAGATCACTACCGACCTCGGACGTGAGATACACTTTGTAAAGTTACCAAATTTCTTGTCCGTGGAGACGAGACCATTTGATCATGAGACTTACGAGGATGAAATTGACGAGGAAGAAACTCTGGATGAGGAGGGTCGAGCTCGTTTGAAACTTAAAGTTGAAAACACATTGAGATGGAAGGATACGTTTAACGACGAAGGTAAAATAGTGAAAGAGAGTAACGCAAGATTCGTCAAATGGTCGGACGGCAGCATGTCGTTGCACTTGGGCTCGGAGATCTTCGATGTGTACAAACAACCCTTACAAGGCGACCACAATCATCTCTATATTCGCCAGGGTACTGGTCTACAAGGCCAAGCGGTGTTCAGAACGAAACTAACTTTCAGACCGCATTCTACGGAATCGTTCACACACAGAAAGATGACCATGTCGTTGGCCGATAGATCGCAAAAGACATCCGGCATCAAAGTTCTTTCTCAAGTGGGAATGAATCCGGATCAAAACAGATACGAGATGATAAAGGTACTCCGTCTCATATTAATTATATTGATTACAATTTGTGCTTTGAATTTTCATCAAGTGAAGCATAATTCGATCTATCCGTAGAATTTAAAGTTTGCCATTGAACCAGAAATCGTTCGAATCTCTTGAACTTGAAAATAAATTCAAACGATTTGAACTGCCCGAACTTAAAGCTTCGATATTTTTAACTGTTTGTACAACTTTGTTCAATCACACTAGTTTGTGTGTGTATGTGTGTGTGTGTGTGTATATTCCAATTACAACTGTAACTGATCGCATATGTCTTTATTTGTATCTTTATAGAAAGAGGAAGAGAAACTACGCATGGCCATGCGAGTTCAAAGTAAAACGAAGAAGAGTATTGGTGGTACCAGGAATACTGGTCGCACTGCAGGAGCATATAGTGGTGATCCTTATCATGACGACGGCTCTGATGATGAGGGTGCAATTTCGTTAGCTGCTATAAAGAATAAATATAAAAAAGGCGCTGCGATTGCTGCTAAAGGTTAGTAACTAAACTTATCCTGCACTTATATCGCATGAATAGATTAGATAGATTTCGATTATGGACTATATTAATAAACATTAAAAATTAATGATCAAGCAATCAAGCTTGATATTTAATTACGGAGAAAATAATGATAATCGATAGTAAATAGACATAAACCGATATACTCTTTATCGATAATATTTAGAAAAGTAATTTTGAATTTTCAGCAGCCTCGAATATATATTCATCAGATGAAGAAGGATCGGACTTTGAGACACTTAGGCCTAAAAAGAATTTTAAAGGGAAAGTACTTAAAGATTCAGACGAAGAGTCCGATTCTGAAAGCTCTTCAGGAAGCGGTGGAGATGACAATCAAGTTGAAAATGCGAGCGATTGAAATGTACATGTATATATACATATCTATATCTTGAAAGAAATAAAAGCAAATATTTGTTAATAATAATCATATCTTAATTGTCTATGCGAATAATACATAATTGATCACTGTTCCGCAATCTAAGAAATAAAAGAAAAAGAAAGCACGCTATATATAAGGCACTCGCCTTATAGATTAAATAAAAATTCATCAAATAAATATCTTTTCGTAATAATATCAAATAGCATGAAATACAAACCATATTGCTCTTATAATGTAAATAGAATAATGATAAATATCCAAAATAACCAACGATATAATTTAAATTTATAAAGCTATAATAAACATAATTTCATGTTTTAACATAACTATATCTTAAAATAATAATTGCATAGTACTGAAAACTAATTTAATATAAAATAGGATCCAAGATTATTATATAAAGTTTTATAATTTATCTCCTTTGGATTTATTTAGATTTTAATTAATAAATATAAAACAACTGCTTCTAAAGCAGATTACAGTAACTGGTTTTAATCAAAAGTAGCAGATTTATTTAATGTTAAATTTGTTATTTCGGTAATAGAACATAAAATAAATACTGACCAATATTTGGCCAAATATATATAAAATAAATATTGATCAAATAATTACTTAATTTATTTGGTAAAAAGTATTCACTTCCTGAAAGAACGTTATATTTTATTTCGCACATTAGTTTTCAGCAAATTCATAGCTTTGTCTTTAAATATAGTTCTAGTAACTGGACGAAAGATACGGTTAAAATTTTTAGTTGAAAAGGCGCTTTTGTTAAGAACTCTATGTTCTTAACCTCGATTATTTATCGTCATGTTTCATTAAGCGTAGTGAGCTACTCGACAAGAGTTGCGAAATAACAATATACGCACATAGTTTTAAAATAATATCTTGTAATATTTTAGAGTAAGATTTTTTTTTTATGATCACATATCATATAACATACAATAATGGTTTGTCCGATAAAGTCCGAATTCTTCCGCTGTAATGCAACGGGAGATCTCATTATGAAGTATAAACTGCACAATTAAGTAAATAAAATCCTCGCCAAGGGATTTTGTATATTTGTAAGTTACTTACAATCGACCACCGTCAAATTCTATCGTATAGAATTTTGCGAAGCGTTCGAAAATACAGATATTCCGTTGCACACAACAAAACGACTTACGGTTTGCGTAGAAAATAAGTTGACTCTTGCTCTCGTGTGAAAACAAATATGACACAATACAATATTTAGACATAGGATATATTTAGTCTTCAGCAATTATATGCGTTATGCACAAATTGCTAGATACTTCCGTGAAAATAATTGTTGTTTATTAGCAGATATATTTGCTTGATATCATTGTGTTCATTGACCCGAATCAGAAGGTGGCCGATTTGACTAGACTACGGTTTTGAAGTGGTAATTCTCGACGATATCCTATAGAAGCGCTTGCTCAGGTCACTCTACGTCGTCCGTTATGTTTTATAGTTTATGAATTCTAATTTAAACTAGGATTTCGTTCTATGTCCCACTGTATCTCAATTCTTGGCCACTTTGTCTGCAGGACTGTCAGCATAGGATTACTATCCATAATACACTTCACAGTGCACTCAAGCAATACTGCTTGTCCCTTATGATACTTCACTCTATTCTCCGGATTGCTACGTTGTAGACCATTGTAATGATACAAGACAAAAGTATCCGGACACATGCATCGTTCCTCGGGAAAAAATTCGTCCATGAATGACGCGAGAAGTATTATCCCAAGATTTTCATTATCCAACTTCTTTCTCATGATATCGACGCTACATAAGATATAAAAATATTAATTGGGAATATTCTATGATAATAGGACGGTAGAATTGATGAACAAAAATGAATACATACTATTCCGCATCGGCTACCAATCCTAATTCTGCCAATACATCCTGTAGTAAATTCGCCGAGATGAAGTTATTTCCTTCTGGATCAAAGCGCTTGAAGATTCTTCGTGCTTGTTCCGCCGGTGTCTCCGGACTCACTAATCGCTTCTCAGTAGAAAAGAGCACAGTTAAATGCGTTTCTGATCCCAACACCCAGATAGAATGCGACGGTGACTTCAAAAATGTTCCCACTTCGCAATATCGCAAATGCTCTAAAAGAGCCAGGAATCCCACCGTATTCTGCTTATCTATACCACGTAATTCTACAAAAAGGAATTATTAAAATAAGGTATAAAAAACAAGATTCTCTCTAGTGCATATTTCATGGTGCACGGTATATCTCTCGAAATAGTTGGTCATTTGACTTCTGGGCTAAATTTTACTCGAAAGTATCATTCGTAAGACATCCTGTATGAAAGTGAGAAAAATAACAAAAGATATTAAAAGATACGAAGAAAGCAAGCATGTATCTTACTCAGTCCACCAATATCTTGATCATGATCCCAAACGTGACTAACTGCTCGGCCAGTTAGCATTAAATTGATCAAACTTTGACTACCGTATCCATATGTAGAATCAATCATGGGTTCTGTCGGATCTGACATTTCAGAGCATATTCCTGAAATTCCCTTTGTGCACATCACAGTATAAAGTAGCAGTAGTACACCGTATTGATCTTTCAACATTCCAATCCGTTCTGTGAAGTAATCCTCGATATCATCGATGTTGTTTGTAGTGAATATCCTGAAACAAGATGTAACGATGAAGTATCAAAAAATTCAATAGTTCTTCCTTTATTAGAAGAAGAATTTATAAAACATACCTTAGTTGAGAATGAAAAACTTCTGATTCTAATGTTTGCTCTGTGACCTGAGTTTTATTAGTTTGGCTACTTTCACTAGTATCTTCGACTGAATTTACCATAGACTCTGCAGATTTAGGATCAGAAGCTTCTTTACTAGATGCAAAGACATTTGAGTGATTAGTATATACTACTGAATACTTAGGATCCTGGATATCAGAAGCTTGATTAACAATTTCGATCATTGCTTTCACAAGTAATTGATCACACTTCTCAGCCTCAATAGCTTTCCAAGTCACAACATCGCCCTCTAATAATAACTGCTTCAAAATAAATGCCTGAACCGGAGCTATTACGGCGCAAGGCCCTCCTTCTCTCTGTACAAGTGCAGTAGGTTCATCTGCGCTGAAGGAAAAGCCTGTAATAATGATATTAAAACATAATGAATAAAATATAATAAAAATATACGACACATCTCTCAATGTGTGTCGATTCTATAGTACAATATAATGTTACATGTGAGTGAAAATATAATGATGACCGTCATTGCTAATCGGCCATTATACACCGACGTAATATATAACCACGATTGTAACTTTGCACACAAATTTCTACATAAAATACATTCAACAATATGTGGAATCATAATCCATTACCTTGCGCCCATCGCTTGAAAACGTCCTCTTTGACCGTCGAACCCCAGAGCAAGGACTTAATGTTTTTCAGGAGCTCGTCATTACTTGTGATAACATTTTCGGCCATTATCTTAGGAATGCACTCAATGTACGGGAGATTATAACGCACCGTGCACACGAATTTTATCTAAAGCCGACCATAATATTTCCTACGGTTTCTCGTTAAAGCTCACGCAATATTCGACGCATACAGTACTCCCCGATAACCTATTTTGTACAACAGACAACTGCCAAGTGCGGCGCCATTTTGGACCTTTTCTTCTTTATGATATGCTCTGAAGTGAATTCCCGAATGATTCGGCTGGCCTTCTGTGCAAAACAATCGATATATCGTAAGTCGAATTACAGAACAGTATATACTGTTCTCTGTATCATCAATGATAACCACAAGTATAAGTTAGTTGGTAATTTCCTGTTATCGTAAAATTCTTTCGAGCACCGTTGATAGCGCAGAAATTTCACATATCGACTGCGACGCGTTCGCGAACAACGAGCCGAGAGCGCAATATTCTGAAACGAAAATATCTTGATCGTTGATTGCTGATTTTTCAGATGCTTTTGTCGAATGGTAAGTATCACTTCTATTATATCTTATTTACTTAAACGTTAATCACTCATCAGACTGCATACACGTTTTTTATAGAAATTATTCGCGTATACCTTTTCTACTCTCGCATGATTGTATCTCATTGTCAGTAAACATTTATAGCTGGTTACTTTACTAACTTCACCAACTATGTTATTTACACGCATAAGTGTAGCATGCTTTTCACATACTTACTACATTATATTCCTTGTTCGTGGTGGAAAATTCCGAGTGAAAGAATTTTCTCGTAAATCTATATGTCAGACAGAAGATGGTTTTATGGCGGCGCGGTGCGACGAGCTACCTGTTGAACTACTTAGAATTTGAAAGATTATGAAAGTCGTTCTATCCCAGAAAGGGGTAACGACTATCCCTTAGAGGAATTTTCAGACAGAACAATGTATCAGAGAGAAGACAAGTTTATGGCGGCGCGGTGCGATAAGCTACTTGTTGAGCTATTTGGAATTTGAAAGAAATTTATGGGAGTCATTTTAGCCCAGAAAGGGGTAACGACGATCCCTTACAGAAATTTTTTTACTTCAAACGCATATATAAAGGAGGGGTATTGTTTCCAAAGTCACAATACTCAGTGGACAGTAGACCTCGTACGTGCACTAGAGAACGCTAGAAGACTTGGGAAAAATGTTCGCGAAGTATACAAAGGTTAGTGATATACTTACTATAGCAATTACTACATTTTTCTTTTCCTTTTCTCTTTCAAAACAGAAAGCCATAATTTTGCCATGCTTTGAGTCATTTTTTGAGTCATTATATGACTTTACGTACATGAAATTGTAAATTTTCACGCATAATTCTTATATGATTGTAAACACGTATATAATAATTTTATATAATGTAGAATTATATATAATATTTTATTACACATATATGTCTGTGCACATGTAAGTCAGTCATGTAACGCGTTTCTCCGATTGCCCCAATAAGCTGTAGTTAGCGAATCATACGAAAGTCAATTTCAATTATAGTTCTGTTCACATCGGAGTCTCCATGCGAAAACCGCTCGCGAAGTAGAGGTGAAGACATGTAACGTTGTTTTAGAGACTCTACTCGGTGTACGATCCGCCAACACAATTTCTCCTCACTTCTACGCTAATCGCGAGTATAATTACGCTAGCAAGAGAACCTAATAAATCATAATTGCCGATAGCGTTCGTGACTGCATAGTTACTGCATATATACTGTATAGTTCCGTCTTACCGAGCCGAGCAGAGAACACAGAGAGATCTCCACGCGGAAGTGCCGAGTACCGCGACGACCTATCGAAGATCTCTGTTCGCACCTTCACGTTCGCGGTAATCGTTGATAGCAAATTGAAGCGATTCAATACATGGGCAATAGTTACGTCACAATCCTCTTTACTTCAGTATTAAATTTCGTGATGTTAACGCGGAAATTTGATTTAAAACGCAATCTTTGAGATATCCCTTCCTCGAAAGAATTGGAGATTCGCGTACGCAACTCGGTAACGACCAGTCACGCGCAATTATCACAGCGCGAGAAGACCCATTCAGAGAATTTTGCCGGTAGTTACAGAACAAACGAACGGAAAGGTGTCTTTGTTATATAAAAAGGTCTCATTGTCAAGTTGCCGTTACGACAGCTGAATGAATATATGTAACACGTGCGACTTGAAGCGTCGAAAATTCACCCAATTACCACTTGCCGCGTACATGACATGCTTCAGGAAGCTTGCTAAATCGCTAGCACTCGCTAATATCGGGCTACTAGTTACGATTGAAAAAAAAGAAAAAAAAAATGATTTTACGCGATCGCGTATTCCTCGTACGCGTACGTTTGCACTTCAAGACACGTCACGTCACGCACGGTCCATCACAGATAGGTGAACCGCGTCGGTTCCGGCCTGCTTTCGCTTTCGTGGTGTCGAAAGAATGGAATGGAATGGCTGTATAATCTACACGTACTTACGTGTAAATGAAAGTACGGAGCTAGCTCTCGGGATGTTCACATGATCGTACAATGACCAATGTTGGAATGACTCGAATTTTGCGATCGTGAAACTCGTGTTTGGTTCTTTCGAGAGAGCTCGAAAGAATATATTTCGACTATTTGAATTATTCGATCGTTGAAGCTAAATGTACAAAGCTATATCTGTAAATTTATGATACGTCCTAGCATCGTAATTAGTCTACAGAAACTCAAAGATGTCAAATTGAACTGACCTGGAAGTCAGGTCTTAAGAAATACGCGTAAAATCGAATTACCATCTTCTTCTAGGCCATACAATTGTTGCTGTTAGCTATCATCTTTGAAAGCAGCCTGTCATGGCCGCTTAAACCAAAAGTAACCGCAGGCACCAGTTCCAAAGATAGTTCCGAAGAAGATTTCGCTTCACCGAGCCATCACTTCCCTACGTTATCATCTCCATTTTCCTGCGAAGATGATGAGATAAAACCGATATATAGTCCTATAACGTCTGAATCTGTGTATGAATTGAGGCCCCCATTGGGGTTTAAGAGAAACGAACAATTTGGTGATCATCAAGACATCTTTTCAATATGGAGAAAGAAGGAATCGACAGCGCAGAAATTGTACGGACGTGAATCTGAGCATAAACCGCTAGGTGATAGAAACATTCTCTGTGAACGCGATTCCCTCTTTTTCAAGTGAAAATGTTTCTCTAAAAATCTTCAATCTTACAGAACAAAATACAAGCCCTACTAACATCGAGCAGACAACTCAAGCAATCCAGACGACTCAGGCAGCTCAGAACACCTTGAATTCTGTTCGCGATAAAACTAAGCATTTCTTGTTGGTAAACCCGAATGAACTCAGAGAGATTTCTAACTATGACGATGTACAAGAATTCATAAAATCGATGTACGATCGTCATGTCATCTTCTCAGCTAAAAATATAAGTCCATACCTGGCAGTTAAGCAGCCGGGAATAGACAAATTACATATACACGCAAGCGGCGATTCGTTAATGAAGACGCGTAAGCCATTGTTTGAGATGTTGAGAGAGAAGTTCGACCTTACGCCTGTTCCTGAAAAATAACAAGATCGTCGCATCGAAAACGACCGTCCTTATTTGACAAGAATCAAGAGCTATTAATAAAAAAGAAGTCTGGGAAAAAGGTAATAACGGACTCAATATATTCGAAATGATAATAAAGAAACTATTTGGGTGATCGAAATATCTACTACGAATCATCTTCGTCTTTTAGTACTCCTCCATTTCCTTCTCTGATCTCGTCTCGAGCATCGCGAATTATCTGATCATAAAATGGGACACCTGTTCGGCAATGCTCCATCGTGCCCGATTCACCGGACGAATTTCACCGTACGAATTTCACCATACGCGCGTAACATCGTTAACTTGCGAAAGCATAAGAAAATTCGAGCGAATGCACAGCGGACTCGATACAAACGACGCTGGTCTCCTCGACTTTCGGCTACCGGGATTCGGCAACGGATTCGCATTCGGAGCATTTCGAAACACGTCGAAGATCAATGCTACTCGCGCGCGCGCGCATACACAGGATATCGCAATATATAGGCCTACGTGTATATACAATTCACGCACAAACAAGAAACGCACAAAACGTAAGTCTCACGACTACGTAAGGTAAAAAAAGGAAAAGAATGAGATTAATCGCATTCGCGATGGCGCTCACGATTAGGGGAAAGAGAGGTGCTATTCGCGCACGATGCGCGACGATGTGTGTTCCGGTTTATCCGTTCTTTAGTGTGAATCGCATCTTACCGAAAGTGGATTTTGCAACAGCAACAGTGGCCGCAGCGTACTCGCCGTAATTAGTTTGACTTTCACCCATCGCGGCCGTCCACCGCACACAAGTGGACGCTACCGTGGCGGGGAGCGGAGGGAAGGTAGTCTGGTGGTGATTATCCATCGTCGTCCACGAGTAATCGCGAACAGCGCGAGTCGCGCGATTTTTCACACACGTACACACCGATGAAAAGAGAGAGAGAGAGAGAGAGAGAGAGAGAGAGAGAGAGAAAAAGAGAGGAGCAGCGGTGGATTTGGAAATCAATGCGCAAACATGCGAAGACGAGCGGCTATATCGGCCAAGGGCGGTCGCGAACTCTACCTTGGGCCGAAATCTCTTCGCCGCTCCATCTCTCGATCTCGATTATTATTACCATATACATTAACGGGTCACAGGCCACGCGAGAGCTCGCCGGATTGTAGTAGGTATCATTTAAATATCCGCGGCGGAAACGATAACGACCACGACGAAACGTATTAATGTACTCGGTGATCCCGTCATCCTTGAGAAAGCATAAATGGAAAGTTTTGGCTTCTCCGCAGTGTATCGAAAATTTCGAAAGATCGGCCGATTATATGGAGTTTTAAGTCGAAATCTAAGGGTGAGCGATCGTATAATGCGCGATTGCGACACACCCGCTCGGAGAAGAGGAGATTATACGAATATCGCCGTGTGTAACACGGCGAAATCCTCCTTTAACATTTCTACGCTCCGCGTTGCTACTATTCCCTACGCGAAACGCGTCACTTTAATGCGGCAACAGGATGGAGAGACGGACGGATCAGTCGGGTCAGTCGAGTGGTACTTAATAACGCGAGATGCGTTGTTGGCTACATGTGGATCTCCTATCCTTTCTACACAGGATATTACCAAAGAGGTGACCGATTTTTTTCGACTCGCTCTGATTAGAGACTCTTCGAGAGCTCTCGAATTTTAGATGATTCTCCTTGAAGAACTTGCTTAAGCTCAAAAGAAGGAAGGAAGTGCAAAGGTGCGCTTGACGACCCTACGAGAGAGGGAGGATCTAAGATTAAGGACTTCGACTATCCGACGATCTCTCCTATGTCTCTCCTTCTCTCCGTTTCACCGCGCCGGTGAAACTTGTCCCCAACGGCCATTAGTCATGTAACTTTCGTGTGAAAATTGCTACAATGTATTAATTAGAATCGAGCATCGATTCGCGCTCGACGTGTCCACCGCTTTCGCGCGCACTTTGTTCAACACCGATCGATTTTCACAACTTACAGCGTACAACTTCCGCGCCGAGTGGACGTTGAGTAATCGCTCAGATCGCGAAAGATTGTGCGCTCTTATCGAAGTGCGAGAAAGGCGTTAATCAGACGTTATATTGTGTGTTGTAATCACCAGCTGTAGTTACAGCCTAATTGTTTGTAAGTTGTTCTCGCGGTGTCGACTGTGGTCAGGATGGTCGACCGTTAATTAATTATTATCGAGATGAGGTAATTTCGTGTCATGCGAAATCGCCAAAGATAATCTGTACTAGAGAGAGAGAGAGAGAGAGAGAGAGAGAGAGAGGAGGGAGAGGGACAAAGAAAAAGAGAAACGAAGCGCCGGTGCTCTGCGCTACGATGCGATATAATAATAATAGAATATACAGATACCGCTGTGCGTCATACGCATCCGTGTAATATTGCACCGAGCACATTCACTCGCGATGCTCGCGATTTGCTCGCTCGCATCGCTGCGAGCAACGAACGGTATCGTAGCTCACACTCATCAGCACGGTCCCGCAAACCGCTTGACTCGCTCTGATACCTTCGGCCTGATACCGTCGCAGATTCTTCTTTCATGCTCCGCTGTGCCCGTAGTAGTAACGCGATCGCGCGACGGTAACGGCGAGGAAAAGAATCAATTTGTCGATTCATCGAGGCGCGCAAACTTTCCTCCCCCTCGAGCTGTCGTCTGGTAGCATTCTTCTGCGACAATGTACCTCCTCACGCTCTCGGCGGAGAGCAGTCGAAAATCTCAAGTACATATCGTGTGTCTCTCTTTCTCCCTTTCTCCCGTCCCTCTCTCCCCCCCCTCTCTCTCTCTCTCTCTCTCTCTCGATACACACTCGCGCGAACGCATCGCTTCTTTCGTAGAGAGTGTCCTTTCTATCCTTTATAAAGAGTAATGTCCTCCCGCTCTCGAGAGGGCCACTGACCTACATAGGTACGTGCGATTGTGTGCGACAATAACTCCTCCGTATAGCTTCCGCTCCGATCGTATTAAACGCGCGTGCACGAGCGTCCAATAAATAACGGCGGGACGAGGCGGATGAAATCAGAGTGAAATGCTGCGCGCTGCACGCGCGGCGCATATCAAAACTTTTCAAGCGGATAGATCCACCGTCGTCGTCGTCGTCGTCGAGCGAGTCGGCCGACGTTACGAATGCCGGTCATACCTTCGACATGCGATCGCGTAACTGCGAGCTACAAGACGCGAGCAAACGACTACCGGGCAACTACTCGGGCTCGATGTCGTACGCTCGTTCGTTGCTCTTTCTCTTTCAAGAGAGCTGGAGAGCTGCTTCGCTATTTTCGCTTTTCATTTTTGCGCCACTCTTGCGTCAGTCCGCACTCTGATTTCTATCCTCGACGAGGCGAGTTATCCTCAAGGGGCGATTTTCCTCTCCCTCTCTCTCTCTCTCTCTCTCTCTCTCTCTCCGCGCGCGCCGAGAGATCACGCTTTGAATTTAGAGATCCGCGCTATTTCGCAGACCATTAGAATCGTAGACTCTCTCATCTGGATCTCGTGGATTACGCAGCGACTCTGATAGACTCAGTAGTCATCGAGTGCTCCCTGTAAATTTGCAATTTACGACTTTATTTCCTTCGCCAGTTCAGTCACAACGCACTGTACGCGGCGCGTGCATTTGCCGGCGCGTTAGAAAAAAATCAGGCTCAGGCTGATCGCAGGTATCCTGTCGCCTGACGCGACAAAGTCTCGTTCAAAGGCAAAATCAATACGGCTCTTATTCCTCTATTCCGCTCCGTTCGCGTCCTGAACGCGTCCGACGACTAATCGACTAAGCGATAAAGCACTCGCGAAAGAAAGTACATTGGGTAACGAGCGATCGGCTAATGGCTAATCGGGTAACGGCCCGTGCGGATAATAGATAGATCGACAACACGGCGCGCGATGTTTTACTCTCGACACGCTTCGCTACTCGCGACGCGTTCCCCATAGTAAATAATGAATAATTCATTGGTACCATCGATCGGGACGGCAGTTATGTCAAGAGCGGTTTTATGTGGAATTCCTATATATTACGTTAGCGCAATGAATAATCTCGCTCGCGTACAGCGATTCTTACAGAGACGAATCCCAAATCGCCCGTCGGGCGATCGATAGAAATATGCATGGGAGTAATGAAGTATCCTTTTTATTAAGGAGCATCGCGTTGCTCGCGCGCGAGACTAAAAATATCGGCTCGCAAACGCGTTTTACGTAACACGCGTAATCGATGATTCCAAAAGAAGGGAAAATCGTGCCAATGTCACGAATAACGCGGATTTCTTTCTCTCTTTTGTCTCATCGCTACTCGAGAGCCCGCGCGTTGCGATCGATCCTTCTTCTCTCTCTCTCTCTCCCTCTCCATCCTTCTCAAGATATATTTTAAACCGTCGTCGCTTCCATGTTCGTTAATCCTTTTGACCGATTATCTCGATGGTCGTTATAATTCAACGTTGCCGGCAGTGCCGTTGCATAGTCTCTTCATCCGTCGCGAGCACATAAATTTATACGTTCGCATAAATTGCCGGCCGCGTCGTCGTCGATCGGATCGCGCGTAAATCGCGCTCCTATTTTTCTGTCGATGCGATACACGGAATGTGTAGACGGAAGAAAAATCGCGTCCCCGCGTGACCTCCTCGCGCGCGCGCGCGCGCGGCAGTTAGGCGGGGAAAATGTTCCGCGACGACGATGAATCTTCATTTCCGAGCACTTTCATTTTCTACTAAGCCGTCGCACCTTTGCTCCGCAGATTTAACTGAGACTAAACCACGACGACGACGACGGCGACGACGACGACGACGACGACGACGACGACGACGATCGACGGCGGCGGCAACGAAGTCGAGGAGGAGGCGACGACCGGCAAACGACGGTTACGACGGCAGAGGTGGTGGATCGCGCGAAAGAAGAAACCCCCTGAAGTGCCGCGTAACGACGCTACTACTACGTCCACCTTCCTTGTGCCTTCCTTTTCCGTAGGTATCCCCTCGGTGGCCTCTATAAAAGTTCGGAAGAGTCTCGACCGCACGCCACACGCGTGAAAGCTCGCAAGTGAAACGCCGCTCGTCGTTCTTCTTTTTCTACGTGCCTCACATTTCGGGAGTACATATCTCTGAGTCGCTCACGCGGGAGAGAATGCGTACTACGGTAGTAAGTAACGAACAAGAGCCTCCTTTATTATCTACACGATATTTGTACATTCCCAATTAATTACGAAAATACCTGTCCGTCCGGGGGATCGTTACTACTGTGCGAAATTTTCCATTTCTTTCGCTTTCTGCTGCCCTCCTCTCCTCCCTTGCCTCCTTTTAAGGAGGCTCCAACATAAAAGTGACGCGCGAGTGATCGTCGATTGGGACGACGAATATTTCGATAGAATAATTAATCGCGTTTCGATCGCGCGAGTTCTAATCGAGTAGAGGATTTCTATCACCGCCATTTCTATCACCTCGCCATTTCTATCATGCCCACTAATTACACGTGCGGACTCATCGCGCGAGTCAGAAAATTGTTTCCCCTCTGCCCCTCCCCCCCCCCGCGCGAAGCGACACAATGCTGCTCAAGCAGCGATTTTTCGCCGATTGCGAATTCCGCTCGAGCGAACGCGGCGACTACGAAAATTCAGCGGACGAATCTCTTCTCCGGAGAGACCGGTTGCTACGCATTCGCTGCGGTTGGCGCAATCCTCTTACCGAGCAACCGAGTGATCGAGTGACCAGGTGCGCTGGATGGGAACAACGCGCTTTCAGCTCGCCTTTACGAAACCGCGCCGATACATCCAATCAGTCGCATCCGATCACTTTGTGCCTTTTTACTCACTCTTACGATTTCCTTTCGGGGACGGGCTTCAGCACGCGTCTCGTTTCTCTTTTTTTTTGTTATTTAAAAATTCACACGCCATACGGTCGCCATCGAAAGATGATTCGCGCGAGACAGGCGTCTCGAAGGATTCCCTTTCTCCCTCTCTCTTTCGATTAATACGAATTTCATTTCGCAACGATCCCGCGCGTTACATCATCGCTCCTCTCCAAGCCATTTAAGCGGCACATCGCCAGTTACCTTTTTCGAACGATGGAAAGCGCGTTTTCCCGACGCGATGAAACCGCGAAAAAAAGAAAAAAAAAAAGAAAAAAGGAAAAATCCGTCGAGCGTGCGAGAGCGCGCATCGGTACGATTCTCGCGAATTAAAGCAGTTCGCGGCCAAGCAAAAGTAAAAGGATTCCTCCCGCCATTGCTCCGCTATTCACAGACGCGGCCTCGATAATTACGGCGCGAAAGAAAACAGCGAAAGCAGCTCTGCGAGTTTCGATGCGGCATACTAAAGCATGATTAAGTGATCGAGGGTCGTTAAGCGAATAGGAAGTCTCGCTCGAGCGGCGTTATCGCGCGCGCGTTGAAGTTATCGTCTTCCGTACTCTACTCTAATGGGACATGCCCATCGTGGAAAATGGCACTGAATTAATGAACCCGCGAGTCTTTCCCCGCGCGTTTCGCGGTGCGAGAAGGCACGACGAGTACGAGCCAGGACTCGAAGATTGCACGAACAGTCTCCGTGATTGACAGCCGTGGAGCCACGGCGTGACTTATTGAAGATCGCTAACGAGCTAACACCCGCATGCGAGTAATAATGTGTCACGAATCTCGTCGGACTCGACAGTTTTGCAACAGACTAGTATATAAATACGACAGTCACGATAAATCCGGTGATCCGTGGCGATGGTTTAACGCGTCACAGTCAATGGATCGTAAAGCTCAATTAAAAGCAACGAACGCGTCGCAGTTGTACAAACGAGTCGAATTTCACACGGAGAAAAATGTTTGCCGTTTAAAATTGCAAATGACGGATTTGCATCGCGGGTACTCCGTTAAGTAATACAGTTCCACGAATTTCATTCCATTCATTCATTTGTCGAGTTTCCACAACGTAATCGCGACCAAGTAATTTATTTCGCGTGTTATCGCGCGCCGTTAAAACTGACTTAAGGCACTCGCCTTTGCCGTCATTCGCATCGCACAATCTCACAACATTGCCGCTCGCAATGTTGTGAGAAAACAACGTGGACATTGAGATCAATGCGATTCCGCCAAACTCGCGCTATTTGAAGGCCGCAGTAGCAAATAAATTAAGTGTCGACGTAAAAATTCGCGCGTTTACAATGTTGAAGACCGAAAAGCAGCGTAATCGTGCCGGTTTGAACTAGAAAAGAAGAAAAAAAAAATAGAAAAAAAAGAAAGAGAAAAATTACTTAATCGATCTTAAAAGAGGATGACACGAAAATATTGACTTGTTCTTCTCTCGACAGAGCACGCTTCTCGTGATCGCCTGCTCGTCGCTGGTGCTGGCGAAACCGGCGCCGGAGGCTCCGGTGAGCTCGTACTTTCCACCCTCCGGCGGTGGCGGCGGCGGTGGCGGCGGCGGCGGCGGTGGTGGTGGCGGCAGCTATGGGCCACCCGCGGACCGCTACGGACCACCTCAGCAAAATCCGGTGATTCACAAGCACGTATACGTGCACGTGCCGCCGCCGGAAGCACCGGATTACAAGCCGCCGAAGCATGTGCCGGTGCCGTCGCCGCCGCAGAAACACTACAAAATAGTGTTCATCAAGGCGCCGACGCCGCCGACGCCGACCGCGCCGGCATTGCCGCCGCTGCCGTCACCTGACGAGGAGAAGACCTTGATCTACGTGCTCGTGAAGAAGCCGGAGGAAGCGCCGGACGTTGTGCTGCCGACGCAAGCACCCACGCAACCGAGCAAGCCCGAGGTCTACTTCATCCGCTACAAGACGCAGGTAAGATAGTCTTTCTTTCTTTCTTTCTTTCCCCGTCTCACGCTCGGAACTCTCAGGCGAGAAGACGAAGTCGAGTGTGGTCTTCCGCCTTGTGTAGTCCGGTTACTTCCTGCATCTCTTACGGTTCCGTGCGGCGATTAGCTCTTACGTAAACTTCTCACGCTACTCGTGGGCGCGAATTCAAGCATGCACCTGCCCCGTGTACTCGTGTGTAATATATCTTATCATCCGATCTCTGTAGTTGTAATACATTTACGTAATCCGTATTACGCCGTTTGCATCGTTGGCAAGCGCGCGCGCAACAAATCGCTGCTTTTAGAGGAACACGTCGATGCCAGAGGAGTTCCAACGGTCAAACGGCCAACGAATATTTCATCGATGAAAGAAAGAGCGAGCGCGCGCGCGCGCGCGAGAGAGAGAGAGAGAGAGAGAGCTCGTCTCGCAATTGGAATGTAAATTTCTAATGCTAATTTCTACAACACAGCGAACGAGGCGAGCGAATATAAAATACGCGAACGTTGAGCGCATCATAAATAATGTTCGCACGTCATATATCTCGGATAGGTGCGTAACTTACATTAACGATCCATCGCGGATTGCTTCTTTCCCGGGGATTATCGCAAGAGCAAGAAAATACGATTGCCAAGCGGTGATTCGGATAATCGTGGAAAGTTGCTCATTCGGCTCAAGTGGATTAGTCAACGGCGGTGCGAGCGAACGAGCTTATTGAGATTTCCACAACAAAGTCTCGATCGTGTAGAGATAGAGCTATTATCGTTTATATTGTATACACACTAAATGCTATAACTCGTCATTACAAAAAAATATATATCGTTATACACGCTGCGTTTCTTTTTCTGCTTGCTTAATGAACTACGCACATCGGATCGAAACTCATTCACTTGCCGGTCGTAGAGCGGTAATGCTCTTTCCCGTAGCATCGGTTACAACTACTATGCAAAATTCTCTCTATGTAGCTAGCAATTATCTGAAGAGAACGCTCGATCTCCATCTACGCTAGATATATGCGGTACTGACAAACTCGTTAAACGCGCGAATGTAAGACTAGACGCTTAGATCCTCTACCGGTCGTAATCACAGAAAAGGTCAAGGCCGCGCGCGACGCGCGGTCTACGGTACAAAAACTCTAGCGTATTACACATCTCTCGTTCTCTCTTATCATCATCTTCCCCTGCACGTTTATTTTTATGCATTACAGAAGGAAACGCAAGGTGGCGAGTACGGCCCACCGGGGCATCAACCGGGACCAGTCGACAGTTACGGTGCACCAGGACCGCAGGGTCCCAGCGGGCCGTATTAGAGTCACGCGTACAAAGAATTCCGCGTCGGATCCGTGTCGTAAAACTCGACATTCTTCAGAGAGAAAGAGAGAGCAAATTTTACGGGGACTATTTTTCTCGATCATTACTTCGCAGCGTGACGCGAATGCAGGTCCGGATACCCGGCGAGAATTTCACACATCGCAGGAAGAATGTCAATTATTTTTCTCGCAGGATAGGCCGTGTAGTATTCACAGGAGTAAAAGTACTCACAGGCAGACGTGATATTCGCGTTGTCGAGCCTATTCACGACGTTCCGCGCACGTACGCATGGTTCTCGAGCGACTGACCGTATAATACCGGGTTACATTACTGGTAGTAGTTACTCTCGCAAAAGAAATGTAAATGAAAATCATTTCGCACGAGACAACGATATCTTTTTTGTATGTATCTCTTAAGAAAATAATTGAAAAAAGAAAAAATACATTTTTTATATCAAACAACTTCTGGCATAATTGATTCGCCAATGTCATCCTAATCCTTTTTCACAGATTCTTTACATACCACATCGAGCTTCTCGTTTTGTCTTTTAACAGTGTGATACGTGTATAATGTTCCTACATTAAAACGTAAGATATTAAAATACTCGGAAAGGAAATGAGACACACTCAATGACATGTTTTCGGATTTTAACATTAAGGACGAAACAAACAAATCGATAGTTCTTAAATACCGCCAGATTCATATGTGTTCGCGCTTATTAATTCTAATTCTATATAAGAATATCGCATTGAGGAAATTGGTTTCAATTGTTCTACAGCCTCAATTCTATCGGCAGATTTATACCTTGTTTTAATATGATTTGGATATTTTACTCTCGATATAGCTGATGATCTAATAAAAAAACTTCCAGGAATTATTAAAAAAAAAAAGTTTTTATTTCAGAAATTAGTAGAATAATAAAATCTCTCTCGTTAAATTATCATCCGCGGCCCAAAGTGCACATCGAGAGAAAAATATCCAAACCATATTGAGAAACCAAGTATATATTATGAAAAAAAAAAAAAAAAAAAACTTGATTATGCCTACATGTATTATTTATTCAGTTATCTAAAATCTTGCAACTCGTTAATATATACGCGCGATTATGTTGAAAATGTCAGAAACTGGTTCTATCTTTGATCAATAAATGGACGTTGAAGCAAGAAGTGGTAATACTACCAATTAATTGCCAATCTAATTCGATCGATCAATAAGCGCGTACGTCAAGATATTCAAAGATCGCAAGGTATACCAGTATCTGTACATTCTTCACTTATAAATTATTAACTATTGTTTAATTTCGATGATAAGGGCTGTGCGCGTGATAAAAGCCACATGGCCACATCGCAAGATGGATAGATCGTTGTTAGATTTTTATGAGAATGTATGCAATTTGCGCGAACATAAGAATGAGAACCGTCTTTCTCGCGATATTTTACATACTTTATATTAGATAGATGTATACGCAGAGATAGATATAGAGCGATCAATAGCATGTTACTGAAATTAAACCGTTATGTCTCTTTTCTCTACTGCATCAGGCATATTTGAAACTTTTTTTCACACGTGTAAATTTACAATTTTTCGTCGCAGGTAGATTATATTCTCCATCGAATATCTCCTTCGACGCAATTTCAACATTTTAATCGACATTTTGTAGGTACGGAAGGCACCCACTCGAGTAAAATCAAATTTCCCTTCGTCGTATTTATATCTGGAGTGATATGATAGTTGATAAATTGCGGAACACTGCAAATAAAAATTAGAAATTGCTATCGGTGAGATAAATACTTCAATTTTAGCACGCATACTATGCATACTTATTAGATTATAACAGTTTTGCGCTCTCGGTTACTTTGCGTTTATAAAATTACATCATTGTATTTTGCGATACAGTTGCCATAAGCTTATTTCTGCGGCTGGACGTTCGCCATTCTTATCGCGATACCTAAGTACACGTAGTTGCTCTTTCCTTTTTGAATTTCTTTGGAATATTGGAACGTTTGACTAGCCTGCACGATAATACGGTTATCATAAGCTACGGTATCATAAGCTACAATTCGTTCATATCGTTAAACAGCACAACGCGTAAACTCTACTATTTGTAGTTTGTACTGCAACCAACTAGATAGGTAAACTTCAAACAAACGTATATATAGCTAAGTACTATTACAAACTCAAGAAAATATTATTGTACCACAAGAATAAGGAAATGTTTGGAATTGTCATCATGTTGTTGGGATTTTTCGGATACATGCTTTGAAATTGTAAAAACTTTCAAATACAGTCGCGCATACATACACACACATACAATTCCCGACCAGCGGAATTTCTTTGAAATAACGCGTCAGTTTGTGAGTTCTTAGCTATGTATTATTACTCTCTTATGCAGAATATAAGTATCCTACCATTATGTATCGTATTTCGCTTGAGCGACAGATATTATTCAACCAAAAAACTTTTCAATCTTAATCCACAAAATATTCGATAATAAAAATTGATAAATTAAACCTCCACCAAAACAATATCCTATTATATATTCTTTTGCTAAAAGAAAAGAATTACACTTTAAGAAATTTGTGATTGCTACGAAATGCGATAATAATGACCATGTGTTCTCGTATGTACCATATCTTCCGCTAGATATGCGTTATCACATTCTTCCTGACACGCCGAAGACTAGGAATAATGTAACTGTACACCAGTGTTCATTCTTTACCGCAGCTATGCTTTTTTTGGATATCAATTCGTAGCGATTCAACTCGAGCGACGTATGGAGCAATATTTCAATATTGGCGCAAAAAAGATCCTATAGTCTTATTCCTCATGCGGTCGTTGACGTTCATGTCTAGGACCGAGCAACCGTTTGATGAACGGCGCAAACAACGGATAAGAAAAGAAGAGCACATGTCCATAGTAATATAAACTAGCGTGAACTTGATTATATCGCGGATATGACAGCAGTACAAACGCTAGGAGGACATATCCCATGACAACAAAAGTATAAAGCTTCAAAAAGATAAACGCGAGAACGCGCGCTTCCCAACGGGTCTTCAACATCGTTTGCACTTTTTCGCTATTCTTTAACACTGGTCCAATCTAGAAGAAAACAGAAAATGTAGAATAAAGGTCTTATACGTATGCGCGTATGTGTACGTGCGTGCTTAAGAAAGAGAAAGAGGGAAAACGAATGGTAAAGCAATTTTCTTAGAAACGTGCGTATTACAATTAGTGATATACTTACGTCTCGTTCAAAATATGTCACAATAAATTCCATGAAAAAACAGTGATAATATCCAGAATGTAAACCATGCCATAGAGCGAGGAAGAGCAATGTCATTATCTGACTGTATATCTTTGAGCCCAAGAACTTCAACCTCTTGTAAATATATTCTGCACACCAGTGATTAGTGTTGATATTGAAAGAGAGAATATAGTGATGCATCTGTGTGGCAGTTTCAAATGTCCGCAACTTGACGTTTGCGCAACCATCCCATTTTATACGACCGTCGGCGTCTTTTCCATTGTGAGTTAAACCAAAGGTGATACATACCTAAAATCATCGATAAAATGCTAATTTTGTGTATTACGAATAAAAGGCAATCAGAATTCGAATCGATATACGATATACGATACATTTTTTATTAATATGTTTCTTTTGATTACATACTCCTTCTGTAATCAGCCAGCAGCTAACATATTTGTAAAGATTAATTCGACCCCAAAGGCCAACGAGCAAGCATTTTTTTATTAAATTTTTCTTCTGGAATGACGGTTCAAAGAGATATTGATCGGAAACATAAAGTGTCCCGATTTGAAATATCGCTACATATACGAATCCGATGAAAGCTCGCGACAATCCCGCCCACACACAATCCGGTAGTTTGATGGCGCCAGTTTGAGAGTCCTGAAATACGAAGTGTGCTACTTATCGAAATAGATTCGCATTTTCTTATGCAGTTTATAATTAAATCAATAAGCCTTCGCCGAAAGCGAGGGCGATACTGATCAATTTGATAACGTACGCGTTCCGTAAGCTGACCATCGACAAAGTCCAAGTATCGTCGCATACTGAACTGCGGTCCGATCAAGAACGCGCCGGGAAAGTAAGCATACGCCGCGATTTCTAACAGGGACGGCCGTTCCTTCAAAGCCACCCGTTTCTGAGTGTCGGACAGCTCCTCCTACAATACAGGATGATTGTTACACCGAAATGGATGTTCAATAGTTAGGTAAGAAATATTGTGCGTACATCACGTCTTTGTCCATCCCATAAATTAAATGCGAGTCCTATTAATCTAAGTGTCAACACGCACTGCGGCATTGTCCACTTTATGTCATAATCTTGAGTGCTGGTAGTGTAGTAACCTGCATTAGAAAATTAGTTTGTTAAAGTTTTTTTCACAGTTTTTATTTAAGTTCCTCGTAGCTTAAAATTGCTAAGAATTGCTAAGAATAGGTAGCGGAAAATTTTATTATTTTAATGATAAAAATGGACAATTAAAATATAATGAAATAATGCCTAGATAAAAGTATTATAACTGACTTTTAAAAATATTTAATACGATGAAAGAAATTGTTTTTCTTTCTTCAGAGATAAGGTTATAACAAATTAGAGTCATGAAAATTTTAGCTCGATATATTATCGCTTTACCGTATAGTAGGTACGTCATGTTGAAGAGTAATGTTATTACAACAGACAGTCCGGTGCTGCCGAGGATTGTTAAAATTAAATACGTTGCACATACTGCCGTTGATGAATGAAGTATATTCAAATCTGTGAAACAATTACAAAGTTAATAAGTCGGACATTAGCATGCAACTCGCTCACTTCTTAATACATAAATTATAAGATATTGCTTCGTTCAATTACCGTAATTCCAAAAACCAATTGAGAGACCGCACGCTATGAAAAACAAATGCTGCCGAATAGGATCTTTGCCGTACAGTGTATATCTATGAAGAAGCGCAACAGGAAATCCTGAAATGAAAGTTCGTGCTATTTTTTCAATCATCATAACTCAACATTCATTATCTCAACCTTCTTATCTCAATAACTGGCGCATCTGAATTTTGTACTGATTTTTGTACTTGTACATCAATTTCAAGTAAAACGATAAAATGAGTAAGACTATTCTAGGCGTGTAAACAAATTCATGAACGCACAATTTAATTTCTCGAACACCGACCTATCCCTTGTTTGTACGAAATAATACTTCTATTCATAGATTAAATCTCAGATCAAACATGCTATCTAAGTATAGAAAATTGCGATGACATCAAGTTGATAAGAAAACCTCATTTTTTTCATCATGATTCTGTCATTTTAATTGTGATTTTCTTTTCTACTTGAGTGAATGGATAAATTAATAAAAGTATATACATTTTAATAAAAATACGAAAGAATTTTTTGTTAAAACTATTATGAAGTTGCTTTCACAAAACATTGTCTTTTGCAAAGTATCGTGATAAACAGAGAAATAATATATCAACTTAACGCTCATTCTTAATAAGTAATAAGAAATATCGCAACTCCATTATTACCCACATTTACCTACCTACTGTTTTAGCTGAACGCAATAATAGCTATTTGTAATGCGTTTAAATTAGCGTAAATTGTGCCAGCAGGCAACAATCCGAACTAGATCGCGTCTGTCCGATGATAACGAAGTAGTACATAAGGCTTATATAACAATATATGATCGTAAAAATAAAATATACGCACAATGCACTATTTTTACATCATGTATTCGAAATTTATGTATAAGCGTTTTTTGCTCGCGCTTGTTTTCGTGTAATTTACCAAATTTATGCCGAATTTAATGCAACAAATTCTCACATCATTGAGTAGGAAAACAAGTAGTTCAAACAAACAAAATTATTAGTCTGTTAACGATATTAAATGAACCGTGTATATTTTGGCGCTGAACGTGTGGGATGAAACGCGATTTCTAACATCGATGACTTGACTTGAATAATGATGTCTCGAGTTAAAAAATACATTCGCGTTTACGATGTGACATAAACAATGACAATGAAAATCTTCAATGACACAGCATGAAAAAGTATCTACTACATATTAATGATTAAATGAATGTGGGAGTTCGCGATGAATCTATAATGTTATGGGTCATTATATTAGCTATGAGCACGGTGTATTTCTCGTGCAGGGAGAGCGGAAGACAAACGGTTATACACCGGCGATAGAGCCGTGCAAATATGGACGAGATTTCGATTACTTTAGCATGACGACTCAATCGCTCCTTTAAATAGTTACGATTTCTAAAACGAAATTGTGCTTGCACCGTTAAATAAAATCTGACTATTTTGCATTCACTTGGCACATATCATTGATCATATAATATTTATATAATTTTCGGCTATTTGTGCGACGCGATGCACGTTCTATAGATTACCGTAGTAGTAGATAATTTTAAAAGCGTGTATAGACCGAACTATATACGTGTACTAAATGCGTCCTTCTTCGCTGCGCTTTCCACGTTCTCTCTCACCTGCATTTTTGTAATTTCTCTTGAAAGTAAAACGCAATATCGTATCTCGTGTCATAAAAAAGAAAAAAAAACTCATGCTCATACCCAAGTAGAACATAAAATTATGATGTCCGAATTATGATGAAAAAAAATGAGTTTTCCTTATCATTTTGAGGTCATCACACATAATTTTCTATTTTACCTGGGTAAAGGTTATGGTCTCAGGCTACTCAAGATTTGACTTAAGGCAAAATGTGAAGCAGAACTATATTTAGAGAATATTCGAACGATCAAAATTGCATCAACAGTAACATACTTATTATTTTTAATAGTTTGCTCACGATATCGAAAGTAACAAGACATCGACCAAGCTCTTATCGAGTTGTCGAGGAATCGATTGAGATCGAGATGGGATGTCTTGGCGAGCTAAACTTTCAGACTTCATGTCGAATGAACACCGTGACTGTAACACTCGACAGATTTCACGTCAAATTCACTCGAATGTCGCTAAAAGATAAAATAATATGCGGCTGAAACGGCACAACCAGCCCGTATAAGACACACGCCTCTACAGAGATGTTCGAACATTCGTCGTATTATCTATGAAAATTACAGATCGAGAGAGATCTGTGCCATAAATGTCTCTGCCGCGAATGTTGCACGAACTACGACCCAAGTGGAGTATAAAGTCATGATGTGAAAACGACAAGGAAATAACTGAATAATGATGAAGCAATTTTCCTCATTATTATTTTAACGTCATCGTGATTTTTCATTTTGCCTAAGAACTGAACTGCCTGAGAGCTCTGTATGGCGGCGGTATCGAGGCAGGCATCGATGTAAGAGGAAACGCAAAAAATGCGAAAAACAAGAAATGGCTTACCTAGCAAAATCGAAACGAGCAGACGCAGCGCGGCCTCCGGGGCGCCCACCAGCGTCGACAATCGCGCGAGGCCGCCCGAACTGTACGCCACATGACTATCCATGGCCGATAACGATGCGTACCACGTGCGTATCGTAGCGAGTATCGTAGCGGTCGACCGGTCTGTTCGTTAACAACACATGTAATCCCACGTACGCGTGGGACCCTCTCGGCGCTCTTCGATCGGCGTGGCGTAATAGACACTGAGGCCGCAACATACACTTTGATCGCTATTTCGCTCACGACTGCTTAGAAAGGCCCGCCGCCACCGTCGCCAACGTCGTCGTCGTCGTCGTCGTTACGATCGCCACTGCGGATAACCTTCACTGTCGTCGACCAACCACCATCACCAATCGCTGTCACTACCACTGCTGCTGCTGCTTGCCGCGGCGGTCTTTCTTGCGCTGTTGCATCGACTCCATTGTCGTCGCTGTGCGCGACGGCATGGGGTAACAACGATGTGCAGCCCGAACGGTGGGCGACGCGACTGTAGAGGATAACATCGCCATCTTTCATGCAAATCAAATTAGGACATTGGGCGCTCGAAAGATCCCGCGCGTGCGGCTCGATTATTTCGAAACAAGACGCGGAGAGATGGGAATGAAGAGGTAGAGATAGAGATAGAGAGAGAGAGAGAGAGAGAGAGAGAGAGAGAGAGAGAGAGAGAGAGAGAGAGAGAGAGAGAGAGAGAGAGAGAGAGAGAGAGAGAGAGAGGAAGGTAGAACGAAGTTTGACCCAGCGAGACCGTTCGCGTGTTTATCCGTAGCGCGGCTCTCACGCAACGAGCCAACTGGGACAACCGGGAGCGACTGAGGTCGATGTATAGAGTCGCGACGCTCAGGGCGAACAAGGGCGGGTCGGCGCGGGCGAACACGTTGGGAACTAGCGTCGCACGCGCCTCACTTCATCCCGGACAATCGATCGATCGCAGGCACGCGAGAATCGAGACGGCGAATTGAAACGCGCGCTTGCGCACTGGCGCAATGGTGGCGGCTGACAGGCGCAAGGTCAAGTACAAGGTTGCCTTTTAACGCACGTAAGCTAATACCTGCCAAGGCAGGTGTGCGCTTCATCCGACGGATAACTCCGACGGATAGTCCAAACGTTTCACAGACGGTGAATCATTTGCGATTTACGCGATAACTATCCGAACGTCTTACAGCTGATGAGTTATTTGCGATTTACGCGATAACTATCGTAACGCTTCACAGATAGTACGTCGCATTCGCAATTTACGCGATCTAAATGTAGGTGCGGCGATGTCGAGAGGAAAGTTTAATATCCGGCGGCCAGTGACGCTTTCTCTGAGAACTCTCAAGCGCGGTGAAATGTGCGCGTGAGTATTTTCTAATCACTTTCACTTTTACTTTTGCTCATCCGCTGCTCGTCGTGGGTAAAATCGCGCGATAAAATTGCTCGAACGGGTGAAAAATAAAATTATTCGCCGTATAGAATATGATAACGGTGAAAGGTGGGCGGGAGGAGCAGGAGAAACACGCATGTGGTGTTAATCATTGATCATAAATTTGTCTTATCTTTGATCTCGCCAAATAAACTTAAGTAACATCATATATTTATGTAGTGTAGCGTAGCATTGTGTGCGGGTATACATGTGCGTCGCGTGTGAAACCGCGGAGCCGCGTATCCCTTGTAAAACGCGTGACTATCACAGAATAAATATGGTCGGAAGACCCGCGAAGATTCAATAACGCGAGATCGCCATTTACAAAGTACGACTCTTGTACAGCTTTTGCTTTACGCAGGTACGTACGCGCACACACATACACACATTTTAACGTACCACTCCGCACATACACACACACACACACTTCACTCCATATCTTCCCTTTATTTGATTATCGCGGTCCGTTTTGGCACACACTTATAATACATTATCGAATTCAACAGATTCATACTCTGGAACTTCACCTCTTTTGCATATTGTAAACATAATCGCCGGATCTAATGTTTCAAAGAACGCGAAGATGAGGGTTGAATTAACGTTGATTCAACGTTTCATCGACCATTTCAACGTCAAATCAACGTCGAATCAACGTTATGGCACTGACTGGGTCGCTGACCGTTATCGTTGACCGCACACTAACGGGTCTATGAAGTAATAAAAAGATAAAATTCATCCAAACAACGTCCTAAGAGCATGCATCTTAAAAACAAATATCCAAAAAAGAAAACATCATAAAAATGACATCACTAAAAAGTCAGCTCTTCAGCTTTGGACATCGTGGATTGTACGTTTGCGCAACGCGTCGCCCCACGAGAGCGAAAGATAAATCGACAATCTTTCTCGGCGATATCTAATGATAAGAACAATATACATGTATCTTTTCGCGTAATGTCCTGTCATATTTACATGCACGCGTGCGTTGATATCTAAATCAATAACAATTATCTTAACGTTAGTTTATCATAGCGCAACGGTGAGAACAACCGTACAACTCACAACCACATAATCGAACCTTTATACGTCTATGAGCGAGTATTTCAAGGAGAAAGTAGGAACTTGAAACAAGCAAGTTTTAATCAAGGACGATCATATAGTAGTTTCTTGTAAGAATATATATATATATATGAATTTTCCTTACGCTCTCGTGTGTCATGACGCAACAGCCACTAAAATGTAACTTAAAGTTTACACTTCAACAGAACATATATTCTTTTGTCTCATATCGTTCGATAAGACACACATTTCTCTTCTACAAAAATAAGGCCGACGAAAACATAGGAAAGCATGTACGTATGTGCGTGATAGTGGTCGCGCGCTAAGTCACACGTGAATTTATGTGTTGCGTGTTGCGTAAACCTGCACTTTGGAAGAAGAAGAGCTAATGTACATTCACCGTTTCTTTAATGTTCATAATTCCAGAAGTTTCAGGATGTAAAGATAAAAACTTCATGGAAATCATATACTAACGTTAATCGTCTTAAGCTTGGACTGGATTAAAAATTAACAATTGAGAAAAACAAGAACCAACTTTTATGGTTGAGCTTGAGAAGTTTTGTTCTAATTTAGAAATGTATCATTTAAATTTGGAAAGAAATGAACACTATCTCGTTGATCCTCCTAAAGCACAGATATATTTATGCATATACGTATATTTCGTTGAATATAAGTATATGCATTATTATCCTTCTGTCTCATTATCCGTTACATTCGTCTTATATCTACGTGCGATAGACGTCGCGTTTTCGAGACAAAAGGCTATTTTAATACATATCTTTCAATTTTATATAGACTCTCCATATATATATATATATATATATAATTTCTTATTTTAAATAGGCATTATCTTTCTTTCTCTATTATATTCATCAAATATACGCATGTATACACAGGTAAACATATTTGATTTTTCTTCTTACATACTATAGATACGCGAACGTGCGCGATAAATACTTTCTTTATATGGTCTTTGATCAGTGTTAATTATGTAAAGCGTAATTTAGGAAGCGGAAATTTACTTTCGCCTCGTGATTGTGTCCTTTTCACTGCGATTTTGTATATTTTGATTCTTTATAAATTCTTTGGCTCTTTCTTGCCTAAAAGATATCCGATTCTTCAAAATCTTCCGTGGAACATTAATTAATTGAACTTTAACGAAGAATACACAATCTGAGTAATGATTGTACCAGTGCGTAAGATCCTTATGCAATCATTCTCCTTCTAGTAGTGCCTTAACTTACTCCATTCGTTTTGATTATTTCTTCTTATTCTTATTTCTTCATTGCGAAACAATACATTGAATTCTTGAAGTTTACGTTATGCAATAAGGTAGTCTTGAGTGCAGTCTCAGATTTATAAAAGTACCAAAAAATGAATATAATGTCTTCCTTCCTTTGTTTCGTCATCAAGATTAAACGTAGTATATATTGAAAATTTAAACAAGATAAAACCAAATACACACAGTGTCAACAATAATTTCATTTCACATTCGCAAATATTTAACAAATAATTATTTCTTATTCTCTTTTTCAACGTTCAATATATTAATTCCTTATCAAGAGAAAATATAAAACATTGTATGTACGTATGTGTAGGTATATGTACGTATATATATATATATATATATATATATATATATATATGTACGTACACATGTACATATATATTTATATCTTTGTTTATAAACCATTTGTCTGTAGTTTTTTTTTTTTTTAATAGAATGAGATTTTAGCTCACGCGCGTTCTACACGTTAATTATCTAGTCACAATTATCTTTCTAATCACAAAAACTACTCTTTTAAAATTCGCGCATTCTAACTATGGAAACCCTCTCTAATGTCAATTCCGCTCTCGGAACATCGTTCAGGGTTAATGTAGAAGCCCTTTACATAGTCTCGCTATTTCGTACCTAGTAATAATAATTATATCGTAAGTTCAATAATCGGATTGGTACGTTAAGATTCTGTATCGTTCTAAAAATGTATGTCGCAGAAAAATCAGTTGGCCATTCTTTCATTTATACGTATATGTATATATCGATCTCTCAAGCTCATTGCAAACGCAAATTGGTGAATCTATGCATGATAAACATCCAAGAATCTAAATCACTTGACTAGATAATGGAACGAACGATCATAAATCTATTGCCGATCTTTAGATTTTTCGCTCACATAAGCCAAATTCTATATATTGCACTGCTTTCTCCATTATATTGCAACAAGCATGCATTTGAGACATATTTCCTATAATATGCCGCAACAATGCCCGAAAAATACGGTTTAACATAACTACAATGCCTCAAGTCAATTAATATAAGTCCCAACATTATTTTTTTCTTTCTTTTTTTGTAAATTTGTCTTCTCTGTATCGGAAGGCGATTCTCTACGGATTTTGTTACGGTAATTTCTTTCATATGAAAAGAGTAATACAATGGTAAATGTAACATATGTTTTGGTAAATGTAACATAGTTTTGAATTTACATATTTCTATTGAAATTTATTTTCGTTGATGTCAACAAAAAGTCTTCATAACGCAAAACCTATTTTTCAAGATATGCTGTAATGTAGAATATAATCATTAGTCATTATTTTTGAAAGCCGATTTTCGAATAGTTTTATATATTGTCACTTTTCGAACAAAGTTTGGTTTTTCAAGAGAATAATATCTCTCCCATGTTGGAACGTTATATTCTTCCACAAAGTAAAACTCCGCGACCTTTTAACAAAAACAAGTTTCGTAAAATGGATATATAAAATCTCGTTTCAGAACGCATTAAAAATAATCATATGTCAATCAGATACATTGGGTCTCACAGAATAGTCAATATCGAGAGAATCTCGATTTGTTATCGGTATCGTTATATACGTATTATCTTATTTCCCCTTACCTTTCATCTTTAAATGAATCTGCCGATCGTCTCGGCTCTTTATCGATCCTAATTAATTCCGATTTAAATTAATTCTCATGTATTTATATTATATCCCGTTTATTGCGGGACTTATCTCACACCATACTTTCATTCAATATTTGGCTGACTTACGATTAACTGAAGGAGATATTGCTCCGTGCTCATCCGTCAGCGGTGATTTACAATCCAGATTCCGTGTCGGTAAAAATTAGATTGACGGGCGTCGTGATCGTCATGTCAAGCTCTACTGTCGTCGTATTACTGACACAATACGGCATGATTTTGCCATGGAAGCAAGAACCGGAAGAACTGCTGTTGATTATAATCAACAGGAGACCCGAAATAGCGGCCAGAATGCCGGCGGTCATCAAGCCGAGTGCCGGGAGCTTCTTGGATGACAAGATAGGCCCCTCCTCGAGCTTGAGGTAACACAGCCCGGGCAAAATGTAGGCGAGCGGCACGGCAGCAAGAATCCCATTCAATTCGAGGACGACACCCAGGCAGTCCGTTAACATTGAGATCAAATAAGCCACGGATACTATCGTTAAAGTAATTATCAGGTACTTGCGATCAGAATTAGGTATATAAGCCTCGTGTCCCTCCAACTCGTCCGTGCCCTTGATCGCCGTCATGATGACCTGAAGAAACGATATAATTAATGCTCGGAACTTTTTCAGCTGGCCGAACAGCTCGAGCTGTTCGAATCGTGGAATATATCGAGTGATGTATCATCGCAACGAAAAAGGAACGAAAGAGAGCGGGAGAAATTACCTCGCGCGTGACGAAGCACTCAATCGGAAACGTGAGTAATATGGTGCCGCTGAACATGACTCTAGCGAAGTTCATCAGATCATCGTTCCAGCAGTAATTTTCCATGAGATCACCCTGGACATATGACGTGAAGGTGGCATAACCAACGATCCCGAAGGCTGTGGCGATCAGGAAGGATGTGAAGAGCGACCAATGTGTCACCACGTCCCACTTTTGTTGCGTGGCTCTTTCGATTGAGCCGTAGATCAAGAAGGTATTATGGTGACACATGAAGGCGAATGCCATTATACCGATAGCCGGAACGACCCCCGGAAAATTGGCAAACCTCCAACTATCGGTTCGACTTGGGCTGTAATCAGTCACGTTTGTGATTACACACAATTGCTATTCAGTTGTTGTTCTTTTATCTGACGTGTTCGCGTCAATTTATCGCATTCACTTCAGAGAGATCGTTTGCAAATTATAACGCGATCTTACATTTTATGGAGCAATGGAGCGGTAGAAATGGAACATGCTGTATAAAATAAAACCCTCCGGGAGTACTTACACCGCAGCGGACATGGTGTCCATTCGAATAAAAATTGCGATAAGAATGAACCCGACGCAGACAAGCGAAAGAAACGAGATCTTTGCTAACCGCGCCACATTTCTATACAGACAAAGTGGAATGGTGATACAGATGGTCGCCAACAGGATAACGACTTGTCGATGCGCCAAGATGTCCGTCTCATGCATGCCCGTTACTCTGATCAGGACCTTCGTCACTGTGTCGCCAACGACGACATTGTAAGAGACCATAGCTGCAAGGGAAAGATATTTGGCGTATATTATACATTACATGTCCTTCCTTCGAGCAAAAGCGAATGCGACGAATGCTGTTTCAGCAGAACAGCTTATGTACCTATAAATGGGTAGATAAACTGCAACACCGTGAGAATATAGAACCCGGCGCGACCAAAACTTGCTCGCATCAGACCCTGGTAGCTCAATTCGCCGCAGATATGTCCGCTCCGCACCATGAGAATCAACGAGTAGTCGGTCAATCCCGCCACCAAAATTAACAGACCGATACCGAGACCGAAGCCAGCTTGGTGTAGAGCGTATGGTATTCCTGGAAGAAAATTAGCATCGATTTTTTCCGCTCGTTATTGTCTTTCGCGAAAACGATTCGACAACTTCGCCGATGTTGAAACAGCGCATCGCGTATGTGAATAACTCGTACATATATTATTTCTCACACGTCTTCCGATAATGATACTTGTTACTCGGAAATACACGACAAATTTGCATCGCAGTCTTGTGTTTTTTTATTTACCGATAACACCGCTGCCGATGATGGAATTGATGAAATTGAAACTAGCTAGCGGTAGACTGCTGAATTTGCCGGATTCTTCTTCCTCTTCCTCCTCCTACAACACGAATTAGCATGATAGAATGAGTGTGAGAGAGAGAGAGAGAGAGTTGTGTGTTCAGCATTTACATACAGTTATCTGTATGTAATTAGTTTCATGAGATTATTAGAATTAAAGATTATTAGAATTCCACGTTGCACGCGTTAATGTCTAATTATTCTACGTGTTTCATAAATATTGAGAACACGTGTAAACAAAAATTAACATATCAGCTATTAAGCCATCGAACGAGCGCGGTTACACCGCGACGGATGTACGATAACCAGCGGAATAATTTGGTGTGATACCAGCGAGCAAAAGGGCGACGCGATAAAAGCGAGTGCCCGACATAAAGCAAAATGATAGCGCACGTGCTAAGCTGCTTGTTAGGCTAATGAGCGTGCGAATTGGCGAATATCGAAAGAGCATCGTCCGTTCGTTGCCAGAACAACAGTGCACTGGAAACGTCAATAAGCCAATTATCAAAGTTGCACGTTGATCTATTACATTTATCCTGGTCACAACATACATGTCCATTTATGAATTAGAATCAACATTGCTGCTGCTAATTATTAATCGTTCGTCACTAATGAAGCCCGAGAGATTGCAATTTGTAACAGAATTCGAAGCGCTAGGTTCTACTGCGCTGCGGAGCAAACATTTGCCGAGGCAAAATTATATATTTATGAATGTAATTAACATGTGAATATCCTCAACCTTTTGTACCAGATGCATGAGATTACGAAAGATAATTTGTCCTAAATTCTGTCGCCAGTTACAGAATTTTTAAAGCAGGCCAATCAGATGATAGAAACAAAACGATTACTGTAATTCTTACCCCGACTAACCGTCTCATGTCATCGTACGATTCCTCCGATCCGAGACTACCGCCCTGTCGAGAACAATGAATCAGTTGAATGTCAATTATGTGTAATATAATTACGAAACATAATAATAATCTTCATATAACACACATCTGTCTCGACGAAAAATTCAACGATAATAGCGCACGTTCCATCCGATTCTTATTTGTTTGCGCACTATGTGTATAGGTGCTGGGACATTCACACGAGCGTCTTTATTGACAGTTTAGACGTTATATGAGTTCTTTGTAAAAGAAATTATCCAAGAGGGATCACAAAGACGAATATTGCGAAGTAAATATTGCAGAAATGTCTCATAATAGACCTAACTGTTGGAAGAATATCTCATTTTAATACGAGAGGAACGTTATAATATATCCTCCTCAAATCTGTGAAATATTAGTAAGAGAATGTTAGTAAAAATATTATCATTAACAAAGCATCAAAAAGTCTAATTTAAAAGATGTTAAATTAGCGCGCGAGAAAGAAGCTCATCATTGATGGTATTTATATTTTATGATTTCTACAATCACGAACAGTGAGAGGACAAATCGTAAGATGAAGGTAAGAACACAAAGTTCTCCCTGCGTTTATCGCGAATGAAGAGATCGCAGATTTTGCGATCAGAATTAGTAAAGTGGAGAAAGTGGAATAGAGCCGCAGTATAACTTTCTCGCACTATTTATACTCGCTTGAAATATGTTTGCTGGAAATACATGACATTCTTCTGCAAGCATTCATGTTAAATCACTCTGGCAGCTATGCGACGAGCGAGCAGGACGTGTATAATAGAAACTATCCATCCGATGATACACGCAATATCCGCTCAATTCCCAAATATACCCGCACCTGACAGCGCATCTCAAGGAAAGACAATAAATACGGATCAGCAATAAAAAAAAGAGGGGGAGATAATTTAATATAAAACATTCTCACACGCGATTAACTTGTCAGAAATGTATCACTCTACGAATGTCGTGACAGTATCTCACGGAAGTGGCTAGGAACCGGAAACCGAAGCCAGGATGTCAGTCGGTCGACCACGTCTCGTCGTTAGCAGTTTCCAAAGTACTTTACTCACGTCCTCAAAGTTCCTCTTCGCCGCCTCCAGGATGTAGCTCTTTTCATTGACATCGTCGGGTGTAGCGCGAGCCATCCTGAATCTTCAATGTTGGAGGTCACAAGTTGTACAGAGCTCACGCGGTAAAAGGATGGTCTAACTAACGAGGAGAGAAATGACAAGTGCGAAAAAACGTGCGGAACTTAAAGGGAGGAAACGAGAGAGAGAGAGAGAGAGAGAGAGGGAGAGAGAGAATGAAAGAGAAAGAGAGAGAGAGAGAGAGAGAGAGAGAGAGAAAGGAGAGCGACTCGGGCAGGTCCGTGGGACGTCTGAAGTTCGGCCTATCTTCTGCCCCTTCCTCTTCGGCTTTTCACGCTACGTCTTTCCCCTCTGCGATTCTCTACGCTCTCGCTGCTCTCCTCGTTCTCTCCCTCTGTTGAACGGGCACTCGGGCACGCGTGCGCATATATTTTCAGTTTCGTCTATTTCTCCCGTTTGTATCTCGCTCTATCACGAAACCCAGCCGTTTCTCCAACCCCTATTTCTCTCGTGCTCTTTCGCTCGGTACACCGGGTCGGTCAGATTGGCGACCGTACTCTTTTTCTTGCTTACCAAGTTCCTGTCTCCTTCTCTTTCCCGTCAATGTACACCTACGTACGCGCGTGACCTATTCCCATCATCCCTTCTCTCACCCCTCTTCTCATTCATTATCTCGTCCTACCCTCGTCGCTCCCTCTTTCTCCTCTCTCTTTTTCTCCGACCAATCAGCCGGTCGTGCGTCCCATTTTCCTTTCCATTTCACGTGCCTTCGCTCTCCGGTCGAAGCGTCGAAGCGCGTACGACCGGAGGTTTATTGATTCCCATAGTCGCATATATCTTCTAGCCAACGATCCCGTCACGACTCACTACTATGCGTTCTGCGTACTGCACATTCCGTTGCGTTACTTGTGTGAGGCGCGTAAGCGCGCGCGCGCGTGCGCTCTTCCAATTTGAATTATTATGATACGCGCAATCTACGTAGGTGTTTACGCGTTCTTGCCGTGCACCGTGTACCACATGCGCTACTTTACATAAACTTACTGTCGGCTCTTATTTGAAGAAAGAAATTATCACATTTTCCCTCCGGTGTAATATCCGTGGTTTCGCAACGTGTGAAAGATCTGAAGAACATTGGTAAATCTTATGAGAGACTTTTTGAAAGAATTATATTTACATTTTTACATTATACATTCAAATATTCATATGTCCATTAGGCATAAAAACTCCTGAAAAAGAACTTTCGTCAAGAAACTGTTGCGGAACATAATTGACCTGTACTTGGTATTATAGTTACGCTTTCCACGAGCTTCTTTCTCAACGATCGCTGATGACGAACGCTAATGTAGGCCAGGAACAGGATAAGGAAAACAAGCTTCTTTAGGACGAAACGGAAGTTTACCGCTCGATTGATAAGATAGTCCGCTTGGATAACCGTTGTGTCGACACCTAAGCACTTCGTGCGCTTGGTTCTACCTGAAACCTCTCTTCGATACACATATCAATGTACAACTTTACTCCGTACATCGTAATAATGTGTTGACTCTTAAGCGACTATTTTTTACTCTTTCAAATTCAAGCTCAAATGAGGACGCTAGCGTGGTTTCGCCACTGCATGTTTTGATTTTAGCATATTGGCTTAATATCTTTGTAATTCACTAGACTTAGGACAAAATCAAGTGTGTATTTGCACTCAGACGGAATAAAGTATTACTATTTACAACATGCAGATCAATTGCATCTTTATATATTTTTGGACATTGTTGAACAAATTCTCTTAAGATCTATCACCTAACTCAATTTAACTTATTATATCTGCATATAATTAGATGTTGTGGGTTTTAAGGAAATCTTTTCATATAAAGATGCAATAAGTTAAATTGCATATCAACGAAGCGATAAGTTAACGAGAACAGTTTTAAATCGTTTAACTATTGCTCACTTGCAACATTGTTGATTAAGAGCAACAAAAACTCGGCAAATTTAATCATATGTACAAGCTATATCTCTGACACACGATCAATCCGATTGAGTAGACACGAATATATATCGTGTATATCACATAGAAATAACATTCAAATATATGACTCGTAGAATTGAAGAGCTCACTTTCAAACCGTCTGAAAATCCGTCGTTTTAAAAAGTAAAATAAAAAAGTAATATGATATGTGATGAAGTTATAGAAAATTTCGTGAAGCTTTAAACATAAAGAAGCAATCTCTTAAAAATACAAGTTAGCACGATAGTCTGGGAATAAGCTCCTCAATTACGCATTCATGTTTTTTGATATTGCTCAGTATTTGTATCTTACTTCGAAAATGTCCTCTTTTTCTGCTACATTTGATATTAAACAAAGAAATATGAGCATGAAATATTTTTCATTCCAAATGAGATGAGCGATTTAAAATCCATTTCTGGATAATTTGAACGACAAACAATTACGTATCAAAATAATATAATATACCTTGAACGTCGAAGGGCAAATAAAATTCGACAAATCGTGAGTCATCGTCGAGGCGACTAGATTACATCATTCGTGAGGAATATATCCCCAAAATTTTCCAGTTAAAAAAGTTCCCTCTAGAGCGTTCAATGGCGTATACCACTTGCACGCACGCTTTGGACGTTCCATTATTGTCGTACGAATTTGCATTGCAAACCAGAGAGACTGTGATAACACAATAAAGATAAAAATGAAAATCTGTAGAAAGTCTAATGGAAGGCATATTTTTATCATGCTTATCCGTGACTGTGCCTTCTACGTCGCTGATCAGAAGCGACAGTGAAAATCGCACGAAGTCGGAAGTCAATCACGATGCACTCTCTTGATGCATCGCAGATCGCGTCGAGTCCGATAAAGCGGATCTGATTCGCTCGCTGAATGACTATAATGACTTACGCATCTTCAACTATTCTGTCGATAGTCAGCGGCACGACGTCGGCTTAAAAAACGAACGGAATTTTTTATTCTGCGTCCGCGTTGCGCATCGCAAGCCGACCTTCGCGCGATGTAACGTAAGTATATTCTCGTTAAAACTCTCGGATACCGTGAGTCGCATCTCAGGAAAGCCTCGACGGGTCCTGACGTGGTACCACCACCCAGCCGTTGTTTCCGGAAACGGCAGGTGCTAACGTCGGCGCACCAGCGTTCGTCAACGCCCCGTTGAGTCTCTGATCTTTCATGATCTGTAACTGCCGCGTCAGGTTGCGACACAACTTCACCAGGGACTCCTATAAGTTGCGTTCATTGCAATATCTATTAAGATTCAAGAACTTCTTAGACCTAAAAAAATACTTAAGGGACATCTCTTTCTCATCCGTAAGGCTCGATCTTGATCTCCGAAATAGGAAAGGAAGATAGGAGAGAATGTAGTGAATACGAAATTAAAGAATAATAAGAAGAGAAACCTTTTCATCCTCCAGTTTGCGCAACTCCTGCTGCTGCTTGAGGCTGTCGAGGCTCAGATTCTTCAACATCTCGTTCTTGTGCTGGCTCAATAACGCTATCTCCGTTTGGACCTTGAGGTATTCCTGCGCTATCTGCTTATGCTCCTCGAAGATCTCGCGCGAACGTTCGCACGTGTAGTCGGGTGTGAGAGGCCTCAAGTCGGCATCCAGAAGGCGACAAACATTGCCCAAATCTTCAGTCGTGGTGCTGCTACCTGTGACATCGAATTGTAACGATCAATTATGAGATATTTAACGATATTACACGATGCTCTTCACATCCTACTGCAATGGAATTCGCGTCGAGTTCGCGGTGTAGTCGTAAGATGTTAAAACAGTTTAGGATGCAAGCACTGCCTATATTTTTCCAACACGTTCTGAACAATCGTCCCGTCTCTCTCTCTCTCTCTCTCTCTCTCTCTCTCTCTCTGCAAAGTTTTCTAATGAGTACTAAATAAATCTAACGAGTACTAACGCAGTAAGACCCAGCAGCGTTTGAGGGTGTCGGTGCCGACGATCTCTGGGTAGTCGTCGCACATATCGAACACCGTAGCTGCCGCTCGCGCGAGCCGTAGTTACTTCGACAAAGTGAGCCACGATTATTCCCCGCGTACCAATCCTGACGGCATAATTTCTTCCTTCGCGATCAGGTTCGGCACTTGTTTATAAAAAACTCTTTCGCCTTCTCTTTTTCTTCTTCGCTTTTTTTTTTCCGATGAAGTCCTTGAAGATAGAAACGGCGGCGACGGCGATACCCAAGAATCACCTGACTAAGCTTTGAAAGTGCGAACGGGTCTCACGGCGAAATCTCGCTGATTATTCAATGGAATGATCCGGGAATGGCCGTGTTATAGGGGATCAATTCCCGGTCGATCGATCGATGTCCTCGATAAAGAATCGAGCTCGTATTGCGCGCTTGGCGACCTAATCGGCGGGAGGTGCTCCTCCGTAGGGAGTCGGCTCTCTACTAAACAAACGTACGTCTATATTGGAGATGCTGACTCAGCCACACCTGCTTCTAAATACCCCCCACTCGCTGGACGGAGAGGAACGCCGCAGCGTATACACGAGCCAAGAACAAAACGCGCTCTCCGCCTTGATTCATCCTCGAGAATCTCGTATCTGATTTTTATTTCGTTTCGTTTCGTTTGGTCGCGGTCGTGTCTCTTCCTCGTCTCTTTCATCTCTTACCCCTCATTCTGCAGTCTTATCTCTTCCTCTTCTTTCTTCCTCCTTCTCCTCTTTTATCTCTTCTCTCTTTTACTTCTTCTTTTTCTTCTTCTTCTTCCACCTCCTTCTCTAACGTTCTTCCACTATTCCATCTCTTCTCTTCTTCGTCCTCCCTTCGCCATCACCGCCGGTCGTCCTCTTCGTCGTCGCAACGTGCCAATCAAAAGCGAGTCACACGTCCTACCGATTAGTCGTCAGTTAAATTTAGTGCACGCGCACATCGCACGGCTATTGCGGCTGCTGTACGGGCCCTTTGCCAGGGTACCGGCAAACTCCGTCTCGATCGACGAACCCTCGATGAATATAGCATGCCGAACTCATAATGTTCTTTCTTACTGTCGTCTGTGATTGCGTCTCGATCAGCCGCGTAATTTATTCACCCACTAGATACTACACGCAAAAATACATCACTGTCAAAGGAGATTATACTTTCGCTTCTCACACTTGCATACGTGCAACACACACACACACACACACACACACACATATTGGACTTTACATGAGTTTCACGCGAAGATCTTCGCGCAAAGATCTTCGGGAATACAACGAATAAAATGACCTAGTATGTGTAGTCGAGAGAGGCGAAGATGATCATCGCGACATTAAACGTTCGCTGTTTCGATAGTCGCACCCGATAAAGAACAAAATTGTTAATCAGATGCAAAATTGTTAATCAGTCGTCGTGATAATTCCGTACACGTAGAAGCGCATTATGAGCAACGCGGTGCGCGTGATATCGCCGCTGCGAGGCGAGAAGCGAGAGAAAGAAAGAGAGAGAGAGAGAGAGAGAAAGAGAGAGAGAGAGAGAGAGAGAGAGAGAGAAAGAGAGGGAGAGAGAGAGAGAAACGAAGATGCGGTCGAAGAAGGCGCCCGGTGAGTCAGCAGTGCTTAGTATTCTAGGCCGAAAATAATCTACTTCGTATATCACAAAGCGCTGCTCTGTAAGCTCAAAACGCGTGCTCGCGTGTCAGCCCGCGCGAAGGCATTGTGTCCATTAAAACGTTCTACGTTATCCGACATATTAGTCACACGTTCGGTACTCTCGTAACTGCTGTCGAAATCTCCAGATATTTTTTTGTCTTCTACCGTTAATCGATTATCGCATGAGATGAATCAGACACTGATCATCGTATATACGTTAATATCGCCGAGTACACATATAGACATATACAGTGTTATGTGTGCAACGTGTTAGAACAATTACGTATCCCGACATGTCGAAAGAGTTATGCGACAGTCAAACGTCTAGAAAACGAAATCTTCTCAATATCTCAACTCGTTCTGCGCTTCAGCCATTTCCATATGACGTAATACAACTTTGGTATGTTTCGTTAACTTCTGATGGCCGTTTAAGGACATAAAACATAGATAACTCTTGTTCGCTGATATTCCTGGCAGTGTGCCTTCAGCAAGACAGAGCGAAAGAGAGAGGGACAGAGAGAAAGAGAAACACAGGTCTCGCACAGACAGCCAGTTTGGTGCCACAGCCTCCTTGCGATCTTTTTTCGGCACCTGTTCTCAGAAAGGGTCGCGCGAGTATATATTCGAATATGCATTTCGCGAAAGTCCTCTTGTTCACGAATAACTGGAAAAAATCTAGTTATTTTGTACAGTATATAATATTTATACGCGAATTTATATGAGACGGAAATGAACTGCACTGAATAATTTCTCTAGTAAAATAATTATGCAATACCGATTAATTGACATTCAACATTCGTATATCCACACATTCATTCCCAATAGACACTTCGAATTCACGATGCACTTACTTTGTTGAGTGTTTTTCTTCGTTTTCGGCATCATTTTGTCTAATCCGGCCATGTTACGAATTTCCCAAGACGAATCGGAAGAGCTCGGCAAGTCCCAAGCATTCTGTGAAAAGTAAACGCATTTTAGTATTAAGTATCTCTAATGACATAAAGATATAACAAATAATTGAATAACAAAACATGATAGTCATGTATAAGATATTCATAGAAAAAGAATTTAATAAAAATTTACTAAGAATTACCAACCGGGTCGCACTCCACATGTAATGGAGCAAAATTGTAGTTCTTGTGTTGCAACGCAGCAAACTTGTCGTCACGAGCAATCGGTGCTGCTGTATTTTGCAAGACCGACGGTTTAGCGTGGTCTAGATTACCGTCCGTACTCCCAGGATAATGCTTATTCGGAACCGGAGTACGCTCATTGGGTACTCGTTGAAATCCTAAATTATTTTGTCGAGACGAGAAAATCGGCGATGCGTCAGTAAGCGCCCCATAACGTAAGGGATAGGATGACGAACTCTCCCCGTTAGGACATTCGTCGGTTTTCTCCATGGTCTTTGGAATTGTATGAATAGTGCCGTTTGTAACAGAGCCATTCACTCGAGAGTCTAAGGTACTGGCCATATCTAATGTACCTTCCTTTGAGGTTTCATTTTCATCTATATTGTCAGCTTCACTACCTGTGATATAACGTACCAGTAGATATATCATATCACATATACCAGTAGAATATGCTATATTTTAAGCAAGCAACATTCTATGCATTATATAATCGTGTGTTAAATATGTATTATACATACTTAAGGAATATTCAACAGGTTCTAAATGGTTACTGAAAAATTCTGATAGCTCGGTCATTATCCTCACTACTTCATCCATAGATGGTCTTTCTTCAGGTGCTTTCTGCCAACATCTGTCGTGAGAATTAGCAATGTTGAGCAGAAACAGTACAAAGAATATTAATGTAATTTTTTTCGTGATTGTATAATTTCCAAGTGAATATGTACAACCCTGAATATGTACAGATATTGATATAAATTTATACATTAACAATGAGATATACATACATATCAACTATATTGTATAATTTTCTCACCTAGTCATAAGATCCTCAATTGGTTTTGGACATCCTTCTATCAAAGGAGGCCTTTGTCCTACATGAACAGCCCACATTATCCTAAAGGCTGAAGCACCAATATCATCAAAGGGTTTTTTGCGTGTTAAGACTTCCCACAAAATGATACCCCAACTAAATACATCGCACTTCTCTGTATACCTAGATCCTTCAAACACTTCGGGCGCCATCCATGCGGCCGAGCCTTTATTATTAGTCATATATGTATTTAAGTCACAGGCCGTACCAAAGTCACAAATTTTAAGCATTTGTCCACCCATAACTAATAACAGATTGGGTGGCTTTAGGTCTCTGTGGAAGAAGATTTATTAAAATTACTTCTTCTATTATTTCTCAAGTATAAAGGAGTGCTACATACCTGTGTATCAATGGTTTTGGTTTCATATTATGAAGATATGCAACACCACGTGCACATTGGAGAGCCCAACTCATGGCATGACTAGTAGTATAATGTGGTTGTGGATTACAATGTAATACTATAATACAATGTAATACTTACATTAATACTATAATACAATGTAATACATTACAATGTAATACTATAATAGAAATATACATAAACAAAATTCAATATAATAAATCTATCATACAATTGCAAAAAATCTAGAATATTATTTGTTACCATTGTACAGTGATCCACCTTCTGCATATTCCATCACTAAACATACAGGATTCTTGGTACATGCGCCATACAACTTAACAATATTAGGATGGGCAACTCTGGATAGCTGTCTAACTTCCACAGTGAAGGCTTTTCTCTCTCCTTCTGAATTTATGTGTTTCACAGCAACATCCTGCCCTCTCCATTTTCCTTTCCACACAACTCCAAAGGAACCTTTGCCGACTACCTACAAATGATGGTACATAGATATATCTCAATTGTACATCTAGCTAGATGGTTTTGACAGCTTAATAAACATAATGAAGATGCATAAAAGACAAGTATCATCTAGCAGTTTGCAGTTTTAGGGAAAGTAATATTCTTTTACTTAAGGACACCTGCTTTTTTTATATATTTGAGGTTATCTTGCTGATGTATTAATTACTGCTTAGAAAAAACAAAAACTAAAACAGACTAAATAAATGTAGAGTATAATAATTAAGTGCAGAAGGGACGTCAAATATCGAAATGTGGTTTATGAGCATCGATAAAGCACAACACATCGCCACATAAAAGGAAAGCAACACGAACGTAAAGAAAACTACCTGCTCTGTTTCGATTTCATTATAATCGATTTCCTCAACGAACTGCTGCTGATGGCCGATTATCTCTTTGCACGCCATCGCACACAGTCCACGTCACATGATTTTCAGGGCACATTTAATCGAGATTTGAGGGTTCATACGCGAGTGTTTACTCAAATTGGCTTCAAACAACCTCGCAAATCGCCATCTTCCGAATCTGGTCTAAGGGCATTACGGCTAATCTTGTTGAAAAGAGCGAAGCGCCTCTGCATATGATGTATATCCTCGGTGTCTTTAAATTTAAATCAAAAAGTTTATTTAATCTGTTATTGAGTTACATTATGGAAATATAAATTCTTCCGACCAACCACCGTTCAACCACACTATTTAAAAAAAAGAACGTTGTTTGATTCGTTGTGTCGTACTACTTGAAAGTAAAAAATCTTTTAGTCCGCCGACAGAACGTACTGTTCGAAAATACAAAGACACTTTGCGACTTGCCGTTGAAGACAAAAATCTACCTGATCCAACGTTAAATCGTTTTGTTTGAAAATAAAAGATATGTTTAATTTGTCGTTGAGTTATATCACGACTTCATTCTTCTTTACAAATGTGGCGGTTCGTAGCGGAGACTGCGAAATTAAAAATAAAACTAGTATCGGACTACCAACTACCGACTGAAGAAATCCGATCCAATTGCCAACTTGTAATTCATCAACACAGAAAAATCGATTGGTATCTGAATTCATGTCGATCGATGCAGTCAGTCGAATTGTTAGATAAAACTGGCTAATAGATCATTAGATGCTGTCTCATATTTTCTTCAGAAAAAAATAGCAATTAACGGCTGTCTAGTTTAAAGTTTAAATTTGCGACACTAGATGGGGCCAGTAAAATGATTTAGAGGTTAATATATGAGTTAGAACGTTAATATGTTTAAAAAGCACAACGTTAGATGGTGCCACTGGCGTAATTCAGTAACAGTTGGATCAACGTACGCGATTTAGAAATATGAGTTCTTTTACAAAGCGATCATTATTACATGTTGCAAAATTTGTTCTCTCTTTCGGTTTCCTACTTTGCGGCACAATTTCAAGAGATTCGACACAGCTCACAAGACGATACTGAAGATTCATCGTAAGAGAGAGATAACTTGCAAGAAAACAGGTATCTTTTTGACTTCGTTAAGTTTAAATCTTGGTAACGAAAAATGGCGTACATGCGATTAAACGAAATATTAATCTGAAAGTATCTAAATATATCAGTATTTTTCGGAAGTATGCTTTACGTATAATTATACTTCAATCAATAATGTTTTTCATCAGAATATCAATCAGTGAGCAAGATGATCAATTTATATTTGCGCGAAATTTATATAGGTTATACCGGTGTGCTGCCGGTATATGTCGGTTGTAGCATGTAGACACAGTACTTTTTCGATATATAATCGTCTGACATTTCGAAATATATTTATTCAATATTTATGCAAAGCTGCCAAGAAAAGAAGATTTAACGAAATATGACAATTCCATGAAGATGTGAAGAAAAATGACGGTCTTAGTAAGGTCTATGTAAGATTACATTTAATTAAATATTTTTCACATTACTCGACATATTCATAGAATACATTCATTGCTACTTTTGACTTACAGGTCGTATCAAATAAATGAAATTATTTATAAGGATACGGAAAATCCGTTGGAAAAAAATAAACCTTCGTTGAATCCCTCGAGTCGACGTTACCGCGGCCAGCGGCGGAAAGTTAGCACGGAATCATCGCTCACGTTATATCCGTAATGCATAATTCTCGGTGAGTATGTACGTACGCGCGTATCTATACGTACGTAACGAAGGCGAATTCGCATGCGAACGCGGCGACGAGTACAGAAGGAAAGCGAGGAAACGAAGTCCTCGGCCGAGCCGAACTTAAGTCCAGCGAGCGAGCAAACGAGCGCGCGCACGTGTAATTGCGAGTTAAGTATGCGGCTAGGCTCTTCGTATCGTATCGAGCTAGAACACGTCGCTTGGCCTTTACGCTGACCCGTGCTTTCACCCGGTAGCATCGTCGTCGTCCCGTCTCGTCTCGTCTCGATTTACCTGGTCCCATCGGCCGATCTCGTCGATTCGTCTTCACTGGTCACCTACTTGCTGAGTGCATCGTGACGTAATGCACACATGAAACGAGAAAGGGAGAGAAACGTCCGCGAGACATCTTGTCACGAGATCTTGCCGCGACCTACCCCGCGTGACTGTCATCGCACATGTTGCAGATTTCGTTATAACTTTCGGAAAACGAAAAAAGAGGCAAAGAAACTTCCTCCGTGGCGTATAAAGCCGCGCTGAATAAAGTTCGCGCTCGCGCGAACAACAACGAGAGAGAGAGAGAGAGAGAGAGAGAGAGAGAGATTTCGAGCGAAGCGGGCTCAAGCGTTGCGCATTATCGAGCGCGCACCACACGAGATTGAAAGATCTCACGATAGTGGTTACAACCGGGTGGCTCAGCCACGAAATTAAATGTAATGCGAGTCACGGAGATCGCTAAGATTGTTAACGCGCGACGTCCGACGCGACGACGACGACGACGACGACGTGTCATTGTTTTGCGCGCGCTTTCGAAACGTTTGTCTAGAACGCATTTAGTCGGGTTGGCGTAACACGCGGCCGACGATACGATCGCGCGACGTTAGCTGCGTTATTAGGGTATGCAGGCGCGGGTGCATGAGCAGTCGTCCGTACGTTTAAACTAGGTAACGCAGATTCCCCGTGATAATTTTAGAAGCGTGCTTCGGTTAAGATAGTTAACATTTCGCGGGAAATCCGGCGAATCTCGTAGCGAACACGCGAGCTCTCCTTCTGTCGTCATCGATGCATTCTCGTGCTGTACGATTTGGCCTCGGAGCCACATCTCTCTCGCCGAATACAAGCGAAAATGTAGGAACTGTACACTCTAATCTCAGCACCTTTCACCGTGCGCGTGTCATCATGGTCCATCATATTCGGGTTCGCTTGCTCGCTCATGTTGCGTCTCGCGTTCGTTCGCTCGAACGAATTGCAGTCTAACGTTTGTGAGAGTTCTCACCGTTAGCCGCGATTCCGAGCTATAATATTGTCCACGACGCGTTCATTGCTGGCACGTAGCCAGCCGAATAGTACCTACGGTCTTACATAAGGAACACACGGTTGCGGGAAAAGCTACAGTTCTCTCTCTCTCTCTCTCTCTCTCTCTCTCTCTCTCTCTCTCTCTCTCTCTCTCTCTCTCTCTCTCTCTCTCTCTCTCCTCTCGCAAACATCAGCATAATCGTATTTTTATTACTACCTGAAAATGTCGGAGAATTATGCCCCGCGTTCCCGCGCAATAAACTGTGATTGATAGGCAATCTCGTCGGTTCTCGTTTCGTAGAGAGGAGAAGAAGGGAGATAGAGCTTGAGCGGAATTTTTCGAAGAGCGCGGCTTTCTCGATCAATAAATCGAAGCGGCTAATTATTAGCAGCCGTTACGGTAAACGTTACTAATTACGGACAGCAACTAATTCGAATTATTTATTGGACATAAAAGTGGTAATTGTATCGTCGCGGAATATTCCACAATAACGTCGCAAAACGATAAACACGAGTAAAAAAACTTTTAGGACTGTTCCCAAGCGGCGGTGCGAGTGAAAGATCTTCGTGAGATGTTAGTAGACCAAAAAAGGCCACTCGAAAAGAAACGCAAAAATCCATCCGTCATCATCGTCGGGGGACGCTGCAAGATCCTGGATCCGACGGATGTGCCCGCTAAGATCCGTGTATGGAATTATGCAGTCACGTGGAACGGCATCGAGAAACTCCCGAGACAGTGAAAGTGATCCTTGGACCTGCGTCGGCAAGTACACAAGCGATACTCTAATATATTAGACAAATGCACACGACGATCGCGTGCACATTCTCGCCGCGAGATCCATGATGAAGAAGCGTTCCGCGCCGGCTTCTTCCTCATCGCGGATCTTCCGTGTGATAAACGCGATGCTCCGAGTATATTCCTGCAAATATCGATGTCGATTTTTCACGCGTCGCTGTTCCTGGAGAGCTGCTCAAGCCCGGCTTCATTTATTGATTTATTAATTATTAATTTATTAATTTAATAATTATTAATTTACTAATTATTAATTTATTTGAAATTCATTTATTTCAGCAAATATGTACACGTTGTTAGATGTACACTGTATAAAATGTTGTTAGTGAAAGCACTGAGATATATTTGGATGTAAATTTGGATCGCGCAGACACAACGGTAACGATATGTGTCGTATGCGCGTTATTGCTCGAGCGTGAAGCACATTAGCGTATCAACGTTCACGTTGCACCGTTGTTACATCGTTTTCATGCTCAATCGTGCGTAGTTATTAGCGCGATTGTCAGCACCGTTCTCTTATCGAGCGCTATTAGCTGCGAATTAATCGAGATCAAAACGCCGATCTTTCTTTCGAGCAGACGTCAACATCGAGTTCTACTCTCCCAGTTGATTATATCTGTGGTACACTTCGATTTAATTTAATGGCACGTTCCACAGTGTATGTGTGTGTGTGTGTATGTGTGTGACGACGGCGCCACTAATATAAAAAAAGAAGAACAGAGAGAGAGAAAGAGAGAGAGAGAGAGAGAGAGAGAGAGAGAGAGAGAGAGAGAGAGAGAGACCCAAGCTGATCTAAGAAACAAGAGACAAATATTCGACCATGCGGGAGAAGGATCGCAAACGCTTTCACACTCGGACTTCTTGCCGTTCTGCGGCCGTATGATATCACGATCGAGAGAGAGACAATGTCCGAATAACGGCCGGATCGGAGTCGTCCGATTTTTGAAGGAGGCCGCCGCCTGACCTTTCGAAAGTGTTTTTTTTTTCTCTCCTTCCTCCTCCCGTCTGCTCCCTGCCCTCTCTTCCTCGTTTAAGTAGAAAAAAAGGAGCGAGGTTCTCGTGAAAGTTGCCTCCTGGCTACTACCAAGTGCCGTCACGCCGCTGCCGCCGTCGTCTCCTATCTTCTTCCTCGTCGACAATCTTTTCCCCAACTACCCTCCGACCTCGTCTCTCTTCGTTCCGCTCCGCCTGCTGCATCCCTCTTCTTTACGAAGCGAAGCTGTTCCTGCACTCCACGTGCAAAGACCTTCGTCTTCCTGTTCCGTGAGGTCATCGATGTCCGTCAAGGCCGTCGAAAGTCTTGGTTTTCTTTTTTCGCAACAAGTACGACATTTCACGTTGTTCATTCATACATTCTATTGAAATTTAGCTCGCGATTGAAAACCCATAATTCTTTTCAAAATATTACCAGTCTCTCCGAACGTTCTCATCGAGAAATTCCGAGTCGATTGAGCGCGCCATTATTAACGATTTTCCTCGATGTTTCCGTCCATATCGAGCTAGGCGTCAAATAAAAAAGGCTCTCGGACGAGAGAGAGGCGGTTAGGATTTACGAAGCCACGCAGCCGTATAAGCTTGATTTATTCCCGTGGATTCCGCGTCACCGTCGTGAATCCGAAGCGATTCGAATCCTCCTGTTCCCATCGCTACCCGTGTCACGTGTACATGAGCCGTGAGAGAGCACACACAACTCTCGCGATCGTGCACCGAGAGTTGAGCACACGGCACTTCCCTTTCTTCCTTTTCATTCGTTTTCTCGTCTCTCTCCCGTTAAACTCTCGTGTCAATGAGCGGAGCTCGTCCTCGCTTTCGCCCGTCTCATCTTTCCCCGCGGGCGATTTCAAGTAGCAACAGCTGTTCCGTACCGCGGTGCACGCGATGTGCAACCTGCACATACGCGTTTACCTGTCCGCGGCGTTATCGTCGCTATCGTTTTGTCGAACGACAGATAGGTAAACGAAATGCCTTTTCTCTTCTTTCGGCTATCGCCTTGTTGATCTCTGCGTACAAATGCGTACAAATGCGTGACGATAAGTTATCGAATCGAAGGAAAAGTGAGGGGAAACAGCGTACGTACAGCAAGGTACCTGCGTCGTGGATTACGCTGGAAACGTCGATGGACACTTTGTCGTTGATAGTCTTATCGCCGACCGCTGTGTTTTAATCAGTCGGATACACAAAACAAATGGAGAGTTTCCCTCCATCCATCCTACGTATATATCATTTGCATGTTCGATTAAGTGGAATTTTGTTTTTCATGCAGCGATAAAATAGTGAAGAAATGTTGGCGGAATATATATTTAACGCTTCGACGCTAAGTGCAAGAACATGACACGTGGATCTCGTGGGAAAGAAAGAGAACATATAGAGGATTCCTCCTTCCTGTATTTTACGTCGTATGCCGATCGATTGTTCCTTTGAGAAGTCCCTGCGTGCTGTACCTATCTACGCGCGTCTTCATATCTAACAACCCCTGTTCCTGGAAAATGTGTGTGAGTATGCATTATCTTAAACTTTTTACACGTTCATTATACAAATCAAGAGATTTAATGGCAATTATATAAGACTTAAAGCGAAATCAACTATTTTGGATAACGCGATGGGAGCATCGCGTTATCCAAAATAGTTGATCCGCTTTGTTTTCTTCTTTTCTTCCTTTCTTTCTTAGGTCTTCCTATGCCACTCGACGAATTTTTACGTAGCGGCTCATAACGCGACTCCTCAAGAAAGAGAGAACAAATGAGAGAGAGAGAGAGAGAGAGAGAGAGAGAGAGACCTTATGTTAGAGGTGCGGGTATGAGCAGTAAGGAAACTACGATCGGACGAAATCCGGCGACGAGCGTCGTTCTCGCCTTGATTAGCGGTTGTTTAGGAGCAGTGAAAGTTCCTCCACGCTCGCTCACGCTCAGGATGCGCTACCTTTTCGGAAGGAGATAAACGCGACGTTCCTCCGCGACGTCTCCCTGCCGACGTCCCCTCTCTCCTCGACGAGAGAATCGCCATTGTCGCGCAATATTCGCGTTCTCATGCGGAAACGCGCTGAGAAAGGAAATTTCAGCGACGGGAATTAACCCCTCGCCAGTCTGCTTTGCTCTGTCCTGTCCAAGCTCGGAGCTGACCGAGAAGCTAAGACCGGAATGACCTCCATCCAGCATGCGCTGCGCAGGATCTCCGTCGCGCTCACCCTCGTACCCGAAGGCACTTCAGTACCGCGATTGTACAACATACGGAAGAGTATCGGGGTTAAACGTTACGTACGCGTGGGCTTAGCGTGAAACTAATCGTCCATAAAAAATTGCGTGACGCCGTGTATTAAACAGCAACAGTCGGGCAAGATTCTGCACGAATAGCCGTCTCTCAGGAAGAGAAAGAGCGACATGACTGGTAGACGTTTTAACTTATCCGTTCTCACGAATATATCCGTGATCCCGGAAAGACTCGAGAAAACCGACAGAAATTTTCGACGAGATCGCGTCGAGGTCAGATAGATCGAATCTTTTCAACCCCGAGATCTTTCCCACCGACGTTCCAAATGTATCAAATTCAAAGACGTGAATCGGAAAGGTGTTCGATTCGATGAGTCGAAGAAAGAACAACGGAGACATGTTTTTATGTAAAAATACATAAAAAAGCTTTATTTCGCCACCGTTTTCTTGCAAAAAAATAAGTATAAAAAACATCTCTCCTTCGTGGTCGTCGTAATCATTGTCATCATCATCATTATCATCATCATCATCATCATCATCGTCATCATCATCATTATTGTCATCATCGTCATTATCGTCGTCATCATCACCATCGTAGTAGTCGTCATTGTGATCATCGATATCATTATTCTCACCATCATCATCAGCCTCGTCGTCGTTGCAGTCGTCATCGTATTCAATATCGTCGTCATCATCATCATCATCATCATCATCATCATCATCATCATCATCATCATCATCATCATCATCATCATCATCATCATCGCCGCCTTCGTCGTCGTCGTCGCGGTCGCGTTCTTCCTCTTCGTCTTCTCGCGGCGATTGTCGCGCGTATAACACAGTGATACGTCAACACGACAAAATTCGTCGTCGCTGATTCTTATGTTAGAGGTATGTGAGCGTTGTGTGCGTGTGTGTGGTAGGTGAATGGAGGAGGGGGATGGTAGGGCCGCGGGGGTAGTGAATTGACTAGTATGGCCCGGACGCACCGGGTGGCCCGTAATTCGTGCTGGGTCCGCTGGGTCCGGTGCCTCCGATTCCATCGATTCCGCCACCTCCGATACCGGTGCCGCCGATGCCGCCTCCGTGACCTCCGCCGATACCGCCTCCGATGCCACCTCCAATACCGCCTCCGATTCCACCTCCAATACCTCCGCCGATACCGATGCCACCGCCACCGCCACCGCCACCACCGGACGTAACTTCCTTCTGCAAAATGCGCGGAATATGCGTTTTAATCTCGCGATATCGCGTTGGCGAGGACGCGTTCGGGAAATTGTTGTCGCGACTTTCTACTCTCCCAGGCTACGTCGCGTCACTTGTCGAAGTGAAACGCTCGCGATTCTGATCGTATTCTCAACCTTCTCACCTGTGTTTTGTATTTGATGAAATAGACTTCCGGCTTGCTGGGCTGAGTAGGCGCGATGGTAGGCAAGCTGATCTCGGGCGCTTCCTCGGGCTTCTTGACCAACACGTAGATGAGCGTTTTCTGCTCGTCCTGCTGCGGCAGCGCCGGGATTATAGGAGCGGTCGGGGTCGGCGGAGTCGGCGCCTTGATGAAGATAATCTTGTAGTGCTTCTGCGGAGGAGCTGGTGGCGCAATCGGCCTGATTGGCCTATCCTCTGGCGCCTCTGGGGGTGGCACGTGCACGTAGATGTGCTTCTGAATTAAGGAGCCGCCGCCACCGAACCCGCCGCCGAATCCACCACCGGAACCGCCGCCGAATCCACCACCCGAGCCACCGCCGAATCCACCACCCGAACCACCGCCGAATCCACCACCCGAACCACCGCCGAATCCACCGCCGAAACCACCGCCGAATCCACCGCCGGAACCGCCACCAAATCCACCTCCTATGCCGCCACCGTGTCCTCCGCCGAGACCTCCACCGAGACCTCCGAGTCCACCGCCAATACCGCCGATGCCGCCTCCATGACCGCCACCGATACTGATGCCACCGCCTCCACCAGGAGCACCATAGCTGGGGCTCGGCTGGCTATAAGAATATCCGGCTTCCGGTCGCGCCATCGCCGCTGTGGCGAGCGCCAGGATCTACGATTGCAAATAAGTTACAATAGACAATACTTCGATTCGTCGTGTGGGAAAGGGGAATGCAGAAACTCGCAATCTTTCAGTTACTGACTCTGAAATCTGCTCTGACAAGTTCGGTGCTTGTTTTAATAATTTTTTACGTTAGACGTTAAAGTTTGCGATCGCAGTACTTATTTTATTTTTCCCGATTGCAATTCATCACAGAGCACAGACAAGCGAGCGACGCAGCTTGTCGGCGAAGCAGCTGATAGCTTCATAAATAACATCAAAGAGTTGAAATACTTTGTAAGAGCCTCTTGATATTTCTCAAGAGGCGACAATCTTTTCTTCTCAAGAGAGACAATCGACCCCGCTTTTGCGCGTCCAAGAAAACAAATCATTCGCTCGTGTTCTCACTTCCCACGCGCCTTCGAATAATATAATAAGAGAGACTATGTCGTCTGCGAGGACAATGCGAGAACGTACTTTCGTCTAACTTTTCCTCGGCGCTCGATGTAAAGAAAAGAAAAAAAGAATGATCGCCTCGACGTTCCTCCATTCTTTTCTTTTCCTCTCGTTCGCTTGGGTGTCTTTCATGAAAGATAAAGCAGAAAACGTTTCGCGCACGCGGGGGTGAGTCCGCGAAAACGTGAAAGACACCGGTTCGTCCCTCCAATGGCCATCGCCCACGAGCATCTCGCGGTGTTATGTAAACGGCGGAGGAGGAATCCCATGCTCGATTTATACATGTGCATTCAACTCCTTTTCTTTTTGTTCGCGTGCCGCGCGGAAACTAGAGAAGTGGCACAATCACTGAACCGGTTGCCTCGGCTGGTCACTATCACGGAGTACATTGACACCGCACACAATGCCCCTTGTGCACCCTCCCCTCCCGGTTACTTTCTCCGTCTTCCCCTCCCGACCCGTGGAAGCCGCGAGATCAGGATCTCGAGCGAGTGTACGATGAATTTTTGGTTTCTCTTCGTTTCTCCCGCATCCCACGCGCGGACTCATCCTCCGACAAATTTCACGTAATTTCCATGCTGCGACTTTCGTTATTATCGCAGAGAGGTGCAAGGAGAGAAAAGGACGGGAGTGAGGAGGAAGAAGAGAGAGAGAGAGAGAGGAGGGGGAGGGAATGAATGAGAGAGAAAGAGAGAAAAGTGGTAAAGACGTCCAAAGAAGATGGGAATAGCCCCGATAACAGCAAATGATAAGGCGAGACGGCGGCAAGAAGGAAGCTGGAAGGAAGGAGGAAGGAAGGGAGAGAAAAGAAAGGATGGTGACTGGAGAAACGAAATCGTGGACGCGCTACTCACCATGAATGCCCTCATGGTTGCTGCTGTTCCTTGATTTGAGGACTGATGCTCCGTGGATGTCTTGAAGCCTCCTTTTATACGGGCCAGCTTGGGCCCCACTCGAGCCTCGACCCATCACCTATGAGATGCGACGGAGCTATTGCAAATCTCTCTCTCCTTCTCTCTCCCTCTCTCACTTCTCGGTGCTTCTTGCGATACGTATCCGTCGCACAAATTTGTCTCTCGGTACTTTCCTTGAAATTCAACGATTCGATTCGGATAGGATCGCATTACAGTCATTCGTGCCGTTGTCACATAACGAAGATGCTTAGTGACAAACGAGCGTGAGAAATGTGTGCCGCGAGGATACGTTACGTGCATCACACAGGACACTTATCTCCTCCGCGGCTTTTAACGCGTGTCGCGCGGCTATTTTGTTGACAAATGCGCGCTCCGGGCGATCTGTAATTCGCGATGAAATCCAGGAGGAGAACCCTACGCGTGTACTCTCGCGTCCATGAAATATTCGACGAATTACTATCGCGTACTGTAGAGACGCTTTTGTGTATTTTCGCGTATTATGCACAACATGTAAAATCGCAAGTGAAATTCTACGCTGAATTTCATCGCGACTCACGAATCGTCCGAAGCGGATGTAAAGGCCCCAGCAGTTTGATGAAAGATATCTTCGAAATGGAGTCTACATTATGTAAAATGGAGTGCTGCAAGCATTCAGATTAACTTCGTTGACTGCCGCATCTCATAAGTCCGTTAACAACGTCGTATAGTAGTTGTAGAACTTTCGCATATAAACTTAGACATTTAGGAGGTGCTTATATAGATATTTTGTTAGATAGAAATTACTCAAGTGCAAGATACAATCTGCAAATTAGACACTGTGCCTGTTTTTAGTAAAACTTTTAGTCCTTTACACCCGCCTACAACTTCTCGCATATACGTCCGCCCACAAGAACGTTGCTCTCCTTTAATTTCGAATCCGGGCAGGTGGAATTAAATGGACAAGGCGTCAAGTTTGAGATACATATAATAGTCGTATCTACAATCTTACACAGAGACACCGTTTCGAAATAGAGAATATCTGTCATTTTTTACAAAAGCACGTTCCACCTTTTTACTATCTCTTTCTCTCTCTCTCTCTCTCTCTCTCTCTCTCTCTCTCTCTCTCTCTCTCTCTCTCTCTCTCTCTCTCTCTCTCTCTCTCTCTCTCTCTCTCTCTCTCTCTCTCTCTCTCGCCTTATCTGTCTCTTTAATGTGATTCGCTTGATTCTACGTGTTATTCATTCATTTAAATAGTTAACAAATATTTTGGTAGATTCGAGCCGTTCACTGAAGCTACATTTGCTCATGTGGAAAACTCGCACGACGCTGGAGGGCAGACTGGAACGCGCGAGAGCCGAGTCGGAATCGAGAGGAATGTCAATAACTAGGATATTAAACGTCAGATTATCCAATCCCATGGGAAAAATCGATGTGGCTCTACGTGGCCGCATATCAGCGTGTGCACACCGGTTAGCGTGTATGCGGTGTATGTATCTTCGAAAAGAGTCGTCTCGATGTCTGGAAAGTGATACCGGCACGCGCTTGGGTTTTAACGGCTTTTAACTTGGGCGTGACGAAATTGGTACGAAATGTACAGCTGGACCAATTCCGTTCGATCATTATGCTGCGTTACGTGCCGTTAACAGCCGTTTAAAAAATTCTTTAGTGGCCGGTAAAAAGACACCTGTCAGCGCGTCTCATCCTTCCCGGAGATAAATTTACGCGGAAAAGGAAAAGAGAATATCGTCGCGTGTGATTCTCGAAACACATTCTCCCTGCGAATTTAATTGAATTCGAATTCTCTAATTTTGCAATTGTTCGCAGGAAGATGACAGCGTGAAAATACATATCTCAGCATTGTCGTTGCGTATACTTCGACCCGCGTGTCTTGCGACACGCACAGTGCCACAGGCTAAGAACGATTCCGAAATTCAGTATGCTAATTTCCGAATCGTCACGAATGTGTGACTGATCGCCGTGAAAATTCCGTAAGCTTCGAAACGACACTGACATCACGTAGACGCCTCACGCAGGTAAATTCCTCCTTAAACGGATCTTCTCTTGATTTTACTCTTTTTTAACCGCGAACTCTTCGTCGATTGACTAAGTAATTCACGGCAACCAAATGCTTTCCGCCAGCGGAGGTTGAAACAATGGAATTGGTCACTTCCGCAACGCGAAGTAACGAGGAACGGGCAGGAAGAGAAAAGAACTTAAAAAATTTCGGTTTGCAGCATTCCTCGGAAGTGTCTTCTTGTTCGCAGCTGCGTACGACATATGGACAAAAAAGGAATAAGGGTATAAAGAGAAAAAGAGAGAAAAATTAATGGGTTCCGAAGTCTTTCCTTTTTCACGTGTACAAAAATGTGTGAAATTTTCAAAAATTCCTTCTCAATGAACGCGCATTCCGTCGCAATGGTACACGCGACGAGTTTACTCAGGACAAAAGTAGATCACGAGCAAAACGAGTTCTCCAATTCGGACGCACCATGCGAACGAAAAGTTTAACCTTGCTAGGTGACGGTATCCTCTCCTCTCACGCAAGTGTGTGCCTCGAACTACACATACGTGTAGGTAGATATGAAATGAAAGGAGGCTACACGATTTCAGAGGACGATTTCAGAATGATATAATAACGAAATCGATACGAGCACGCAGAAACTAGATAGAACGCTCCTGTTCGAGTTCAAGTTCAACAGGAGAAATTCGGAAGAAGTTGAATAAAACGATTCCGAAAAGATTCGACCTCATGCGGACGCAGAAATGTCGCAGAGCAAACTTTTTCCCACGGTTCCGTTTTGCTCATAAATAATTAATATCGACTATCATTTTGCCGGCCGTAGACGCGAACTTTGACTTTCCGAGGCTGAAAACACGTCATTAACATTGAACTTGACCAAAATCGAACTCGTTTGGCGTGCACAAACGACCCAATACTGCCTATGTAATAATTGCATTAAATTAATTTCACGGCGGTCTTAAAACAGGTTGAAGCGGGAACGAAGCGAGACATCGACCTGGCGTAAACGATGGGACAAGGAGAGATTTCTCGATTGCGTTGCGCGAGAGACCTGGGTGCCGACGCGAATTTCTAACGGATACTTGTTAACGACCAGAGACGTCTTGTACGCAGATATTTTGACGAGAGAATCTAATGTTCGGCCGGCGCAAATTATCGTCGGCCTTCGTTGCGAAACCGAAAGTCTCTTCCTTCTTCGTGTGGAAATTTGCTAGCAGTATCTCCGCCGTGAGAGCAAGACCAAAGGAGATCAAGAGAGAGAGAGAGAGAGAGAGAAAGAGAAAGAGAGGAAGGGACTCGAAATCCATTTGACCCGAATATCCGACGAAGGAGCTTCTTTCGTTTATTTTTCTTTTTCTTTTCTCGGTCGAGAGGAATTAAACTTTCCCGGCGAAGAGGAAGCAGCAGGAGCAGGAGCGACGAATCTGCCCTTTGTTCATCGATTCCGGTTCGCCATTTCATCGTCTCCTTCTCTTCGCTGCGACCCTGCGAATTCAGATCCTCCTCGATCACTGGGGATCATCCGATCGGCCGAAACGGGCATCGAGGCCGAGGACGAGCATGGGAGAGAGTCGCCGGTGTCAATTCTCGAGTAACATGCTCCAGAGAACGCGAATCTGTGCAGAGACAAGAATCTCAGATAACACGATCGCTAATTATATCGATTGGATCATCGTATAACTTTTAAGGATATAACTCGATAAACTCGATAGGTTTAATCGACGGTTTCTCCCCCGTAACTTTTCAACAGAGCCGGTATAATTTAAAATTCATATTTTCTAAAAGTATGAATTTAGAACGGTTCGCAAATGAGTCATTCGATTATAATTGGGGCCGTTTTTCGTCTCGTTTGCACGCTTCTTTTCGATTGAATTTTAACTCGCCGCGCGACATGAATGTATGGAAATTTATGGTAAGACAGCATCGACACCGCGGCGGGTGTATTCGGTGTAGTCGTAAAGCCGGCAGCGTGAAATGCAAACGTGACGCAATTTGCGTCACGTTATATCGCGGACAAATTAGAGACACCCCTCGCGCGACATGCATCGCGTTTGTCGCGCAAACATGTGAAACAGCCGTCGTGTTCCTCTTTCCGTGACCGTTATGTAACAACGAAACAACCGTGTATACACGTAACTTTGTACTACATATTATACGCTTGCGTCTGCTAGAACATGATAATGGCGGGGCATTTTCATAAATTCTATGCCGCGCGGAGGCAAAACGCTAAAGTCGAATCGCCTCAGTCGCACACTCGAGACAGTGAAATCTTTTCCGAGATCGGCGGATAGCGTCCGCTTAGAAACAATATGTTCGTGTGCACCTTCAGTCGCGCGCAAAAGTAATCGGCTTTGCGTAACGAACGAATCAACAGCGCCGAATGAACATGACGTAATGGCGCGGATGGGAATCGATAGTCAAGTTTCCCGATCGGCAGCCGAGCAGTCCCGTACAATCGGCGAACTGGATTTTTCTCGCGTCACATTGCGCTGGATATAAATTAACATTGTGCAATATTTATTGCGAGACGTAATCACGAGAGCCGAGAGCTCGTTGGAGTTGGCTCTAATACGAACATAAAAACGAAATAGGGTGAGCCCGCGCTCGATCGCGCTCGATCGCGCCACGACGATGTGACTGTATAGCGTCTACGTTCCCGCATTCGTGCAGCAGAGAGATATCGGCGCAACGGATGGACTAGGCGAAGGTTTCGGTCTCCAGATACAGTTGACTATGTTATATGCGAAATACTAGCACCTCGAGAGATACAGCTCCAGATAAATGCAGCGCGCGACATCCGACAAATGAGTTATGTACAAATAACGTTTCGCGCAAGACTTTATTCACGGCAAACTTTCCTTCGCTTTAACGCAAAGCGTCGCCCCGAGGAGACCAAATTACGCGAAACGATCTTTCGTATATTCACAGATTCGCTCGTTGAGATTTACTCTATACAAAACAGTGGTGTCAATATCTAAATGCCTGGTTAGTTTATAAATTAAAAATAAAAGACAAAATCACACATATATATATATATATATATATATATATATATATATATATACATATATACATGCATATAATTTATATTTATTAAAATTTATATCATACGTAAAATACTTCTCCATATTATCTTCAAATGTTTGAAATAATATAAATATATTCTAGCTCGGCAGACTAATATAGTATTTTCTCAGTATATACTGTTAATATCAATGTTAATATCAATAAAAAAAAATGTGTCGTGTACATTACGCGTGATTTTCTATTTCGGGCATATTTCGGAACCACCCGGTTTATATTGACAACATTAAGTATAAGACAGAGGAGGATTCTTCGCAGGTGCCTTTCCGTTCGCTTGCGAATCATTCGCGGCGGGCAGTCTCAGCTGTTCGCTGACCAGAGAAGAATCCTTCGTACCTTTCTACCTCCGAGCGGTCGACGCTGCGCGACCGATGTGGCGTCACGCTCCTCGGGACGTCCGGTCGAATCGCGGGACCCAGCGAATCGAGATATGATTTTCCCATTCACCTCGTGCCTCACGCAGTTAATTACATGCCCCTTCGCTCTTACTCGGCTACGTCCGTCTTGCCTAGCAAGAGCGAACCGAGGACACCGCGCCGCCGTTCTTGATTCGCTTGCATTCTCTGTTCCCCAACTCCCGTCCCACCTGTCGCATCTTTCACCGCATACGAACGTCTCGCACGCGTTGATATCGATACTACTATGCATTTCCGTACGCAACGTGCGAAACCTCTTCGTCCGTCTGTCTCTGTCTCTGTCTGTCTGTCTGTCTCTCTCTCTCTCTCTCTCTCTCTCTCTCTCTCTCTCTCTCTCTCTCTCTCTCTCTCTCTCTCTTTCTCTCTCGAACGTCCCTTTCATCCGCTCCGAGATTCACCGATCCGACGTCGATTTCCGCATAGATAATCGTCCTGTAATTGTAATCCCATACAGACACAATAGATGCCGAGTACAACGAGTATCCTTTACACTTTCACCTCTTTCCGATACTGTTGTCGTTAGCGCACAATCATTACTTGGACGCTTATCCATACCAACGTTATAATCGATGTTATCAAGACTCGGCTTTTCCGACAGGCCAACTATAGTACGCACATTACGCATGTTCCACATAACTTTGCCCATCAGATAATTTTGTAACATGTTCTACACGATAATCGTCGAGATGTTGTTCCGTGATAAAATTCCTGCGCGAAAATTACCTGTCTCTCCCGGTTATATGTAAGTTTTCTAAAAATTCGGTGAGCTTAACGAAATGAAAAAGCCTCGATCCTATTTCGTGGGAGAACCCGATACCGTGGAGCTCTGTTACTGTCGATTAATCGATGCAATCACCGTGTAATTCTCGCTTCTGTTGATGTAATCGCATACTGGAACGGCCGACGCGATTCGTCCTTTAATGAGCGAAATAATTGGTGCGCAACGGCAACTTTATGCGGTGCTAATTACTAAGATCAAATTCTACAGATGTGCTATTTTTAACACACATAACGCAATATATATATATATATGTACACACACACACATACACATACACACATATGTAATATAAATTATATTTTAATGTTTTTTAATAGCAAATTCTTTTTAACTAATTTTTTAGCGGAAGTATCGAAAAAGTAAAGTGCCAATAATGTATTTACATATAATATACATAAAGACAAAGCGGGAGAATTTCTCATGGGAAACAATTATATAACAATGTTAATACCAAACCACCAGCGGATAGATAAATAAACCATAAGAAACGGCATTCAAGCATTATGTACTTTCCAGGAAGTATCCAAGCCGGAAGGGGTTTGTGCGGTCGACGAGGTCAGGAAAATCGATACATGCGCTCGGTACAAGAAGCTGTTGGGTGTTGACTGCTGCCGCTGTTGCACCACTCCGCATCTTCGTTCCGGTACAAGCGACTGCACAATCAATTCTGCACAATTTCTTTCGACGCGGTGGTATCTTCTGATTCATGATCCTGATCGCGTATTACCTAGATGCGCAAAATATAACTTCTTAAACGGAGAAAAATGTCTTTGAATATAATAAAACATTTAACGTCAATGTGTAACTTATATAATAGCATAAAACTCCACGTGTATATGTGTGTGTATATATATATATATATATATATATGCTTTCATGTCAAGCTCTCTAAATATTGTATCTCTACCGTAAAAATACTACGCAAATATATTCGGAGAACATGTACATAAGTGTTCGAAAAGATTCAAACTCACGCTGAACGAAATTACAGAATCACGCAGTTATCTCTGATCTATCATGAATGATGTAACGATGGCGAGTGGCACCGGGAAGTAAGGAAGAGATTCATCAATAATAGGCGAACCGACGACGACGAGTACCGGAGACCTGTGGGAAGCGCGGTGCCAAGCATCATTGGCACTATAGGAGGAATGCTTCTATAGCCGAAGAAAGTTAAGAATTTTCACCTCCTAGAGAAAGCACACCGCATGACGCATGTAGATATTACGCCACGTATAGTGAATCCCCCTTTGCCTCGGCCTTCGATCCGTTGTCGTTAGCGCGGTACGACACCTTCTCTCGCTAGGTCGTCTCTTATTTGTTGACGAAGAATAGCACCGTTGAAACTTCCTTCTTTCTATCTTTCCTTCTGTTATACACTCTCTTTCATCTCTATCAATTTATGACTAATATTTCTGCTCTGTATTTTTGCGCTATCCATCAACCCGCCTTTCTGAGACACAATAGCATCATTAAAAATGATGACGAAGCTGATATCCCTGACACAGAATGCAAATTCGGTTATATATCTCTTTGAAGAAAGTGCCAATATTTATTTCTGTCTTCTCTTCAATTATCCGAAACTTTAATACATGTACAATAAAGTCTGTCTTTGCGCATGTGTATTTCGTTGTCGTTCACTTACAATACCAACGCAATTTAAAGTTAAAACTCGTAAAAATTGAATAGCATTACTTACGTACAAAATTTTAATTCGAATGCGAAGAAGTACAAACGACGAGTCCTGAGAGTTTCAGCCGTCCGTGAATATGCGCTGTTAACTTGATTCGCGTTTTTAACTTGAATTTCAACTCGCATATCTCTTTTGCATGCACGAATTACACGAAGATCTGCGGAAATAATCCATGGGGTAATGCGTAGTAACATAAATCGCGATGGCATCGTCGCATCACCTTAAGTACGAAGCACCCAAGAAGAGTCGCACGATTCTTACGCAATGCGGGTTGCAGGCGTAGCGATTACGCAGTAAGCAAGCGAATTTCACACTTGGACAACTAACAGCCCAAATGCATGATAGTGAAATGTTTCCAGCCATTCTGCGGAATCACAGAGTTCAATCGCAAGAATCAAATTGAAACAATAGAAATAATATATAATTTTTTCTATATAATATATTAAGAATAATTACAAAACTACACATTTTGGTACCAACATACAAGGAATTTTTTATTTACAATTTAAATCCCGAATGAATAGCTACCATACCACATGTCAGATTCATATATGTTACATTTCTAAATCCTGCTGTTTCGATCATATCCTAGAAATATAATAAAAACAGTTGAGTTTGGTTAAATCTAACCAAAAATAAAAATAAAATATATCATCAAATTTTTATATATAACAAGAATAACAAGTTTTTTGGTAATTATAAAACATTTATAACAAGTGATTAAAAAGCAAAACTATGCCTTTGCAAAATATTCATACATTCATAATTATGATTGTACGAAAATAATAAAATAGATATAAAATAATACTGTACTTTAAAATCCTCTTGCTTTGGAAATTTTCTTATGCTTTCTACAAGATATTGATAAGCTCCTCTCTGTCCAGTGACTAGCTGTCCCATCACAGGTATTATTTGAAAAGAATATTGATTATATAACCTGAGACAAATATTGGATAAAATTTCTCTTTATAACTCAACTTATATCTTTAAATCGTTCATTATTTTAGAGCACATACCATTGTAAAACTTCATTATTAACTTGACTAAATTCTAAACATAAAAATCTTCCACCTGGTTGTAAGACTCTATATGCCTCAGATAATACCTGTAATGCATATTTATTAAATATTAATATATTTAAAATACAAATATTTAATATCTAGATATAATATTTACCTTTTCAATATGTGTTACATTTCTTATACCAAATGCTATAGTATAAGCAGTAAAAGAATCTTCAGGAAAAGAAAGATTTTCTGCATCTTCCTGTTTCCATGTAATACTGCAATTATTATCTTGAGAAAAGCCTAGTTCATTCGCTCGTTTTTGTCCCACATTTAACATATTTTGATTTATATCACATACAGTTACATGACTATGTATATTACGTGAATTTGGAGTATTTCTCAAAAAATTTATATACCGAAATGTGATATCACCTGTGCCACCAGCAGAATCTAGGAGATGAGTACCATGAGTTGGCCCTAATTCCTGTATAAAGATATCTTTCCAAATACGATGGATACCTATGCTCATTAGATCATTCATTTTATCATAAGAATTGGCTACATTTCGAAATACATTGTACACTAAAAGAAATGTCAAAATAAATATGCGATGACTTATAGTATAAATATATAAATATATAGCGTTTTTATACAAAATTTTTTAAGAAATATATCAATTTAAAATGAACTTTAGTATAAAAAGATAAAAGTTAATGAACATAAAAAAAGATCTACCTTCTTTTGTTTTTTCAGTCTCTTTGATCGTTTGAAAACCAAAATGTGTCGTCTTCTCATCATCTTTTAACGACTCGTTTGATATTTTTGAACAATTACGTTTAATTGTTACTACTTTTATTTGCCGATTCAATATTCGACTTTTTCTTATTAAATTTGTGGAAACATGTATACAGCTCATCATATTGTACACAAGTGAGTTAAAAGTGAATAAAACAAGTGACTGAATCAGCTGATTTATGTATGAAAATAACACGAATTCTAGTTCATGGTTCATGATTCAATAGGTGCATTCAGTACTACAACCGCTCACTGAGCGCTAAGTGAGCTCTTGCATCTGATTGGTGTATATTTTTAAATCTAAAGGAATATTCCAATCAAACATAAAAGCTCATTGAGCGCTGAGTGAGCGGTTGTAGTACTAAATGCACCCAATAGATGGCTCCGAGCAGAGCAGTTCTACTCCAACTTCTACGCGTCATTGTTCACGAAAAGTATAAAAATAGGAATGTTGCAAAGAAGTATGGTACAAACAGGGGCCACGTGCACGTAGTCCTCAATATTCAAAAAAAATTACGTGCAGTTTCGTAACGACAAAACCACATCCAACGGCCTTCGGGGGCCAACAAAAGACTCCACGAATTCTAGTACTAAAGATGGCTACCATAGTTAACGACACTAGGGGTGCGTCCGTTACTTGCATAATGTACATATATGAGGAACATGAAAGTCCGTTTCTCTTCTTGCGCACTCTATGAATGCAGAGAGAAGAAAGATGGTCTGTTTTTTGTAGCTGCACTGCTGAACTGGTGCAATAAGCTAGAATGAGAAAACTTATATTTGTCTCACTGGTTGCACCAGTTCAACAGTGCAGCTACAAAGAACACACCAAGAGAGTGGTCATGGGCCCGCTTTTAGCCGAGCCAAGTGCGAAGCGCTCTCTGTACAAACATGCATATGAACTAACGATGCCAGTGTCCACGATTCTTTACTAATTTCCCCTACTACGCACGCACATAGCTGGCTAGGTCTATCCGTGTCACACGAATAGACCTGATTCAACTTACCGCTAATTAATGCATTGCCCCACCTCTTTCGGTGCATAAAACTGCATAGAATGCCTCATAGATGTCAACGTAGATTGTGCCGCTACTAAACGGATAAATATCAATCGATATTTGTCTTCAACTTTACAGATATGCCAGTAGGTGGCATACCATTTGGTACAATATTTGAATGATTCTCGAAACTCAATACTCAATGGAAGAAATTTTTGAATATTTCAAGAGTTTCACTTTAAATAACTACAAAATTTAATTTAAAATGTACGAGAGTGTGGAGATTATGTTTAGGTATTGTAATATATGTACAATAGAACATTTATCGTTAACTTAATATTATATAAGAATATTACATATAACGTATATTTATATAATTTTAATGCCATTCAGAAAATTGTATATATATCTTAACAATATTATATATACTATTTATACATAATTCTATATATAGTTTTAATGTTTATAATTTGCAAAAAATGCACACGTAGTAAATTATATATATTGCAAATTGTGTCAATGTAATCAATCAATCCATTATTGACTGTAAAATAAGACTGAGTTGAATTGAGAAAAATAAGATTCAGTTGATATATGTATACGACCAGATAAGGTTGAATCTTAAATTTCCTATTTATCTCTCTTCTCTCATTCAAACAAAGATAAATATACAAATTGAATAATCTAAGCCTATTGTTTACTACATATAATATCATAATTTAAATATGCAGATAGATCGACGAAGTAGATAAAATATGTTTCAATTAAATCCATATAAATTATCTCTGCATATATGTGTAGCTCGTTATATTATGCTAACTCACGATTTAATAATTCAACGTTATCCGATGGCATAATGTTTAATTAAATAAAACAGAATTCGGATCTTCATTATCTAGTTGCTTGACATGCCTTAAAACATCTTTTTTCGTGATTACACCTAGAAGTCGCCTGCAAGAGACATGAATATCTCAATATCAGTATGAAAAAGTATATGTTAGTCTACATCAATTTAAATGATTCATACTTACCCATTATGAGTAACTAGAGTTTGACGTAATCCCAATTTTCTAAACATGTCAACTACAGTTTCCATAGGAGTTTGATCTGTGATAGTGATAGGAGCCATATCTAAGATTTTCTTTAACTTTAAAGGCGGAGGAGAATGGCTCTGAATATTGTTTCCATTAGTAAATATAACCAATGATTGCCTGGTAATTTCTTCAATCATCCTCTTGGCATTAGCGATAGCAAGATTTAGATCCCGTCGTAAAACAAAACCAACGAGATATTGAGATTCCTTAGAAACTATAACAGGAAAACCATTGTGCTCAGTTTCCTTAAGCAAGTTCTCTACGTCTTCAACTGTCATGGAGTCTTGGGTAAGAACATGAAGAGCCTCATTTCGCCTATAAAGTTGATCAAAATGTTGTGTACTTTTATCGCATGCACTTCCTTCAATAATCTAATTATACTAATATATGTATACTAATATATGTACACATCAATTGTGCATACAAATATCGTCACTTTGCTTACTTAGGTTGCATGACATCCGCCGCCAGAGTTGTATGCTGAAATTCATCTTTACTGTCCAAAAATGGGTAACCATTTAAACCAATATGTGCATCATAAATGCCTTGTTTTCCCAGAGCATCGCCGACCCATTTACTCGCCATGGCCGCGGCCATCAAAGGTACGATGTATCGTACGCCACCCGTTAATTCGAACATAATAACAACCAGAGACACTGTCATTCTAGTCACACCTCCTAAAACGGCAGCAGCTCCGACCATTGCGTATAATCCCGGTGTAATACAATCGACACCTGTAGAACATTCCTCACTAAACATCCATATGTGAGGATAATTATAAGCAAGCTGTTCCATTCCTATGCCCACGATGCGACCCATGATTGCTCCCAGACACAAGGATGGAATAAATAAGCCGCACGGTACTTTCATGCCGAACGTGAATATCGTCATGATAAGTTTCAGTATCAATGCCAGCACAAGTAGCCATATAGCTTTATAAACCCCTGGCCCAGCTGCGGCAATCTCAATCGCAGATTTCACAGCAGTGAAATTCCTGTTATAGTCACTGTCGAGACAGAAAGTAAAATATTTCTTTTCTAATAATTTCCAATAAGTTCACTACGATGTATACTCGTTACATTAGAACAAACTAAATCGACTAAATAGACTAAAAATTTGATTACAATCTATCTCCATAATTATATCATAGAATTATGTGATAAAAAATGTGATAAAAATATAAAAAGATTACTGCCTCTTGTGGTATTTACTGACCATAACATATCCGCATTGGATACACCGCATTGGCTGAACAATAAGTAAATGAGTTGACTGGTACTCATCCTTGTATATGGATTAGGATATCCTATCACTGCTGTTACCACTGTTACAATTAGTACTTCAGTAACGGGATATTGCCCCAATTTCGAAGTTTTACGATATCGACACCAAAACAGGTTCGCTTTGATAAATAACGTCGCTATTACGCCCTGTCGAAAATGTTTGTTAAAATATTCGTTAAACATTTATTCTCAATAAATTTAACAGTTTTGAAATTTTATAAAAAAATTTACTCACCCCAATTATTCCGAGCATTACGAAAGGAATTAATTCAAAGAATATCCAAGGTTTGTTATATTCCACATAAAACAATACTGAATGTTCATTTCCAAACGGATTAATGGAACGTAACACGAAGGCAGCTATCAGGGCACAGAAGAAGGATCGCCATAAAGTTTTCAATGGGAAGTAATAGCTGACCTAAAATGAAACAAAAATAACTATATAATTTTTATAATATAATTTTAAAAGTATATAATCTGTAATATATCTTACTTATAATTTTTAATCGTAAAATATTGAAAATATTTTGAAGTAAAATTGTTACATCATTTAATTATCTAAATTATACCTCTTCTAAGCTGAATAAAACACCACCGATTGGAGCACCGAAGGCGACGGAAACTCCTGCTGCAGCTGCGGCGGACAGAATCTCTCTCTTCTTTGCTTCATTTCTACCATATTTTGGGAATAGATATGAAAATATATTTCCTATACAGCATGCAATATGTACCATAGGACCTTCTTTTCCCAAGCTTAAGCCCGCTGATACAGAAAGAATCAGACCTACTGATTTGATAATCAATGTCCATTTACCTAGATATCCGCGGATAATAAAACCGCTTAAAATCGTCTTTATCTAAAGAAAAGAAAAAAAAATATATATATATATACATATATATATTTAGCGATACAGAAAAATTATGAGGTATAAATGAATTGATGAAAAATAAACTGATAGATTTTATATAATAAATTTACCTCGGGTATACCAGAACCACAAGCGTAAGGTGCAAACATTCGCACTAGAGATGCAGAAAGTGATGCAAATAAAAGGGCCCACGCTATATAAAATAAATATGAAATAGTATAAGGTCCTGCGCCCTCTTTTGATTGATTGAATACTTCGGGCCACGTCCACCACTGCAAAAATATTTTCTCGTTAATCAGATCGAACAGAAATACAATTTAAGAATGAACAGCTTTCAGAATTATATTAAAAGGTGTGTAGACTGTAGTGTATGTGTGTATATATATATATATATATAATCGATAAATCGTATACTTACCTGCGAACAGTTTCCACCATCGAACGTAGTCTCATTATAACTCCAACAACATTGCTCTTTATTTAACCAGAAGGCTTGCGGACAGATACCGAATTTGAGATCTGTCATCCAGGAAGCGCCAATATCTATCACACCGGCCGCTACGCCCGTAAATAGTCCGACCAGTAAAACGCACAGCCATCCAGACCACGCATCGTGAGCTCCCTTTATTAAGCCCCAGATGGAATCATGTTTCTTCTTTACAATATATCGATGTCGCATACGATCTCGTGCAATATCTCGTTGCCAATCGATCGTATGAAAGTCATCGTATTGCCCGATGCCGGGTATATCGTCAGAGTCAACTGAAACTAGTAAAATAAATAACAAACCACTTTGTAATGAGAATAAATTCAATACCGTGTATGTATATATATGTGAGTGTGAGTTGCTGATATAGTGCATTTTGGTAGCTTTATAAAATTTTACTGAATAATATGTCCAAAAATGTCCAATGATCGCATAAATACACAGTACTAGCAATGTGAATATTATAAAAAAACTATTATGCAAAAATGTTTTACAGCAAGATTCATGGTAATTCACTTAGAATTCAATATATATGTATATATATATATATATATATATATATATACAATACATGACAGTTAATAGAACCTTAAAGCAGGACAGAAAATACCTTAGCCATTACTTTACCTTTTTCTCTCACTTTTGTTTATATTTATATACATATAATTAACCGTTTAATTAAAACTGTATAAATTTCTAAAATAATAATTTATTACACAAATACTTGGATGAATACTTATCATTAAAGATAAATTTTGTTTTAGATAATGGATGATAAAAAACAAACATGTATGTATTATGTCCCGCTGAAGAGACAGAAATCAGGTCTATAAGAGTAAACTCTGCTTATTCTTAGTAAAATGTAAGTATTATTGAACAAATAATAATCTTATCTAATATATAATTAGATTGGCTCAAGATATTTACTATAATATCATAATTTTGTCTCTCTATTTTTTTTCCTCATTAATCAATTAAATTGGCATTACTTTTGTGTTAACTTACACATTTTGTGACTATGACATGCTGTGAGTGCTAAGAAATTTGTTTCAATGGTTTAACTGGTATCACTCAGGATAGACGTCAGACCAGATGGATGGATCAACAGACATCCCTAAAGTTTCTTCAGCAGGAAGAAATATAATGTATGATGATATTTAAAGCTAGGGTATTTATCAAACCAATATAAAACTACCAAATTTGATTGCAAATTTATACAAATAGAATTACATTTAGTTTTGTGAAAATTTGTGTATACTTCTTTATAATGCTTGCTAAAAAAAAGAAATAAAAACTGTACATAGTACTATTTAGTATAGAGCAATGTGAGTGTAATTATTTTATAATAAAATACTTACTATGGGAAGATGCATCATCGATGCGAACACAATCTGACAAGATGTTATCTGAATGAGATGTATGATGATTGATGTCCAACATGTCGTCGTCACTACTTAAATTTGTCTCACGTTTTACAGATCCAGTTCGTAACCGTACATCTTCTGTATTAGTAGTATCACCATACTTTATATTCTGAAAATTACAAATTTTATCAACTTACAGCTATAAGGCATGTAAATCTCTTTTTAAACTTACCGTTATATGTATCTAAAATATTTCGGCATTAAATTAGATCAGTACAAATACAATAGTACAATAGTACACTAGTACTATTGTACTATTGTACAATAGTACACTAGTACAATAGTACACTAGTATCAGTACAATAGTACACTATGTACAAAACAAGATGCACAACAACAAGACTTATATAAATTTATACCTTAGCATCAACTGAGTGATATGTTGTAATAGCATTTGAACTTGAATGAGGGATTGCAGAATTTAAAGATGCTGTACCCTTCAGTGGAAACTTCTCCATTGCATCATGATAATCTAATTTTATATAAGTAAAATATTATTTTGTAGTATTTAAGATAATATCAGCTTGTTATACAAAATGTACTGCACTAAAGAAACTGAGAACTAAGAGCTACAATATGCTACATAGTACTGAATATGTCTCTCAAGACACACCATTAATATCTCATTTAATCGGCTTTGCTATAATCCTCTTTATGTATGTTAGTGAATGTGCTATATGATATAATTAGAATGACATTTATGAGGGAGATAATACTTTATCTATTCTATATTACAGGAGTATATTGCACATTTACATATGTAGCACAGAATATGTTTTTATAAATATATTGTTTCCTTTTGTATTTATTCCAATGATTGGCCTTTTTGCATCTTCTTGCGCAGAAGAAAATTTATTAAAACTTTGATAATTTGGTTACACATGATGCATGCCAGACTGACAATATAGATAAGATAATGTCGTAAATAATTCACATAGTTTTTTCAAGGCAAAGTCTAATAAAATGATACGCATGATTAGCCAGCACTATATGAAAACTTTTCAACTTTAAATTGAATATTGCAAATCTTTTTTCACTGAGTAAAATTAGAAAACATATTCACATGTTTCAACAAAACCGAAAATTATGCATATATTCCGTAACTTATTTCTCAATCTTCTTCGTCGAGTAATATTTTATCATTCGTGTGAGGTTACTTTTGCAATTTACGTGATATGCAATAAAGAACTCGTCAACTCACCATTTTTAAGAAAAAATGTTCTTGTTTATCATTGATAAGAGATGATCACCATATCATATATGCGTGTGCAATGTCCTTCAGTTGTAGGTTTAACTATATCAGATTAAATTGACAGTTTCGCGAAAATATATATATGTGACTTCATCGAACTGAACTGTATTTGATAGATGAACGAATCCCTTCTAACATATACTGGAAGGGGCACAGCTGGTTTTCCTCCATTATGAGAAATTCATTTCATTTAGTGCTGCAAACGTTCTGTTTGTGAATGTACCTACAATGTTTTGATATCCAATAAGAAAATTTATTTTCTAGAAACTTTAACGGACGACATTTTTATTTCTAGAAAGCGAATTCTGCTATTGGATCACGCACTGGCCATCGAGAACAGTGTGAATATACTTTTAGCCTTTATAGAACTTCAATATTGCTCCTGCGCTTTACCTTAATTCCTAAAGACCAAGACCGAAACGCGGTGTTCCAAGTTTATGGTATGTAGGAATAAACCTGTTCGAATTTGCGATCATAATTCACTTTGACAGTATTATGTCATAACTTTTATAAAATACTGGTATTTTTCTATATCACTTGTATATACACGCAAAAAGAAAATTAACCGTTTATTACTTGCATTACGTGCTGTCGATTTACGTAAATATTATGTATTCAAGAAAAAAGATAGAATATCTTTCTATACAAAAATATGTGATAAATAATATCATCTTTTATAATATCATTATTGCAATAGCATGATGTGTTTAAAAAAATTTATGTTTAATGTTATAGTATGTATGTACATACTCACATACAATTTTAATTTCAATTATAATATTTATAATGAAATGATTTTGTTATTAAATTAAAATGAATTTATATATATATATTTATATATTTAATTGATAAGCTAAAATTTTTCTTAAGCAGTTATAAAAATAATTGATATGTTCTAAAGTATCATTTATATTGCATATTTTTATATAAAATATTTATTAGTTTTCAGAATTAAAGACTGTGGTAAGGATTTTTCAATAAGGCAGGATAAGGATGTTCTTAACAATTTTTTACATGATAGCAACATTCATGAAAGCACGGACAACGTCATTTTTGCAAAAATATTTTAATATTATTTTTGAAAAGGAATATGTTTCTTCTATTTTACTCTATTCTAAGTTACCTAAATATATATCCTCAACAGTTGAAGGTATTATATACATATACACATATATTTATATGTAATAGATTATAATTAATTTTATTTGATTGTACAAGTTACTGATAATTTTTTATTTAACAATAGAATCTATGAATAGTTAAACTGATATAGTTCAACATGTACATATATATAGAATTTTATAAATATAGTTTTTCATATACAGGTGTGACATTATGTATCATTTTTGTTTGTTCAAAGATGTATCAAAGGAAGGAACACAGAGTGTACTGCATGATAACAGTTTAAATCCTTTAGTATATGAAAAATATTTTATTAATGTACCTAAATGCAGAGAATTACTGTTTCAAGAAGGAAATATAAAATTATATACTCTATGGCCTCAGGTATGTATAATATCATATAAATATTTTATCAAATACATCTATAAATATGGAGTGTCATGACTAATAATGACTAATTGAAACATGACTAATATTTTATAAGCAACAAATTGGCACATCAAGCTGGTTGGCCTATCCTTGTGGGAAGTTGTTGTTTCCTTTTTATGAGAATAATAGTCGTCAAATTTTTAATGCATCTGATAATATGCACGTTCTTGTCAAAGCTGCTTTTGGAACACATGGAGTTCAGGCTTCAACAATTGCTGCAAAAGTATAATAGCCAAATTTTTATTTGTTAATATTTGTATTACATAATTATATAAATAATATGACTATTATTTTCCAAATAATCCTACTTACCATGGGACATTATTTCATAGCTTGAAGATTATGGTCTGATCACAGCATGGACAGCAAATCCAGATAGCATTGATTTTATCTTAGAAACAGATATTGATCATACTACAAACTTTATGATCACGATCATGGATGAACAACATTATATTAATAATAGGGTATCCTTCACATACATACAATGTACAGATCATTATTACACTAAAAAATATAATACTTTGCTCAACAATTTAAACTTTTTATTTAATTAACTCAGTTTTATCTTTTTAGCTGTAGCAGTGTCAGGGAAACCATGTACTTATGACATAGAAGATTCAAGTTCACCATTAATTGCAAGTGAGTTGTATTGATATGCTTTTGTTGTAATCTGAGCTAGAAAATTGTTATCCTTTACTATATTTTATAACATACTAAAAATATGTTATATATTTTGGTGCAGATGTAACAAGCATAATGCAGATAGATTGGGATATTTATGTTGAGAAATTAATGGCATTAAGTACAGCAGCTCAAGAAGCTAGCAAGGAACAAAAACCTCAGAAGATTGCTGACTATATTATATATCCACAGAATCAAGAAACAGATGCTAAAATAACATTGTCAGCTACTTCTATAGATTCCATAAAAGAATTGATGGATGATACTGGAAATGGTAAATCTATCTTGTGCAAAATCTTTTGATTATAAAAAAGAAATATGGAAATATATGATTAAATTTTTATTACTTACAGAAACTCTCTCTGAAACATCACAAGCATCTCATCTAAAATCAGCTGCTGATAATATAAAAGAACATAATCTAGAGCCTCCAGTTAATACAAGTATCACTTCAAAAGAAGTACATGCTGCCAGTAGTATGACAAAAGAATCAGGTGATTCGACAATAGTTCAGTCATATGATATTACAAAGAAGAAAGACAATATATTATCAAGTACCAACAATGAAATTTCTATGAAAGATATGTACCAAAGCAAATCCACTGTAGTAACTAAAAATTTCAAGGCTCCTTTTACGTAAGTGATGCACTACGTCATAATTTTTATATCCTTATATTATGAAACTACTTACATAATAACTTATGAATAACTACTTATGAATCGTGCTTATTTGCAACATTTTAGATTGAAAGAAGACAAGAAATCAAGTAAAATGGTTAAACCACCGAATGTCGTCGTTTATGCAGATAGTCCAGATGCAATCAACAATGTAAAGACTATATTAGAAAAAGTATTAGATCCTGATAGGTACGTTGTTTTCCTATACTTATTTTCTTTTTTTATAAATTTGAAAGATATGTAACGTATAAAATAAAGTTAAACAATTTTCTTTTATTGAACTTTTTTTCTACGAATTATTGACCATAACTAAATTGGCTTTATATTTCAGATATATTATCTATGTATTGTCGAGAGAAACTGCTTGCTCCAATGTTTGGATAGATCAAGTTGCTTTAGTCGTTATTTGCGGAAATGTCGATTCAGAAATCAAAACTCAACTCGTTGAATATGTTATACATGGAGGTAAACTTCTGGCATTATGCTCCGATATGCTTCACACTTTGTTGCCATCATTTAAAACTGCAGAAGTGCGTGAGAGTGAACTCGTTCATTTTTCCTATGGTAAATGGAAGCATATGCGTATGATGCATCATATATTTTGCTATCATGCATCCCCTGTGCGAGCTCGTTTCTCTCAAGATCAAGAAGATACAAGGTAATGTTTCTTTTGTGTCTTAATAAAATGATCAAGTAATAAATAATTAAGGAATAAAATAATGAATATATAAAGTAATAAGACAAATGCATGTAAAATAATATTCAGGCAAGAAGTAAATGTTATAACTAAAACAATTTTACAGAACGCCTGGATTGAATCCTCCGGCTTCGACTAGTGTTAAGGATAAAAGAGGAAATTTACATTCGTTTAATGTAAAAGTATTGGGCACAGAAGAAACATGGCATAATCCGAGTATATTACTTGCAACTCTGGCAAGCAGTGGTGGTAAAGTGGTCTTCTCTCAAATTCATTTAGAAGTAGATCCAACACAATACGAATATGAGGAAGATAAATTCAAAGCTCTCAAAGAGAGTAACGCTGCGCGTTTGGAAATAATCAGTGATCTGCTAAGCACGCATTTAGAAATGGAAATAAGAAGTCACGCTAAAGCAGTTGCAACATACACTCCGGCATATTTCTTAGGAAGATATGAGGTATATGAATATATAATTACTATCATATTATGTGCATCATAACAATAAATGATTAGTATGTAATAAATGTTTAAAAGTTGTGATTTACCATACACATTATAAACGTTAAAATATATTGTTATACATGTTTACAGGAAAAGATAGAAGTACTTAAGAAACTAAAATCAAAGATGCAACCATATGATTTATTGAAGATGTCGCAATTAAGCATTCAGTTTTGCTCAAAATATAATGAATTGCAAAGAATTGCTCCATCAGCCTCCTGCCTTCCTATTTTAATACATGGTTGCCCAGACAATTTTTCCACTACAAAATATTTCGAGGTGAATCTTTATTTTCTCCAGACATTCGAAATAACAATAATTTCAATAAATAAGACACATTTAGAGGCATATATATATAAATTACATACAGTGAATTATGATAGGAAAATGTGTAGTACTTAGAATTTTATTTTATAAAAATTAAATTTCATTTCAGAGGCTCGATACAAAGAAACTAGGTCGCTTGGTAATTTATGCGGACGTCTTAACATCGTCTATGCATGTAACTGACTGTACCTTGTTGGAACATGGACTGGCAGTTATTCCACGACAGCAAACCAAAGGCGAAGGTGAAATATTCATTTTTTTACTACACACATACAAAAGAGTTTATAATGACTATTACTTTTAGGTCGAAGCCAAAATATATGGCTCAGTCCGATTGGTTGTGCTATGTTTACGTTACAAATGCATTTTAACGTGAATTCAGTCATAGGAAGTCATATTTCAATACTTCAGCATTACATTGCTGTAGCAATGGTGCACACTATCAGATCAAAACCAGGATATGAGGTATTCATGTACTCTTACTGCTACTATGATTCTATTTAAAAATATGTAAAACTTTCTGTGTGTTATTTTATGAAATTAATAAATAATAATTACTGATTTTATGAAATTAGTAATAAATAACAACTGATATAGTGAGATCAATTTATTCTTGTTTTTCTTAGAACATTGATCTCAGACTGAAATGGCCTAATGATATATATGTCGGTAATTCGACGAAGATCGGCGGCCTGTTGATAAAAACTAAAATAGACGGTACAAATTGTATTTGCGATATCGGTATGTGAGAATAATTAGAAATAGCATAAGCTTTTTTTATAAATAATTCTATTTATTCAAATGTGATTAATATATTTTAGGTACTGGTATAAATCTCTTTAACAGCAAGCCAACATTGTGCATTAACAATATAATTGAAGATTATAATCAGAAGCATGGTACAAATTTGCAAACGATTTCGTACGAAGAATTCATAGCTGAGATATTTAATTGCATTGAATACTTGATAGATAAAACTATATACCCAGAAGATACAAAGTTCTTCTATGAACTTTATTATAAGTACTGGTTGCACGAGTAAGTAGACATCTTTAATGTTAATTGAATGTTAATATTCTTCCTTAAAATATTCATATAACGTATATGTTTTTAGGAATTCCAATGTAACAGTGGTAAAACGAAACGGAGAATCTGAAAATGTTACGATTAAAGGTATCGATGATTTTGGATATCTATTAGTAGAAGATGACAAAGGTAACAAATTTTTCCTGCACCCGGATGGAAATACATTCGATCTTCTCAAGGGACTAATAATACCGAAATAGAGTCCACCATGACATTTGTGATCAGTTATTAATGTTGTGTTATAATTAATGTTATTAATGTTAATTATATTGTGCTTATTATTAATTGTTGTTGATAATGAATCTCTATCAGTGTCAAATAAAATTTATTCATAAGAATAGTTTTTCAAATATACACGTACTTTAAATTTATTATGAAAATTTATATTTATTTGTTACAATGTATATTATTTATCATTAAATATATTTTATATTATATTTTATATTATATTAGTATATTTTTATAAACAATATATTATAATCTAATATATCAATAATTAATCTTGTAATCTTATTGTTATTTACGAATAAATTTTGTCAAACACTGGTCCATTTATAGATCCATTATTAATAGAAGCTCGAAGTTCAAAGTCTTAAGAGCTGATAATAACAAATTTTAGATATATATATATATATAATCTATTTTATATGTAAATATGCGACAAAAAATTATTGATACATTCTATATAGACGTTCTATATAGAACATTTTTTTTATTACATTAAAATGATCATTACATGCTGCTATAGAAATGATCATTTTGTATGAAAACTTTATTTTACATTTAATATTACATTATATTTACGTTTAATATTACATTTAATATTACATTCAATTTAATTTTGAATAAATTATATTTATAAGTGGTTTTTTTTATATGAGTACTTAATATATTTAAAATAAATGATGTCTATTCAGAGTTGGAAAATAACGTATTATAATATCGTCATTTTTACAAATTATTTATTTCAATAACAACTTAATAACTATATCATTTTTTCATTAATAACGATAATACAATTACATTTGTTGAGTAACAGAAATATAATCGTTCCTTTTTGCATTTATAATACATATGTGGCGCCTCGGTACAGGCCCTGTGCTACCGTACTATCTAGCGGCAGATGCAAGCAGCTTGTGCAACCGTGACTGCTGTTCTGAACAACACCGCGTAATCGCATCACTTCCCTCAGGACAGAAATGAAGAACTCTGATTGGTTGATTCTCTTATGCATTGTGTATTAAGCCAGCGGCACACGGTGCTTGTTTTCGTGCTGGATTGCTTGCTGGATGAAAATACTGCGTTCTGATTGGTATATTTTCGAAGATGGATGGAAATGCACCAATCAGAATGCAATATTTTCATCCAGCAAGCAATCCAGCACGAAAACAAGCACCGTGTGCCGCTGGCTTTATGCGTTATGCAAAAGTCTGTGCTCCTCTGGCCCTAACCAATCATAAATTGAAAATTGAAACTATATTTGAGAAAGTTCAGAAAGTGCAACGTTAAAAGAACAGATGTCATAGTACTGCTGACTAATTTGACACATCAGTTCTGTAGTGTTTATATTATAATCGAAATAAGATACAAGTGACAGTTGTAAACGAAAAAATGATTAAAATAACACAGGATATTAATCTGGATAATTATACGCTTATTCTGCCGTCAGTTGCAGTTGGTAACGTCGGACAACTGTCCGTTGATTTGTTAATCTCTAACCTTAATCTTCGAAAAATTGGTCAAGTTTTTAGTACTGCATTTGTACCTATCGTCGGCGCGAATGCTTATGATGAATATTCAAAGGAACTTATTACGGCGATCGACATTTACGCAGGAATTAAGGAACGTCTTATCGTCATACAAATCCGCTCGCCGTATGTGAATATCTTAACACAATTTTTCAACGAACTGGAACAATTCGTCGTTGAGAGAAAAATAGCTAAAGTAATATATTAATTAATAAATTAAATGAAGTTTTATAAATTTTTTTCACAAAATTTTCATTGCAAATTTTCTAGGTAATAATTTTAGCCAGCAGTTATGATCATGAAAAAAAGGAAGTCCTACCGCAACATTTAAAATTGAGATATATTGCTTCCCCTAATGTACATTCAGAATATGGAAAATTATTTCGTGATCTCAACTGGATAGAGCATAAACTACAGACTGTATCTGATATAAACAGAGAAGAAAGATTACATATACCAGGAGGTGGCTTTGCTATGAATATTTTTGAGTTTCTCTCCAATGCCAACATTTGTTGTTCCATTTTATTCAAATTTTGTTCTGAAGGAGATAATATCATAGATGCAATAGCTTTAGTATGCTACTTAGATCAGTGGATACAAGTATTGGGATCAAGTAGTGATAGCAGTAATAACAGCAGTTTAAAGTATCCACCATCATGGAAACACTTATTTGGAAAACCACCTCAATATGATATGTATTAAATATATTATAATATATATTATATTCCTAGTTCCATACTATGTAACAATATTTTTGCTAATCTTTAATAAAGTCTGGTACAATATATGAGACAAGACATAATATTAAAATAGTTTTATTGATATAAAGTTATATGACTAATATATTTTTACACATATGAAAAAGTTTAACATTCATGATTTAAATGTAGGAATTAAATTTTATAAAGTTAACTGCTTTGGATACAATTAATATACAGTTATGAAAATGTATGAGGGCTGTTTGATAAGTCTATACAATGTCAAGAGATAGCAATGCAATGTTATGGCTATCCTCAGTTTATGATATCTCTGTTAAAAGCACATACCAAATTTAATTCAGATTCGTTCATAAATCTGGCAATCATTTGAATTCATCTAGTACCATGATTTGTGAAAAATGGATGAGAGTTTCATGTAGTGATAAAACATTTTCTCAAAGACAAAATGTCGTAAAAAACTAAAATCCAGCTGGACAAACGTTATGGTAAATCTGCTCCATTGATTAGAAGGGTATACAAGTGGTTTAGAAATTTTCGGAGTAGTCATATGAGAACAAGCAACACTGAATGTTCCGGATGATCTGTCAAAGTCACAACTGCAGAAACTATCCAAAAGGTTCATGATATCAGATGTAAAAAGAAATCCATTATTTTTGCATGAAATTGAAGGCTTTAATTACCATAGTTAGAATGATCCGATTTAGGTCAAATATGCGCCGTTTTGTTCGATAACTTGTTGCCATTTTGAAGATAATTTCATTATGCCTCTCTCACAAAAGCCCTCGTCCCTATTGGCAAAAAATTGAGACAGTCGATTTTCACAAGCCTCTCTTGGAGCGAATTTTTCACCAGCAAAATTGTTCGCCATGGACAGGAACAGATGGTAATAACTTGGTGCCAGGTCCGGACTATAAGGTGGATGCATAAGAACCTCCCAACCAAGCTCCCGGAGCTTCTGGCGAGTCACTATCGATGTGTGTGGCCTGGCGTTGTTCTGATGGAACACAATTTCTCTCCTATTGGTCAAAGCTGGCCGCTTCTGGGCGATTGCTTCCTTCAGACGGTCTAATTGTTGACAGTACAGTTCCGAGTTAAGAGTTTTGCCGTAGGGGAGCAGCTCATAGTAGATAATTCCCTGCCAATCTCACCAAACACACAGCAAAACCTTCCTGGCCGTCAATCCTGGCTTGGCCACCGTTTCCGCCGGCTCACCGCGATTCGACCACGACCGTTTTCGCTTGACGTTGTCGTAAGTGATCCACTTTTCATCACCAGTGACCAACCGCTTCAGAAATGGGTCAATTTTGTTGCGATTCAGCAGCGATTCGCAGATGGAAATTCGGTCCATGAGGTTTTTTTTCGTTAACTTGTGTGGCACCCATACATCGAGCTTCTTTTTGTATCCAGCTTTATTCAAATGGTTCCAAGCGGTTTTTTGTGCAATCTTTCAATTCACATTTTCAGTACTACATCTTTTATAGACATGACAAATTATTTAATTGATAAACGAAGTTATTCATATGTGTTGGGCGCAAGATTCACTCAAGATTGTGTAGAAAACTTATTTTCAAACATTAGAAAAAAATTTCCTGTGCCCAATGCACTACAATTCAAACAATGTTTAAAGGTACATTGCGTCTCACAATATTTACAAGTTTTAAGTAATACTAATTACGAACAAGATGAGGGTGCCTTACTTGTTAATTTTTTACAAACTCGTCGAAAACCTATTCGTAAAGTATTGCACGAAATGCCCATGATTCCTACTCATGTAGACAAAATAGAAGTTAATATGGACAATGTTAACTTAAATATATTATATTCACTTGCAGGATATATAATTCATAAAATCTCTAAGTTGCCCACAGTTTGTGAAACGTGTATCAAATCAGCTGGGACAAAATTTGATACTAATATTCAGTATGCTAAATTAGTATTTTTAAGATGTTTTAGATCTCAAACATTGTTTTTCGTTAACTCTACTACGTTTAAATATTTTTACGATATGGAAGTTATTATACGCCGCTATTTGCCTTATATTAAAAATACCAACTGTAATTTAATAATATTTTTAACTACAAAAATGTCACATTCGATGTGATACGTTAGGAACCTGTTGCAACTTTTTAAATAAAATTATGAAGAGATATATACTATTCCGTATAAAAATTGATTGTAAGAAAGGAGGTCTCTAAGAAAGGGAAAAATGTTTAGCAATAAGACTATGGCAATGCATAGTATTGTTAAATAATATATTGTCTTTATAAGTATATTTGCATTTTTATTTTCAATAAAACTATAACAACAAGTTTGTATCCTTCTTTCTTTTCTACCAGTTGAATAATACCACGCGCAAAGTATAAATTCGTGACATCCTATTGGTTCCGCCATATTTTGTCCTTGCCAATAGGATGGATAGTAGCTGTGTCCAGACTCTGATTTCTAGGGACTCTAGAAATCTCATCTTTCTAACGCCATCTAGTGGAACCCAATCGGACTTATACAACGCGAGATACAGATAACTAAAGCCATCTATTGGAAAAATAATGGATTTCTTTTTACTACACCTGATATGATGATAAAGAATAAAAAATTGGAAATATGTGGGATTACTCAGATATTATTCATCTCAAGTGACTGGATGTGCAGTATTTTAAAAGAATATTTACACATGAGAAAACTATCCACGAGGTGATTCAATCAAAAGCCTGAACATTTGTAAGCAAAATTTGAAGCTATTTCAACATAATTGGAATTTTTGCGCCATTTCATAACAATTGATGAAACTTGGAAACGGAAATGTAAAAAATTCAAGCATCGTTGGACTGAATGTATGGACTCACAAAAAGATTATGTTGTGAAATAAAAGTTTTTTCCTAAAAATTGAATCTTATACAAATTATAATTTTATAAAAAAATTTTGCTTTTATGGATAAATAATGTCTCATTTATTATCATAAATTTATTTGTCAATAACAAAAATTTTTCTTATGCTAAAAGTTTGTACTTTGTAGAAAATGCCATATAAGATACAAGAGCAACCAAGAAAGCAGCCAAAAGTTCAGAATTTACCCAAGGGCCAAGATATACTCCGGGATTGTTAAGAACAACAACTATTAAAGGTTTAACACTGTCAGGATCTTCTCCATTTCTTATAGCTTTACGAACAGCAGCATATTTTTCCTCATCATACAGTTTTATGTTGTAATCACCAGATCTTGCTTTCTTAATATCTTCTGTCCAGGATACCTATAATGATATGTATATAAAAGTGAGTAAATTATCATGTGTAATTTCCAAATTTATTAAATATGTTATTCTTATGAATACACTAAATTCTCCATCTTTACATATAAGATATATAATATTGTTACCTGATATTTATTGTCAGTGCTTAATCTAACTGCTGGCAATGCCTTGCCTTCAACTTCAGCATACAGACTGATTCCCTTTACTCCATTGCTGCACTTTAACACAAATTGTGTGGTAAAGGCAACATTAGTAAGAACTGTCGCATCTTCCGTTACATATGCCGAAGCTACAACTTCGGGTTTCTGACAGGTTTCGGCGAGAACAATGGAAATTACACTGGTTAATACACACATGAAACTAATCTTATTCATCTTGTAATTATTATCTTATTTTCTTTGTTTGAGCACTCTGTCTTAATTATCCGTAACTGTTTAGAGCTTAAATTCGAAAGTGTACCACAACCTCCAACGTGGTAGCACTTTGAAGCTCCAACCGGTCAATCAGCTTCACACAGCGAGCCACGTCAATAAGGTTGGCGTAACTCGTGTTTTCCTTGTATACCATAGATACTTTTTATTGAGAGTTGCGCTGCGCAGAGTTTCTCCGTTACAGCCATAGAGTATATGAAACATATTGTGTGCAACCCATCTTATTAGCGATGGCACTGTGAAGTAATATAAAGACTGTGATAATTATTTAGAAGATCGACAACACCTTGGATTTCGCTCAAACTCACCTATCTTGTATATTTTGACGTGTAGAAGCCGAATCTGAAAGTTAAAATGGTTGCTCGACTCTGCCGAGAGAAATAAATTGTTAAAAAATGACACACGCAAAGTTAGGAAATCTGTCATACCAGTAATACAGAGACTTATAGTCTGTTCTTTTTAATCGATAATTTTTGAAACGCTCAACAATATATAATAAAGATGCAATAAGTTGGGTTAGGTTAGGATTTCTTTGAAGAGGGGATGTGGGGAAGAGGCTCCGCTTATATGTACTATCTTACTTTTCGACTACTTTTCGACTAAAAAGAACAATAAGTCTCTGTATTACCAGCATGACACATTTCTTAACCTCGCGTGTGTCATTTTTTAACAATTTATTTCTTTCGGCAGAGCCGAACGACGATTTTAACTTTCAGATGCGACTTCTACACGTCAAAATAGCTTCTACACGACAAGATAAGTGAGTTTGAGCGAAATCCAAGGTGTTGTCGGTCTTCTAAATAATTACCCAAATAAAATATTTTAAAATATATTAATATTATTTTGTGTTGCACAGCATTTAATTGCTTAATAAACAGCACAAGAAAAACGGAGCATGTATAAGGAGAAAGGGAAAAGGAAGAAAAAGAAAAGTCTTTTTAATTATTGATATTAAGATGAAGTTTTTTGTAATAAAATGAAGCGAACATTTGTAATTAATATAAGGGAAAAATGTTTACAGAGGACGCTACAGTACGAAGAGATTTAATTAAATTGGTTGGACCTAGTAACTCTAGGTGAAGCTTCCCATCGGTTGGTTGTGTCCAATTGTTGTCCAAAGGTTGTATCCCTGCCTTTCCTGTAGAGAGAAACCCATAATAAATTTAGGGAATAATATTTAGATAGAGAAATTGCATTCTATCTGTTTCTCTTGACCCTCTAATTTCTATGTAGAACAAATTTCTCTCGTCGGTCCTTAACCTGTAATTCAATTGTAGGTTATAAACGTTAAGAAGAGTGCATAAACAATGGGAAAACACGAAGTAGGCACACCAAAGTACATTGCTAATAAGATCAAAGCAAAAGGGTTACAGAAATTAAGATGGTATTGTCAAATGTGTCAGAAACAGTGTAGAGATGAAAATGGTTTCAAATGTCATACAATGTCAGAATCACATCATCGTCAACTGTTGCTCTTTGCTGAGAATGCGCACCGATATATGGACCAATTTTCGCGAGATTTTTCGAAAGGCTATTTAAACTTGTTGAAGAGACAATTTGGTACCAGACGAGTACCAGCGAATCGAGTGTATCAAGAGTATATCTCTGATAAGGGGCACATACATATGAATGCAACTCAATGGCTCACATTAACAGCATTTGTTAAATGGCTAGGACGCACTGGGCAGTGCGTTGTCGATGAAACGGAAAAAGGTTTGCATATTATTAATGGTTATCTTTACAACTGTTGATAAAAACTATAGAAATTTAATTGCTAAGACTAAATTTCATAGAATGTTATTTTTCAGGCTGGTATGTAACATATATTGATAGAGATCCTGAAACTCTTGCTGCACAGGAGAAAAAAGCAAAGAAGGAAAAAATGGATAAGGATGATGAAGAACGATTAATGGATTTTATTGAAAAACAAGTAGAGAGAGCAAAACAAGATATAAAGGAAGAAGAGAATGAGACATCCAAGATACCATTAACACGTCCTGAGAATGATGCACCTTTAGTTCTAGATATTAAATTGAAACCAAAGCCAAAGTTTCTCTCTATACTAAACATGAAGCAGAAGATAAAAATTGAAGATATTAATGAAGATACACCTGCTACAAGTAAATCAACCAACGAGAAAAATGAAAAACGAAAAATATGTAATAACGATGAAAAAATGAAATCTACAAAAAAATTCAAAAGTGATAACAATCCATCTGCAACTGAAGGTTGGCTTAAAGAAGGTTTAATGGTTAAGGTTATTTCAAAGAGTCTAGGTGACAAATATTATAAAGCTAAAGGCATAGTTCAAACAGTCGGCAAAGATAATTTCGTTGGTAAAGTAAAACTAAAGACACCGGAAGAAGTTAATGGACATATTATACAACTGGATCAAGAATACTTGGAGACGGTCATTCCTGCGATAGGAAAGGAAGTCCTAATTCTTTGGGGAAAACATAAAGGCAAGAAAGCAGTAGTAAAAAAATTGCATATAGAGTATTATAGCATAGATGTTGAATTTGAGCAAGATAAGACAATTGTAGAAATGCTTCCATATGAACAAGTTTGCAAATATATAAATATATAAATTGACTAGTCGCTTGAAAAAGAATCGTTAGGAAAAAATAATGTATTTTCGTATTATTGTAATATCTTCAATATACTTATTATATTACTCTCTAACGAGCACCTGTGTACAAATTTAACAATATATTAAATATTAATACTTAGTGCATAAAGTATTCTACAGGCAATTTGGAAAGCAATTTTCTACAAAACATTTGTTAAATTTTCTTATTAAATATGAAATAAGTTGAGCTATTTGGATTTTTTACTAAGTATATATTAGTTTATACATACATGCTATGTAAGTACATATCTAAGATTAAAGTAGTAAAAAGAATATTACATGTACATCATCTATGTAATGAAATACTGTAATATACTAATTGTCACTCAAAATAAATTTGAATTGAAATTATAAAAATCAGACTATTACATTAACAAATAAGAAATGTAAAATGAAATGGTTTTCAAGAAATTGATACATGTATAAATTTTATACTATTTTAATACTTTTTATAAGAGTATGTGACTAACATTATAGAAATCTTGCATCTATATCTTGCATCTTTTTATTTTTTTTTCTAATCACACTGATAATAGAAGTATTAAATATTTATTTTATACACATCCAATTACAAGATTTCTTCTCTTGCTGTTATATTACAACAAATAAGAAATGTAAAATGAAATGGTTTTCAAGAAATTGATACATGTATAAATTTTATACTATTTTAATACTTTTTATAAGAGTATGTGACTAACATTATAGAAATCTTGCATCTATATCTTGCATCTTTTTGCATCTGTTATATTACATGTCTATCTCTATTAAGAAAGTTATAACAGATACTTCGTTTATTATATTAGGTAAGTGAAAAAATTTTGATAAACCTTGATAAAGAGATATGAAATATTAGTTTTTAGACTTTCACAGCCATTGATACCATCAGAATGTGTTTCTTCCAGATAGATACCCAGATATAAAATAATTAAAATTGATTTGTTCATTCTAATAAAGTGTAATTATAAAGTAAGTAAAGTAATTATTTTCTATTATTTTTCGTCAATTTTCACCAGATAAAGGATAGTATTGTTTTTAATAAAAATATTTTTTTCCTTTGTCAAAAAAATTTATCAAATTTTTGTCTAATTTTCTCACCCATTTTTTCAATATCAAATAAAAAAATGTGTTTTTGTTATTTAGAATAAAAATTATGGAAAAAATAGAGATCAAATAAATAGAAAATCTACTGTTAAGATATAGACATCTTTTTAAAGAAACACTAAGTATTATGACATGTAATTATATACATAGATGTATTATATAAATATACATATATTTTGGCAATACTATTCTCTTGATTCTTGCACTTACATTTCTTGAAATTATAAATATACAATGGACAAAGTTTACAATATAGTTACAATATAAATTGTGAATAAATGTAGAAATGTAGTTTTACTTGGCTTTGTACATCATTATTTCACGTGCTGCTTGTGTTGTGAAACATGCTCTATCCAGTAGAACAATGCGACCATTGATTTTAAACAGTGTATTTGATACAAATTTGGGACGTTTAAATATAGGTACAACAGAGCCTGCAGACATTATTATTTGTTTTCTATGCCATGTATTTACTAATATAACTCTGAATAATTTTTGTGAAGGGCTATAATAAATTCTGAATGGGATTAGTGTGCTCAATAATATAACTGTGACAGATAAGAATATAATGTTAATTATTATAGCTATTTTTTTACCTTCAGTGTCACGATTAGAAAGTGAAATAGAAGAAGTAGAGTCAGAGTTTTTTTCTTTTGTAAATGATTCTGGGCTATTGATAATTAAGTATCCCAGAGAATATATTGAAAAGCAAATACCAAACCATCCAGTATAATATGTTATATTTAATAATCTACATATACCTTTCTGCTCTTTGTATATCAGCTTATAATCATCGCTTATCTTATCTTTTAGTTTAAACTTTTGTTCTTCCAAGCTATGCAATTTAACAGGAGAACTATATCCATGATTCCTTATATGTGTGATTTTGGCACCCAAATGTGTGATTTTGGCAGGACCCAAAATGATATTCTTGTAGTAAGCAGCTCGATATAAAACAGGTATTTTGCTCAGGATATAAGCCATTTTAGTAGTGTACGTATAGTTCTGTAATATCAAGATGAAATAAAAAATATATGCACTATATAAATATATATTGATTAAAAATGATTAAACATGATTGTTTTTTTATTAATTTTGTAATATATATACAACTGTTTCTAGTACTTTAAAGTCTTGCAAAATATCTGTAAAAATTTTTAAAACTATAAATTTCATTAGAGAAGTACTATAACATATTCAACATAGTATTTTATAATGATCAGTACACTATATTATATTCAATTAATGCGTTATTATTAAGAATTCAATAAAATATAATTCACTAGATAATCTAGATTTGTGAACAATCCTATATAGAGTATCCTATATAGAAAAAGGTTAGGATATTCAATACTATAAACAATTAACTTGCAATCGTGAACAAGATTATAAGATATTTTAAATACCTATCTATATATCTTTGTTTAAAAGTAGACTTCCAATTTTTATTTACGTACTTGTAAGTTATACGATTTGTTAAATTATGTACGTACATACAGTCGCGGACATAATTGGTCTGTTCTTTTTAGCTGCACTACTGAACTGGTGCAATAAGCTAGAGTGAGAAAACCTATATTTGTCTCACTTCAACTTATTGCACCAGTTCAACAGTGCAGCTACAAAGAACAGACCATTAAGCCTTAAACACAATGCCAGGCAACAGGCAATAAGAATAAAAATAGACCAATCACAATAGATTATTCTTGTAATAGTCGATTGTGATTGGTTTATTTTTATTCTTATTGCCTGTTGCCTGACATTGTATTTAGGTCTTTAGTCAGGCCTTATTTGAGGCCTCCTTATATCCATCTTTAGATGTTGCACGGATTATTTTATTGGCTACAAATTATCTGAAGATAAACTAAGGAAGCCTTAAGTATAAGGCCTGACTATTACCCGTATTCAAAGTCAGGCTTTATATTTGAGGCCTCCTTATATCCATCTTTAGGTCCTGCACAGGTTATTTTATTGCCTACAGACCATCTGAAGATAAACTTAAGGAAGTCTTAAATACAAGGCCTGACTATGAAAACGCCCACATGAATATAGGTGTAAAGCTAAGACTCCATGCATGCGGTGAGCTCCGGCAAACGGCTGCGGTGACCAATCAGGAGACAGACGCATGCCGGAGCTTGCCGCAACCGGACTTGCGCCTCCCTCCTGATTGGTCACCGCAGCATTTGCTGCAGCTCACCGCATGCATGGAGTCTTAAGCTAAGGCAACAGTTTTATAGCATCTCGTCGGTGATATTATCATCGCTTTTCAATTACCTTCGGGCTCTTTTGGCTGTTGTGTAAATTTACTTAGGGCTGTTATGTAAATTGCCTTAGGACTGTCAGTTTTTATATTACCGGTCGGTATTTCCGGGTTTTCGTTTTTTGCGTTTTTGCCAAAGTGTGAAACCTATCTGAAGGTGTGAAACCGCTTTAAAATAGATGGAATCACGGCTTGGGAATGGTGTATGGGGACATCTACTTTCTCCCGAAGCCAGTTTAGAAGAAGGAAAAGAAGAAGTAGATGGAATCACGTCTATGTAGATATTTATACTTTATGGATATCCAGAATAATATATGTAAACAAGTGCATCGATGCGGCTGCACGTATGAATGAGAAAAAATTAATAAGGAAACACTTCTAATTTCGACCATCAATTCTATTTGCTGAAAAGATGAAACAATTATCAGAAGAAAAAACAAAGCTTGTATTTGAAAAGCTAACCAAATAGTAAGTGATTTTGTTGGATTAGATTAAAACAAATTGTCTAATTCAATTTATTGAATATTAAGTTACTTTTGTATAATTGATTATACATTAAAATTGTAAACAACTGATAATTAATCATTATTTTAATTACACAGCATTGGGAATAACGTGAAAAACTTGATAGATAGACCTGATGGTATATATTGCTTTCGAGAGAAGAAAGATAGAGTATATTATGTTTCAGAGAAGATCTTATCATTAGCAAATACTATAGGATCTGAACATCTATTAAGTTTAGGAACCTGTTTTGGCAAATTCACAAAATCTGGAAAGTTTAAACTTCATATTACTGCCTTACATTATTTAGCTCCTTATGCCCAAGTAAGTATCCAGTTCTAAATTTACTCAACATATTTATGTATTTACGACATATTTGTTATAATTATATAATGCATTATATTCTGATGATAAAGTAGCATATATATTTTTAATATACTTTATCATAAAGAACATTTATTTAAATATATACACATATTAAATATTGTATAACTTATAGTGATAATTTCTAAACTTTAGCATGATAGTGAATATATATTGAAAAATATCAATGAATACACCATTGAAATAAATGTTTTTAGCACAAAATTTGGCTGAAACATTCAGCAGAGCAACAATTCTTATATGGCCATCATATCACAAAATCAGGTCTTGCTCGTATAACAGAAGGTACTTCTCAGTATCAAGGTGTAGTTATATTTTCCATTAATGATTTGCCATTGGTATGTAATGTTTAAGTTTATATTTATTATAATGTCTGATACTTTTAATATAATCTGTAGTCAAATGTCAACTTTTCTTAATATCTTGATAAACTTGCCAGGGATTTGGTGTAGCTGCAAAAAGCACAGTTGATTGCAAACATGCAGATCCTGTGGCAACAATTTGCTTTCATCAAGCAGATATCGGGGAGTATATTCGTTCTGAAGATACATTGCTCTGATAATTCATTTTAACTTTAAAGTACACACATAGGTATCAAATTGTTGTACAGTAAACTCAGTTTTTATTTTAATATAAATTTATACTTGAATCATGGTCTTATAATTAAATATATTGTTACAGCTCTACTCCTTTAAGTTCTCAAGATTTCTGCCTGTTTTAAAATTCATTGGAGAAAAAACCAATTTTGCCTGCAATTTTTCAACGGACTAGTTTCTCATTCTTTTCATATCACGACAAAATAGTTTAACAAATGATAGCAACAATCATGCAACGATTATAACAATGCTCAGAATTATTTTGATTTTTCTCTTATTGTGCGCGTTGGTTACACATATACACACACACACACATATGTATATTAGGTTGGGGAAAAAAAATTCATTATTTTTTTCGTTTATTTCAAAGCTTTATTTAACATAGTTAGGATTGTTCGATTTTGGTCAAATAAGCACCGTTTTGTTCTACAATTTGTCGCTATTTTAAAGGTAATTTCATGATCCCTCTTTCATAGAAGCCCTGGTCCTTATTTGCAAAAAACTCGACTAAGCAATTTTCACAGTCTTCTCTTGAGGTTAATTTCTTACCATCAAGGAAGTTTTGCAATGACAAAAACAGATGGTAATCGCTTGGTGCCAGGTCCGGACTATAAGGTGGATGCATCAAAACTTCCCAACCAAGCTCCCGGAGTTTCTGACGAGTCACTATACACGTATATGGTCTGGCATTTTCTGATGAAAAACAATTTCTCTCCTATTGACCAATTCTGGCCGCTTCTGGTCGATCGCTAGCTTCAAACGGTCCAATTGTTGACAATAGAAGTCTGAATTTAGTGTTTGGCCATATGAAAGTAGCTCATGGTGAATGATTCTTTTATAGTTTCACCAAACACTCAGCAAAACCTTCCTGGCCGTTAATCCTGGTTTGGCCACCGTTTGAACCGTTTTGCTGCGGTTTGACCACGATCGTTTTCACACAATATTGTCGTATGTAATCCATTTCTCATCCCCAGTCACCATCCGTTTCAGAAATGGCTCGATTTCGTTCCGTTTGGTCAAGGCTTCGCAGATTGAAATTCGGTCCATCATGTTTTTTTGCGTCAATTTGTGTGGCACCCAACATGGAGCTTTTTTTTGAATCCAGCTTTATGCAAATGGTTTAAAACTGTTTTGTGATCGATCTTCAGTTCCTGGGCGATACTACGACTGCTAACATGCCGGTCTACTTCGATGATTTCCATAATTTTATTGACATTTTCGACGACGGGCCTACCTGTGCGAGATGCATCTTTAACATCAAAATTACCGGAACGGAATCGACGAAACCAAAATTGCGCGTGATTGGCTGTGACAGTATCGGGACCATAAACACCATTCACAATTTCAGCCGCCTGGCTTGCATTTTCGCCTTTATCGAAGCAAAATTGTAAAATATACCGAATTTTATCTTTGTTGACGTACATCTTTTACGTGCTATAACTCACAACTTAATCGACAAATCACTAAACCGTTAAAGAATTTTTTTTAGTCCGGAATGTCACTTTTCCAACGAGTATAAATATTAACCTATGCGATTAATACATCACGTGATATATACTACTAAAGCCAGCTAACGAAAAAATAATGGATTTCTTTTTCCCCAACCTAATATTTGAGGCCAGTTACACACAGACGCGGGAATTCTTCGGGCCTGAGCACAGATTTCTGCATAACGCATAAAAGAATCAACCAATCAGAGTTCTTCATTTCTGTCCTGAGGAGGGAAATGAAGAAAACTAATTGGTTTATTCTCTTATGCGTTATGAGGCCTGTTCGTTTTATTTGTACTGCTGAACTGGTGCATTAAGTTAAAATGAGACAAACGTAGGTTTTCTCACTACAACTTGTTGCACCAATTCAATAGTGCAGACAAAACGAACAAGCCTATGTATTATGTGTTATGCAAAAGCCTGTGCTCTGACCCTTACCATGCAGCGGAAGTTGCCTAAAGCCCGTATCAGACTACGGATTGGGATTGAGTATTGGATTGAAATTTAACCAATCAGGAGTAAGTTTACTATACTTGAGATTATTTTCTCTTTTTCAATTGGTCAAATTTCAATCTAATCTCAATCCCAATCCATAGTCTGATACGGACTTAAGGAATATTGCAGTAACCAATCAATGTCCAATCAGAGTGAGAAAGTTGTTTCGGTTGTTGCTTCTCGCTCTTTTGTATTGACTGTTAACAATAAGAATTCAATTGACATGATGACACCATTTGCACTTGACAGCCGCCATTTCCTTTCTATACGATAGAAGTGAGGAAGTAAAACAACTTTTTCTCACTCTGATTTAGGGTGTGTTCTGTTTCACGCATATGTGCGCATTTATCTATAATTTATGTCACGTATACTATAAAAAATGCGCGCATATGCGTGAAACGGAACGCACCCTTAAGGTAAGAGCACAGGCTTTTGCATAACACATAATACATTACACATAAGAGAATAAACCAATTAGTTTTCTTCATTTCCCTCCTCAGGACAGAAATGAAGAACTCTGATTGGTTGATTCTCTTATGCGTTGTGTATTATGTGTTTTGCAAAAGCCTGTGCTCTTGCCCTTAAAGTTAACCTATATATATCGTACGGGAAAATCAATGAACCTAAATTCCTTTCATTGCGTATATGAGATATATACCGTGATACTTGTTGAATATCCACAACGTTTGCACATACAGTATTATTTGTAAAATATCTTAAGTGAGTTGAATTTTACAAATATTTATTATTATATTTATCAAGAGCTTTTGCTATCTCGAGATATTATATTTGAGATAAGATATTGCTCATGGTAAATTTAATCAAAATTATATTATCACGCTATCGACAAACAAACCAAAGTGACAGCTGTTATCTTAGTGACTCCTATATCCGCGTCATGTACACGATATGAACCATATGCTCAGTCATCTAATGATTATATACTTCATTTACGACTACTTTTTTATTTTTTCGTTATTCTTACTGATATCTTCTTATTGTGCAGAAATACATATATATCGAATATTTGTGTTGTACTTAAAATTATGAAAAATAATTTGTCTTTTATTTTAAACAATATGTTAAACTTAATATCGATGTCAAATTAACTCTACTTACAGATGGCAGTCATGAATAACAGTTTTGTTTTTTTTACTTTTTATGTAAATATTATGCTTGCTCCATCTGTTTAAATGCTGTCAAATCTGTTGACTTGTTTCTGAAATCTAATTTTGATACATATACATGAGAATAAAGAGAAGAGTTAATTATTAAGGCTTATCTTATTTACTTATTAAAATTTAAAATTTATGCAGAGTTGATTATGTTAAATTACCCATATGAATATGTAAGATGTTTAGGTATGTTTAACAACTGAAATAAGTTCTATAAGATATTCAATATGTTACAGAATAAGGTTCTATAAGATATTCAATATGTTACATGCATAATAGACTTGTAACAAAATTGATTATTTTTATCTTGTTTTTTTATCCTTTTAGTTCTCCAAGTATTGAACATTTTCAAAAAAGAAAATTTTTCTATGATTTCTATGTTTTTTATTATTATTAATATAATGCAAATGGCAAATTAATATATTGTAGATATTGTCTTATATATGTTTTATGATTTGTTCTATTTATGTTATAGTAATTAACTAGTATACCTTTGTATTTTACATGTCCTAATATAGTTTATTAATGTTTTCCATATATATATTATATATATATATATATATATATATATAGTAAAAGCAAAATATTTTCAGACATGGATCAAATAAGAGAATTACCTCAAACACATCATTCTTTGGATGGTTTTATTCCTCTTCTGAGTCTGACTGAAGCGCTTGGTGCGCTTCTTGTAATTCTGGTACTTGTATGGACAACTTATTTTAGAAATGGCTTCTCCTGGAGATCTAATCCAACACTTGAATTTAATTGGCATCCTTTATTAATGACTATAGGTCTTGTGTTCCTGTATGCCAATGGTATAATATATTTAAAAAACAGTTTTCTTCTTGTTTTCATATTTATGCATATAATTTACCAGTTTGTCTTTCTTTTGTAGCAATGCTTATTTATAGGACACAACGGAATCTACGCAAGAGACGATTGAAACTGATTCATGCAGGAAAAATGATTCTTATTATGTTGGTAACTGTAATTGCTCTAGTAGCAGTTTTTGACAGCCATAATCTAGCTTCTCCTCCTATTCCGAATATGTATTCTTTACATAGCTGGATAGGTCTAACGACCGTAATATTATTCTGTTGTCAGGTAAGTTTGTTTGATATGTTTCTGAATATTAAATAATAATTCTGAATATAGAAACATATGTGCTAATGTTATGTATTTACAGTGGGTTGCTGGATGTGTCTCTTTCCTTTTTCCTGGACTACATGCCTCATTACGAGCTGCTTATATGCCAATTCACATGTATTTTGGCGTTGCAGGCTTTGTTGGTGCAATTGCATCATGTTTATTGGGTCTCAATGAAAAAGCAATTTTCGTTTTGAAGTAACAATTAATTAGTAATAAACAGAATAATACAAACTAATGAATATGGAAATATATTTTTCTAATACTTTTGACATATTTCAGAGATAAATATTCATCCTTTGATGGAGAAGGAGTGCTGATAAATATTATAGGATTGCTATTCATATCATTCGGAGGTCTGTCAGTATATTTGGTAACGCAAGTTCGTTACAGACGTTTACCAATGCCTGAAGATGAGGTTTTATTATCTGGAACTGGATAGTGCATTAAACTCAGATCAGATTGCACAATAAAGATTGAAACTCCATGCTTATTGAATGTAAATTCGCTTCTCAGTAACGTCACTAATTTAAAATCTCAATTTTAATGGAGAGTATTTACGAGTTCTAAGTATTGCAGATTTTTTATGTGTAATGTTTGTATAAATAAGACTGTTTCATGTGATTATGAGTTTTGTCACTATAAGATCAGAAGCACAATACTGAATGATCTGGGAATCTATAAATATTTCTATGTTATATAATTTAAATATTTTTTTAATAGATGAAATGTATGTTATGTTTACATTGAGAAAAAGTTTTATATATTTTTCTGAGCTTTTGGTGCTGTGTGTAGAATATACTGTACATGTAAATTTATTTCTTATATGATATATACATATACATATATTTTAACTGTTGACATTATTAAATAATTTAATGAAAATGTAATATACCTATATGTATAACGCAATAACAATATATCATAATTGCAAGCAATAAGTTTTTTATTCCTTTTGATAACCAACAAATTGGTAATTGTAATCTGCAAACATTCACAAATATTGATATTGTTTATCCTTAAATTGTATGCATCATTGTATTCACTTAAATATATTAGGTCAATCGGAAAGTTCCATCCGCTTTTTGGAAAACATATGGCTTTATTTAAGAAACAAAATGAAAAAGTATATCAATCAAAATATTGACCATTGTTAGCGATGACTTTTTCCCATCTTTCGGTCAGCAAGCGAATTCCGCGGCGAAATAATGGCTCATTTTTGGAGGCTATCCAGTCAGAAACCCATTTTTTGACGTCTTCATAAGAATCGAAGCATTCATCAGCAATGTGACATCGACCGAAACAAGTAGTAGTTGGAAGGGGCACAGTCTGGTGAATAAGCCGCATGGGGCAATACTTCCCAGCGAAGTGCTTCTAACGTTTCCTTGACAGATTTTGTGACGTGAGGTCGAGCGTTGTCATGAAGCAAAATCACTTTATGCTGTCTCGTTTCATATTCTAGTCGTTTTTCGTGCAATGTTCGGCTCAAACGGATCATTTGTTCCCTGTAGAGATCCCCTGCGACTGTTTGACTACTTTTCAACAGTTCATGGTACAGCACACCCTTCTGATCCCACTAAATATAGAGCATTGCCTTCTTTCTGTGGATATCCCGCTTTGGCGTCGATGTTGAGGGTTGGCCGGGATCGCAAATAGTTTTTCGACGTTTAGAGTGGTCAAAATAAATCCATTTTACATCCCCAGTGATGATACGATGTAAAAATCCCTTTCTTTGTTGGCTAGCAAGCAGAATTTCACAGGTGGTTTCTCGCCTTTCAATGTCTCTTGGCTTCAATTCATATGGGACCCATTTTCCTTCCTTGTAAACCTTTCCTAAGGCTTTCAAACGATCGGAAATGACAGATTGAATACAATTTAATGCTTCTGCAAGTTGCTTTTGCGTTTGACATGGGTCTTCGTCCACCAACGCCTGCAATTCTTCGTCTTCGAATACTTTTGGACGTCCAGAACGCTCTTTGTCCTCTACATCAAAATCACCACTTTTAAAGCGTCGAAACCATTGTCTGCATGTTTTATCGGAAGGAGCATTATCACCATAAACTTCTACGAGCATTCGACGAGCTTCAGGTGGTTTTCTTCCAATTGAAGCAAAAGATTAACACTTCGCGCAAATGACGCTTATTTGGCTCAAATTTCGACATTTTCGATGCAGTAAAAAACAATGTTATTGATGCAAACGTATACCTTTATGTACTGAATGTTATTGACAGATGTCAAAACAAACCATTATGCTTCGTTTAAACATCAGAGGTTAACGACAGTTCTAACTATAACTACTTGCCGCTAGATGGACGGAACTTTCCGATTTACCTAATATATATATTAAAATATTTAAATTTCGCGCCTATTCATCATTCAGTCAGTGCTGTCCCCTATTCCTGGATAGATGATTTAATTACGATAATGCGTGCTATACTGTTCCATCTATACTGCAGTACATTATTTACACTAGATTGCACTATCTACACTAGATACAAGTGCACATCGACTGTGTTTCGAAACACGTCGAGAAAGAGCGTCCTGACCATTTTGGGACATTTTCTAATCAGTTGAGGATCGTGTGAAAAGGCAAGATTATACGTATAGCTATATAGTAGCTATAGTATCGGATATATATATGTCGGGGGCGATCTCGATTTCATTGTGGACCATATATTTGGTAGATCACGATGGAACACACCCATCTCGCGCGTACGCAATTATAAATTGTCGCTGATACATATGGATAGATTTTTCCACGCGATTGACTCGCTTTGCGCGTTGTGAAAACAGTTTATATGTAGCTGTCAGCTGTGCGGTCGTTCCAGTGGTTTGACAACGTTTTGACAGGTAGACAACGATACGACATTTCAGCTGAATTTGGAAGTATCTCTCGCTTTTTTCGAAAGCGACTCGTTGCGTAGCGCGCTCGGCAGTGTAGTAAGCTACAACAAATAAAACATTCAATGGTTAACCAAATCCCTGTGCCTCAGGCGAAATATGAATTATTAACTGATATACGACAGTGAGTATGTTAATTCTTTGTAAGAAAGAAATGTATTGTCAACATATATAAGTTCGTATGTTGATAGTATGTAAATGCATTGCATAAATGCGTGTATCTCTCGAAATTATTTGACGTATCGTGCGCACGTAAGAAAGACAGAGACGGGAAACCTTGTATCGATTTCTCGCTCTGCGTCATCATTAACTTTTGAACTTCCACGCCTCTCGTCACGAAAGGTCATTGCAATTAATCAAACATCGTTTGTCAGTGATTTGCATAGACGTGATGTACTCGATCGATGAACGTCTCATGCACTCGCACACACGATCATTCTCATTGCTTGAATCTAAGCTTTAAACGTTCGAGCGTCTGAGTTTTCAAGATTTTATTACGACACAAAATTAAATATCTTTTCAGACCGCGCTGGCGAACGCAAGTTCTTTGCCTTATTTTAACATTCCTAATCGTCGGAGTTCTCTTTGTTACACGCGCTTGGTTCGGTATACTCGTCTTACGAGCTCCGAAAGCGGACAGATTCGTTGAAGATCAAATTGACAATGCCAAGATTGCTGCGTGGCTACGTCGGGCTCGGATGTACGCCGAATCGACGAAGGAGAATCAGAATGCGGACAGGAACACAAGTGTCAACACATCGGAACAATACATCCGCAATTCAACCGGGTGAGAAAACTTAGTTTTAAAAATACAATTTGTTTTTATTTACTTGTTTGTGTACTTTATACTGAAATATTCCCTGTTCTATGTTTAGTCAGATCATCGTATGCTACTATACAATATCGGGGGACCTGAACACGTCGTGGGAGCTCAGTCCGTCGCACATTGACCCTCATATTTGTACGCATATTATCGTGGGTTTTGCGAGCGTGGTGAATAGCACACTTGATATAGGAGACAATGAGTGGGTGTACAAGCGAGTGGTCGATTTAAAAAATCGTGAACCTAAATTAAAGGTCATGGTTAGTGCTGGCGGAAATAATGAGCTCCATGATGGTTTTCCCGAGATGGTAAAGAATCATGCAAATAGAAAAAGGTATGATTTCTCTGTTAATTTTCAGAACTGCCCTTTATAATAATTAAATTTTTAAATCACATTAATATTTTTCTTGCAGATTTATACGATCAGTATTAAATATAACTAAAACTTTCCATCTTGATGGTTTTGATGTTGACTGGGAGTTTCCAGCGTGGTTAGGAGCAGACGATCGTGAAAAGATACACTTTGTGCAATTGTTGCAAGAATTACGAAAGGAATTTGATCGTAGCGGACAGAAATTAATTTTAACAGTAGCAGTCGCGGCACCACAAGCGATTATAGATCAAAGTTACTTTGTTCCCGAGATCGCGGAGTATGTATTAGAAATAGAAATTTTGTTAGCTGTAAAATATTTCGAACGATTGTCACGGATTGTTGGATTTCTTTTTTTTTCAGACACGTCGACTTCATAAATATGATGTCGTACGATTATCATTTCTACGTTTGGTACTTTCCGGTGACAGATTTAAATGCTCCTCTCTTCCCTCGTTGTACAGAAACAGGCTATTTGTCCACTTTAAATGTGAATTTCTCTGCTCAATATTGGATAGCGAAGGGAATGCCACGGGAGAAAATCGTCGTAGGCATACCAAGTTATGGTCACTCTTACAAGCTAGATAATCCATTGAACCATGATCTACAAGCTCCAGCTAGTGGATTCGGAAAGCTTGGCATAAAGGGTTTCGTGTCTTATCCTACAGTCTGTCAATTCTTAAAGTCTGGAGCTTGGAAAGTCTTTAACCAAGAAAGTCGTGTTCCATTTGCGTTTAAAGATAAGGAATGGATATCTTATGATGACAAGCAGAGTATTTATTACAAGGTAAAATGTTTTATTTTATTCGTACAACAATTAATGTGTATATTAAATCTGAGGTTTACATTTACTATATATTAATATTGTAACATTCGAATTTCAGAGTGCATGGATTCACGCTAATGGCTTCAAAGGAGCTATGATCTTATCTTTAAACGTTGATGATTGGAATGGTACTTGCGTCACGAATGAAACATTCCCGTTGACACGTACCATCTCCAAGACATTTAAGGAATTGGACAAACAATAAGTGTCAATAGGATTGTAACTTATTGAATAGGTGCAACGTCGTTGGAGGATTCCCACCTAGTTGCAACCAAGAGCTTAAAGCATTTTGCATTGAAAACAATGCATTCCATTGCATTCCTACTATATACTATTTAATGATATATTTATGCTCCACCTGAGTTGCTCAAAGTTTTCCTTGTACAAATCAGTTGCTAAGGTATTCAAAGCACATAGTATTATATGCCGTAGAGCATAGCACTTGTACCTGGTTACGTCAAATCAAAAATATTTATATATATATACGCGCGCGTGTCGAGTTCTATATTATGCGTAAATATACGCATATCCTGTTTCTTATGTTATTGTTTTCATATATTTCGTATATATTAGGAGCGCAAAAAAGTTCTGAGCCCTAGATTTCATACTACTGAAACCACAATTTAAATTGCATTAATTTTCCCGCCCTTTTGCGGTTTTAAAGCAGTGACATTTGGTCTTTCGAAACATCGTGCGATTTGGCATTTGATGCACATAACCTTAAAATCAGCAGTGTTCACGATGGCAATAACAAAAGAGCATATTCGATTTTCCATCCACTTCGCGTTTCATCTTAAGAAAAATGCTGCTGAAGCCACTGAAATGATCTGTGTTGCATATGGAGAGAACGCTGTAAGTTATGCTACGTGTAAAAGGTGGTATCAAAAATTTCGCCAAGGAGATTTCAGTCTTGATGATGAACCGCGTGCTGGACGCCCTCAAAAGATTGAAACGGACGAACTGCAAGCATTGTTGGATATAAACTCTGCACAAACTAAAAAGGAGCTTGCAGAGCAACTTGGCGTTACGCGACAAGCCATTTCCACACGTTTACATGCAATGGGAAAAGTTCAAAAGGAAGGCAGATGGGTTCGGCATGCACTGTCCGAAGACAACAAAAATCGACGGCGTGACATGGCACTCACTTTGCTTTCAAGATTCCGGAAAAAGGATTTTCTGCACCAAATCGTTACAGGTGATGAAAAGTGGATACTTTATGATAATCCGAAGCGTAAAACATGGGTTGACCCTGGTCAACCTTCGACATCGACACCAAAGACCAATATCCACGCCAAGAAGGTTTTGCTTTGCATATGGTGGGATTGGAAAGGTGTATTGTATTATGAGTTGTTACAGCCGGGTGAAACAGTAACGGCAGATCGCTATCAGCAACAATTGAGCAATGCGTTTGAAGAAAAGAGGCCATTTACTGGCAAAGGATGTCGTAAAGTGATACTGCTTCATGATAATGCCCGACCACATGTTGCGAAAGTGACTCAGGACCATATCTTTGCGTTAGGCTGGGAACTTCTCCCGCACGCGGCATATAGCCCAGACATGGCGCCTTCCGATTACTACCTATTCCGGTCTCTGCAGCATTTCTTGGCTGATACACATTTTGTGACACTTAAAGAGATACGAAAATGCATTGATGACTTTATCGCCTCGAAGCCGGTGAGCTTCTACCATGAGGGAATTCGCAAGCTGGAAAAAGGTGGCAAAAGTTGCCCGAAAGATGGCAAAAGGTCATCGATGCAAACGGGGAATATTTCGTTGATTAATATAGTTTTGTTTGTTTTTAAATAAATTTTGAATTTTGCAAAAAAAGGCTCAGAACTTTTTTGCGCTCCTAATACATATATATTTCATATAATAGTATTCAAAATAATGCCATGGATTAGAGAATATCAGAAACGCAATCGTTATAAATTATATATAACTGGTTTAAACGTGCCATACAATACGTGATTATAAACATGTGTAACAAGACCTGTCATCTGTTTCTGAATAAAGGGTTTCAAATTCGTGAATAGTCTAGTGCATTTTTCAGTATTTATCTTATTTTAGCTATAGCATTTTAGCATTGTAAAATATAAGGCGTGTGTAATCATTTCGCCCAGAATATAAAATCAGGAGCAATATTTATTTGTCCTTTGTAATAAAAGACGCATATACTTTATTACAAGAACCTACATAGATAGATACTTTGCATTTTTATTATTGCCTATTAATGCTTTCAAGATTATAAGATTATATTACATTCAATCTTAAAGTAACAAGGAATAATAAAAATGAGATCTTTAATCAACATAATATATAGTAGGTCACATAAGAGGATTATAAAACAGTATTGGGATAAATTCATATCCTTACAATAACATGCACTTTAGCGCATTGATAATTTATTGCATATACATGATAGATATCTTAACGATCCCATGACTGATTCGCAAAGATGCCAAAGAATCTATTATCAATGTCACTTCATTAATAATGATTCCTGTGATGCTATTTTTACTTATAAAACACATTTAAAGTGAGAAAAACAATTCCTTTCGTATTGTAATTCAAATACGGCGTAATTTTCTTGAGGGTTGTATATAACAGTCCTTAACGGCAGTAGTGGCACTGCCCAGAGCCTCATCTCAGGATTTACCACCAAAACCACCCATTAAATTCCCCAATCCTCCTGCAGCCCCTTGTTGTAACTGTTTCATTATATTTTGTAATCCTGGCATGCCACCTAACATAATTACGAGACATAAGTAGCTTGCATAACAATATACAAGTATCTCTGATTTATAAGTTTGATCTACATAAATTTACTTACCCATTTGATGTAACACACGTGGATCCATCATTTTAGCCATTTGATGATTCAGTTTTGCCATTTGTGTGGGATTGACATTTTTGGCCATGTCACCGGCCTTAAACAAACCTTTGATGCCACCCATTTTTTTGACAACTGCTGCAAATTTTGTATATTGTGTTATTAAATCTTTAACTTCTTTTTCTGTTACACCAGAACCTCTTGCCACTCTCACTATTCTTCCAGGTTGCTTGCTAAATAACTTGGCTCCATCCCTACTATCTAGTTCTAAGACAAGTATAGATAAAATAAGATGATATTATAAATTACATGAATTGTCATAAAAACAATATAAAGAAAATATTTTAAATAACAAACCTGAATCGTTCATACTGTCCATAATCGTCATGAGTCGCTTTAATCTTGCCATTGATTCCTGCTCTGTGCCTTTTGACATAAAATCTTGGCTAAATCCAGGTATCATACCCTAAACATAAAATAATTTCGTAGAGCGAGTTATAAAATATTAACAGATTACAGAGATGTATCAACGTTTACCATTAACTGTGAAAATGGTCCCATCTTCATGATATTTTGAAACTGTTCGTACATATCGCGTAAAGTAAATTGACCATGTTTTATTTTTTCTAATAATTCTTCATTATCGTCTAGATTCAATTCGTTTACTTTGTCAATGAGACCCTCGATATCGCCCATACCCAGTAATTTACTAATAAACGGTTTTGTTTTAAATGGTTCTAAATCGTCTATGTGTTCTCCTGTCCCGACAAATATTACAGGACTTTGTGTAGCTGCAACACTAAAGAAAATTATGTTACAATACAACAAAGTTACATGAAGTTAGTATCAAACTTATAACAGAGAATGCTGCTTAGTAATTCTACTAATAGCCAATATAAATCATTCAACAAACAACTTACGCAGAAAGTGCTCCACCACCTTTAGCATGACCATCCAGTTTTGTAATTATAATAGAGCCGACATTTACACGTTCTTTGAAAGCTTTTGCTTGTGCTTCACATGCTTGACCTATCGTTGCATCCATTACAAAGATTATATTATCCGGTTGCTGAAACATAGTAAAATACAATATTAAAAATTATTCTTTATATAAGTGAGTTATACAAATTCTTACAAGTTCGATAGATATGAAGAAATTCTGCTGTTCAAAATTAAAACATATTGCGTTGTAACTTTACCACAGCATTAGCAACTTGCAACATTTCTTCAAATAATGATTCCTCCTGTTTATGTCTTCCACTTGTATCTACAATGATTATTTCATACCCTTCCTTCTTAAACATGTCAACACCATCCTGTGCTATTGTTACAGGATCTACTTCTGTGTAACTGAATTAGGAAATTTTTATTATTAGTATAACATCAAGAAGTAATAAAGTCATATAAAACAGCTAATGTAATAGCATGATAATTATTGTATATTTCTTCCAAATCTTTAATTATTTACCTGCCATAAAACGGTATCCTGGCTTTTGTGGCATTTTGTTTTATTTGGTCATAAGCACCAGCTCGAAATGTATCAGCGCATACTAAACATGCCTTCCAGTTTTTCTTAAGATAATGATACGCAAGTTTGGTGCAAGTAGTTGTTTTACCAGAACCTTGCAAACCCACAAACATAATCACATTAGGACGGCCTTTTACTGGTTGGTATGCTTTAACACCTGGATCAATCAACTAAAAGAACCATCAATTATAAGTTTTTTCAATTAATTTACATGTCATAATTTATTTATAATCTGAACATAATATATATTCAACAAACCTTTACAAGTTCTTTAAAAACAGCGCTTTGTATCATCCTCCTTTTATTAAGACCACCAGCCATATCCTCAAAATCGATAACCTGACGTACATTTTCTCGTAATTTCTTCACTAATCTAATATTTACATCAGCTTCAAGTAATGCTGCACAGATCTCCTTCAGCATAGAATTTAAAACCTGTTGGAATAAAAATATTCAAAATAAAAACAAATAGTATGGTAAATATATAATGAAAATATAACTATATGCACACATACAGTTATTATAATAAAATTTAGAGGAAATAATAATATAACACCATATGTCACAAATTCAGGTAAACTGAAAATTCACATAAAAACACTGCATAAATATGAGTTTGACATGTACAAAGAGGTTATTGAAGATATATACATAGCACACTGAAAATTTTAAAAAACATATATATAAAGCATGTGATAGATAAATAAAAGAAAATCTCTTGGAATTAGAATATAATAGAAAATATGGAAACGTGTCATTTCAATCTGTTGTTTACAAGCAGCTTTTGATAATTGCACCACACGTAAACTCACCTCCTCGTTGATGACGGTCGCATTACTGAGCGACCGTAGGGCCGATGTGATTTTACGTCCAAGATCCGCCAAAACCATTTTTCCACGTTTCTTTGTTCACCGTCTTGACGTAAAATATTCCTCGATTAGTTGGTTAGAATATTAACATATAAAATATGTTATGATACCCCGACTTGGCCAACATGGCATGACGACACATCCGGTCTCAAGTGAAGGATTACACGAAAAATAATAAATTTCTCAGTATTCTATTCGATCGGAAACAAAAATCTACTGTAGTTATTCTCTCTTTGCTCGTTGATTCGTCAAAAAGCTCGATCAACTTGTTTACACATCACACTAACAAAACCTTTGATACAGCCAACAGCCATATCGATTGAAACATGCACTCGACGAGGTGTACGCCATTACGCTTGAAGTCAGACACTTTTGCCGTAAAGTCTGAAGTTGGCCACTTCCGGGATGCGAATTTCAACGTGAAGTAGTTAAACTAAAATTGAAAATACGAATGAAAGAATGGAAAATTTTATTATTGCAAGAAATCTAAATTCGTTTATGTTTAATTTTTCTTATATTCTTTTTAATAGATCATATTTCAGATAGTCGTATAATTCAAAGAGTACAAACTTTGCGATCGAAACTGAATTGTTCCGATTTGTCGAGTCTAAAGATGTGTATGTATATATTATATATATATATATATATATATATATATATATATATATATGACAGCTAACTGTGAAGTTGGTTGTACCATGAAAGATGAAACACAAACGCTTTTTCTTTCGTGTTCATAACAAGTGCTATTTTTGTTTAAATTTTCCACTCATACAAGTTTTCCATGACTGAGTAAAACCTAGCTGATTAAAACATAGCTGAATAAGACCTAGATCTAGCTAGAGCTAAATTAAAACCAACAGTATTAGGAGAGACAGTTACGAGTAAAAACAACTGTTAGACTACTACAGTACAACTGTACTGTAGTAGAAAATAAAAACACAAATTGAATACTTTGTGCAAATTCTCGCTAATTGAGATATCAGTTTTATAATTTTCTTGCAGTTTATTCAATAACATACTTCTCAGACTACGATATCTATATACTTCATCAAAAGATAGAGAGCAATAGAATAAATTATAAATAAACATAACTGATTTGAATTGTAATATAATGAATTTATTTATCATTGTTATCGCAATAAACTGTAGGAGTATGTTAAAATCTTAGGTTTGTTTATATCGCTAGTATATTACCAACATTATGTTTGATAAGCTTTACAATATATAATACGAAATCGAAAATTTACGAATTTATACATAATTTCGTAGCAAAAGAAGGAAAAATATAACATTAATAAACTATTAAGAATTTATCTATTTTTCATGTATTATATAATTTTATTTTTTATTTTATCACTTATCACGTTTTTTTACGATTTACTTGTTATGTAAAATTATTATTCTGGAGATTACAACGCTTCTGTTGAAAACACAACATGGCAATAATATATATACATGTCATATATTATATGTTGAGAATGAGGTACAAGACACTGACTTCTGAGTAGTAACGCAATGTCGAACATGGTGAGTGAATTTCTTTCGCTTTATCGCATACCTAGATAGTCGTGGCAGTTGACACGCGTATATGAATTTATTTCCTACAAAATACCAACATACACGCAATTTCAATTTTTTGGTGCTAAAGTGCCGTTTCCAGGTGCTACTGACATTTCGCCGCCTTGTGTGCTATCGCGTTGAGGACTCTGGTAAATAATTAAATGATTTATGAAAATGAGTAATGTTATACTACTTGAAAGCATAATCAGACAGATATAATAGCTTAGGCATATATCTTATTTGTGATTTACCTTCACGTGAATTTGTTGTTTTAACATTGCTGCTCTTAAGATCAACATGCGGGTGCGCCTCTGATATTCTTTCCCAACGCTCATTGATTTTTCAAAAGTAGTACTACGTTGGTCAACGTCTTTTGCATACAAAATCTGTAATAATCATATCCGTGGTAATCATATCTTGTTGAGTTATTTGTATATTATCATGCTTGTGAAAAATGTATGTAAAAAAAGAATATACTACAATGAAATACTGTATATAGATCTTATAGAATTCTACAAGCAGTTCACCTTGTTGTGCGAATCTATGCGCGCCTGAATTTGTCCGTCTAAAATAAGCTGCATAAGTTCGTCTTCCAATTCAGACACAGTTCTATTGAATGCTGTTGCCATTCGTCTCATATCCGCACTTAAATAAGGACTAAAGTATTGTATTAAGGCTCTATTTCGGATTTGCGTATATAACAGATTCACATGAGGTGCTATGTACATGTCCAAGAGGATATTATCTTTTATCTCATCAAGTAATTTCAAACAGGATGCATATTTTGACTCATAAAATTTGAATATTATATCTCTTAATTGTGGTTCTAATTCTAAGAATAACTTGAAGGAACTACTGAATATAACTTGTTTTTGCAACTCATGCCTGTCAAAGGTAGCTAATGCACAAAGCCCACCATAAAGAGCCACATTTCCAGGAGACAATAACTCAGGACAATCACAATGATCTAAAGATGCTTGCAAGAAATGTCTTGCAGCCATTTTATATTTTCTTGTCGCCAGCTCTGCCAAACCTGCTGCCACTTTCAATTTTGTAATTATTGCTTGATTGTTGTCTTTACCATGAACATCTGGGAAGTCTGGAGTACTTTCAGCCTTGGTAACATAACTAAGTACGTGAGACCAGTTTTGAAGATAAACTGAAACTTTAATTACGTTGAGACACATATTCACAACGTGTTTGCCACTGGTACAGTAATCTCGTGCTCTAGAATAACACTTCAGGGCATGAACAAGATCGCCGCAATTTAAATAATGATCTCCCAAATCATCATGACCTCTTCTTATGCTTTCCTTAATAGAATTACTCTTGTAATTTTTCAAATCTGTATCAAATTTCTCTAATTTAAGAGCAGCTTTCTTAGAACGAGTTTCTACCCATGTTTGATCCATTGTTAACAGATCCTGAGATGTTGACTGAGCTGCTACATCTGGTAAACCCGGAGTACCAACAGCTTGCAGAAGCTTTTTATGCAATATTACATATAATGAGACATTGTATGTGGTCATTACATAAGTGATTGCCATTTTTAATGCTTCTATTCGTAATGATGGACAATGATCGGCAATATATATAAGTCTGTATAATTTTGCAAGTCCAGTGTAGCTATTGGCATATACCTCCAAATCCTGAATAAAATAGAACATAATACAGCTGATTAATAGAATTTAAACCTACTCAAGTATGTATTCAAAAGATTAAAAAAAACCTCTTGAACAAAACAAATTAACATGGTATCTCATATATTTCACTTCAATACGCACCAGCGTCGGATTTTCTACTATATACGGTTCTTCCTCAGCATTATCATTATCCTCTGTAGGAGCATCAACCTGCATTGGCTCCACGACATTTTGCTAAAGAAAAAGAGAGAGATATATATATATCGAATTAATAGCGGTTCGTCTGTTTCTTATCAAAGTATTTAAAATGAAATAGATTTAAACGACAGATAGGCAGAGATACGAGCGTGATAGTTGCGGATAACCCTGTAATTTAAATCGCTTGATCTCTGGATAATGTCATTTCCCAGACTTTAAACAGATAGTTACCTGAACATCGTGAACTTGTAACGGCATTATTAGCCTTGTCCGTTTTTATATTAACCGTAACTCGTATGGTTATTGCGATAAAAAAAGATTATTGTTCGATTTTGCGTACTATATATAAATTAAATATGATACACATACACGATGTTGTAAAGACCATGTTAAAGTAAACAGAGAGCGGCAAATGTCACGGTGAAATGAAACAATGATGATGCGACCTCTTACGACGGATATTCGTATCATTTTATGGCGGATAAGTGAAGTTCTCGACTAAAACGATTATTGATATGTAAATCGATTTGCAATTAATTAACATCTTAAACACACGTTTGGGTCAATATAAAAAATAAATTTTCGAGTTTGAAATTTAAATCCTTCAAATTTCTTAGACTTAGGGCCGGTTGTTCCAACTTCTTGATACGTTAACTGATAATTAAATCATATGTTTATCTTTGTTTTTCCTTCAATTTAGACAAAGATAAACATATATATATATATATATTTATATATATATATTTTTTTTATTTACGATGAATAGTATTATTACTCGAATTTTTCTTGAACGGATTGTACGAGTAAATTATTACTCAGTAAACATCAATTAATAATAATATTACATCAATGTTATAATCTTCGTTTAAATGGTTGGTCGCACAATTCGTCCGAATTCGACATGTTTAAACGTATCAAAAACTCATAAAATCATATATCTTGTCTGTCTGTTAATAATATAATCCTTTTAATCTGCAGTAGATGAGACGAACCAGGTGGAAATGACGTGTGTTGCGTTCTGGCGAAATACGATACAATACAATAGGGCTGCCGCGCGCGCGCGCCGTTCAATATTTACATCGACGAGATGGATATATTACCGGATTAGATGACCCCCGTGGCTTTTTAATTATACAAGCCTCGGTGCGTCGGGACATCTGCCCTATAGAAACCGCGAGGTCCCCTGGTATCTTCGGTTCTCAGAGCTCAGCCAGAAATCCGTCCCCTCGCTACAGAGTATCAATTACATTGTTATTACCGGAGTAGCCGAAGATGCGGTCACAGATAATACGCTGGTATAAGAGCATGCAAACAATGGGACAGGTACATACGGCCTGTTTACTGATGCGTGAGCCCCCCGTGAGAGCAACGCGATAGCCATCGCGCGTGCAACTATGCGTCTAATTTGGATTTTGGCCGCAAAGAGGAGATGCCTCGCGAAAAGAGGGCTACTATGCCAGACCCCGGTTGTACGAAGGAACGTGCACGTACGTATGTATAGATATATAACGAAGGGTTCGGCCTTCGGAAAGTTTAGTGAAACGTCCGGAATGAGCGGAGCACGAAGTTCGCGGATTTCGGGGACTACAGATTTCAGTATAGCTCGTATATTGGCGATAAGTGATCATACCGAGCGCGCGACAGTGGGCGCGGGAACTTTCAATTCAATTGTAAATCTTCAGGAAGTTGATCGCGAAGAGGATCTCCAGCAGGATGCGCGACAGAAACGACAGAGACTTCCTGCAGGACTCGTGGTCGAATACGATCATCGCAATCGAGAAATAAACGAGGAAAGCGTGCCAAGATACGAGGAAAAGAAACGAGAAGAACATATCGATAGTTGCGCTACTCTCTCAAGCGCAGAAACGTGTTCGAACACTTCCAACAACGAAATAAGCCAACGAAATAACGACCGCGTACAGAGAACCGATCTAACGTGGCTCCAGTACACCCGCTATAGACCGCCGAAGCTACCTAGAAAGTCTTTTGTTGAAAAGCGTAGGAAGCGACGAGCGGGCGATCATCCTCGCATCCCGTTCTCTTCGTCCCAACTTCAAGTGTTGGAGGATAGGTACAGGAAAGGAGCTTATCTATCCAGAAACGACGTTATCGAGATGTCCGCAACGTTGAGGCTGCCGCAGAGCAAAGTACGTACAATGAAAATCTCTCAGTAACGATATTTTGTGTTACATTTGTAGTACTTATCGGCAATTTAAAGTATTGAAAAAATATCTGGATAGTGGTGTGTTAATTTGTTACTGGTGAGAACATTGCGTAAAAGCAATTTACAACAAAATTGTTTTTGTATATTTAGGTCAAAATTTGGTTTCAAAATCGCCGGGCAAGGCAACGACGCGAATCATTGAACTCCACCGTAACGACGTGATAATGCATTATATATTTTATTTTTAAATCTCTATCCAGATTTTATTGCTGGTCAACAGGAACTGAATTGGAATTATTCTAAGGTGATTTGACTATTAATAATGCACTAATACTTTTTATACTCTTTTGTATCAACAAACTTATTTATAATTTTAGTGCATTAGGTTTATTTAATGCTAATATATTTACTACTATAATATAATAAATTATAATATAGATGTAATAACTGAAAAGTTATCATATTTGAACAAATTTCTATCATGAATTATGTACTGAAAACAATAGAGATTTATTTGTTTAAGATGTCCAAAAGCTTTAGACTATAATGGAATTATTGCATCTCATCATGAATTTACAATGTGCAAAATTAAAAAATATTGCTAAAATAAACTGATCTAAATAGCATCAATTTCTAAAAGATGTTTTAAAAAAATCTGAGATATATAAAAGAGAATAGGACATCTTTCAAATACTTTTAGACATCTTTTAGAAATTTATGCTGTTTATAGATACGACTTATATCATATATTTTTATAGAATATTTCATACATAACAAATAAGAAAAAAGACATTTGAATTTTCATCTTAAAATTATGAAGAATCTTAAGCCTTGAAAATTTTGAATGTTTATTATTCATTGACGATTATTATTTATTAATAATAGAAATAAAAATAAAATTAGTTGAAGAGCATGTAACATTCAGATTATAATAAAAGAATGGTGACATAGGTGCAAACAATAAAGAGAGACAAACAAAAATGGACAACAAAAACAACATAAAAAGAAGAAATCATATAAGTACACATAACTATCAATGTAAATGTTTTTGCAAATTACATATGAAGAAAAGGCTTGTTGCAATATTATAACCGTGTAACTTCCCTCTATTAATCGAATTTAAATAACACATAAGAATGAGCAGTTCAACGAGCACAATTCAACATTTCGACGAGTACAAATATTACAGATGAATATAGATTAGTTCTATACCATGAGTATCTTTTATATTACCGTATCTCTCCTAGAAGTGACTTTCTTCATGATCAGCATCAAGTATGAGAATAAGAGATGTATCATATTCCCGGTATGAAATAAACCATAGTAATTGCACATGACAAATACCCAACCTTTACCATCGAAAACAGTTTTCGTGATGGAGGAAACAGAAAGAAGAGGTAACGAACAAACGAACGATAACAATAGGCCTGTTCGTTTTGTCTGCACTACTGAACTGGTGCAACAAGTTGAAGTGAGAAAACCTATGTTTGTCTCACTTTAACTTAATACACCAGTTCAGCAGTGCAGACAAAACGAACAGGCCTAATGGAACGGTAAGGAGTATGGGCAGAAAGTACGAAAAATAACCGGTCGTCAAAAGCAGCGACCTCACTCCAATCTCGTTCCGATTTCTGTACATCTCTCTAAAATTATATAACACACATGATAAGGATCTCGTGTCACGCTCCGTTCTATATGTCTCTGCGCGCCACTCTCTCTCGAAGACTCAACTATGTTGAGTAGTTGCTACCCAACCGGTCGTGTTATACTAACGCCCGCGCTATTTTAATTTTTCTATCTCTCGTCTGAGTCACTCTATGAATTTCGAGGAATTTAATTTCGAGCAGACAGTGATGCTCATTTTTCCATGGAAACAGTACAATACAGTCTCAAGATTTGTAAACTTATAAATCTATATCGTTAAAAAAATGCACGATAGATAGAGAAAACTAATTAAGAAAAGTTGACTATCCTTATTTTAATCTACCTCTATAATTTTCAATATAAACGCGCGTGAGAGTGAAGCACTGGAACACAGTCAACTTGAAATAATTACATTTAATTGCGTCATTTCTACCGTCAGTGTTTTAATTATGAATCAATTAAAATGGCCTTTCACATCTCCTGTCTCCCGTTGAATAACTATTAATTTCAACAGCAATTAGGCCTTTTATTTTATAGTTTTTCAGTACCTCATTATAAAGTTGTTAAACGCTGTCGAAAGATCTAGATATATCTTGCATAAAGAATCTTGCGTATCTTGCGTATCATGAGACAGGATGCTGAGATCATTTTTCTTCTTATCTTCGATAGGACGTGATAAATAAACAGAAACACAGCCGACCGTCTGCGCAAGTTTACGACCGTACGATATGATGCACCGCTCAACAAATAACTAAAATATATATTTACTATATTATAATTCAACTTTCAGTCTTCTTCTTTTGCCACACATGCTGCGTATTTATAAATATGCACTATCTCTCTGTAATTATTCGACAAATGTAAAAATAATTTAAGATAACAACCAATACTTATTCATACTTCAAGAGAGAATCATTGTATTAAATATTATCTATTATCAATTCCTAAGATTCTAAAATTCTTGAGATGCCTTAGAAATCTTAGAGATAAGAAAAAAACCCTCTACGCAGGTAGAACCTTCGCGCAGCTCCGAACTAATAAAAAAGAAGGAGATTTTGAAGCTCAGGCTTCGTCGTTCATTCCCGAGTCGACTTCATACGATTCGGACATGTTCCAGCCACCTCGTTTTCTATTTTAAAAACTTTCTAACTCTGCTCATTCAAATAACCTTTGCGATCAATTTCAATTTTCTTATTAGTTCCAATTCGAATTTGTCACTGCTATCACGCAATCATCTTTACTCGATTTTTATTTCTTATCGACTTCGTATTTTTATTCATTTTCTCATATATAATTATACAAAATCGGGAATGAAATTCCACAAGAAGTCTATCAGCTAGGAAATCGAGACTTCCTTCTTCGTCTCTTCTGTTCAATCCCGACAGAGCACACGCCCACACGCAACAGCCAGCTGCAGAATAAAGTAAGCACTAAATTGTAATTTTAGTTCCATTCACATATTATAAACATGATTCATCATTTTGTCCTTGTTCTATTATACAAATAGCAGGAGCAAGCAATGCATATTATTTCAATGCCTTTGGAAAGTGATATATTTGTTTTCAATCTCACAAGAATAATTCTTGATTTCATATTCTTTATGTAGCATTTGTAGTTAAAAAAAATTATAAATAATTCGGTGCAACTATATGTGAGCGAAAAACAGTTATTTCATAATCCCAATTATAAAAATTTTCAGAAAATGTATCGAAATTACATACTTTGAAAAGAGAAAAAATCCCTTAATTAGAATAGCTTTTGTAATTGTGTAATTACTCTTCTAACATTCAAATTTTTTATTCATATCGCAATATACACTAGTGTAAAAAGTTCTTTGAAACTGAACTGTATGTTTATAACATTTAGTAACGCCATCTACCACTCAGAGGGAAACTTGTCGCAGCTTCAACAAATCCGATTTTAGATTGTACACCTTATCAAAGATTCGTGGTCATCAAAAGCAGCGGCCTCACTCCGACTGTTCCGACTGATTTCCGTCGCATCAGCTGTTCCCGTCCGCCGGAGCTGAGCAGAAGAAGCAGGAGAGACGCGCAGCGGCGCACAGAACACATCAATCTTGTCGTCGTCTATAGCGTAGTTACAGCCCGTCCGTACAGCAGTAATACGACCTGCGAATGTCTGCATGTCCAAAAATGCAACAACAGGCGAACGGCGACGGCACCACTGCTTCGCCAAGGAAGAAACAACGTACGTCTAACGTAGCAACGAATGATCCGATATCGAAGGTCACCGTGGTACTCGGTGCACAATGGGGCGACGAAGGCAAGGGAAAGGTCGTGGATATGTTAGCGATGGACGCTGACGTCGTCTGCAGGTGTCAGGTATATTTGTTTCTTTCTTTTATTTCTATATTCATTTCGTTATTCATATTATCTAACTTCGCGTCACCAACTTTCCGCTTCTCAACTTTCCCGATATCGGTTAGCAGATGACTTTTTCGCGAAATATTTTGTGCGAAATGTCCATAATCATGATGAACGTCATGTTTATTTTAAGCGTTGGATTTTCATTCAGGAAGACGAACGATATTTCGTTTTTTCGTGTGTCATTCTTCGACGACACATCTGGGTGAGATTAAGGTTAGCTGTACAAGTCATGCTTTCGAAGATGCAAAGAAAGTTATTCTGATTTCTACGCATTCGTTGCCTCGCGATTTGAGCGACCAATTTGTATCCCAGTATTACGCAAAATACGTATACTAATCCTCCTGTTGTTTTTTTTACCATTTTATTTTTAGAAGTAAATGCATGTCACCTGACCCGCGAGTATTACAAACACATTTGCTGTGGCAATATAACCTATATCTTTTGGCGCCCGATATTACATAATTGCGATGGTCGTAAGCGAAGCTTATTTTTGAGGAAATCTCGTGCGAAATTATCGTCATTTGTATCTTTTTGTAAACCGAGAACATTGCATTATATTTAATATTCAACACGCGCTCAATTTTTATCGTGTTATCAATGAAAGTGAGTTTTATTTTTCTTATTGTTATTTAATGTTTTAATATTGCAAATATGTATTTTAATCATATATTATAATTAATGGTAATATTTCATAATTAATTACTCATTATATGAATAAGTTTAGTTAAATATGTTAGTTATAAAAGAATTAAATTTAATATAGCAGTCTATACATATATATATATATATATATCTATTTTCTTATCTTTTGATTATCTTTGATAATACACAAGCAATATAAATCGTATCTAATATTCGTATCGAGATTATGATGCTATTTCTTGTACATTTAAAAAAAAATTTTTATATATTTTAATTTGAAATTCATTAATTAAGTCATGATAGAACTTTTTTCGTCATAAATAATAGCAAGCCCTATTTCTTCAAATATTAATGTAATTTCACAGGGAGGAAATAATGCAGGGCATACTGTAGTTGTAGAAGGTGCTGAATTCGACTTTCACCTTCTGCCTAGTGGAATAATCAATCCCAGATGCAAATCCGTAATAGGTAATGACTTCTTCAAATCAACAAGTAAAATTTAATCACATTTATATCCTGGTTTGTGCTTAAATGAGTGACAAGTCTCTATAATTATTTTTCCACTTATTTTAGTAATTAATATAAAATAATGGATTATAAAATAATAGATAATTTATTAAAATAGATGTATATGATTATTGATGTGCAAAACAGATAATTATTCCACTTATTTATGTTATATAGATTATTCGTGTCTCTAGATGTATATTCATATTAAATCTGGATCAATTCTATTAGATATTGCAGATCATATATCGTACAGTTAATATTATATATATTTATTCATTTGGATTTATTTCTGTTCACAGGTAACGGAGTAGTGATTCATTTACCTGGCTTGTTTGAAGAATTGGAGAAGAATGAATCTAAGGGACTTAAAGACTGGGAGGACAGGCTTATAATATCAGATCGGGCACATATAGTGTTTGATTTTCATCAACAGGTGGATGGATTACAAGAATTAGAAAAAGGCACACAATCACTGGGAACTACAAAGAAGGGTATAGGACCAACCTATTCAAGTAAAGCTGCTAGAAATGGACTTAGGATTGGGGATCTTCTTGGAGATTTTGACAAATTCTCCCAAAAATTTAATACCTTGGTTACATCATATCAAAAGATGTTTCCTGCACTACATGTTGATATTAAAACTGAATTGGATCGTTATAAGCAGTATGTATATAGTGCTCATATATATAATCATCTCATATGTATAAATATATGTATATATATATATATATATATAGCTTATAAATATATATACATATATATTGATATATATATACATATTATACATATATTATTTTATACATATATATTATACATATATTATTACATATTACACGCATATACATATATTATAATTATATGTATATATATTTGTAAGTTAATATAAAGGTAAATATTTTCATAATATATTACTTACGATATAACTTTTCTTTTTGGGTAGATATTCCGAACGTATCAGGCCGTATGTGAAAGAAACTGTACAGTATTTGCACCAAGCTTTAAAAGATGGTAAAAAAGTTTTGGTGGAAGGTGCAAATGCAGCAATGCTAGACATCGACTTTGGAACTTATCCATATGTAACAAGCTCGAACTGCAGTATAGGTGGAGTATTAACAGGTCTTGGTTTACCTCCTAACACAATTGGTGAGATAATCGGTGTCGTGAAAGCTTACACTACCAGAGTCGGCGATGGACCATTTCCTACAGAATTATTAGATTCTACTGGAGAACTACTGCAAAAAAGAGGCCATGAAGTTGGCGTGACTACAAAACGAAAAAGACGTTGCGGATGGCTCGACTTACCACTACTAAGATTCACAGTGTTGGTTAATGGGTATGTATAATACCAGAATTCTGATCTAAAGTAAACCCATTCACTAAGGAATAATAAATAATCGATGATGATTACCTTTTTGTATTCAACTTTAGTGATCTCTTTTATTTCAGATATACGTCTATATGTTTAACAAAATTGGATATTTTGGACACCTTACCGGAAATAAAAGTATGTATTGGATATCGGTTAAATGGAAAGGACATAGATTATTTCCCAAGCAGTACTTCAGAATTAGTAAAAGTCGAAGTTGTATATGAAAAAGTTGATGGTTGGCAGTCTACCACCGAAGGCGTGCGATCCTTGGATAAACTGCCTTCGAATGCACATAAATATATACGAATCATAGAGGAATACTTAAACGTGCCAGGTATAAAAATGTCTTTGTACTTCATAGATGATAAAATATAAGATAGTACTTTCTTACTTCTTTGAAATAATTTAGCAAAAACAAGGAATACATCACAAAGCGCATTATATAATATATTAATATATATAAATACGATATATTTTGATCAAAATCTTTTTTCCTCCGATGATATTTTATTTGCATACATTTATCTTAAAGGAATGTAAAGTGCTTAATCTACTGTATATTATCTACATGTAAATTTGTGACTGAATTAAATATAAGAAAGAATTTTTTGTTACAGTCAAATGGATCGGCGTAGGTGCAGGTCGAGAGAGTGTAATTGCCCTCTGACGATATACAGTTCACAAAATGTTACTTAAAAAACGCACGATATTAAATGTATTATTAATTTTAATTTTACCTTTAACATTTTTACAATGCAAAGCTGATAAGCGCACACAAAGAGAAAGATTTTAACAATAAGTTTTCAGTGAATGTAGTATTATTGTTGAATTTAAGTGACACTGAATGTACACACATAACATTGTACAATGTGAATGTTAGTCATTTTGTAGTCAGTATCAGCGTTAACGAGTGAGCCGAAGATTATCACAAATGTTCGTTATATGTTATCTATTTTAAATAGCTCTATTATAGATACATATATATATATATGTATATATATATATGTGTGTGTATACATTAAGGCACACTTGTGTTATTTGTCAATTAATGCCTTCAATTTTATCATTTTATGTTTTAATTCATCCTACTGTGTTATAGAAAATAATTTGCCAAATACTAAGTTTTTAATAATATATGCCTATTAATAGAGTAAACGTGCTGCCACATTCTTGTTGAAAAAGTTAAAATCTGCAAAGTAAAGATTGATATATTTATTAAAGATTTTGTTTCTCTCATTCCATTGGCAGTGTAGTTGCATATGCATAGAAAGCGCTAATGTAGCGCCCACTGCTGAACTCAACATAACCAATACACGATACGTGTACTAGTCGAGTGCAAGTCGGAAACTTGTGGCACTGATCGGTATAAAATGTCTGCCGTCATGTCTTATTAACGGAAATGAGGAAAGTGGCAAGAGTCAACAAAGTTTCACTAAAATTATTGGCGCAAAAGTAGGTAAAAGGTGAAAGTAACCTATATTGTAAATTTGATTTCAAACACTTGGTTAATTTCCTGTTTTTACGAATCATCATGAGAAGAATTTCAATAGTATACAATGAAAATATAAAATATTACTGATTTTTATATTTAAAAATTCCCATGGAAGTAAAAATTAGAAATCAGGCGAAAAAAGAGATGGAGAGGAAGGAGAAAGTTTGATATTATTCTCTAAATGGTTAATAGCTGTGAGAATATAATATACACTTTGAATGTATATAATTATAACAATGTGAATGTTATATTATTATTACTACGTTAAAAAGTCATATTAATATCTTTTCAATAGCATTTGGCATATTTGTCTAGGCATATTTGTTTGGTCTAAAATTATTTGGCATGATTCTCATGGTTTGTTTTGAATGCGCCAAGTAGGACAACTTAAAATATGAAAAGACTCTGACCAACTTGATATATATATATATATATTTAGAAAATAATATTAACAATACAGTTTTACAAAAGGAAATTCTGGATGTTTGGTAATACCCTTAAAAATTCCAAAGTCACATATTCGTGCAGATTCTCCCATATCAAGATTATTTAACTTATTAACATCTTCTTGTTGAAGTTCCCAGTCAAATAGTTGTATGTTCTCTTTAATTCTTGTGGGATTTGTGCTTTTTGGGATAACTGCTATATTCTTTTGAATAATATGTTTAAGTAATATTTGAGCAGGAGTTTTCTTATACTTTTGTGCCACTTCCAATACAATATAATTTTTCAATAAATCTGGCACAGTATCTGCTTTTCCTATTTGATTGATAAATCCACGTGAACCCAAAGATGAATATGCTGTTACTGTAATATTGTTGTTTTTGCAAAATTTCACCTGTCACAGAGTACAAAAATGTATTTTTTATTCACTGTGTTGTATTTAAAAGTAGATTATTATATCAATTATGAAGAGATATTCGTATAAATAATATAGAACTTACCAAATCATTCTGTTGGAAATATACATGCAACTCAATTTGCAAATTTGAGATAGGCAGTTTAGCATTGGCCAAAATTTTCTTTATCTGAGAAATGTTAAAATTTGATAATCCAATTGCTTTGGTACGCCCTTCTAACACTTGTTTTTCCATTGCAGTCCATATTTTCAAATGATCTGTGTTGATATCAATTTTTATTTCTCCTTTTTCATTATAAGGATGTAGTTCTTCCCCAGCATCTTCAAATGTAAATGGAGTATGTACCAGATACAAGTCCAAATAGGTCAATTGCAAATTACAAAGTGATCTTTTAATCCATTTTTCTATGTCTTCTGGTCTGTTACCACTAGGTGGGACCTAATAATATATCGCCTATATATTATAACTATTAACATAATTACTATATTAATGTATAAAAGTTGAACGACATACCTTTGTTACAACAAACAGTTCAGATCGATTAATTCTACCAGAGTCTAACCATCTTTTTAGAACGTTGCCGATAGCACGCTCGTTTTGATACACCGTAGCTGTATCTATATGTCTATATCCTGCTTCCAAAGCTATATCTATAGCTGTCTCCAACTCTTCTTCACTTGCCTGTTATCATTATAATTTATTATACATTATTTTAAATTAAAACATAATTATTATAAAGTATTCGAATAATTTTAATTCAAATGAAATATCCCTTATATGTAAAGAGCAAGTAATTTTTTTGCAAACTTACATGCCAAGTCCCAAATCCTAAAATAGGCATTGTCTGTCGCGTTGGCAGAAGTACATCTGAATTTGACATCATATTCGAAGTGTCTTGCAGAAGTACAGAAACAAGACTCAGTGCAGATTGAGAGATAGCACCAGTAGAAATACCACTGCCCCACCATCACTTTTCTTTTTATACACTTTCACTCGTATCCTTCAATTTTATGTCGCAGTAATTACTCAACCAGTACGACAACTTTCAATGGCTACGTTTATTAAATACAGTCTTAACACATATTTTGTTTATACATGATGTTTAAAACGCAAATCGTAAGCCGTAAGCGGAAGAAAACTGCTTGTAAATAAAATTAGTATATAGAAGTATGAAGTAGGTCTACAACTCTAAAGTAGATCAACAACAATGAAATACAACTTCGTCAATTCTTAAATCTTTTCTGGTGTAAACAATTGTTGACTAGACCTACTTTAGATCATGGTACACGTCAGGGCGCAATTAAATCGCTAGATGTAAACGTAGCCAAACTTTTTTATATGACTGCTTATTCTGATGTATACTAATTTTGTTTACAAGCATTTTTCTTCCACCTATGACTTGTGTTTTAAACATTATGTAAAAACAGTGTACTTATCGAGATTTTATATACGATTTTGTTATACATAATAGTAAAATGTTCCTCAAAAATTATGAAGAATAGTAAAAAATTAGTTTTTAATATTTAAAAAAATGGTTGGATAACATTTATATTTTGCCAATATCTATTATTTTCATTTTGTTAAAAGAAAGAAAATTTAATATCGTATACAAGTTTAATCACAGTTCATTGTTAATTTTCCAGATAATATCCAAATCTTCCTAATGTATGTTTGTATTAATTGTGGAGCTGAATGCAAAGAGCTCTTTAGAAGATACTGTCCTAGTGTTCTTAAAGTTCTAAAATGTGTAAGTAAAACATTTTGCAACACTCAAATTCATATTACAGAGGTCACAGACTTTGCATTATATATTGCATTGAATATTTTAGGAAGAATGCGGCTTATCAGCTGACAAATACATTGAATATGATCCAGTTATAGTTTTCGTAGATTTAATTCTGATAGAAAAACCAGCTTATAGACATCTTCTGTACAATAGCGATTTTAAATCATATTGGAAATTGAGTGTTATATTATGGTTAGCCGAATCGTCGAGAGCTTGGTCTTCCTGTGAAACAAACAAGGCGGAATTAACCGCATCAAAAATAGATTTGGTTCATAACGACGCGTTGCAAGATGAATGTAATTTTTATAATTTGCTGTTACATACCGCGTTAGCCTTCGCGGCATTCGTTTGTGCAGTCGTTATAGTAACTGAATTAAAATGGTTTATTATCCGTGAAAAACCGTATAAATATAGCGTTAGAGATTTAAGTTACGCTCTGATAACTGGAGGCTGTGGTAAATTGCTTGGATTGTTGGGAATAGTGTGGAGGCATATAGCTTCGGGTCCATATTATATTCTTATTCAAGGTTACACAGTTTTATGTCTTTTAACTGCATACTCAGGTAAGAATCCGTTGTAAAAAGTACAGACGTTATATAAGACGTTCAATAGGTTTATTGCAACTTTAAAACTCATAACTTATATTTATAATCCATCTTTGATCTATAATTGTTTAATAATACATACAGTGTATCCTGTTCCCCTATTGCAGTTGTATGCAAGACTGGAAAGGGAGGATCTTTGATTGGGTTAATCTCTGGATTTCTATTGTATGGTTACATACATATGTACTTCCATCTCTAAATTGCACCTAGTTATTCCCAATATCACTCTAATATGAACGTATGACCGATAAAACCATAGTTTTTGATCAATTTCAAGCATCTTTAACAGGAAGAACACTCCAGCCCAAAACTAGTCTGTCAAAACCGCAAGAAAATAAATTACATACACTATTATCTTCCAACCAGGAGACAGAGCACACCATTCTACGATGACCCTGCAAATACATTACATGATTGTTTGATCTATTTGCTAAAGAATCGGCTTACAAATAATATATTTGGGTAAAACATCAATGTTAATTACTTTAAATGGCTAAAGGGACAGATGTTTATACAATAAAACAGGTGTTCATAATAATGAGAAAATATATTCTTTACCTGTCTGCTAGTTCTAGGTAATCTCGCCAGACGTTGACCGCTTAAGTCAAATAAACGTATTTGTCTATTGTCATGTGGTATTGCCACTGTCCCAGTGCTAGAAACTGACAATCGATTAGCAGCACTATCTCCACGTATTGTCGCTAATGGACTGCGTATATTTCGTAGTTCCCATACTTTTACGCTTCTATCGTCTGATCCAGATACGATTTTATCCTCTCGTGTAAAAACAGCAGATGTTACTGTTCTACAAAAAGGAGAGAGGTATACAAATTATTAATTTTCATCATTTAGTGTTACATAGGCGAGATACTGAAATGTCGATTAAGCTTGCTTTAGATGATCTATAATTTGCGATAGATTTCTATTATAATTTCGTGCACAGTATATAATACACAGTATATAACACAGTATATATCCTGATTCTTAGTTTTTTTTTTCTTAAGATTCTGTTTCGAATTTTATTATAAATTATAAATCGTCTGAAGTGAATTCAAAAAAAGAATTGTTAGCATTCTGATGGTAGTATACATACTCTGTATGACCTTGAAATACCGACACCGAGTGTATCGGTTCTCGGAAGTCCCACAACCGAAAAGTGTTATCTCTGCTGGACGTGACGCATAATCTTTGTGTATGATGAGTCGATACGTGAGTTAATTCTTGATCGTGTCCACACAGAGTATGTATAATTTCTCCAGTTTCTGTATCATATAAGTTTGCTGTTCTATCCCAAGAGGCTGTAACCAACTGCTCAGCACCAGGAAGCCAATCTGCAGCCATTACAACGTTTGTATGCCCGAAAAGTTCTCGTATCGGTGTTCTCAGAGTTGGAGGATCGTCTTGTTCCTCGTTATTACTAATTAAATTATTGGTAGTAGATCGTTCAGAACTGGCTACTGGAAGTTCTTCTAATGATGGTACTCTCTTTGGTATATCCCAATCGACAGCTGCTTGCCATACGTGAGCGGAATTATCACCGCTCGCTGATAATGCCAATTCTCTGTTTGGATGAAATCGGACTGAATTCACAGATCCACTGTGACCAATGTATTGTAACAAACATCGACCACTGTCTATTGCCCATATACGTGCAGTATGATCAGCAGAGGCAGTTGCTATGATAGGTTGACCTGATCTACCCACAGATACTTCCCATACACCATCACGATGACCCACATATTCTCTTTGCATAGTACTGGTCATTGATGGTGTTTTAAAGCTTGATACTATTTTACTGGTTTGTGCCTTTAATTTATGAGAAGCTTTGATCTTTTGTGCAGAATTTGCACCCATTGCTAGAAGGAAAACAATTGTTATTGTGTTTAAAAGTTGAATAATGTTGTTGAATTCAAATTGTCATGTAGTATTTTGCATTATTTATATAATGACTTATATCGTTATGATATTGTATCATCATGATGGAGACTTACACTTTTGCTTAGAAAGATTCTTTGTTTCCGGGTAATCCATAAGATCTCCAGGAGGTAAACTGCGTTCACCTGACCCATAGCATTCCCTCTCCAGTCTATCGTTCAAAATGTCAATCTTTTCCTGTACTACAATAAGACATAGACATCACATATATTACATAAACATAACATTATTTGACACATTTGATTGATGTTTATTGAGCGTAAAGCAAACACTTACATCCTAGATTTTCAGTATATAGCATTTCAAATTCTTTCTCAATCTGCTGAAAGAGATCATACAAGCGGCATCGCAAAGCCGGTGGTATAGGGCTATCTTCTAATTCTGAACGAAAACAAACATAGTGCAACGCAGTAGTGGGTTGCAACGGAGTCGAACCACTTTGACTCTGTTGCGACTGTAGCTCGGTATCTGTGCTGCTTTGTACGCGAGGTATAGAAATCCTCTTTGCCTTGCCACTGGATTTATTTCCAGTTGTGGCCGATGGTTCGCCGGGCATGACTTGTTACTTAACAACAACGATGCAAACAGCAGACAAACATGTTCCACCAGATTTCACTTTGTCGCATATGTTGTCGATCACTTGGACTTTAGAGTCACTGCATTATTGATCACGTATACCGTATGCGACTTGCCCGCAAAGTACATGGAGCAATTGATTAATAATTTTATCGACATTATCGAACGATACTTTTTACGTCAATTCATCGCCAAACTATCCAGTCGTAGTCGTGCGTTTTCCGTCTTCCCCGTATCTTATCGTGAATACAAATGTCAACCAACTTCGGTCTAGACGCAAACGCAAGACAGCTGTAGCAAAAGGTGGCGGTATATTTAAAAATATTTTGTTTTAATAAAATAGATATATATATATATTTTACAAAAACATATGTAATATATATCATGGCCTATGTATATATATATATATATATAGCTGCACTGATTATGAAATATTAAAAGACTATAGTTTTGCCATGAATTTCTCTTAATTGATTTTATTAACGAATAAAAAGTGATCGATCGATAAAAGAAAAGAAAAAATGGCTATAAATAAATTGAAATCATTCGGATTTGATCCCAATTATTTTAACAGAAATAGCTAAACATTCTCAATAAATTTAACAATTAAAGACGATTATATTGTACATTACACACTTTATAAATTGGTTTTTCAACAAGGATGTTGAAATGATACAAAGGATAAAAGGAAGATAACGCACGTGCGTCACTATTAAATTGTTGATGATATGCTTACGAATTTCTAAATATAACGAATTGTGTAAAAATGTCACGTAGCAAGCATTATACACATAAGTTGATATAATATTGCCTTGTATATATGTGTATGTTCTTTATGTTTATTAAAATAAATTATTAATAGCCCCTTTAAACAAAGTGACAACGCCATCTCTTGTCAAAACCATTGCAACATTTCTTTCGATATTTATCGATAATAGGTCTGTTCATATTTGGTCTGTTCTTTTCTTCTGCATCGCTGTACTGGTGCAATAAGTTAAAGTGAGACAAATATATACTTGTCTCACTCGAACTTATTGCACTAGTGTAGCGGTGCAGAGGAAAAGAACAGACCTATTGATTGAACTTTTCGCACTTGACTCTTCGGGCAAGAGCACAGGCTTTTGCATAATACATAATACATAACGCATAAGAGAATAAACCAATTAGTTTTCTTCATTTCCCTCTTCAGGACAGAAATGAAGAACTCTTCTTCTTCTTCGTCGTTTATGGCACAGGCATGAATGCCATTGGTCAGTGCTTACGGCCACTTGACTCTTTCATTCTTACTTTCTCAAGCGTTTGAATATGTGTCTGTCTCGTTTAAATGCGAAAGGTGCGAAAAGTTCAAGCAACATGAACAAAGTCTAAATATTTGATATTCATTAAAATCCATTTCCTAGGGAGCTTCAGGAGACGTCCTTCTATTGGATAGTTTTTGAGAATTTCCCTCAAATAAAAAGTATCGGCATCATTTTGCCCGCTGATGTGCTATACCGAACACACCATAAAAGTTTCCCGCCAAAATAGATGAGGCGCGTATGTGTTTATTTATTTGGTATGCCTCTGTGCATTTAATCGAATAATTTTGATCAGATATTTAAATATACTCGCACGATGGAAGGCTTTGATGATCCAGGAGTATTTTTCTCGGATAATTTTGCGATAGACGAGACTCATGAGAATCAAGTAAATCTCCAACATTCGAAAAAGAAATTTAAAGAATTTATTCGACAATTTCACGAGGGTAACTTCAATTACAAATATCGGTAATTATTTCAAATGTCTATATTCTTTTTGTATGTTCATATAAGATCTTAATTGCCTTTCAATACGAACTTTTAACATATTTATTCTAACATATTTCATTTCTGTTATGATCAGAGATACCTTAAAACGTAATTACAACCTTCGTCAGTATTGGCTAGAAATCAATATAGAAGATCTAGCGGCTTTCGATGAGCCCCTTGCCGAGAAAATTCAAAAACTTCCAACAGAATGTTTACCTATCTTGGAAGAAGCTGCAAGGGATGTCGCAGATGAACTCACAGCACCTCGGCCAGAGGGTGAAGAGAAGATGGAAGATATTCAAGTTTTGTTGTGTTCAGATGCACATCCAAGTTCTCTAAGAGGAATGAAGGTAAAATTATAATCAACAATTTACGCATAAAGAAAGAATGGATATATTAAAACTCAAATTTGCATGTTTGGATAAACTCACTCAGATACAGATGAGCCATAAAAGTTAAAGCATTGAATAAGTAACATATATATTTAATAATTTTGGAGATATGTTTTTAATAATATCTAATTATATATAATCATCTTACTGTTAAAGCCTGATATTGTCTCAAAGATTGTGAAGATTCCTGGTATAATTGTTTCTGCATCTGGTATTAGAGCAAAGGCAACAAAAATTGCGATACAGTGTCGATCTTGTAAAGTTACTCAAGTTAACATTCCTATTAAACCAGGTTTAGAAGGATATGTGTTACCTAGGAAATGTACGACGTAAGTTTTCCCAAAATATTTTATTATTGATATTTATAGTCACTTTATAATATATTTCTATATTATCTCAGGGTACTATCTTTTATTAGCAATATCTTTTATTTTTAGAGAGCAAGCAGGTCGACCAAAATGTCCTTTAGATCCTTTCTTTATAATGCCAGATAAGTGCCATTGTGTGGACTTTCAAGTTTTAAAACTTCAGGAATTGCCAGATCATATACCACAGGGTGAAATGCCCAGGCATTTGCAATTGTATTGCGATCGATATTTATGTGACAGAGTTGTACCTGGCAATAGAGTGCTGATTCTTGGAATATATTCCATTAAAAAGGTATCTAAAACAGGTGGCAAGGCTGCAAGCAAGGAAAAGACATTAGTGGGTGTTCGAGCTCCGTACATTCGGGTTCTGGGTATTTCTGTGGATGGAGAAAATACAAATATTGGTACTGATGGCATAATAATGTAAATTTAAGAACCAATTGTCCAATATCAAATAATTTGCATGTATCCTTTTTTTGTACTTCTTTTATGCAGGAACTCAGCCACCCGTCACTACCGAAGAGGAAGATCTTTTCACGCGATTAGCAGCCGATCCGAATTTATATGAGAGAATTGCGAAAAGTATAGCGCCTAGTATTTTTGGTGCGATTGATATAAAAAAGGCTATAGCATGTTTATTATTTGGTGGAGCCAGGAAACTGTTGCCTGATGGCTTGTGCAGAAGAGGCGATATCAATGTTTTGATGTTAGGTGATCCAGGCACTGCAAAATCACAACTGTTGAAGTTTGCAGAAAAAGTCGCTCCTATAGCTGTTTATACGTCGGGAAAAGGTAGCTCCGCGGCTGGTTTGACAGCAACTGTATCAAGAGACCCAGCAACTGTAAGTTGTATATTTCTCAATTATACTGTAGAGATTTTCATGATATTAAAAAATACTTCCCATGTGCAACATGATATATATACACACACACACACACACACACACACACACACATACACACACACACATATACATACATACATACACACACACATATATATATATATATATATATGTATATGTATATCACTATTTTCAGAGAAACTTTATCATGGAAGGTGGTGCAATGGTTTTAGCGGATGGTGGTGTCGTGTGTATCGACGAATTCGATAAAATGAAAGAAGATGATAGAGTGGCAATACACGAAGCCATGGAGCAACAAACTATTTCTATAGCAAAGGCGGGAATAACGACTACTTTAAACACACGTTGTTCCGTATTAGCAGCGGCTAATTCTGTCTTTGGTCGTTGGGATGACATAAAGGGAGAAGAGAATATAGATTTTATGCCAACAATATTGTCACGTTTCGATATGATATTTATTGTTAAAGATGAGCATGAACACAACAGAGATGTAACTTTAGCTAAACACGTTATGAACATTCATTGCAACGCTGGCCAGATCACAGAACAATCGGTAGAGGGCGAAATCCCTGTGCACATTCTTAAGAAGTATATTAATTATTGCAGAACGTAAGTGTACCGTGTCTTATCGCATGTAAGGCATGAATTTTACAAAGCATAACGTACGTTTGTCTCTTATTTTTTTTTCGTAATATAGACGCTGCGGTCCAAGACTTAGCGTAGAAGCAGGCGAGAAATTGAAGAATCGTTATGTAATGATGCGAACCGGTACAAGAGAACACGAGAAGGATTCCGAAAAAAGATTATCTATACCGATCACAGTCAGGCAACTTGAAGCTATTATACGAATGTCCGAAGCTCTGGCCAAAATGCATATGCAACCTTTCGCAACTGAAGTTCACGTTAACGAAGCTTTGAGGCTTTTTCAAGTATCTACGTTAGATGCTGCAACGTCCGGATCATTAGCAGGTAAACTGCAAAATTAGAAATATAATATTATAATAATTATAATTTAGTATAAATGATCATAGTAGATATCTATGTAACATATATTTTATGATATTAGGAGCAGAAGGATTTACCTCGGAAGAAGATCACGAAATGTTGTCTCGCATCGAAAAACAATTGAAAAATAGATTTCCTATTGGACATCAAGTATCTGAGCAAAACATAATAAAAGATTTTCTTAAACAATCGTTTCCGGAACGCGCCATTTACAAAGTTATACATACGATGATACGTCGCGGTGAGCTTCAACATCGTTTGCAACGTAAAATGTTGTATAGACTGCATTGAAGAATAACGGAAACATCTTCAATGTTACCATTATATAATATCATATTGTTGCGTTTTTGTACGTTACATAACTTCTTAACTATTTTAATACAAACTAATGATTTTTTACGAATTAATTTATGATAATTGTGGAAGTTCACTTTTAAACGGATAATGGGGGTGACTCTCGATTCTGGAAAATGAATAATTTGTTACGTATATTATTTACAAAAATTTTTTCAATTAATTTCACAACGTATTACAGCTAATTTACATCTAAAAATATTAGCTTTTATGTAAAGAAATATACAATATTTTTATATATTACTGAATATGTGACATGATATTTAAAATATTACATGAGCATTACCTTACCCTTTGAAAAATAAAAAGTTGAAGATTCTTCCGTCAGTATCTTTATCTAAAGTATTTAACTGTTCCACATCTGCTTCTGTCAGGGCAAAATCATATAGATCGATATTCGATTTAATTCTTTCTGGAGACGAACTTTTGGGAATAATGACAATGCCTAATTGCAGTAAATGGCGCAACAAAACTTGCGCCGTTGTCTTCTTATGTCGTGCAGCAATATCTTGAACAATTTGGTGGTTTAGTAAATCGGGAAATTTATCTACTCTATAGTTATATTTTGTTTGGAAATGTGTCTTTGCAGCTGGAGATCCCAATGGACTGTAACCCGTCACAATAATATTGTGCTTCTTACACAATTCTCGAATTGATTTTTGTTGCATATACGCATGTAATTCTACCTAACAACACATGAAATTCGCTTAGAAATCGTATTAATTTACAATATCGTTGATTGGATATTTATCGTATTTGAATCTATATTAATTTACCTGCAGATTACTTGGCTTTATTTGTGCGTTTTCCCATATAGCTGAAATTTGATCTTCATTAAAATTACTTAAGCCTATAGATCTAGTACGTCCTGACCTAACTTGCTCTTCCATTTCCTGCAAAATAATTTTGCGATATTCTCAAAAATCTCTTTTATATCACAGTATATAATATCCCATCACAATTGATTTTATACCTTCCATACTAAAATAGGATCTGTATTAAAATCAAGTATGTGATTCCCATCCTTGTCAATTGCTGCGGCATCTGTTTCCTGATCTAGTTTAAATGCAAAGGGCATGTGTACGAGGTACATATCTAAATAATCCAATCCAAGCATCTCCAGTGACAGTTTAATGAACTTTTCTACATCACAGGGTCGGTTGCCAAAATGAGGCAACTAAAAGTATTATGATAAAACCTAAGTACATTTGTTTAAAAAAATGCAATTCTAGCGTGATAATTCCTAAATTATTTACCGAATTAAATCTTATATTTACAACAGATTACCTTTGTTGTAATAAAAAGTTCTTCTCTGGTACCACCTTTGTCAAACCATTTTTTTAAAGCTTTGCCAATTGCACTTTCATTATTATAATTTCTTGCTGTGTCGATATGTCTGTAACCACATTCTAGAGCGGTACTTACAGCAGTTTCAATTTCTTCTGGTTTAGCCTGGAGAAAATTATTTTATACTTACTGAGATCCTTCTTGTATATTGTAAATAATTAATAATAATACAATTAATTAATAATATGAGAGATAATCATGTGTAAACCAATAATGTCAAAATATTACTACATACAGAGATTATTTTAAAAACACAATAATATTATATTATTATCAAGACATCTTAACATCTTATTATATTACCTGCCACGTTCCTAGACCTACAGTGGGCATATTATATCCTGACAGCAACTTTACAGAATGCATGCTTAATCCTTGTGTATCAATGTTCTTGTCACTTTTCAACCGTAAATAACACAAATTAGAATTGCAGCGAACGTATTAAAACAGTAATATTATTCAGAAAGATAATTCTATATTAAAGTTTGTAATATTGTACTATTTTTGGAAATTTATGTGAGATAAATAGTACCACTTGGAGAGGGTCACGTTTCTAAAGTTAGAATAGATGCACCTAACGGTCACACGAATCCCTGCACACGTCGTGTGGTTGCAGTCATATATGTTTCAGAGTTGTATTGATTGCAAGGGTTGCGCCGCGGGTAATTGATTTAGGTAAGAAAAGTAATATATATTACCTTGTTAAAGAATGAAATTAAAGGCAGCTTGAATGAATATAACATCTCAAGTTTATACATAAAATAATAAATTAAAAAACAAACGACTGCTTTGACAAATGAATATTGAAAAATGACGATAAAGAAAAAAGATTAGAAAAGTATAAAAGTGTTATCAACTTATGTATTTCTAGATAATATACAACTTAAGCTTACAATCACAATATTTATATTATATATATATGTATCGATACGTATCCTATAGGCTTAGAATATATTTTTGAATCGTTATGTGTCAAAAAAGAAATATCTTTTGGAAGATTCATGTGTATTTCAGATACACATTTTATGTTTATTGTATAACAAATCTTGTATATATAAAGCAAAACATCTGAAAATATATTTTATGGCTTTATAGCTATTCAGCACTGTTATTTCCTTATGGCTTATGGCGTGATGTAGTAGATACGCATTTGATCCATATTACATTATACCTTAAGAATTTATTTCAAATTGTCATAATCACTTGTTTTATTAAACATTATTAATACTTATAAATGTATACTGCGGTACAAAAAATGCTTATGCATCCATTTTTCATAATCTATTAACATATGTTCTAGTACATATTATTCATCACTTGATCAGAATCATTGATCTCTCATTATTATGAAAATAGATTCTTCAGCATATACATTTCATAATATGACTTTATATCAGACTCATGTATCCACTATCTGTTAAACTGTAAAGTATTTCTACAGGCTTTGACTTTTCATTTCGTAATTCCCTCATTCTCTCGCATATTTGTTTGATATATTTTTTATGTCGTGGGTGCCTAAAAATCGATATATTTAAAATTATTAATATGAATGTGCGTCTCACATCGTTCCAATTATTTCTCTAATAAAACGAAAATTCACTACTTACTTGTCTATTACAACTTGGATACTCTTTTGAAAGGTCTGTTCCTCTTCATCGATATCTAAGAAACTGATCATTGTTCTTATGACAGGCACTTCCAAAAAGACACCAAAAATCTCTATAGAAACTTTATGTGATATCCTTTGCAAGTAGGACGACATTTGTGCCAGCATAGTATTCTTAAAACTTCTCCTGCCACTTCCAGATAACTTGTCTTTATCCGAGAGAATAAAATTGATATTGACATTAACCGGATTACTTGGTGTTATCGACACATCATTTCCACTTATTTTACTATCGGATCTGTTTAATATCGACAATGCATTCTCGGACTGCCTCTGTAAATAGTCGACAATGTCATGTATATTAATCTTTCTTTCTTGAAATCTATCTCTCTCCCAAGTTTGCAATCTTAAAGTGCCCTTCTCCCCGTTTCTTAACAATATTATCTGGTTTATAGAGTTCTCTTGGCAATATTCCAATATTTCTTCCATAATACAGAGATCTAATGTCGTGACTTTTAATCCTAACGACCAGATCTCCCGTAACACATCGATCATTTCTTTTTCTCTTCGTCCTTCGCTTCCTTGACTTCCCTCGCAGCAGACAGCCACATCGATACCGCATTTATTTTCACCACCTACATTCTCGCATGCTTCCGTGACAGCAGATACCAATTTGTCTAACGATATGCTAATACCAGCACCGTATTGTTTCGTTTCTTTACTGGCCATTCCAGTACGTTCCAAGACTTTTCTAAATGACATCAACATTTTGTCGTATCGACCACCCGCGGCTATAACATCTTGACCGCCTCGTCTTCGTCTATGCTTTAATTCGCAGGTAATCTGATATATCACACCGCTGTATTGTTGTACGTTATACGTTAATAAAGGTACAACGGTAATAGGCCACTGTAAAATAAGGAGAGAAAATAATCGTAGAGACACAATTCTACAAGCTTACAAATTATACAATTATATTTGTACCTTAACAAAAAGATCAATAATCCATTTTCAGTTATAAAGACTCCAAAATTTGGTTATAAACATCGTCAATTGGAAGTCGAAAAAAATGAATATAGGCCTTTTTCTTTTCAAGGTATTCTATGATATGTATGTATACTTTAACGTTACCTTTACCCCTAAATTTTCTACGTTAGATATTACAGTTTCTATATCTTTCAATCCTTCTTTAGCCAAACCAGCGGCATCTCCTTTCCTTCTGGTTATTGTTCTCAAGACACTGGCGATCTTTGCAACGGAACTCTCCGTTTCGAGTAAATTGAAAAGTGTTTCCATAGCCTGATCAGTGAGACACAAACTGATCAAGTGCGTTTGGACTTGAAATTTGGAGAACTTGCCATCACGGGCGTTCTGTAGTATCGAGTATATATCTTGATATTTATCCTTCTCTACGCCGCAGTACATTAGTACAGCTTGCAACAGTGACGTATGATTCAAACGTACTGTAAGATTACGCTCTTGAACCTGTGGTAATTCATTAAAAATTTCCCATATAATAAAGATCAACTCAGCTTCCGTCATTAAATTGTTGGCTACAGGACTGATGATATCGAAAGCACACTCGTACAATTCTCTCGGATGAAATCCTCGAGCCTGCAATATGATTCGATATAAATCAATCGTTGTATTTCCGATTGTCTCAAATAGTTTTAAGTTTAAATATTGAAAACGCAGACATACTTTCTTATCTCTGAACACACGTTCGATGGCATATCTTCGAATGTGTGAAATATTATTCCATACGATGTATCTGGCGAAGGGTGTGCGAAGATCATGAGGTATAGAAACTACGCTACCAGTGCACGTCATCAATTTAACGCTAGATTCGGTAAAACTACTATGCTGAGCGGATTTAGGCATCAGCAACGGAGTGGTGAGACACAATCCACCGTGTTTCTTAAATATTTCGACGATCTTTCTTTTTATGTTTTCCTGTAGAAACAGTTTTTTCGAGGAAAGGACACTTGACGCTCCCCTAGCAGGTAAATTCATGTCATAAGTAATGTCCACCGCCGGTGTAACTTCTTGCATGAAACACGATGCCACTAAATATTTATATGCTTTACTTTGACTGTTGGATAACGTATGGCGCACCATCTCTTGTAATTCCGTTTCTTCTAATTGAGGTGGTGGTAAGTATTCAGAAGAAAGTAGTTCTTGAGCGGTGGGTCGCTGACTCGGATCATGATTCAGCAGCCAACTGAAAGATATAACGAGTTTTATTATTTTGTATAATTCAGAGAAAAAAATAATGCAACGTTTAATATATCATTTAATGTCGTCAAATTGTGAATTGTCTTACCGTATAATATGAATTTGATGTGGTATATCCGTTTCTACTATGTCAGTAGGAAAAACTATCTCCTTAGAGCGTAAATTCAATAGAATCTTTACACGCTCCATTCCAGTCGTCAATGGTTTGTACGTCATTTCGAAAAAGATAATTCCTAAACTATAGATATCTACCTTTTGATTGTAAATTGCTTTGGCAGTCTTTGCAGAAAGTTCAGGTGCTACATATAAAGCTGTCCCGACTTGTCCAGTAAGAGATCCCTCTACGTCAAAACTTGCCCCTAAAAAGAGATGAAGTAAATTGTAAAATATATGGCTTATACCAATTCGTCACATCTTAATATACAATTCGCTATTAATTACTCATACCTTTTTCAACGAACTGTGATTCTTTATCAGCGTCAATAGTATGAACTAACGTCGATAATATGTTAGTCGTAGCTAGTCCAAAATCTCCTATCTTGACATGATCGTTACTGTCAAGAAATATATTTACAGGCTTCAAATCTCTGTGTATCATGCCCTGCTGGTGAATATGCGCCAACCCTTCTACAATTTCTCGAAATAATCTCCAAACTCGTTCGTCATCTTCGTATAAGCCATTGTCTATGGCAGTCCTTAATGTACTCTTTTCGCAAAATTCCATTTGTATGTACATGAATTGTATTTCTTTCACCGTCGTATCCGCACTAGTGATTTCGGCATCTTTAACATCGTCATTCGAGATGTCGGATTTTGTAGACCTTGGTGAGATACTATCTCTTTCAAATTCTATGCTATCAGAAGATTCGATTCGCAATAAAGTTCGCTTTCTGAAAGACGTGAAATAACAGTTTTTTAGACATTAAACCTAATTGAAATTCCACACATATACAGACATAATTGTCAGGTTTTGCTTATTACTGAGAAAAAGTTTTCTTACAAGAACGTGCAATGTTCCTCGCTATCGGAATCAGTTGAAGAGTCGCTGTTATCATCTTCACTATCAGCCGCATTTGCCAAAGACTCGTACGATATATTCCATTCAACTTCGTGTAACGATGGAGCAAATTTTTCTATTTCCTCACTTCCCAGTTGCTAAAAAGTGAAAGTTGCATATTTTTATAGTAACATATCTGACTATATATTAATCGTAACTAAAGTTTTGATATACCGAAGCTTAATCATAAAATAAAATTTACATTATTTTTTATATAATACTTACTATATCTGTTTTATCCTGTGTGTCAACTATGTCTGTTTTATCCTGTGTAGTAGTAGCAGTAGTTCTATCCGAAGATGTAGTGATTGGTGTAAATCGACTATGTCTGGTGGAATCGTCCAAGGTAGCACTTTCGATCCATGAGTTATAATAACGCACTACATTCTCATGATTCATTCTAGACAGTAATTTTACTTCACGTGTGATTTTTTTATTCAATTGCTTCTTCTTTGGGTTTAATTCTATTCGTTTGATAGCATAAATCCCACCATCTAACTTATTTCTTACTTTTAGAACATCACCAAAAGCTCCTTTTCCCAACCATTTTAATACTTCAAATTCATTCTGTATTCGTGATTGACCACCCATTGATGGTAAATGAAATTGAACATCATTGTCTGGCTCTTCCGGTTCTAAATTGTTTTCCTTCTCATCATGATCTGGTGATGCAGGTGATATACCTCGCTCTAGTGGTATTCTTATGAAACTATGTTGTTGCAATTGCTCCGCGGACCAACGCATTCTCTCGTCGTCAATAAGACATTTTGATATAAAATCTCTTAAGTGAAGCTGAAAAAGAATTATTTAAATTGAAATGTGGATAGTCTTCTTGTAAATGAAAAACTTACCTGCTGAATTACTGTTAAGTCGATTTCATCGCCAGATATGATAGTTCCTTTTAACAACGACAATAGCAATATTCCATATCTATATATGTCTGCCTTTTTACCTCCTCGGCCTTGAATTGTTGGGAAATCATGTTCAGTCTTTGCTAAAGAGTTCGAGTGATACATGTCCGACAGTCTTTTTTCTAAAGAATAATCGGATAATCTTACAACACCCATGCGATCTATATAAACGCTAGTATCGCGTAAATCTTTATGTACTACATTGTTCTCGTGAAGATACTGTAAAGCTTCAAGAACACCGGTTGCTAAATGCCTCAATATGTCGATATCAACTGGAATGTTTTCCATCAAAAAGAACGAGCATGTAGTTCCAACCTACTTTTACAATAATCAACATTAATGAACATAAATATCACTCTTATGGTTGTAGAATATATACATATAGCAGCCATTCCATACATAAATATTTACATACCACAAATTCTTGAAGTATATAAATAACTAAATTGTTGTTGTTCTGTAAATATTTCATATTTAAATAATGTACAAGATTCGGGTGATGTAGTTTGTACAAGTGATTAAGTTCTTGTTCCAAGCTAGCAATTTGCTTCATAGCATGTTGTATATCAATAGTTTCCTGAGTAGAATAATCATTCGCCACTCCGCATTTTAATGTCCATTCTGTGATAGCCAGTAATTCTCCGGTGGTCATATCCACACCAGCATATACTATAGAACCCTTTGCACTGTGACCCAAGCATTTTCCTCGATGCACTTGCCTCTCTCCTTTATTACTGTCAAAATGGAGTAGTTTGGTACCTCTGTGCTCACACAATGACCCTTCAGAACTTTCTGACGTGCTGACGCATCTACGTCTAAAATGATTCTTTCCTCGATCATGTGGAGATGATGGTATTGATCTAAAGACAATGTCAGAGTCTGTGGATCGAACTGTATCTTTCCGATTACGCATTTCAGCTTTCAGAGCCTCCTGACGTTTTTGTATGGCATCTTGTAGTACCTAACATATAAAAAAATGAATATTTATAAAATTATAATCTTATAATAAACTTTATCTCAATAAGATACATGACATAAAAATATCAATCGATACCTGTCTTTCTTTATCTTCTTTTATTTGTTTTTCCTGCATCTCATATTGTATCTTTTCCTGACGTCTCGACACCATTTCTTCATAGAAACTACTGTAACTTGGCTTATTATGTTCATGTAAGTATTTTTGAACATGTTGACTGAATTCAAAAATCATAACTTCACCTTTTAACTTCGTTGCTAAATTTTCTAGCTCTGAGGACAAAATTGCAACTTGTTGATTTGATAATCCTCTACTATTTCGCAATTCAATAGATGGTATTCTGAAATATTATAGGTGATATATATGTCATTAAATATTGGTTTTTTTAAGATGACAAAAATATTTGGATAAGATATGTTCACCATAAAACTTACTCATCTGGATATTTGTCACCACATGTAATATGCAAATCTATCTGTGCATGAATCTGTGCTGGTCCTGACATACCCTTTTGTGGTGTTAAAGTAACAATTATATTTAGAGGTTGCCATTTCTTTTTATTTTTGTTCTTCCGTAAGTCACGCAACTCGTCACCAAAAATAGACTATATCACAAATAATTACAAGAAAAATTTTAAAAGTTTGTAGTATAATATAGTTTTATAGTAAAAATATTTTATAGTTCAGAGGCTACAGATTTAAAGTATATCCTCACATATGCATTATATACATGGTAAACATTATGATACATGTGTATTATACAAACCTTTAAAACTTCTAATTCATTTTGTTGTCGATCTTTACAGGTTTCAATATGAGACATTTTGATGCACTCTATTCATCCATCCTACACAGATTAAGAAATTTTAAATTTCATAGAAAAATCTAATAAATCCCATACTAAACAACATACTTAAGAAAAAGATAAATTCAGTCTATATCCAGTCCAATTATACACATATGACTACATCGTGGTATATTTCGAAATTTTAGTGTCTGGTTTAGTGTTTGGTTTAAAATATTGAATTTATTTATTTAGTTTTATCTCACTTTAATCACCTTTGATTTTTTATCAATAACATTTCAAACATCAAACATACTTGAGTACACACACACTACGACTCAACTTAATGGCCCCATGTGAATGAATTAATAAACAATACATACGCGTGAGCAGGGTTGCCAGGTTTTGGAAGCATCATTGGTTGGAGCATTGATTATTACATTTCGCACGTCACATATACAGACATTTATTTATTTATTCATCTTTTCGCGTTTTTCTAAATTTTTTTTTAGTTTTTTTATTATTTTGCATTTAAGTCATTTAAATAAAATATCTTATTTTAAAGTATATTAATATTATTTTGTGTTACACAGCATTTAATTATTCAATAAACAGCACAAGAAAAGCAGAACATGTATAAGGAGAAAGGGAAAAGGAAGAAAAAGAAAAGTCTTTGTAATTATTGATATTAAGATGAAGTTTTTTGTAATAAAATGGAGCGAACATTTGTAATATAAGGCAGAGGATTTTACAGAGGACGCTACAGTACGAAAGGATTTAATTAGACAAAATATAATGATTGGTTGGACTTAGTAACTCTCTAGGTGAAGCTTCCCACCGGTTGGTTGTGTCCAATTGAGTCCCTGTCTTTCTTGAAGAGAGAGACCCATAATAAATTTAGGGAATAATATTTAGATAAAGAAATTGCATTCTATCTGTTTCTCTTGACCCTCCATTTTCTATGTAGAACAAATTTCTCTCGTCGGTTCTTAACCTGTAATTCAGTTGTAGGTTATAAACGTTAAGGTCATTGTACAATATGTGTCGTAAGTTGTAGCCGTAAGAATTGGTGAATCACAGTCGATTATTACAAAAATAATCGGCTATAATTGGTCAGTTCTTACGGCTTACAACTTGCGACACGTATTGTAAAATGACCTTTAAAGGTCATTCTACAATGAGGTGTAGTATGCAGTAGAGTGCAGTAGGCAAATTGACCAATCACAGTCGATTATTCTTCGATCGTAATGAGAACAATCGATCGTGATTGGTCAATTTGCCTACTGCATACTACCACACCTCATTGTAGAATGACCTTAAAGCGTCATCTACAATGGCAGTAAGCAGTAAGAAGTAAGCGTAAGCGGTAAGAAATAAACCAATCACAGTCGATTATGACAATAAAATGATCAACTGTGGTTGGTCCATTTCTTACTGTTCACGCTTACTTCTTACTGCTTACTGCCATTGTAGATGACGCTTTATATTGGAAGGAAATAACGGGTCTAAATCTAGATGAGATTTTTAGACCCGTTATGGTTTAAAGGTGCACATGTGTGCCTACAAAGTTGCGTTTTATAATTTTTAGCCTTTGTATCCATTTAATATGTCAACGTTATTTGAAGGTGATAATTCAGATTCTGACGAAGATATTAAGATAAATTCGGAATATGCTAAAGATTACAATAATTGGCGTCAGAAGGAAGAACTAAATAAATGTAAGCAGTTGTATAACCTATTCTATCCAATATAAAAGAAAGTATATCTTTATTAAAAGTTATCTTTAATCAAAGTATCTATAAATCTATATTTAAGATAATTTAGAATTAATTCTTTTTATTTTTATATTTGTTTGCAGTAAAAACAAAATATGAAGAGGTTATCACGGAAGACAGCAGCTTGTCTGACGATGATGAAGATGATGAGAATGTATGGTTTATTATTTTATTTCATAATAAGTAATTAAGTAAAGCATCTTATATCTTTATTTTATTGCCTCCCCAAAAGATTTTGGTTATATATAACAAAGGTAATTTTTTAAATTTTTATTAAATTCTCTATAGATTGAAAATCCACAATTTGATAAAGAATTTTACAAAACTTTGGCATATTTGAAGAAAAAAGATCCATGTATATATGATGAAAGTGTCAAGTTCTTTGACACAATTGATGAATCTGAATGCATTGGACCAAAAAACAAGAAAGAAAAAAAATCAAAGAAAAAAAAAGCTGTCTTTTTACGTGACTATGAACGTAAAATTATAATGGAAGGACATGGGCAGTTTAGTAGTAGTGAAAATGAAGATAATACAAAGGAGAATGATAAAATTAAAATTTCAACTTATATGGAGGAACAACAAGAAATGAAAAATGATTTCAAACATGCCCTAAAAGAAGATACAGATGAAGATACTGATTTTCTGAAACCAAAGCAAAAGACAGAAGATGATAATCAGGAGGTATTTCTAATTATATTTTTCCATTATTTTATTACTTATTGAACTAATTTATTCTTAGATACTGTATATTGTAACAATGTCATTGCTTTATTTTCATTCAGGAAGAGAACTCGTACAAGAAGTGGCTAAAAGGTCAACAGTTAGAAATTGATCCTCAAAAACAAGAAGAACTTAAATCATTGCGTGATTTCTGGACAAATCCTGATTTAGATCCAAATGAAAAATTTTTGAGAGATTATATTTTAAATAACAAATATATGGATAAGGAATCTTCCGATACAGAACTAGATTATGATCAAATTGCTCACGACAGTGATAAGAATTTATCAGAGGATGAAATGAATATTAAAAAACAGGAGGAATTTGAACACAAATACAATTTTAGATTTGAAGAGCCTGATCAGGAATTTATTAAGAGGTACAATTTATATTATCCGACGAGTACCTTTTGAATGTTTGCAATACAACCTTTTTTTAATCCATCAAATTTATGTCATGCTAAGGTATCCACGAACTATGGAAAATACAATGCGAAAAAAAGATACGCGCAGAGCGCAAAAGAGAGCAGAAGTCAGGCAAAGGAAAGAGGAAGAAAAACGGCAAAAGGTAGAAGAATTGAAACAACTAAAAGCACTGAAAAGAAAAGAGATGGAAGAAAAGATAGAGAAGCTGAAAGAAATCACAGGTAATGATTCTTCGAATTCCTAACATTTGTAGAATTCGTGTCAAACTGTGTAACAGTTCATTTGTCTAACGTTATATTTGTACTAATTGCAGGGAACAATGATATACGTTTCGATAGCGTTGATTTCGATGCCGATTTCGATCCGAATGAATACGACAGAAAGATGAAAGAAATTTTTAACGAAGAATATTATGCTGGTGCTGAAGGTGATGTGAAACCAGAATTTCCAGATATTGACGAGGAGTTGGATATTGAGGGTACATGGGATGACTATGATCCGAGTGCATATGAAATTGACATAGAAAATACGCCACACGAAGAACCTTATTGTGAAGACGCAGATTTTAATGTATGATATACGCAAACACGCAAAAATTAAAATAATTGTTAATTATTCTAATTTTTTTAAATTGTTATTTCTATCGCATTATTCTTACAATGGCTAATTCTTTGGTTAACATTGAGCAATTTGTTTTCGAACTAATTCATTAATCTCGATATATTTTGTATGGAATTAATATATCCATCGCATCTTCTAATTACAGATGGATGCTGATTACGACGGGTCTCAAAATTTGCAATCAGAACTTATAAAGAGCATCAGAAAGCGAAAAAAGAAAAGGGGCTCTAAGTTTGCTGCGCTTATAGCGAAAGAAAAACCAAAATTTGATCCAAAACAGTTCCCTTCATATGAAGAATATTTTGACCAATATTACTCAATGGACTATGAAGATATGATCGGAGATTTGCCTTGCAGATTTAAGTATAGAAAAGTAGTACCGAACGACTATGGGCTAAGTGTTCCAGAGGTAAAGATTATTTTTACATTTTATCGTTATTATTGAATTATAAATCCAAGAAAAAGGTATAATTTAAAAAATTTAAATTAATATATTTACATCTTTAAAGATCCTAATGGCCGATGATAAGGAGTTAAATAAATGGTGTTCTTTAAAACGAGCTCTTCAACATAAATCTGAGGACTTAGAAATGCAAGAGATTCGATCGTATAAACAAAAGGCGTCGAATGAAATGCTTAAACGGAAAATTCTCAGCAGCTTGTTCACGTAAGTTTTTCCACAGAGATTAAAAAGGAAATTGTTTTTTAAAAATATATTAAGTTCATTTTTTCATAGCTACACTATTTAAATTATCTTGCGATTTTTCCGTTTCTTTTTCTTTTCCACCACAGTATTAAATATACTTATGGCATTTTAAGCATAAACAATATAACTTTGTATAATACTGATTTGTATTCTTCTTGGTATAGTGAATCAGAAAAACAAGAAGATGAACATGTGGATGATCAAACGAGCGATAACACTGGCGGTAAGAAGCGTAGACGAAAGAAGAAAACTAAAAACAATGTGGATTCTACTAACACCAACACCATTCTTGAAGAAAAGATTATAAAAATCATTGAAAATAATACACAAAATAATTCTCATAATATTAAGAATGACATAGAACAAGATAAAGATACGCAACAGAAAAGTATAGCAAGTAAAAATAAGCATAAACGGAAAAATAAATTAAGAGTCGACGATGATGATCCGAAGCCGAAGAAGATAAAAACGGATAATGTAAAGAAAGAAAGATCGCAAGTAAATAAGAAGATAGAAGAGAATAACGAAGGAACAGTACCTGCTGATAAAACCGCGGTTATACAGACAAAAAGGAACAAAATGAAGGAAAAGAGAAACCTGCAATTGAATAAAGCAAAAAGCAACAAGCGCAAATCAAATAGTGATAGCATCGATCCGATGATGTCCTTGAACGCAGAACGATTAAAAACGTACGGCATAAATGCTAAGAAGTTTAAAAACAAATTAAAGTATGGCAAAAAGAAATTCTGAACGTTATAATCTCTTGTACATTTTTATAAATATATAATTCTTCACAAGACTCTTATAAGATTAGTTTTCCTATGTATAATCCTAATAATTCTATGCTTCTATCTATGGCAAAAAGTTAGGTGGAGCCATTGTACACTGTTAATACTTGTAACATCCAATTCAACATTAGGATGAATTTATTGTACTGTTGAACGCGATAACTTAATATGTAATGTGTTATTAAGAATGGAAGTTGGAGATTAAATAAACGGTATAATTTACTGTTACAATATACATTTATGTTACAATATAATTTACTGTTACAATATATATATTTTTTTAGAGAAACACTAACAAATGTGACTATAATTATGTACATAGATATATTTTGTGTGGTAAATATGCACATATTTTTGTAATAGAATTCTTCTGATTTCATAATTTTTATTTATTTAATAGAAGAAATTTACAAATGATGAACTATAAGTGTATGTACAAATACAATGGATAAAGTTCTAATATATTGTGATAAATTGTTAACAGATATGAAAATACACGGAATTTTATTTGACCTTACGAATCATCATCTCATATAATACAGGTTTTTGAAAACATCTTTTATCTAGTAGAACAATACGATCATTTATTTTAAAAAATATATCTGACAAATGTTCAAAATCCTTAAACATGGGTATAATAGTGCCTTCACCAAATATTTCTATTTGTTTTTTACCCAGTATATTACTTACAAATATAGCTTTGTACAATTTTTGTGAACAATTATGATAAATTCTGAAAGGAAACATTTGACTCCCTAATATCAGTACGATAGATAGGAACATACCACTAATTATCATAAATATTCTATCAGTTTCAGTACTAAGCTTTTCTTTACTGAAACTTGTTTCTACTTCTTTGTCTGACACTAATGGATTTTTGATAATTATATATCCCACAATATATATTACAAAGCAAACACCAAACCATCCAGTATAATATGTAATACTAATTAACTGAGGTATACGGTTATATTCTCTATATATTAGCTTATAATCATCACTTATATTATCTTTTAGCTTAAATCTCTTCTCTGTCAGGCGATCTGATTTAATGGAAGAAAAATATCTAGAATTCTTTATACATATGTGTTTAGCAACAGGACTCAAGATAATATTCCTGTAGTAAGTAGTTCGATATAAAACAGGTGTCTTGCTCAGGATATATGCCATTCTAGTGTATTTATAATTCTGTAACAAAATGAAATAAAATTGACTTGTTCAAAATGAAATAAGAAAAAGATCCATATACATAACATAATATATACATAAACACGATATAAATATTTGATATTAATTGAAAATAATTGTTTTTATCAACATTGTCATGTGTATGTGTGTGTGTAGCTTCTATATAATGCTTTGAAGTCTCGCAAAATATTTGTAAATTTTTTTAGATTTTCATAAATTTCATTAGAAAAATACTATGACATATCCAACATATTTTAATGATCAGCAGATATTATATTAAATAATGTTATATTCAATAAAATAACAATTTACAAGAGAGAAATTTAAATTTATAAGCAATATATATTTTTTTCTTCCAATATAGTGATTAGATTAGATCACCATGCCTTCAGTTCGAGGTATATAGCACAGAAACTCTACTCTTGTATTTCTGTAAAATAAATTATACAACACTGTATATACTATTTCACCTGTTATTAATTCTTATCTACGTCTATCCTCTTATATTCCTCATAACATAACAATTAATCTTAAAAATCTCTGTCCTTATCTTATTAAGCAATATATTCTGTACAGAAAGGTTAGGGTATTCAATTCGATAAATAATTAACCAGTAATCGTGAATGAAACAAGATCGTAAGATATTTGAGTACCTATCTATATATTTTGTTTGGGGATGCAGAGTTTTCCAAGCTTAATTTACGCACTTGTATGTAATACAATCTTTTTTCACTAAGTTATTCTATACTCAATACTGTAAGATACAGCCGAGGGAGGACAGCACCAGTCTATTCCGGGAGGAGCCACGGGAGAAAGACCGGTCCTAGGAGATCAGACTCGTCGGATGGAGAAGAGGGTAAAAGGAGACGCACAGAGAAAGACGGGGCTTTTTGCCTTTGGCTTTTTAGCTTTAGCCTTTTGCCGATTAATGTCGAGACGAATAATAGAAATTAGAGTCAAGTCGAAGGAAGAGTCGTAGAGCGTTAAGCTTTTGTAAAGAGATATATTTAATATAAGCTGCGGTGTCGGTTACTATTGTATTATTGTTTATTTAAAATATACATACTTATATTCTTGTTCATAATAAGAAGAGTTCACATTAATCGCTCGGAACCTAAACATCCTGAACATCCCTCTCTTATAAAGGAAGAGGATCAAGAAGAGGAGAGACAGAAAGATAACAGAATAGAGAAATAGAGGATCTCTCTTTTTAAATCTTACAATACAGGCAAGAGCACAGGCTTTTGCATGACATATAATACGTGACACATAAGACAATAAACCAACTAGTTTTCTTCATTTCCCTCCTCAGGACAGAAATGAAGAACTCTGATTAGTTGATTATCTTATGCGTTATGTATTATGCGTTATGCAGAAGTCTGTGCTATCGCATATAGGGCCGTTAATATCTCTGCTTCTAATAGGAATTGAGAGTCGAGATTTAAGGAGAGAATAAGGTTGATACAGGACTATATTGTGGCAAAAAACAGGCCTATAACTCAAGCCGTTTAGGAGACATCGAAGGTTAAAGTTTTCCAAATTGTACCGTTGATATCTCCGCTCCTACTGGAAACTGACAGTCGAAATTTATGGTGAGAATAGAGTTGATACAGGACTATATTTTGGCAAAAAAAAAACAGGCCTGTATCTCTAGCCGTTTAGGAGATATCGAAGTTTAAAGTTTTCCAACTTGTACCGTTGATATCTCCGCTTCTACTGAGAGTTGAGAGTTGAGAGTCGAAATTTATGATGAGTTGTAGGGCTTTTACAGGACTATATTTTGGTGAAAAAAACAGGCCTGTATCTCTAGCCGTTTAGGAAATATCGAAGGTTAAAGTTTTCCAACTTGTACCGTTGATATCTCCGCTTCTATTGGAAGTTGAGAGTAGAAATTTACGGCAGGTTGTAGGGTTTTTACAGTTCTATATTTTGGTGAAAAAAACAGGCTTGTATCTCTAGCCGTTTAGGAGATATCGAAGGTTAATGTTTTCCAACTTATACCGTTGATATCTCCGCTTCTACTGGGAGTTGAGAGTAGAAATTTATGGTGGGTTGTAGGGTTTTTACAGCTCTATATTTTGGTGCAAAAAACAGTCCTGTATCTGTAGCCGTCTAGGAGATATCGAAGGTTAAAGTTTTCCAACTTGTACCGTTGATATCTTCGCTTCTACTGGGAGTGGAGAGTAGAAATTTATGGTGGGTTGTAGGGTTTTTACAGCTCTATATTTTGGTGAAAAAAACAGGCCTGTATCTCCAGCCGTTTAGGAGATATCGAAGGTTAAAATTTTCCAAACTGTACCGTTGATATCTCCGTTTCTACTGGAAGTTGAGAGTAGAAAGTTATGGTGGGTTGTAGGGTTTTTACAGCGCTATATTTTGGTGAAAAAAAACAGGCCTGTATCTCCAGCCGTTTAGGAGATATCGAAGATTAAAATTTTCCAACTTGTTCCGTTAATATATCTGCTTCTACTGGGAATTTACAGTCGAAATTTATGGTGAGAATTGGGTTTTTACAGGACTATATTTTCGCAAAAAAAAAGCCTGCATCTTGAGCCGTTTAGGTGATACCGAATGTTACATATTTAAATTTAAATTTAATTTAGTTTAATTTTTAATTTTAATGTTCATATCTTCGCTTCTACTGGGAGTTAAATGTCGAGATTTATGGTGAGAATAAGGCTGATATAGGACTATATTGTGTCAAGAGCGCTTTCCTATGTTTTGAGCCGTTTCCGCGAAGAAACTGATCTGTGGACGTTCGCAGCCGCGGTGGAATTTGACGCTCGCGTTCGCACGGGCCTAACGTTCTACTTGCGAAGGAACGCCATCGTCCCTCTTTTCACAACGGTGTCGGATAATTAGTTCCTTTCTTCCTTATTTTCCGCGACGACGATACTGCGACGGGACCCTAACGAGGCAAGTTCGCTTATAACTAGCGTTTATCTCAAGAGCGCTTCTCGGGAATATTCCGTTCGAAGGGTTAGTCCGCGATAAAAAGTTTCCTGCGATCGGAGACCGCTGTGGTTTAAAGTTAAATTGCAGCAAGAATATTGTTATCGGACAGCTCTGAGACGGGCTGCTGACATCCATCTGTGACATTTACCGCGCACTTTTGCGATTACCGGTAAATTAAATTTTCTCGATTGCTCGCGCGATTTCAAATGGCCATAATATGGCGATAATACATGGCAATATATGGCAATATATGGCAATAATATATAGCAATAATATACGGCAACAATATATGGCAACAATATATGGCGATAATATATAGCCATAATATATGGCAATAATTCATGGAATATATTTTTCGTTATAAAAGTCAATGCAAATTTGCGGCATGCACAATGTAATAATAAAAGAGCTCTCTGTGAGCATTGAGTCAAACGCTCACCGATGATGATATTGATGTCCCGTTACATCCAACCAGATCCACCAATGTTCGTCCATGTCCGCTGCCGCTCTCCATGTCGCGCAGCATCCATCTTGTAGCGCGTCCCACGCGTTGATTGCTACACTTTCGCGACGCGGTCGATATTTGTATTAGAGCGGCGATATTTGCGTCAATTAACGAACGTTTTACGTCGACATCGATGGAAATTTTTAACGCGCTGCGAAACGGACTCTATAAATTCGATCGGCAAGGAGCAAAAACCGTGTGAAAATTTATCGACTCGTCAAACGGATTTTTACGGCGCTTTTCGCGATCGCATCTGAAAAGTCGCGAAAATGCGGGAGTATCGATATCTAAGAGTGAAATATTCGCGAATGCACGCGAGGAAAGATTAGACAATCAGAAACCTGTCGCCCCAAGGGAGCTCAAAGAGAGAGAAGCGGGGCAAAGTTTTCACGCATGATAGTTCCGTCACGACGAAACTTACGTTCGCGATACTTTAGCGAAATGAGAATTTAAGCCTTCTTTGTTGCAGCGCGGGTAAAAACGCGTATTTTGATAACCGCGGTCGCGATATTCAAAGGCACGCGAGCGAGGATACCTCAAGCTCGGCGTGCGCTGGCGCAATCTCTGCGCGCATTATACGCTACTCGAGACAATAGGGATCGTGATGAATGGAAAATATTGCCAAATAATTCTACAGCCTGTTTTGCAAATAAAAGAAAAGTAGCCAACGGTATCGGCATTTATGCGTATGAATATATTTTACACGGACAATTGAATATTGTCAAATAATTAAATCGTTAAATAATTCTGCGGCTCGCTTGAAAAATAAAAATAAAGCAGCTGATGACGATATCGCGTTTGTACATATGAATATCTCTTATTCAGATGACTGAACATCAAAAGAGAATCATTCAGTATTTTAAATCTCGTACATAACGCAGGCTATCGATCAAGTAATCCCCTGATTGTTTCGAGCAATGTATTTTATTCAACGTCACAAATACACACATGCAAGAATCTATTTGCAATTCGCATTGACTCGAACGATATTTTTTAGTCCCACATCCGTCATGCAGAATTTTGTTTCTCTTTTTATTTTGACTCACCGAAACGACTTGCAGTCAGAGCCGGCCGCGTTCCGCTTCAACTCTGTAACAAAAAATTCACATTTGCTCATCAGATTGGACCAACGAGTGCGGGCGAGTAAAAGAGTAGTTTACCCTCTGCGATCGTAATTCAAGTCGAGCCAGAAATTATATCCCAGCTCTAGATCGCCAAGGGTCAAACAGAAGACTACAGTAAACTTGTAAACTTACCTTCAAGCCGACTCTGCTTGGCCCGAACCGGATCCTCCGGTGCGGCATCCGCGTCCACCGGATTGCTGTTGCTTTCCGCAACAACTGAAACAGAAAAATAATTTTCCCGGTTAATAACCTGCGGTAGAGAGAGAATATCTTTGATTGGGACGAATCGAAAATATGGATATATTTTACAGAGTGTCAAAGTTGTTGTGACGTCGTTTTCGGAAAATAATTAAAGATCATGGTAGCGTTAAAAAGAGGAATTTCATCCTATGCGAATTTTGTCTCGTTCTTATTAAATGTTAGTCCTGTATAAAACGTCGTATTTAAAAGTATTGTTTTGCGTTCACGAGATTTTGTCATGAATTCTGCTTTGCGGAAATCTCAGATTGGATCGCGGGCCAATACTTTTCAATGCGACGGGGAATAGAACGTGAAAATCTTGTATGCCTCTGAATCCGAAAACAATTAGGAGAAGAAGTGAATACTTTTCAATACGAAAGTTCGCATTTGAAACTTATCGATTGCGATTGAATACAAGGCATATTTGAAATGAATTGAATCCTTTTTAATATGAAGCATTCACGTGAAGCATTCACCACTGCCATCTCGCATTTAGCACGGTGAAATTTAATAAGAACTAATACTTTTTAGTCCCTTTCTTCGGATCAGAAAGCAGAATTCAAATGTCAATATTTAAAATGTCAATACTTTTCATATAATATGTTTCAGTTCGACATTTTATACAGGGAGATTATCCGCTGCGGACAATAATTCTTCTACTTTTCATTTAATATTCAATGATGATAAATAACATTTAATTGCATTCGTTTGGCTTTTTTTATTTCGAAAATAAAAAAATATATACCAGGGTGAGATTTCACCCATGACAACATCAACGTGATTTTCTTTGATGTTTTTTTTAAAAGTTTAAATATTTCGTCGACTCGCGAGATATTTATAATCGGAGTCTCGTCGCGTTAATTAACACGTGCTCCTCCGAGTGGATCGAATGCTCACCGACGGCCACTGTCAGTGTCACGAGCGAATGTCCGGAGCGGACGGGATGCTGAATTGAGAAGCAGGACGAAGGGAACGGGACGCAGGCAACGATACATTATGTGTCTCCAGACATGTCAAATCGTTTATTATAGAAGAGACTTTGATACGGCAACATGTATTCGAAGATTTAACATTTAATACGTACTTTTATTTTTTCTGCTTCTCCCCCTTCCCCCCCCCCTCCCGCTCTTTTTAGACCTCCGGGCATAGTCTGGTATAGAGATGGCAAGAGATGGTGGTTGCAGCACGGACATAAAACGCCTGAAAATGGATGTAGCACGGACTTCCACCACATGCAGATTTTACCACCGAGACCTGAAAGTGGATGTAGCATCGTAGTTCCCCTCTCAAAATGGATGCAGATGGCGTCCTTTCCCAGTGCGGAAAGTCGGTGTCGCAGAAAATGTCGTGTTGGCCGCTGTTAGGTTTCTTTCTGCTTCCACAGGCCCAGAGCTTTGTGAGTGGCGTTGGAGCATCTATTGTATGCACAGAGCCATCTATTGAAGATTGAAGAACAGGCCCAGAGCCATCTATTGAAGGAAGGAAGAAGGACACCTATTTTCCCCCGCCGGAGCCAGTATAGAAGAAGAAGAAGTACTTATGAATAACTAAATAACATTTTTTATATTTCTTCTCTTTCTCCCTTCATTTTTATGAATTATTATATTAAAAACTATTGTGAACACTTCTTTTGTTTCCAATGCCACCATAGTAATAAAAATGAGTTCCATTATAGAAAACTTTCTTTCCCTCTATTTTACTTTACGCATAGTTTGATATCCATCCATTATTATATTTTAAAAGAATATATAATATATATATATTAACATTGTACTGTATTACCTTTTTCTCTACATAGATTCATCTGCTAGAGGATATATGTGTGCGTGTATGTTATGTATGTATGTACACACTATAAGCACACACATACGTATACATATATTTGTATGAACTTAAAATTATAATGGGAGGAAATGTTTCTATGTAACTGGTAATCCTATGTTTCTATTGTCATAAGAAATTAGATAGAATTATTGTTCATACCTGTAACATCCAATTCGACGTTAAGACGAATCTGCTCTTGGATGATAAACGACGTTTTGATGCTGTTTGTCGTTCGCCAAATAACAGAAAAAACTTTGTCGGGATCAGCATACATCGAGGCACTTATATGATGTCGTTAATTTTATTTATGATGGCATTTATTTCCACCAGATCACGATAACTTTCATAGTGAGCCTATCGTTGATATCATTGTTGAACCACGTAGATGATAACAATGGTTCATGGAAATGAATTCGCAAGAAACACGCTCTAAATCTGACATTCGAGTTAGATATAACAGATCACAATCCTCGAAAGCAAAGTACTCATATCTCGCTCGTGTTATATATTTTTTAAAATATATTCCGCTTGGTTGAACGAAGAAATGAGAAACAGCTTTTGTAGGAAAATAAAGTGCACATCATGTATTCAACATTCACTTTATGTTAAATCCGTGTAGTAGCACTTCATAACAGAGACATCTCGTAACACATATCTTCTTGCGATCGGCTTGGTTTTCGCAATCGTCGACAGTCGCGTCTTATATTTATATACATTTCGTCATATTTATTTATTCTCTACATAATTTTCATATTATTTTATATATTACTTTTACATCTTATTTTCTTCAACCTATAATTTTTTAAGATATTAAATCAATTCCAATATTCACTGATCGTTAATATAATTGCCACGACTATTGACCATAGTTAGTTAATTGTTCCGCGTGTCTGTAGATCCGGATATCCGGAATAAAACATTACACACAAGCAATTCATAACAGCCATGCACCGTCTGTCAATGATTTTTCTAACGAATGATCTTGCCTTTTGTTTTTCCAAGGTACTATGTACATTAATCACAGTATAATTTGAGTACCCAGATAATTCCCACAATGATTGGATATTTATTGTTACACTAATACTATCTACAGACATGCAAAACCCAAGCCGCTCACACTGGAAAATATATGTTATATATCTTAACAGTATATATAGCTTAATTAAATCATTAATATCCTATAACAGAGACATTTAAGCACGATATAGAAAAAGATGATATAATGAAAACGTATACATTTATACCGAGCACGTTGATAGACCGAGAACCGTAGGTACATTCCGGATATGACCGTCGTGAAACAACACATCCTAACCAGTCGTTCCTATCATTTAAATATATTCATGAGTTGTATAAATATCTACGGTTTAAATATCTCTGTTACAAAATATCAACACAATGCGATCCGTTGACGGCACTTAGCCATCGGATTTATCGACACGACTATACCATAGTGCCGACAGCGCAAACTTGACGTAATCCGTCGTTATGGTCAATATTGCAACAATTTGTTAAAATATAAACATTCGCGTAAGACTAAATCTATCATATGTAACTGATATACTCTAATAATATTATAATATTATATATTTATAACATTATAATATTATATAATCCGATCTTTATAATAACATTTCTTTCTCGACGCTTACATGCATCGAGAAAAGCGTGGCTTAGTACGTATTGTAGGTTCGACTTATTCGTTACAATTGAACGTGATGACTTAGTGCGGGCCGCGGATCGCAATGTGTTAATAAACCGAAAGCGAGAAGCGGATTCGCAATGAACTCTGCCGCTCCTCGTGGCGTTCAGTCCAATACTGTCAATACTCGGATACCCAGTTACCTGAGTCTTTCGTATATATTTCCCGGATACTTGAGTACCATGATTAGTGTAGATTAGAAAAACAAAAGGCAAAATTAGTTGACGCGAAATCAGCTGCTAATCAATAATAGATGTAGTAAATGAGCATTATTCGCAATTTTTGGTTCCGGGTGTGGAAATTACGCGGCTTACTACATTGACAGCATTAGTCCAGTCTTTACACGATTATCGGCGCTGTACAATACAATGTATAAGTACAAGTACAATACTCGTAGAACAGTTGGTCGATTTCTGACGCTCGGTCAGAGACATTTTCCAGGGTTCTGGGAGCACCAATGTGGCCACATGGATTCTGTTTTGACGCCTCTGCTAACCAGAACTTCGATGTGCGCGGCTAATCTGGTGTAAACATTCTCGTCTGTGGAGTAACTCATCATTGGCAGGTCGCTCCTGAAAAACACACAAAGATGATAATCTTAGGGAAAATATTTCGCTAAATTATTTTATTATTATGTATACTTCTATCCGCACTATACTTGCTTTCGTTAGATTTTTAAAAAGACATTCTTCAATGAGAATATAAGAGATTTCCGGCATGCCTGAATTACAAATCATATTTTCATCAACATTTTCGTTGAGAAAAATTTTTCTCTTCAAATTCATCGAAGAAATATGCGTATATATCGTAATGCTTAATTATCCTTATTTATTATATGCCATACCACAGTCGTTCGGCGAGCGCTGATGCTCTAGGCCATAGTCGAGGTCCCAAAGATGCCTGTCCCGTTTGCTCGTTCCAGATAGCTGCTTCGCCGCCGAGAACCAAGGACACTTGTTCTTGGGGATAGTCCCTCCACGGACGGTGATTATAAACAGTCTGCCAAGTGCGGTATTCTCCGCACGCGGCTTCGCCGCTCTCCCGCCACCTGCCGAAGCCACAATCCAGATACCACGCGTCCACATGCGACAATATCACGCGGAAGCCGTCCTCCAGCAGATCTGACGTTTCAGGCCAATTGCTGGCACCCCACGACTGGATCACATGAATCTTCGGATCAAAGTACGCGGTGATGTACGGCCGTTTCGCCAACGGTGAACTCCACATAATCACCGCCTTCGGCACTCGGTCGTGATTTGCTTTAATGACACGTTGCAACATCTTCCTTTCGAACTCGGCCCACAATTCGTGATAGTCTGTCATGTTCTGCGCCTGCATGGCCAAAGTGATATTACCGTATTGCGCCCAGCAGTCAAGGTTCACTTCATCGCCACCGAGATGCACCACGTCACGCACTTCAGTCAAGTCCAACAATTCCCGATAGAGCCCTTCGAGTATTCGGTACGAGTGCTCGTTTATGGGATTCAATTGGCCGCAATTTGGCTCACCGCAGTACGATGCCCACGGTTGCTGGTCAACACATAACGCCAGGTCGCCAAAACCATGCTCCATACCTGAATTTTCACATCGTATATAACATACGTTAAATTCACCCGGTCGGTAAGGATTAATATGAGAAAATTGGAGATTTCACGCGAGACAATAGTCTCAAGTCTTATCTATCGACTCGATTGTTTCACAGCGATAAGAGCCGTTCTCCATTTCGCTAAGGATTAGAAGATTTAGAAAAATGAAATTTAGAATTTTCTACTGAACAACTTACCCCATTGCCACCCGGCACCGGCATGAGCCGGGGAATCAATTTCAACGATGATCCGTACGCCGCGTATCCTCGCGTAATCCGCGAGGTCCTTTACATCGTCGGGCGTGTAGATTCTGTCGTCGCTGTAGGCACCCCATCTCGCCATTTCGGGATATTGCGCCGAGTCGAACGGAAAGCTCTGCGAGTCGGTGAGGTGCCAATGTAAGGTGTTGAGCTTCGTGGCCGCCATGCCGTCGATCACCCTCTTCAGCTCTTCAACAGGGAAGAACTGCCTGCCAGTGTCGACGAGGAGACCACGATAAGGAAACGCGGGCTTGTCCTCGATGGAAGCTCGCGTGAGAACACGAAGAGCACCTTGCTTGGCAGCGGCCTCATCCCACCAGATCAGTTGACTGAGGGTCTCGAGACCATGGCGCAAGCCAAAGTAACTCTTTCCCCAGATCTTGGCCATCAGGATCTTCCCCTTCGGCATGAGCTCCAGCTTGTACGACTCATCGGTATCCAGAGTCAAAGTAGCACCTCTCGCGTCCTCGGTGCTCAGGTATATAATGAAGGAGTCGACGCCGGATCGACTTTTAGCGTTCAGCACCTTTACCAGACTCCTGATGTTCCCTGTGATGAAATAAACATTTCAGAACGAACATAAATATCAACATGTGAATGTATAGGCACTTAAAAACATTTAAATAAAAGTCTTCTAACCCCGAATTATACATGTAAAAGATCTTTAATCGCGTCTTTTCTATCATGATCTCTTCTCAATTACAAATTGCTATTGCATAAATGTGTCTTCAACGCAATTGTAATATATAATAAATAAATAACACGTTTGTCTTTTCTGCTTGTTTTCGATACTCACCGATGAAGACATCCTGCGCGTGCTCCAACAGACCCTTTGTTTCCTGGTCGTTCGTGTCGAAGACGAACTCGATCTGCTGAAGATGCAGGATGACACTTTCGTCACCCAAGACGACGCTCTTGGTCGGCCTGGGCCACAGCAGACGAGCGTTCCCTCCGCAATGCGCAGTGCAGGTAGCCAAAGATGTTCTCGAGGACCTCACCGCTCGCTTCTCACATCGATTCGCTACACACGCCCAGGACCATGGACTTTGGAATGTCCTGCAATCCGAGAACGATCATTGATAAGTTAATCAAATGCTATCCAACAAAAACTCTCGCACACGTTACACCACCTGAGCGCGCGAAATTCACGCGATGTCATCAAAAGCTACTGCCATCTCGGCAATTTTACTGAGACAATCGACTCTGATGAAGCTCCAGATAATACGCTGATGAAAAAAAAGAAAATATTTCGCATGAAGTAACAGATATAATATTTACCGGCGTGACGCGATCGGCTGGAGCGATGCGAGCGGAGGAGCGTGCGCGTACATGGCGATCAGCAGGACTCCGGTCATCAGGACGAGAAAGAGGAGGATCCTCCTCATTCGTCCGCTCGGCATGCTACCCATCATCCTGACGAGTCTACGAACAAACGAGGAGAAGTCGTTGATACGCGGTGAAAATCGCGGTGATCGGTGACGAACGACCGAGTGATTTTCATCGATACACGCGCGTCGTTCTCGCACAACAAAAACTAATCATGACGACGATAAAAGGACAATTTACGCATTGGACTCCGTTTCTGTGTTTTATTTTATCATCTTCGCCTTGTGTATTCCTTGTGTAAAATCAGTTGCAGAGACACATGGGAACGGCAGGAAGGAGTGTGTGGTGGTCGGTGGCACGGATGTGGTTTGATATTTATCACCGTGCAGTAACGTGAGATGAGATAGGAATATACTTGTCGAAGGACCACCTGTCAGATTACAGACGGAAATAAACATCGGACGCCTAGGCGAGAGATCTAAGCTTAGCCCGTTCGACTCTCAAAATGTTCCGCAGTCTAGACTGCGGTGACCGGAATTAGTTGCACTCTCTTGAGACGACTCTTGAATATCACGATCACCGTCCTCCCTTCTTGTTGTCCTGGCGCATCTTGCCACGGTGACGAGAACCGCTCGACGCACGCCGCTGAGGACGCACTCTTTATCTCTATCTTATACCGAAGTCCTAAATCTTTTCCGTGTGTGGATCCTCCCGTGTAATTAAACGTCGCTGAAGTAATCCCTGAGTCGAACGTGAGTTTATACGGTTTTTAGAAAATTGTCCAGGATCCATCCGTATGGATAAATCCAGTCCAATTATCCGCTTCCAATAAATTCGCTCACACTTGCCTCGCCACACAAGTACAAAATGAAAAAACGAAATATTGAACGATGAGCGTGACGTTTGAAAATCACTTTGAAAAATCAACCGCTCCAGGCACCGCTTCGTCTCGGATCTGCTCATCTTCTCCGTGTATGGTGAGCCTAGAAGAGTCGCTTCTCGCAGGTGCGATACGAACTCCGAAGCACTTCTTTAGACACGGCATCCGTGTTCTGATTATCGCGCTGTGCATCGCCGTGACGGTATTTGGCATTTGGCACCTCGGGTCTTCTCGGCTCCGGGAATAGGCGCATTGGGTCTCGATTTCGCGGTCCGACCCGAAAATCACACATATCCATCCCGCATGCTAAATTATTCCGAGGGTAATCGCGCGAGAGCAACCACGTCGTTGAGTAGCGTGCCGGTTTGTAAGGAAAAACGGGACATCGATGGCCGGCGGCATTTTCGTGCGCGCCGCTATTCTTCATTTCTACGTGCATACATGACACGTGCTTTACATTTAGGCGGATTCTAATGACACTCGTACACGAAGCGAGCTAAAGCACCGACCGAGCGAAATAGCACAGCGCACGACCCGAAAGAATCGATCACACCTCGACCGCACTGGACTACCACACGACACACAAATGGAATGCTGAATCGAGATATTGTTTTATTATGGAAGAACAATTTGCGAAGTAGCGCGTCTACGACGCCCGCGATATCATTCGAGAAATCTCCAAATCTATGTCGTATAAAATTATTCCATATAGTCCATCGTAAATAATTTGTATTTATATTACAGCGATATCCAACGTGGTAAGCACGATAAATATCGAACCATCGAGACGTCAAGTAAAATAAATCCCGAGCGAAAAAAAGAGCACCGATCGAAATTTAAACGAAAGTATGGAAAACCCACGGTTGTCAGAATCGCGATGATTACGAGACCACTTTAAGCGCATATTTCAAGAAGAGCCGTGAAAACAAATATCACATTATTTCCGTGACGTAGCAATTAATCCAATTCGCAAGTGGAAACTCGACGCGGAGGAAAATATGTTCTACATCTCCAATCCGCTTTTTTTTTTTACACAATTTGAATCCACTATACATCCTCCTCTTGATGTCGCCGCCAGAAAAGATGCGATTCCTGAACTGACGATAGGCACCTGTTGATAGCTTCGAATAAACCGAAAAAACCGAAAATTGTTAGCGAACGGAGATGGCGACAGCAGTCCAGATTAATTTGCATATTTCAGCTAATCGCGGAGGAAGATACGGCGTATCGCACCGTTTCGCCGCTATTGTTATCACGAGAACGGTGTCGTCGATACTAATTGCAAGATACCGACAAAGATCGCCGATACAGCACGGAATAAAGGATCGAATCACTATTAGCGGGGCTTTCTATCGCGGATGAATAATAAAAAGTCAAATACAATACGACCATATGTGCGAACAGCGTTTCACTATGCGGCCAACTGAGCGGTCACCTTTATCAGTTTAATGAAGAGTTCGTGTCAACGATAGACTCGATAACAAGTCGCTCCAGTGGTGCGATTCTTTAACTCGTTATTGGAGTTAACGTTGCGCAGCATTTGTATACCGCAGAGAAGCTGCGATAACGAAACGAAATGTCGTTAACTCCAATAACTCCAATAACGAGTTAAAGAATCGCACCACAAAGGAGGCGCGTGATATCCTCGGCTCGCAGCTGTAACGAGCTGTAACATATTTTGAAAGGGAATCTAACACCCCAGTAATTCCGCAAGGAGAAGGACTCATGAACGATCATTCGCCAATATCGCGGTCCTTTTCGGTCGCCCCATCACCGATCGATTCCATTCTTTCCCCGTGTACTTTCCGCAGACAACCTTCAACCTTCGGCTTTTATCTCCAATCTTTCATCATATTCGCCATGATTACGGCCAAGACGGCATCGTTGAGCTGCCTCAATATTTATCGGAGCTTCAGGAGGGGAATTTCCGTAGCATAATCCCGCGATGATCGACTTGCAGGTTGAGCCGATCGACGGGGTGAGTCGCGAGCGAGTAGATGAAATAAGACCAGGCGCGGCGCGTTCGATATGAAATGGAAAAAACGCGATGTGGTTTCGCGTGGTCGAGCCTTGGCACGACCCACCTACATGTCGACAAAGAAGGCACCCACGCCACGTATAAAGCCACGGTATAGGCCACACACATACACGGCGTACATACACACACTTATGTCACATGCTTTCGACGTGTCCTTTAGTCGATACGCGCGCAATCATGCAGCACGCTCGATGTCGGCTTTCCATCGAGCTCGTCGGGCTCGTCGTCGTGGTCGCGAAGTTTAACTCGATGGTTTCCGGAATTTCTAGAGCTTCGTTTCGTCTGGCCGGGAGACCGGTTTCGTCCGTTCGGTGAAACCTCGAGCGTGCAGTGAAGAAACGCCTCCGATAACGCACCGCTACGAGAAAGCACGGCGATATAAAAGTAAGAAAAGTACTCGCCTGCATCGCGGTTCTCCGGAGGTTCTCGCGAGTTTCAGGAAGAAACTAAAACGATCAATTCTCGATGCACGGGACAGCTCGCAGTTAGACACGTGCGAACAGCCGTTTCGCGTTTCACAGCGAAAAGAGGAGGACTTTCCGAAAGGCGCGCCGTTCTCGACCAAGTTTAATTACCATAAAATCGTGCGAATTTACGGAACTCCTTAAGACGAGAAGACAATTCCGGGAGCTCGAACTTCTCGTGCTAAAGTGCGATAGTTGTAAAGAGGACGACGACGATGATGACAATTTCGCTCAGCCTCCTCCTCCTCCTCCTCCTCCTCCTCCTGGACAAAATCTCTTTTCTAAAAGTCTTAAAAAATGTATACATATGTATACATATAAATTAAATATCGGACTGCGTGAAAGGAGCAATTTTGTAATTGATCTTTCTCTATCATGGAAGAACTGAACTTGCCAACCGAGTGTAATCTCTTCGGGTCTTTTCTGCGTCGTTGGATCGTTTTCTAACTTGATGTTAATTAAATCACTAATTAAGAAGCTTTCACGTGCACGTCACGAGCACTTTCGGCACTCGTGCAATGTTATCTTCTCGTTTATGTCTCATTTATCTTCATTATCGTTACTCACAATATCTCTTGCCGTGTTACCCGTGAGCAATTGAGCAATTGAGAAAGGCCGAATAAGAAAAGAAGTGAAACTCAAATTTATGGATTGAACGAAATCGAATAAAGTTCGAGGCTTCATCTTCATCAGAGTTCATCTAGTTGAAATAATGATATAATTAAATATAATTACACACCTGAGACGGGGAGCGCCGAACGGTATCCTACGTCCGGCAAGAGGGTCGATTAAGTTTAATTAACCCTCCCCGTCCTCCCGCTTGCTTTTAGATAATTATCTTGACTATAGCGCGAATGAAGTAAACTCAGCCGACGCGCTTAAAACGCCGACGTTAGTAGTACGCAATACTTGGTGTGTTCTAGATATTTTAGCCAACATCGATCCCAGCAGGTGTACAGCGTGCCGTAAAAGTATGCGATAGGCCGCAGGCAGCGGCCGTCCCGTCGCGTCGCGTCGCGACGCCGGCGTCGCGAGCACGCGAGATGAACGCGAAGCAGTCGAACAATCGACGACGACAGCGCGGATATATCGCGCGCGAGAATATCGCGAAGAAAACGGACTCGGCGATTTCGAGGACTGAAGACACGAGACGACACGACGACACGACGACGCGACGCGACGTGTTCGCAGTCGCGGAATCGAGGAAGACCTTCCGCCACCTCGTGAACGTTCGCGCGATGTCGCCGCGGCGTGGGAGCTCCGCTGAGTAATTCCGGCCTTCGGAAAAGTTACAAATGTACAGACTTACCGGGGGCTTACATACCGTTACGCGACTTTAGTCCGGTTAATGCTAAACGTCGCTGGGTCATGACCAAGGAGAGAAGCCGCCCGTGAGGTATGATACGGTCTCGATTTAGAACGGGACTCTGCCTCGTCACGGTTGCTGCTGTCATCGGCGCGTTGACGTCCCGGAAGAGAAAAATACCGGTGACATGCGTACGTAAGGCGAGACCCGTCGCGAATTCGTCGCGAATTATGCGAGTCGTCGGCGACCGAGCAATGCTTGAGATGTTCGCTGTGACGCGAGTGTTGTGCCTGGCGAATTTTTGCGGCTTCGAGTCACGCTGACGCTGAATCGGAGTCAACACCTCGCTCGTGTTGCGTGCAGTCGAGAAGAATTCCAGCGGGAATCCCAGCTGACGTGTGGTAAGACTTTCATAAACGCAACGACAAAGACTATCTCGAGTATCGTGTCGCAGATCTGTGTCAGATTACATAAAAAAAAAAAGAAAAACAAAAACTGCCCCCCGACGTCGTTTGAAACAGCCGCGTCATTAAACAGCACGGAAGAGACTCCGACTCCCGACTTACGACGGGAGAAAACGAGGAAAATCGCCCTCCGCCGAGAGCGCTTCGCCGAAAGATTGAGATTCTTCGGACAGGTGAGGAACAACGAGCGAACGGGAATTGTATTCGCAAACTTCTGCCTCTGGAGCGAAGTTCCGTCCGTCCCGAAATATTTGTGGATCTCCGGTTAGTTACTTCGACACCGGCGCGAAGTCGAGCGACGTCAAGTGCACGTTGCCGCGAGTGCGAATGCAGCAAGAATGCAGGCGCGAGTAATGCGATCGCGGCCCAAGTCCGAAGAAGTGGATCAGACGCGCGGATGCGTTACGAATGCGCCACGATTAACACGAATTCGCGGCTCAGTGCGTCTCAGTGTTGGTACTCGGCAATTTCCTTTCGATAACTCTCAGTACTTTACACTCGTTTCTGCCGCGCGAGACCGACAGCGATGCGGCGCCGCGCGAGAATCTCATACGTGATCTTTACGTAATCGCGCGATCCCCGAGCGATATTCACCGCCGCTTCCGCAATTTAATACTCACGCACTATGACGTAGCTGCATCTGCAAGTAGATTTGTGTCGACTCGAGAAAGAAGGCGGGAAGAGAGAAGGGGAAAAGTAATTAGATACACTGAGAAAAAATTGTATTAAAATTAAACAAATATTCGTTCGAATACTGTGACTGTGAATATACTTACTTAAATTAAACAATTGTTTTCTAAAATTCAAGAAAAAAGTTTACATTCAAAGAGAGAACTGTACTTCTGTGCTTCATTTTAGAAATTAGTCGCTTAATTTGAATAAATGTATTCACAGTCGTATTCGAGACGAACAAATATTTGTTTAATTTTAATACAATTTTTTCTCAGTGTAGTGATTAATTCCGGGGGATTGCTCGTGCGTTTCTTCGGAACCCTACGATCGATCGCGTCGAGACATTTCAGCGGCCCCGAATAATTTCTGAACACGACGTCGCCACGAAAATATCCACCTTATCGGTGGATGCATATACGACAATGACTAGCGCATAAAGTAACTATGTCGTGAGAATATAACGCTCCTACGTCGTCCAGCTCGAGTCGATGTGAGCCAAGGTCGTCCATTAGGAAGCGAGTCAGATTGAAGCGTTACAATGTACATGCAAATTTGAGACGGTAAGTAAAGAAAAATCGGTGAAATTGCATTAGCTAGATACGCCTCTTGCAATTACATACAAACGAAATATCCCCGAGTTATCCGCCGCTGAATTATTCAACCGTCTCCTCGTCATGGATGAGAATAGCGGTCGAGCTGGTGAATTATGTTCGTGGGCGATAGAAAACTACCGAGATTCGACTCGTAAGCCTCGGGCTTCGGGGACGCGCGCGCATTTTATCCTTCATTTTCAACAGGCTGAAAAATCGCGCGGGGAACGACGACGAGAGCAAAACATCTTTTCACAGCAAATCCGCGGATTAAAGACAGTAATGCAGGGGAAACGCGATGTAGCGTGAGAGTACTCTGTGTACGCGGAGAGATACATAACATATTTTTACGTTGGCGCGCTTATAATAACGGCACGTCGAAATGAAAAATTCGCTGGCACGGTTGTAGGAGACCTACATAGAGTTAATAGCGGCCGGGGTATATCGCGTGGCGCCGTTACCTCCTGTGATAATAAAGCGGGGTGTGCATGGGTGGTACACGGGCGGTCGGTCGATTAGATTTTCAAACGTACGACTGGTGATTTTCAGATCTGAATGGGACAGAAGATTGGCCGTCGTAATAGTTGATTAGGTCGCGACATGGACGACAATGCTCGGCTATTATCGCGGCCATCGAGTACACCCTTTTTACACGATTTCAATCAATCAGAGGTTCCCCCTCAGGCCGATCAGAATCATCGCTTCTCGGAAGGACCGAGATCGGATCTCCCGATGCCCTCGTTAATAATTATTAATTATTAATTATGAATAATTATAGCAAGCGAAGCACGATATCATTTTCACGCTATTTCGCGAGTTCCAGCGCGAGCGACGAAGGAGAACCTCCGAAGAAGGTCGGCTGATAAACCAGCGCGGCGTAATTAGATCGCTAAAATATAAGACGTTGTCGTGCAACAGTGAACACCGTTATATCGTGTACTCGTTGCACATTGTGTGTGTGTGTGTGTGTTGCGCTGCTATAATATAAATCGTCCGCATGCGCTTTGTTCGTTCGTACAAGTTTGCGTGGTGTACTTACCCGCAATTCAGCCGGTCTCGCGAACTTCCTCACCTAACATCCTTCATTTGCGCGAATCTGCAACAGGCGACACACATTCGCAATTGTAGATAGTCCCGAATGACGAAGTTTCCAGCGGCACAATCTCGTTTCTCGGATATGACACGCGCGTTTTCACGCGGCGTTATCGATCTAAGGGAGCTGAGACCCAGACTCTTAGATACCCGAGAACAGGCGAGAACAGCTGAAAACTCGGCACGAGCCAGCGAGATAAAACTTCGCGAGTCACATCGTCTTATCCACGTGCCGCGACCGACACGAAGGGGCAAGTTTAACGGTTTAGCGTTATCGATCACGGTCTGTCGACGATGAAGCGACGCGCGATGTCATCATCGTGCAGCGGTACGTGGCTCGCGCTCATTATCGACTGATCGGCTGAAACGAATTACCGTCGAAATGAATTGGCCGCTTCCCCGCCGAACCGATCATCCGCAATCAACAGCAACGGCAGCTAATAGCGATGTCGATCCATCGAAATTGTCCGCTGCGAGCGAGCGAACGAGCACATGCCGCAGCCCGCCGTTTAACGAGCATTAATGAATTTTGCCGCAATTAGCGCATCGCAACTCCTTACCTGTACCGACTCCTTCTTCCTCTTCCCTTTCCTCCCTCCGAGTTATGACCGCTTCGTTCGTAACTTCCCAGTTAGATCGAATTAGATAAGCTTCTTCCCGTTTTCTTGCCAACACCACACAGCGCGTATTTATCGCTAGTTTGTACTCGGGCTTATATATATATATATATATATATATATACAGGGTGTTAAATTTCATTTCAGGTAAAAATCTCGAAAATTATGAAAGATATTAAAAAAAAGCTAATACAAGTGTTCCATGATTTCGAAGGAAAAAGAGAATGGCATTATCAGTTTTTTATTTGGAGGATATTTTCTAGGTCAGTTGAAGGTCAACTTAATTTTTTTTAATAGAAAGCCCAATTTTTTATTATATCTTCTTTTTCTACCAATTAATTTGAATAACTTTTGTCTGAAACATTTCTTTATTTGCCTAATATTTTTTGAAATATTTAAAGGAAAACTTGGTTCAAAGCTTTCAACATTTAACTTACGATATCTCGCTAACTATTCGTCGAAAGAAAAAATAGTATTAGACTTTTTTACTTTATTTACTATCAAGAATATATTACTATATAATAGTGCCCTAACTTTTGTTAACTTATCGACCTTTGGAAATTTCAAAATTATTAAATTAACAAAAATTAGAGTACTATTATAGTAATTCTTGATAATAAATAAAGTAAAAAAGTCTAATACTATTTTTTCTTTCGACGAATAGTTAGCGAGATATCGTAAGTTATATGTTGAAAAGTTTTGTTGAAAAGTATGAAGTTTTCCTTAAATATTTCAAAAAATATTAGGCAAATAAAAAAATGTCTCAAACAAAAGTTGTTCAAATTAATTGGTAGAAAAAGATATAATAAAAAATTGGGTTTTCTATTTAAAAAAATTAAGTTGACTTTCAACTGAGCTTAAAAATGCCCTCCAAATAAAAAACTGATAATGCCATTCTCTTTCCCCTTCGAAATCATGGAACACTTGTTTTAGCTTTTTTTAATGTCCTTCATAGCTCTCGAGATTTTTTACCTGTTACGTTTGAAATTTAGCACTCTGTGTGTGTATATATATATATATATATATATATACGGGGTGCACGATTTATCTGAAGACATTGAAATATTTCGAGAACTATGTATTGGATAAAAAAAAGTGGTTAATGAAAGTTGTTAGTCTCGAAGGGGGACATCCAATGATACCAAACTCGACCTCCCACCCCACCCCTTGGGGGTGGGGTTGGGGGCAACTTTGAAATCTTAAATGGAAACCCCATTTTTTATTGCAGATACGGATTCTGCGCCACAAAATACGTAAATTTTGTCCGAAACCTTTTTTCGATTCGTGATAGATGGCGCTGTAATCGCAAAAAATTATATTTTCCGCAATTCTCCAGAAATGATCATTGGATTGAGAAATAAAAAATACCTGTTCAATATTTGTAAAGAACATAGAGATGTTCAATATTTTTAAAGAACATACATAAAGAACATTTTTAAAGAACATTTTAAAGAACGCCGGATTTCTTTCTGTGGGGTTACCTAAAAGATAAGGTTTATCAACAAGTGCCAACAACTCGTGAAAACATGGTAGAACGCATAAAAAACGCTTGCACTAAAACTCCCGCAGATATGCTTCTATCCTGTGTACAGTCATTTGAAAAAAGGATCAATAAGTGTATTGAAGTTGAAGGTAAAAATTTCGAACACTTACTCTAATTAACTGAACAGTGAGAGGCAAGGGGACTCACATTAAAAAAGCACCCCGATCTGTGAGAGGCAAGGGGACTCACATTAAAAAAGCACCCGAAGGGAACATAAAACCACTACGTCCTCGTCGTTGTTCCTGTGTAACGCTAAAAGTAGTTTCTCGGGAAAATTCAACGCTATCTATCACGAATGAAAAAAATTGTTTCAATAAAAATTTCACGTACAATCTAATTCTGCAATGAAAAATGTGGGTCCCCATTTGAGATTTGAACGTTATCACCCACCCTACCCCGAGAGGATGGGGGGGGAATAACTTTTATTACGTTCTTTAAAAATATTGAATAGGTATTTTTTATTTCTCAATCCAATGATTATTTCTGGAGAATTGCGGAAAATATAATTTTTTGCGATTACAGCGCCATCTATCACGAATCGGAAAAAAAGTTTCGGACAAAATTTACGTATTTTGTGGCGTAGAATCTGTATCTGCAATAAAAAATGGGGGTTTCCATTTAAGATTTCAAAGTTGCCCCCAACCCCCACCCCCAGGGGGTGGGATGGGAGATCGAGTTTGGTATCATTGGATGTCCCCCTTCGAGACTAACAACTTTCATTAACCACTTTTTTTTATCCAATGCATAGTTCTCGAGATATTTCAATGTCTTCAGATAAATCGTGCACCCTGTATATATATATATATAGGTACTGTAACAGCAGCAGCAGCACTGCTCGTGGCTGTCGCCTCGGCTTTCGCGTGCATGATTTCTGGTCTTGTAATATTAATACGCGCGCTCGCGTTCTCTCTCGTTATCGCGATTACGCGACATTCCCAGCACTCCTCTTGTGCTCGCTCGCGCTCGAATAAGTGAACTCCGTTTGGCGATTAGGGGAACGCTTGATAAGGAGACTCGAAAACATCAAACGGAATGATAACGAAGCTAAATGGGCGCAGGTGTGATCGGATCGAATCTCACGATCGTTCGCACGTTGCAGCCCGCTCGCGGCTATCTCTCCCGTTTTTTCTTGTCGATACGTACGAGAAATCTCTTCTCCCCGCGCCATCCTCTTGCGGTATCGATTTCCTCTCTTACATTCCGCGTACGGTTGAGAATTCTAGCAACCCTAATAATATAATCGTTGAGGCAAGCGCGGATAAGCGATAAATTTATCCGCGAGACCTCGTTTCACTTCGCACTCGCGACCACGTTCGGTTGTGACTTCATTAATGTGTCGGGGGTGGAAATGTGAACACCGCCAGAAACGAAACAGCAGGCTGAACACGAGGGAAAAAAGAAAGAGAGGGGAGGGGGAGAGTGGAGAATGAAAAAGGGAGGAGAAAAAGAAAGAGGGACGCACATCGCGGAATAGCGCAAAGTGGAGAGACGGCGCGCAAGTTTTCCTGGCATCCCTCCTCCTTTGTGCCACCACACCCGCCTATCTCTCAAATATGTAAAAATACGTAAAGTTCGCGGACGCTGCACCACACGTTGTCTCGGGATAAAAAGCCGGCCAACGCGTTTACCGACCTCATGGCGGCGTTTCACAGCGGCAAAGCCGGCGAGTCTCAAGCAAACGCGTTACACTCTCGGTAAATCGATGCCGGTTTGCACGAAGCTACCAGAGATGTGCGAATCAAGAATTTTTATGTCGAATCGAATCTTATTTTTAAATTCGAATCGAATCGAATCTATGAGATTTAATTCGAATTCGAATCGAATCGAATGAAATCGAATCGAATCATTAAAAAATTTAACATGACTATTAAACATGCAAATAATGATGGAAGATTTTTATATGAAAGGGAATATTGATATTGTAATATTATCTTAAAGTAAAATATATATTTAAATATTTAAAGTAATTTATAATTAAGTATAATTAATAATAATTAATAAGAATTATTAATTACGAGTTAAGTTAATTACAAGTTAAGGGTTAAAATACACAGGCCCAGATGGCCCGTTTTGTAGCTGATGCGCGCAAACGCTAATGTATTTGATTCGTATTCGAATCTTCGAAGATTCGAGATTTTCGAATTATTCGGATTCGAATCATAGGGATTCGGATTCGAATCGAATCGAATTTCATTATTCGATTCGATTCGAATTCGAATAGTTCGCACATCTCTAAAAGCTACCTTTCAGCTTCGCTTCACTTATGTACTCCTATGCACCTATGCACGTTTCAAAGGGAAAGAAGAAAGAAATGGCTCTCCTATGTAAAATGACGACGGATGTTCCAGGTCCGAGGCTCGCTCGACTCGACCGCGAGGATTCGTCGGATGGTCCATCCGATTGCCAGGAACGCGAAATCGACCGCGCTCAGCGGGATCAGCGACGAGAAACGAGCCGCGAGCCTTCTCGATCAGATCTCGGTGCCTCCTGAAGCGGTGATAAATTCCCGTCTCTCCTTGAGACGATTACCGGTATCGGAGAGCGCAAAGTTTTGACACAGTTTGATCGCTTCGATCTTTAAACGTCTTCCTATTAAAGAACCATCGCATTAAGATGCGGCGTCATCGTCGGTCTCGGTGATCCACGAGATATTCGTCCGCTGCGTCCAGCCGAACAATAGAAAGAGAAATACGGTCCCACCAGCGAATAAGGCAGTCTCCAAGCAGAAGAACCGGGGGGAGGGAGGGGGGGGATAAAACCATTAATTACACATCGACGAGCCGCGATCGCGTGCTTCGTCGGTTCGCTGCTCGCGCGGATATCGCGGCCGACCTCCGCGGTGATCGAGACGTTAAAGATTCGAGATCGAGATCGGCAGGTTCGCGAAACGGCACGGCGATGTCGAAGAGAATATTGAAAACTACTATGAACGCCGTCGCGTTAAACAACAGTAACCTCCTCAAGATTAGTACCACGACTACTACCACGTCCCCGCCCGAATACAGCTACGACTACACGAATACGCATAGCAATGCCAATATTCTTCTTGCTGGGTGAGTAGCAGCTGCACGAGCGACCGCGTGCACGTTTAATCGCACGGAAGAAGCACGAGAAGAAGCACGAAGAAGACACCCCTCTCTCATCACCGGACGTGAAGCACGCCTCGGTCGCGAACGCGAGCTTCCCGAGGAAGCTGGTACGTCCCACTTCACGGACGTCGGGTCAGGCTCTTCTCGTCGTCTCGTCAAGCCCTAGAAAACCGGCCCAAAGTTTGACGAAAGTTCGATACACCGAAATCGATTGATAGGATTCAATGTTAGGCACGCTTCTACGCTAACTGCAGGAAAGGAAGTACACGCTTGATCTCGAGAATTTGAGAAGCCGCGAAACGTTCACGGTCGGATAAAATAAATGTGACAGATAAGGTAAAATACACAGAGATGAACAGATGAAATTGACTATCAATTCGAAATGTCTCTCCTCTCTCAGTATCACGAGCGATTTGTTACACTACACGGGGATGTAGTTCAGGATAAGACCCTCTTTGGCTAATATCCGAACACGTTGCAAAGTTCGCCAGTAATATTCCAGAACGGAGCTGGAATGGAGTTAAAGGCGGTTCCCAGACAGAACGGAGTGAAAAATTGCGTTGTTAAATCCTCGAGATAATGAATTTTTATCCGCCGAGATTTCTCGAGAATCTCAGATAACGCGATATTTGCGACGGGTAAATATTAATCAGACGTTAATCTTAATCGCACGTTGGGACTCGAGTGACGTGTGCCGTCGCAGGCGAGGAGCGGTTATCTTTTTTTAAATTATTTATCATTGCGAGATAAGTCTCCGAGCGAGTGCCTGAAATTCGCATCCGAATAAAAATCAAGAACGATAATTGTTTCGTCACTATCTAACGCGACGCTATCTCTCGAATTAACATTTCTCGAAACGCAGAAGAATATGGTCGTCGTCGTCGTCGTCGTCGCACAAGCAAGCTTTCACGCTAACATCACAAAGTTACTCCATCGGCTCGACCAGCGCACGTTCACAAAGTGGTCTCTTTCAACCGCTTTTACGTGTGTCTGAACAACTCCGCTCCCTCCGGGGAGAACAGTAGCGCACGCTCGCTTTTTCTCCATCGATCACCTCTGTCATCCTCTCGCACAACAGCCACGTGTTCTTTTGGAGCGCATCGGCCACTCTCCCTCTCTCTCTCTCTCTCTCTATCTCCCTCGCGAGCGTCTAAACAACGTCTATATCGGTTTTGCTTTCATCAAACATCGCCATCAGCGGCGTGATCCTGGTGGTGCTGCTCCTCTGCTACTGCTGTCACAAGAACGTCCGAAAGCATCGACAGCACGAGAACCCGCAGAATCGGAGGGTCGAGTCGGACGACCACAATCTGGAGATCTTCGCGATGGACGCGATGGTAAGCTTTCCGATTGGATCGGGCTGCTCGTGCCTCGGCGACGGACATATATATTATCGCGAAGCTCTGCTTGTCGAGAATGTCCTCGAGAAAATTAACGGGGCGGAAAGCCCTCTCTCTTATCAGGCACCGTTTTCTTCCCACCTCGATCGAGCGGATCTCTCCTTACTTGCGTCACGCTGCGCAAATCTCGTTTTTCCACGCTCAATTCGCCACCGAGAGAGCTCGGCTCGCGATTACCACCGACGTTCGCGATAATCGCGGTATAATTGTGGATCTTCGCCTTTTTCCCCCCGCCTTTAAAGCCCCCTCCCTCGTGTGTCTCTTTTCGTCGGCAGCGCATTTTTCGAATTTTTCGCAGCGAGCGAATTCCACCGAGATACATTCCTCTCTCGAACGTGAGACGACGCGTGTGATGTTACACGTACAAAACTGCGCTCGCGAATCCGGTCTCCTCTAATTCACGCGGCGCCCTGCATAGTCATTTCTTTCCACCCGCCGACCTTTGACTTGTCCCACGCGTACACGCACGCGGTGCCACCCACATCTCTGGTTACACATGCAATTAAATAAAAATTTGCGTATCCCGTAACCACGCTGGCGTGTCACACGTAGCAAAAGCGGGACGCGCGAGAACAACGGGTTCGAATTGCACGACGCAATGCGACAATATACACACATTTCACACCTACGTCTGGATCGTTTTCGAGGACGGGCACGACAGAACTCGATGACGAGAGAGATGACAAGAGCGACAAGGGCAGACAGAAACAAAATATTACAGCGGAAGCAGCCGGAAGACAAAAGTCATGAGTCAAATCAAATAATCAAGAGAGCACAAAGACACCCCGCCGAGCGGTTTCATTCCATACAATCTGTCGGTGTAATTGCGCATTAATAGCGCACAATAGGAAACATAAGCCACAAATATTCGTGTTTGATGCGCGATTCGACGAGCGATGTTATCATCATTTATACGCGGATCTCGTGTGTGTAGACTCGTATTTATTTCACGTTCTTCGTGCAAACATCCGGCGCGAAGGAAAGACTCGAGCAATCGTCTCAGTCTTCGTCGTTAATCTAATAAAGTCTGTCCTTAATAAATTAATCCTGACAATCTCGTTATCATTCGCCCCGAAGTAAAGCTGCTGTACACGTGAGGTTCACCCCAACACGCAAGCCTAACGATCTCGTTTCAGTTCCAGCAGTGCCCCGAGAGATCAGCCAGCCAGACGCCTCATTCGACGTGTTTCGTGACCTCGGAACCGCCGCCGACCTACGAGAGCATCTTCGATCCGCGGGCGGTGCCCTCGCCCATCGACAAGAAAGATGAATCCGATGATCTCGGCAGCATTATCGCACCGCGTACGGGCATCTTCCCCACCGAGTTGGAGGCCAACTGGATCAACAAGCGAGAGGATATCTCGAAAGACGACCAAGGTTTGCCTTCCTATGAGGCCGCCCTAAAATTGGAAGCTGACGGCTACGTCTAGGGATCGCGCCAGGAAAGTGGAGGGAACCTTCGATTCACCTCCTCGCGGCCCCTCCGTGAAAATCGTCGAATCGCGAATGCCTCCTTATAGGAGGAATATTTTTGGAAATAACACACGACCGACCACCGACACGCGTCGCGTCGGTCATATTTTTTAATGAGCGATACCTGTCAATAATGGAGTTGCAATTGTTACTCACGGGTCGATCCTTTCTTTGTTTTATATCGAATTACCAAATTAAAGATACACGCACGCTAGTAAAATAAGTACTACATTGAATACATGTATTAATGTGTAAATATAAGTCATAGAAAGAAGAGAGAAAAGAGTGAATAAAAACAAGAGAGACAAAATAAAAGAAATCTTGTTGTTTTGTTACGACGCGATAACATCGACGGAAGTTATTTCGCACGACACCCGAGATAAATCCCCGATGAAGAGAAGAAAATTCAGGAAGAGAGGAGATAAGTGCTCGAGCTTACTTTTCAGATCGATTCGTGAATCTCGATTAACCCTTTGAAGCACGAATTTTTCTATGCAATAATAAAAGAAACTGATTATATATATAGGAGTTTTCTGGGTCGCTGATTACGAATCCGGAGTCAAAATTTTTAAATTCAAAATGGCGGATTAAATATGGCGACTTCAAATGGCTAACTTTGATATGATATTATAGATATATATTAAACTCAGTATATTTATGTTCTTTCGATCACAGATAACAAATACAGAGTCGAAGTTAAAAAATTCAAAATAGCGGATCCAATATGGCGAACAAATTTTCTCAAAATTTTGCAATCTTTGTGAAAAAAGTATCACATAGAGTTTCTTGGGTCAGTAAATTCGAATCTTCAAAATTTTGAATTCAATTTGCATGTAAAAACGTATTCAACTTTATTAAAAACGAATATTTTGAAGATTATTTGGACCTTGCTTCCGTATACACAGCGAGATTTCTAATATAATTGATGGAAGATCCATTTGTTAGAATTTATTCACTGTAAAATATTATTTTCTCAATATTATTGAAAATGAGAACTTATTGATTTGATTGATTGATCGATTGAAAAATTTTGAAAATCTTTATCCGCCATATTGGATCCACCATCTTGAATTTCGAAAATCTAATAACAAATTCGTTATCAGCCACCCAAAAAACCCCATGTACCTATTTCTGTTGAAATTGAAGAATTTTGAAAATTTTTATCCGCCACATTGGATCCGCCATTTTGAATTTCGGAAATCTGACCCCGGATTCGTAATCGCCGACCTCGAAAATCCTAGGGTATCAATTGTCATCTATATAGCTATAATTGTTCTCTCTGACACGAATTTTTTGTACAAAAAACACTGTTTTTTTGCATTTAACTATTTATATAAACAATTTCATAAACAATTTATGAGAATTATACATTACAACATACTTAATAACATAATAAATAATAACATAACTCGAATGAAAACCCAAAAAGCAGCAAGAAAATCGAGTGTTTTATGCCTGAAAAACATAATAAAATGAAACAAAAAAGATGGCATTCCAGAGTGCCGCTGTGCTTCAAAGAGGAGGAGGGAGTTTTCGGCATGCCCTTTGAAGAGGGATGCTGGGGGACTTTCTTTCTCGTGATTGCTTCTGAATATACGTAAAGATTCGGAAACATGGAGATACAGATTTCAAATTGAAAAGACGAGAGAGAGAGAGAGAGAGAGAGAGAGAGAGAGAGAGAGAGAGAGAGAGAGAGAGAGAGAGAGAGCGAGAGAGAGAGAGAGAGAGAGAAATACAGAATAATTCACCGGTAATAATTCATCGCGTATTCTACAAATAAATGGCGAAGTAGTTTATCTATCTACAGAGTTTAATTATGAACAAAATATGAGAAATATTACAGAGCTTCATTCGATCGGACGTGTATATTTTAGATAAAATGTTTGAGCTAAGATTCACGTTTGGCTATAACAATAGTCGGTATAAGATTCGAGCGTAGTTGGTAAACATAACTGTTTCGATACGGCATAGGGATTCCTAATTGTCAATGATACACGTACGTATGCATGTTTCGCTGGATGCACCGTAATTGGATTAGATTTACATAGAATAAGCCATGTTTACACTTTCCAATGATGTAACACGAAACTATGCCACTCGTGCCCGTTATCAATTTACTTAGTCGCACGTTAGTTGGCGCACACGCGTTACCGCAGATAAGCTGATATTTATCTGCGATTCTCTTTCGTGGATGCGCAGGATTATGATGCAGCGGGAAGAAAGGCGGACGGATAGTGTAACGCGATAACCCGGCAATAATTTACCGTGTATTCGAGAAACCTGAAAAGAATAAGGTACATGGAATACATATTGCAAAAGCATCGTGCGATAAAATCGCTGGTATATTGTACAGTGTACACGTATACCGATTCTGTTAACCTATCGATGTGAACCTGGCAAACAACTTAAAATAAAAAAAAAGTTCTCAATACGGTTCGACTTTTTTTTTTTTATCAAATTGCTTGCCAGGTCGGCAAGCCAGCTCACATCGGTTGATAACCTTTGGATTCTGGCGTTTTTGTGAAAAGTTAATTGCCGGATATTTAAAACAACCAAATTAAATTTCAAATTGACATTTAGGAGGGTATAACGGTGAGTGAGAGAATTAAAAATAGAAATACCGTGCATCGAGATAAATTCTTTGACCAAACGATAACGTCCCCCCCTCAACCCCTCTCGATGAAGCACGTTGCCGGGAGCGATTTTTTTTCCGAGCTCTTAATTGAATTTCCATCGATCCGATAAATATATCGGTGTTGTCTAACGAGAACATTTTACATTATACGCGCATTATTCAGAGGCCGTTCGGCGATTATCGGCGGATGAGATAATGGGGATAGGGTCGTAACCGATTTATTTCATCGTCCTTGATTAAAGCGACCTTTACTTCTACGCGTGGAGTCTGGATCAAAGGTGACGACCGTGACGTTCGCTGACGAACGGACGGGTCCTACTTTTAGCCGCTCGCGAAACATCGCAGCCGGAGCTGCGATGCGACAAAGTATGCCGGATTAATTGGCCGAGTGCAAAAGGGCTTTTGTGCAAAAGGGCCGCCGGACAAACGAAAATATCCGATCATGCTTCAGTGCGCGCTAATTGTTGACCCCGATCGCGATGCCGATTGTAACTTTAACCCCGATAACTGCATGTCTCTCCGGTGTGTTTAAACATACGTACAAAGCGTAACGGAGATTTTTTTGTTCCACGAGAATGCTTCCTATTAAATGCTGCATGAACGTACAGAGAGAAGAGTTCGTTTATTATTAAGCTCGTTCGAGTCGAAACATCTCCTGCCTGTATCTTTTAATATCTCTGTTTCCTGCCGCTCTCTGTGGGGCAGATTAAACCTGACTGGCAGATGGAGCGAACGGTGTAATGGGATATCTTAATAATGTTAACATCGATCGATGAGCATGAAGTGTAAACAGCGTCGGATGCTTCCTTGTAAGAATTAAAATCATAATTCTCGTCGCGACGCGTCAATGAGTTCTTGAGAACGGAACGCGCGACGCGGTAATTCTTCGCAGATACAATTTACGGTAATATCCGTGATATTAGATCGTTATATTAGACGTGACTGAAATAATTTTTTGGAGCAAGCAGTCGCGCTGCGTCAACAAGTATTAATGATCGTCGGCTTTGTCAACGTAAACGATACGCGTGATAAGCACGCGTTATCGTATATCCTACATATATGATTGTGTGTTATCATTTGTCAGTGATAGCGCGTAACAACGCGAGATGGGACTTAATACGCGCGATACGATTTAATGTAACAGATCGCAGAGCGACAAAATACGCTTCTTGACGATCGCGGAACGAAATAATGGCAGTCTCGAGCGTCTCGTGTGCGTGCGTGCGTAAGCTTCAGGTGTTAAAAGTCAACGTAATCCGTGTGATTTGCATAATACGGCGTGCTGGGAAGCACGGATGAGACCGTGGTTGGAATACAATGAACGACGTGTAAAATGAATGGATAAAAGTGCGGACGATAAATTCGGCCGTTGGCGCGCGATTTGTTACAACGTCGAGAGCACGTCGAGCGAGCGGACTCGGTTCGTTAAACGCGCAGAGCAGTCGGCTTGCTGCTGCTTGATGTCGTAAAAGAATATCTTTCAGAAGAAAGTAAAAGAATATCAAATTCACACGTTTCCGAATCTAAATAGGACTATGCACAAGGAAATATACGAGGCTATAACGCGGTAACAGAATGTTCTCCAGAAATATTTGTCGATAGAACTGTTACGTGTAAGACAAAACGTATTACGAAACGAACGTAGAGACGTTGGAATGAAATATTATCGTTAAAATGAAATATTGTTTAAACTTTCACTTCCTACGAGAGAAATAACGTCGGTCTGTTGGGCAAAGTGGGGACAACTTCTGCAACGATGTTATGTACAAAGTTGCACCATGCAGGTGCACGGATGCAATTTGAGAATTTTCCGGCGTTTCACGCGGTTCGTTTAATAGGATATTTTCGGCTGAGAGGGTTAAATACACGTTTACACGCGTGTTGACTGGACACTGGAGGCTCGATTACGTGCGATACGCTATGCTCACGAGAATATCACAAAATGTACGTGCTGTTTGCACAACAAGCTGCTTTCCCCTGGCGAGTTGAAAAAATAGGAGGATAAAATACTTGTTTTAATATCTATTTATGCAGACGGGCGAAATACCGGCAATAACGACCGGACGATAAACAAACGAAACTGAATTAGCGATAATCATTCGGCGCGAATTATTATTGAAAATCAGTGGTACGAGTGTAAATCAGCTTACCCGCGGTGCGATGAATCGAGCGCAAATCGAGCTCGCGATTTATTAACGCGTCCCTTCCGTCGCACGTGCGTCTTGTTATTGTGAATGTAATTTACGGCAAGTTGCTCGCATTCCTGTCCCGTTTAACCTGAAGCTTCGACAGTCAATTGTTCGCAGCGTTAATCGCTAATTAAATGGCGCGATTAATCATGACGCGGTATTCCGCACGCGTATAGCACCTTATTATTATATGATTCGATTCAAGTCCGCTTCACTCGGAAACGGTCGTGCGAACAATGCGTAATTTTTCGCGATACTCCGAGACTCGCGTATCTATGCGATTACGCGAGTGATCGAGCGAAAGGAAAAATAAATATTCTATTTTAACCTATGACACATGACACATCATGTCCGTGTGACTTCGAACGACTGTATTACCGATGACACACTATAAATTAGCTTATCATCGATATGCTGATTATCGCTCGTGTAACTTGACAATTGTTATCAACAAGGATGATATCACGACGTCAATTATTTTGTAGAATCTACCGTCTGATAAAACACGACATCTCCGACGACAACGTTATCGACGATGCTACGGCGGAATTACGGCGCGGCGGATCGGTCGGTGCGCCGGTTGCGATTAATAAGCAATATATAACGACTTCATTAAAGTTGCGGCAGGCCCGGTGGTAATTAGGACCTAATATCGCATCTCCCGTCAACGTTTGTTAATTTGTGATGATTAACGGATCTTCGGAGTTTAAATTTGCTGAAGGTTAGCACTTAGCGGAGTTTAGCCTTGTCGCCAACGTTATTAGTGCTCGTCCGTTCGCTGGATAAACTCTGCGCCACTCTAATGAAGAAAGAGGCACGTGAATGTTCCTCGCTAATTTTGATGAGCCTCGCATGCGTTATGAACTGACCGAGAATAACAGTCAAGTATTTTTTTTTTTTTTCTTTCACAAATGCCTCTTCGCGTATTTAGGGATTATGTAGCACAACTTAAAGTCAATTCTATATATCTGATCGCGCGCAAATATCTTGGAAATCGTGAGGTAAGTGGAAGAATGATTTGAGAAGCAACATTTCCTGACATTCAATTTACATTATTCAATTATGTGTTTGTTCACGCACAGTCGAGTGGACGTATATACGAAGGTTTCTGAGAAATGTCATTGTTCAACATACGTCCGACAATATTCGCTCATTACGGAACGTGGGATTAGTTTCAAGGGATTAGTAAACACGAAAACGCGTGCGCTCGCGAGAAAGAGAGAAAGAGAGAGAAGAGGTACTAACGAAGAAAATACATCCCTCATTTTCCGCTGCATTGCGATAGAGATCCAGCCAGAGCTGGGGATGAAGATCGACGAAGGACCCTCGCCTCACGAGACGAAACGACGAAGGACCTTGCCTCACGAGACGAAACGTTGGCGTAAGAGAGCAGCGTTTGTAAAACCGTAACGGCAAGCGGATGATAGAGACTAACGGGACGGTACATTATGATCTAACGCCGCGGACAGCCAGGTAATACTTCATCGAAGCATTGAAACCGCGTTTGCGGGCGCATCGAGAGAGCGCACACGTGCGCTCGCGTCGGCGAAGGAGGGTCGGCGAGCGCGATGACAAATCACCACGATGATAAATCAGTGGAGCGTGCTGTCTATTAAAATATCGATAGAGCGGCGAGGCGCGAGCCGAGAGAATCTATCGCGTACGATCCATCTGGAAAATACGGTTGATTGAGCCGTGCGCGCGGCCCGCGGAGCCGGTTACGAATATCGACGATACCGTAAATTTACGCGCCGTTGTCCGCACGTGTAACTTTATTTCGCGATAATCGAAGCGTGGAATCGCGCGCGATCACGGCAGATATCTCGGAGTAAATATACCGCAGCGATAAATGCAATAGCACGTGCGATCGTTGTAAATCCCGCGCTGAAGACACACACACCAGCATTTTCTTTTTACCACGGGAGCGTTACGATTCGTACGATCGGCGATTCTTCTCCGAAATGTCGTTACGAAGGCGACTAACGTTGTAAACGTATCGCACGTGCCGTCAGACGGAATATCTCAACGATGGGTTTCTCGGGAGATTTACAAGTGACCCTCGCACTCTCCTCCTCCTCTCCCTCTCCCTCTCTCTCTCTCTCTCTTCCCCTTGGCAAAATGTTTACGTCCCGCGAGATTATACATTTTACGTAACTAAGCCTCGAATTAGAATCTAACCGCCTCTTGTATGTGTGCTTCTCTTCGTGTTTGCGAGTGCCAATCGAAGATGCCCCACGAGAGTCCAATGTCTTCGGACTTAAATTTATAATATCGTATCTAAATAGCGGGAAAATAATACCCGTAATAAAATATCGAGTTATAATCGCGTCTCCCGTGTATAAAAAAGAAAAACTAATGACGTCGCGACGTTCATGGCTGAGCAGATACGTCAAATGAAAATTATTCGCAACAATGTTTCAAGAGAAAATCCGGCGGGACGGGATTAAAACGGGCGCTTGAAAATGTCGATATTCCACGGTAATAAATAATCGTGAGCGGCAGCAGGAGCGAGTTAATCGCCATAATAAGAGGACGCGGAAAATTGACAGGTCACCGCGTGGTCCACGGCCACTCTTATTTGCGCGGTGATTAAATACCCCGGCTTAATCGCTCGAGCGCGACTCCACCGACATGGTTGGAGACAGTTCCGTACGGCAGAATTCGTTGTTGAAATCAAGGTCGAGGCTTCCGTGAGTTTCTTCTTTTTTTTTTTTTTTTTTTTTTTACGTAATGTTTCGTTCTTTCGCAATACTTTAGAACGGACTGATTTACGAATGTGAATTACGGAACGCGCGCGCGTTTCCTTTGCGCAGCGTAATACGGTAAACGATACAATGAGCGTGTAATGATCTAAGCCGGCGAAGATGGAAAGGTGCGAACGGCGGATCGAACGTCGTAGATATTTTCCAGCCGCCAATGACGACGATTCTGCGTAAAAACGCAATCGACGATAATGAACACTTACTCAAAGTACTATTGCGGGCGCGGAAAAAATACCGACCTGTGTAGGCTGTGTTTCTGCGTTTTATCTTTCATCATATTCGGCAAATGTTTAACGACGTGAACAAAGAATGACGAAAGAATAGAGAGAAGGTAGCTTTCGCTCGACTGCGCCGATTGCGCTGCGTGAAAGGTTTACCTGACCTCAACGGGTTAAAAATGTTCCCTGACATCTCGGAAGCGCGCGTCCTTTCTCTCGCTCGCTCACTCGCTCACTCGCTCGTCCGTTCGCTAGCTCGCTCGCACAGTTCAGTTCAGACGTACGCACGCGTAAACAGCTGACGAAATGAGACAGATCCCATCTGATCAAAATCAAAGTCGTAATCTCTCATATCTTCTTTATCAGTTCCATATCAGTTGTCGCGCGTCGTTTGACGGAACTGCTTCTTCTCGACACTTCGTAAGGACGCTTCGAAAGATAAGAAAGAGAGCTTGACTCGCACTTTACGATGATCAAGTATCAAACAACTATCCCGTCCGAAGCCGGCTTAATTATGATAAACAAGACCTCATTCAAGACAAGGTGAACACGAAAGACGCGAAGGACGCCGAGACAAAGGAGAGCGTCTCTAGAGCGTTGTTTTTCGTTCGGAGTACGTCGAACCTCGTGACGAGCGAACAAACGAGAAAGGAAGGAAGGAAGAAAAGCGGCGCGGCGGAGCTGGACCAGCCAAGCTGGCCGGCCAGCACGAGTGAACGTAAAATAATCGTATATCACCTCTCACTTACCTAACCTAACCTTCCAGCGTGATGGTCCTGCGGCCGGGACGTACGGCGTGTCTCTTCCAAGGTTGCTGCTGCCGCCCGGGGATGAGGACGCGCGTCCTTGGAGGCGCGCGATGCACGATGCACTTAGCAAAGGGCATGCACGAGTTACGCGACGGCGGGGACATCAATGGGTAGGGGTGGTAGGAGAGACGCGTAATTAACGGTACGTCTTGACTACGCCGGGAGGAGAGGAGAGGAGAGGACAGAGAAAAAGAGAGAGAGAGAGAGAGAGAGAGAGAGAGAGAGAGAGAGAGAGAGAGAGAGAGAGAGAGAGAGAGAGAGAGAGAGAGAGAGAGAGAGAGAGAGAGAGAGAGAGAGAGAGAGAGAGAGAGAGAGAGAGAGATAGTAGGTGGAAGGGTGAGGGTGGGAAGGAGGGAGGGAGGGAGGGAGGGAAGGAGGGTGGATGGGTAGTAGGGAGAGAGAAAGAGTGAGAACACACGGAGAAGACACAAATTATCGCGCCCACGCACTGTGCCAATCTGAAGTGACACCGCCTCGACACGCTTTGCCTCGGTGCGCCCGTTACCGTGGCGATCGGGTCAACTCCGCCGTCAATACACGAGATACAGAGAGAGAGAAAGACGAGTTTGAGTTTCTTTCTCGCTCTTGCTCTAGTTCTCACTCACCCTCTCTCTCTTTCTCTCTCTTTCTCGTTTACTACCGCGAACCTTCGCACGCACACTGCATCTCTTGAAGCTGGCTGCGGCCGTACTGCGCGTGTCTATCGTACTCTTCGCGCCGGAGCCGCGTGCGCGTGACGCTGGTGGCGCCATCGAGCGGCATTCAGTGGAATTTCTTCGCGAAGGAAGATAATGCAGTTTCCGCGGTGCGAAATAATGACGAAAAATTCTATTTTCCTTTTATTATTTTAAGATAAGATACACTTTATAGATGTGGATAGTAACGTAAATACTAATATATTTATATTTATATATATTAATACAATTATCATTAACGTTTGCATTAGATGAGTAAAAATAATCGGTTATGTAAGCTTCTTGTTAATGATATAGGAGAAGTGAATATTATTTATTTTAATGATGAATCGAATATGTTGAATTATTTGGGACTCTTTGTATATATTGCAGCGTTTAGAAAAGGTTTTGCTACGATCCAAACCAAGAAAGTATAAATTTTTCTTTTTAATTTACGTACCGATAAATACTGTCATGCGTCCTCGTGGAATTGTCCGATCTTGAAATAATGAATCCTTTCAGCCTTTGCCATCGATAGCAAACAAACAAATCCGTGTCGAGCGATCATCAAAGAATGAATAAAACGTACAATTTATCCTCTTTGAGATGTATCTGTAACATTTTTAACAAAATAAATACAAATTCGCGATTTAATGATTCGATCGAAAAGTGGGGTTACGAATTGAACAACAGCCACTTGAATTTATTCCCATATGTTTGAGTGAAAATCGACAACAATGTTATAACTCAACATACCCGAAAATTAGATGCTCCGAGTTACAAAATACTTGTCGCATTCTGTTATTAGAATGTTTATCACAGTTACGATCCGTTGAATTCCGCATATCTTTTGTGACAGAGAAACTGTAACTGGTATAAGCAAGAAAATGTAGATGTAAAAGTGTAGGTATGAAACATATAAAGAGTGTAACTATAAATAGCAATAAATTTCCAACGAATAAACGCGAGATGACGCCAGATAATCCGTTGGCTTACCGTTCCGTTAGTCCGACATAAACAACGCTAGATGATGCCACTCACATCATTTTATTGTATTCTCATTTTGATCGTTGTTACACATTTTGGTAACAATGCACATGTCGGATGAAGTGAATGGTCTGATTTCGACACTTACGACACGGTCGCCTCCTCCTGTTGCTTCTCTGCCTCCACTTCACCATCCATGCAGCATCACTGCAGCATGTAGCACCGGTGTTCAAATAGGCGCGCATTCAATGATTCCGTTTCGTTCCGTGTTCCGAGTTCTCCCGGTTGGAGTTCCTCAAGATTAGGTTAGGTGGTCGCGGCCTTGATTAACCCGACCGGTCCCGCAGCTATCTTCGTCGCCTCGTCGAGGGTCCCGACTCTAGACCCTAGCTCCTTAGCTGCGATATAAATAAAGAGATAGAGTCAACGCGGAAGAGCCGCGGTTGGTGTCGACCGTGAGAAAGATAACAGATTCGTTCGGCGGCAGTCTGTGTGCTTCTACTTGCACAATCCAGAGATCAAACAGAGCGAAGAGGAGCAGGTACACCCTAGGTAATTACGGTCTCGTCGCTCGCGTCGACGAGCAACCGCCTCCTGTTCCTGAAGCAGGATAGTCTCGAATACTCTGGTGAGAACCGTCGTGAGAAGCATCGGGGTGACTTTCACCCCGGCGAGGTGGTACACGAAACGCGCCTTATCAGGTAATTGCGCGTTCACGCAGCATCAACGCTCGACTTGAACTTGCCGAGATCGTCGCTGCGCCGGTCTCGCGATCAACCGTCTCGATCGCGGCAAATCTAATCGCAACTCGAGATCGATAGAGTACACGTTCACGTCGTCGTCAACTTGGCACGAGTCGGGTCACTGCGCTGTTGTTTGCGAACGACAACCGCCCTGACGAGCGCGAGTCGACGTGTGACGACGCTCCGTCGTCGGCAATGTAACAGCTTGATTATTGCGGACTTAACCCGGTCATCAGGCAGCCGTCCAACAGCCGCGCGCTCCCTCACTCTCCGCTTCTCGCTATCTGATAGGCGAAGTGACGCGATGTCACGTTTAGCGGTGCGTCGTTCGGCGTTCTTGCGTATCCGCTCTCGGTCTCGCGGCCGCCAGTATGTCGACACGACGCATGAGGTTCGCGCGAGAGTCGCGCTGACTTCAATCACGCATTCTCCCTCTTTGTCTCCCTTTACAACGTGCTGACATTTAAATCGCTTTGATTTCACAGTGGAGGATCGTGGAGATGACAGATCCCAAGATCGAGATGCACTACACACCGCCAACATCGGACACCATCCAGACGAAGCCATTCCCGATACGAGGTATAACGTCCCAGTCGACTTCTTTCGCCTTTACCTTGGAGTGCTCTCTCTCTCTCTCTCTCTCTCACACACTCTCACTCACTCACTCACTCACTCACTCACTCACTCTCTCTCTCTCACTCTCACTCTCTCTCTCTCTGTATCTCTATCTTTTTCTCTTTTTCCGAATGTGTGTATATATATATATATATATACATATATATATATATCTGTTTTCCGCTACGCGCTCATGCACGAGCACGTGTTAGGAACGTGGATCATTTCGCCTGTACGAAAGAAATTCATGGCTTCCGATCTAATCGTAATCAACGTACGAACGTGTAACTTCTTTATGGTGTCGATTAACAGTATTTTGTACTTTTTTGTCAGCTGCATCGCGACATGATCGTTTGGAGAAAGACGATTATATTCCAAGAGAGAAAGAGGGAGAGATAATTTCGGAGAAACACCTCGCTGGAATTACATAGTATCTTATCGTCGTTGCAGCGTATCTTAATAAGAGTCGTTAAAGTATGTTAGCTTGGTGGAAGAGGTTTTGCCATATTTGTCAAATATAGTGGAAAATGAAATGATTAAGTCTCAAAGGATCAATAATTCTTCATGAATTAAACGGATGAGCTAAACTCAATATTATTTTAGGCATCTATTTTCCTTTTAATATCCGAATTTTTCCGAATGAAGATTTAACGGGAAAATGACAAATCTTTTGCACCGATCCAATAGAAGATACATGAAGGAACTTGAAAGTTTTTCGAAACGAATCTCGACGCAATAGGCTTGTCGTGCACGCCGCATGTTTAATCGTTGCGACGACGATTGCGAAAATCCGTCGGAGCGGACTAGTTTCGCGGAGCGTTGCTTATTAGTTATCTGATTAGATCAGGTTTCATAAGACATTTAGATGTCACGCAGTTTCAGCCATTTGCAACGCGAGGTGAGAGAACGAGAGCTTTCAGTAAAATACGCCACACACTGTAGATAAGAATAAAAATAACACACACCGTGTCACCTGTCGATAAATGAATTAGCGCGACTGTGGAGTTCGACTGTTAAAGCAGATCGAAGGAAAAGGAGAAGAGGGATTCTTTTCGAAATCATACACTTCGACAATTGACTCTAAAATTACCGGTGTGGTCAAATTGACCATTTTGTAATTTCTTAAAAAACTTACGAAGATTCGTTATGTAACGACGCACTTTATATACATCTTAATGGATGTTAAATAAAACTATAAAAAGTAAAGATTTTTGCCCTTGAATATTTTTCCAAAAACTTGTCGTTTCAACTGCTTCGCCAGAAATAAGTCGTCAGAAATTGTCGGTAGTTCTGTATTATTAATTAAAAATTATTTATCAAAATCTCTCAAGTGCGTTTGACCGATCGCTGTAGAATCTGTTTTCATTTGATCTTCACGTTCGTAATGCGCCCCTCGTTCGCCGATATTGATTCATCACATTCTCACTCTTTCTCTCCTGTCGCAGGTGAACGCGCGAATTTCGTGAACAAGCCTCATGTGATCGCAATGGTTGGATTACCGGCACGCGGCAAAACTTACATATCCAAGAAATTGTGTAGGTATCTCAATTGGATCGGCATAAGCACGAAGGTCTTCAACTTGGGCGAGTACAGACGACACGCCACTACTGCTTATCAATGCCACGAGTTTTTCCGTCCCGATAATATAAAAGCCATGGCGATACGCACTCAGTGTGCGATGGACGCCCTGAACGATGTTTGCCAGTGGCTGGAGAGCGGCGACGGCGAAGTCGCCGTCTTCGACGCCACCAACTCCACCGTGGAGAGACGCCAGCTCATACGCGACATCGTCGTCCATAAGATGGGTTTCAAACTCTTTTTCGTCGAGTCGGTATGCAACGATCCGGAGATCGTCGAGCAGAACATCATGGAAGTACGTGTTTGTCAGAATCAGAGATAGTCAAGTAGCGAGTCGTTGTCGTGTTACCGGCTTGTGCGAGAGTCGAATTCAGTGAGAAGAGGAGAAAACAACATAGATAATTCTTCCGAGTGAGAAATAACTGACGTTGAATCGGTATTTTTTTTAAGCATCCAACGAGGACCTGCCATTTTCCTCTGAACACTCAAACTTTCCATGAAAATTTACAATAGAGGAATGACTCGAAGACTCACGCGCGATCTCTGTTGTTCAGGTAAAAGTTAGCAGTCCGGATTATGCGAACATGAACAAGGAGGAGGTGCTCGCGGATTTCATGCTGCGAATCGAGCACTACCAGGAGAGATATCGGCCGTTAGACGAGAATCACGAGAGTGACCTGTCGTTCATGAAAATATACAACACCGGCGAGAAGGTGCTAGTCCATAAGCACGAAGGCCATATACAAAGTAGAATAGTTTACTATCTTATGAATATTCATATTGTGCCACGCACGATTTACTTAACCAGGCACGGTGAGAGCCTGATGAATCTCGAGGGCAGGATAGGCGGCGATTCGGACCTGAGCGATCGTGGACGCGAATATTCCAAGGCACTGGCGAACTTCATCGCCAGCCAGGATATACAGGTAGCCTTCTTTTTATAGCCGTCTTTTCAATTCCACGCTTGTACTTTTGCGCGGCGCGAATTGCCTTACGTAACTGGCTGCGATAACAATTTCTCAACTCATTAAACGCCCGGTTACTTTTAGCGATACTCAGTTCATCTATCACCGTGACAAGATATTTAGAAAAAATAGAATCACATAAATGCTGCTTGTTTAACATTCGAATGTGCGTATATTACGTAAAGGTGCCTCGCTCGCCTCGTTCCGCCTGTTCGATTTCTCCTTTTATGTTGTCACGACGAACATCACGGTGGTATATTTTGCGTCTACAGGGCCTGAGAGTGTGGACTAGCTGGCTGAAGAGGACCATTCAAACTGCAGCGGACGTGAAGGCGCCACAGGAAAGGTGGAAGGCTCTCAACGAGATCGACGCCGTAAGTTGAAGAGAACGTTGCGAACGGCGACTAGCGTGAACGGTTTCTTATCGTGTTTCTTTTCTCATGACTTCGCATCGAAGGGTATTTGTGAAGAAATGACATATGAGAAAATCGCCGAGAAGTATCCTACAGACTTCGCCGCGCGAGATCAAAACAAGTTCTCGTATCGTTATCCAAGAGGTGAGAGCTACGAGGACCTTGTAGCGCGCTTGGAACCTGTGATAATGGAACTGGAACGTCAGGGTAACGTCTTGGTCGTCAGTCATCAGGCGGTGCTGCGTTGCTTGCTCGCTTACTTCCTGGATAAAAGTGCAGGTCAGTATGATTGATGGACTACAAAGAAAGACGAGTCTGAATATATATCAGTGCTTGATGTCTTAGAATAGCGGCATTGAAGTATTTGGTACGCGCAGCTTTTGACCTTTGACATATTGAAGAGACGTGTCGAGGAAAGAAATGACGAATGCTCGTGCATGCGAAAGCAGATTACAGTGACGTAATTATTTATTCCATCGCTCTCTATCGTATGATAGCTCGTTCGCGCTACTTTTGTTATCTGCGTCGCGCGATTTTTTTTTAACTCGACATTGACTTTTGCACGAGAGACAGAATGCGTTCAAGTGTGTCCCGAGCCGTGTTTTTTCTCCTTTGACTTTGAAGTTATCAATTTGTACTAAGAAAGACGACAGAAAATGTTCGATTACTGCAAAACCTTCTGAGGATAATTTGTCTTCGAGCCGAAATATATTAGCATTGAAATGTTCTTTCTTTTTCAGATGAATTGCCGTATCTGCAGGTACCTCTGCACACCATTATTAAACTAACGCCGGTTGCTTACGGCTGCAAAGTGGAGCACGTTCGGCTACCGATAGAAGCCGTTGACACCCACCGGCCGAAACCAAAGGTAGAGACAATCATAGTAAAGCGTATTAAGCGTCGCTCTGCTTGCCAAAACTAAAGAAAGAAAGAGTGATAAAGGGAACTCGATAAGGAGTAGTTCCTGTTTGCACGTTAGTTGAAGCAATATATGCCAATAAAAGATGTTTTGATTCCTATACTTTCCTTATGTTTTAATGTTCCCAGAGCGCCTGATACCGTTAGCCGGTTAGTGGAACGGACCGTTTTCTTGTACCTAATCGAAACCCTACTGTAGAATCACCTGCATCCGCTCAAAAACAAACAGCTTTTGTAAACTAAAAATTCGTCGCATGCAATTTCCCAAGTGTGGAACTGAGAGACTTTCTCGTGTCACTCTTGTGTCCCTCCTGGCTCAAAAGTTTACTCTTTCGGATTCCAAAAGAGCTATGTTGTTTGTAGCACGAGATTTCTCGTGGGGAATTAATGTGCATTTATAGTAACTGTGTGCCATTTCCTGATATTTATAAGAATCAATATTATGACGTTATTATGATACTAAAATGACTATTGTATTGTGTCTTAAGCGTGTTTACACAGCGATACGTGATGATTGTTTTATTGTCTGTATTCGTTCGATCAATATTATCCATTCTTGTGCAATGATTCAATGCTGTTTTGTAGACGATTGTACGATGACTAAGTAATACGCTTTCTAAAGATCATTATTTTTATACTGTTATTTTTGTCTAGAAAATTGTTTATACATCCTCGATTTAGTGAGGTATCATTAATGATCTGATGAGAGGTCACTAATGACCGCGTGATGTAAAGGTCGTTCAATTTGTAGCATCTGATTCCAATTGTCCTAGCACTTTCAATAAAAACCTTTTCGCAGAAAACCATACAAGAGCGTGTATTCTCGATAAAACTGCATCCTTGTATAAACGTGCGTAGACTACGTCTGTTCTTTTTCTTTTTGTTCTTTTCTCTTACTCTCTAATGCACTAGCATATATAGCAGCTATAATCCCCGTTGTGAAACTCTTTTCAGATACCAGGATATCTAGAGGAACGATTCAGGGAGAAGGGGAAAGTATTACGCACGTGATAACAACGATTTTATAAGAAATCGATGCAGCTAATTTCTACCGTTCATAAGAGAGGCAGCAGCAGCAGCATAGATTTTCGGCGATCGGCTGCTCGTTTCCCTCTTGCGTACGTAAATAAACGCGCATCCAGATCCTTCCCTATGTGCCAGCCAACCTAGAGAATGAGAGATATACATCTGAAATTGCACATTGATGAATATATCTCCTTGGAAGTATAGGTGTAGAAGTAAGATGTTCGCAGCAATACATCCTGCATGACGACGGTGCGTGTGCAATTGTGGTTTTTATATTTTCGATTGGTTCTTATGGGGGAGTAAGGAAATGTATGTGATAACCAAGTGATTGTGAAGACGCTTGACACGTGTCACATAGGTGACATGAAATTTTCGGAATGTTACTAGCGATACGTAAGAGGAAAAAGGACAAAACGTAATTCTAATTACATTCTATGTTAAGCATGTGCTTTGAAGTATTTCTTTTCCGGAAACTAGGCTAAGAAATAAATATTTATACGAACGACACGCGCTTCCAAGATAACAGTATCTTATTCTCATTTGACAAATACTTCAAAGCATTTTTCGTCGTCAAATTCGAAGCTAAAAACATGTTTATATACATTATTTAAGCAGTTTACAACACTACCTTGGATATTTTTCCGAACATTCGGATGCTTTTTCCTAAAGAACAACCCATGGCGATCCAAGTGAATTATATATATATCGTGAATTATAACATTGATAATAATATTCGATTTCAAACTGCATAATGATCCCTGAAACAGTACGATAGGTTAGGATTGTGCGATAATATTTCCATGTAAAACTACCGAACATGTACAGTTCAATTCTTTATTGAACATATATGGTTTTGCATATTTAGCAATTAAAATACAGATTTCAATTACTGATACATATATATATATATCTCTCTATCAACATGACGAACAAATATAATAAATAACATGCAATTTTATGAATTCACTACTGATTTAAATTCCTGTTTAATGAATTATATAGTAAATATAAAATCGCAAGTTATTTGCTAGTTATATATAAACAGATGAGCAGATTTTTGTTCCGTAAATATTATCACCGATGAATCGCTTCTACGTCAGAATGAATTACGTATTTAAAAAAAAGTATTTTTTTTCTAATCTAATAGATTTCTACAGAACATTGTGAAACAATTATGTATAAAAAAAAAAGGTAAGTCGTAAATTTAGACATGTTATTTTACATAACAGCTATTATTTCTCGACGACCATAAAAAATAAGCAAAATTCAATAGTTTATAATTTTCGTAAAAATCATGATAATGAGATAATCCTAAAAGCATTTCACAGTTCAATATCTCTAATTTGTGGATGTACTTATGAAAAAATAACGTTTATTTATTTCTTACAATGCTTTATGATTTATTACTGATTTATTCAACGTTGAAAAAGTGTTCACCCGAATATGACTACAGAAGAAAAACGAATCGATATATAACGTTCGTAAATAAAGTTAATAAATAAATAAAATAAATAAATAAATAAAATATAAAATACCTTCGTTAAAATACACATGCATTGAGTTTTTAATACAAATCATTTTTTTATGTAAAATAATTAAAATATAAGAATGATGAAAATCAAACGCTGTCGTCATTTTTTTCGTCGTTGTTTTTCATTTAATTCAATCTATTTTAATAAAAAAAACAATGAGAAAATTATAATATTAATAAGATTAAAATAATATTAATATATAATATTAATATGATTAAAAAGTAGAAGCTTCAAGCTACAAAATACTTTTCGGATCATCTTGATAGCGTCATGTTTACTAAAGTGTCAATCTATTGAATTTAATCTATTTTCAGAGTTGAGATATATTTCGCCGTTGATTCGTACCAAAATATAATAACACGTTTATCATATAGTTATCCTTCAACTTTTTTTATGTATTTATGTCCTATTTTCTTGTTATATCATACAGCAAATTAAATGTGAGCACACATATGCGCACGCTTACACACACACACACACACATATACACACGCACGTAATAAAGATATATAGAAAATGTAGAATTATTGCATACACACATTCAGGGACAAGATTATACAAAGAATATACAAAGGAGAATATAATTTTTCACGAAAAGATTTGCTTTGAAATATTTATTAAACGTGAACATCGTATATGTGTATGTGTGTGTGTGTGTGTGTGTGAAATTAAGCGCGTGTGATTGTGTGACTGTATCTAAACTTATGCACAAACTGTTTCATCGCGCACTTCTACCTCCATTACACTTGAATCGATAGTTTGTTTGTCTCTTGTTCTTATAAAAATTTTGCAACAATGCTCTCGATATTGACTTATATAATTCGATCGGAAATGAATCGTAATGTTTCTTCTCACTCTGCCTCTCCATGTGACTGTATAATAACTACCGATGGATAAATGCCATACCTTGCAGATGTAGGATTATTGGCTGTGTAATACAACACATGCTCTAGTAAACTATTTTCACTATTATATATCTTACCGCAGACAGGACAAGCAATTGTCTTATCAGTGTATATCTGTAAATAGTGAAATAAACTTGGCTTGCATATGATCTTGCCATAGATTGAACAGGTTACCTCTGCACTTCTTTTCATGTCCCTGTGCCTCTTTTGCTTTACGAAATTATAGTTTACCTCATCATATTTTTGACATTGGTAAGAATCTTTCGAGTGGTCATACTTTAAATCTTTCCTTAATTTCTTCAAATCCTATTAGAGTATGATTTCATTGTAGCAAGCATTTCCTTATTACACACGTAGTCGTAATTGTGCATGTGCTTTTGTGCAATATGATGTTTCAAGTGCTATTTTTTGTTGGATATGTAATTGCACTTGTAGTTGTATATGCGATGTCCATGATCCTTGCTACTTCTTCTGCTGGAATGTTTTTCCACGGGTTGTCTTTCGAAGACGACTCCAGGCTCGCACGTTCCTTGTTGTTACAAACTTGTTGTACAACTTGTTCTTACAGTGAACATGTAGTATGTGCATTTTCAGATTGTCTTGCAGGGGGAACATCAAGTCACAGTTGGGCTCATAACACACGTAGTCTCTATAATCGTGCTTTCGTTTAATATGTACCGTGTCTATGTACCGTGGCCTGTTGTTGGTTCCGTAGTGACATTCTTTACATTTTAACAGCGTCCAATGTCTGTGGACCTCCCTGAGGTGATCTTTCCACATTGGCCATTCGTGGAACGTTTCCTCACACAAATTACATTGAGGCATGTTCTTGCTTTTTTCAACACTGCTCTATGAGAGCCCTGGATTCTCTGTGTCTATTCTCTCTCAACAGAGATTTTGCCCTTTTGTACTCTCCGTAACAACTTATTTGCGCAATTACACCGCTCGATTTGCTTCTTTTTTCGTGATTCGACTGATTACTGGTACGTTTCAAAGAGACAAGTTTCGATGTGCTTTCTGTATATTCGACGAGCGATTGTTCGAAATTATTGGCACTTACGATACTGATGATATCCTAAAGCGAGACATCAGCCAAACAGAGAAAGTTATTCGTTATTTGTTATTCATTATATGACTCCGGACTGCATTCAGCAATGTCCATACATCATTTCTCAGTAATATGAAATAAAAAGAAAAACGGGGACAACGCGTACGCAGTCCCCGCAATCAAAAAATATGCGTAGCTACAAGAACCACATCCAACCGCCACGGAGGCGAACAAAACAGAGAAAGGTCGCGTCTTTTTTTCTTTTTACAGGCTCGTCTACAATAGCTGTAAAGCGTGGTCTACAACGGGTGCATTCAGTACTACAACCGCTCACTGAGCGCTAAGTGAGCTCTTGCATCTGATTGGTGTAGATTTTTAAATCTAAAAGAATATACCAATCAAATGTAAAAGCTCATTGGGCGCTCAGTGAGTTCTTGCATCTGATTGGTGTATATTTTTAAATCTAAAAGAATGTACCAATCAAATGTAAAAGCTCATTGAACGGTTGTAGTACTGAATGCACCCATCGATCTAAACCTCTTATTTTGTTCTTAAAATAATGGATCTAATCAAAGTTGACGTCCTATTTAGATCAAAATGATTCGAAAAGTATTTTGTAGCTTGAAGTTTCTACCTTTTAATCATCACATTAATATTATAATTTTCTCATTGTTTTTTATTTTTATTAAAATAGACTGAATTAAATGAGAAACAGCAATGATACATATAATACTTTTCTAATTTCCAAGATGTGCAAAATTGGGTTGATGATTGAATCACTTCAAAAGACAAAAAGTTCTATCGACGCGAAATTTAACTTTTGCCAAAAAATTGGAAAAAATCATAGAAAATGATGGAAAATATTTTGACTAATGTATTTATTAATTTTGTTATTGAGATTAATGTTTTTTATGCAAAGAAAAGAAAAATAAATTTGACGCCTAATATATTTATGAATTATATATATAATAAAATTTATAATTAGTTAATCTTTTTTTATTTGTGATACAAATTATAATATATTAATTGCTGCATTTTGATACGTTTTTATCTTGTATTTTTGTAAAGTTGTGGAAATCTGTCCTACCATTGATAGTAGTTCTTTTTAGTTACACTGCTAAACTGCAATAGTGCAATAGTGAGACGACTATTACCCGTATTCATAGTCAGATCTTATATTTGAGGCCACCTTATATGCATCTTTAGATGCTGCATGGATTATTTTATTGGCTATAGATCATCTGAAGATAAACTTAAGGAAGTCTTAAACATAAGGCCTGACTATGAATACGAGTGTATATTTTTTCTCACTCCAACTTATTGCACCAGTTCAGCAGTGCAGCTAAAAAGAACAGACCCTAAATGTAGCTGTTAGAACATAACCTAATAATTAGACACTTAACCTGTAAGGAGCGTATGTGTAAAGAGAAGCATTCTTACAACTAGATACAAATTTTGTGAGATCTATTTATTATAAATTGTTGATTATAAATTTACTGCAACTTTATGATTAAGGCAATGGCATCTATAAATGAATTCGGGCCTGATTCTGGTGGTAGAGTAAAGGTAATATATGTGAGACAAATATTAATATAACTTCTAACATTTTGTCGCTAAAAGATTTAATTGGAAATTCTAAGAGATTTAATTGGAAATATTTATTTGAATTATTTTATTTTATTGCAGGGAGTCACTATTGTCAAACCTATAGTTTATGGTAATGTAGCACGTTATTTTGGTAAAAAGCGAGAGGAGGATGGTCATACGCATCAGTGGACTGTGTATGTAAAGCCATATCACAATGAGGATATGTCCACTTACGTTAAGAAAGTACATTTCAAGTTACATGAGAGTTACAACAATCCCAATCGAATTGTAATGAAACCACCATATGAATTGACAGAGACTGGCTGGGGAGAATTTGACATTGTCATTAAAATCTACTTTCATGATCCAAATGAACGTCCTGTGAGTGAACAGTTTTGCTGCAAGACTAAAAAGACATTTATATATAAATAAATATATATATATATATCTTTTTGTTTTATATATTAACTGAAGTATTAATATGTTAAGTATAACAGAGAATAATACAAGTTAATTTCAGGTAACAATATATCATATATTGAAGTTGTTTCAGTCAACACCTGAGATACAATTAGGTAAAAAAAGTTTAATATCTGAATTTTATGAGGAAATAGTCTTTCAAGATCCAACAGCACTGATGCAGCATTTGCTAAGTTCCACTAAAACTGCAACTCTTGGAGTTTGGCGACATAATACAGACTGTGAGTACAAAAGTGCATCTCAAATAATTTAACAATTAGTTGATAATAATTACATTACAGTTGAGGCAAAAAAGGAATCTACAATGAAAGCCATTATGGAGGCACGAAATAAGATAAGATTTGAAGTGATAAATCTCAAGGAGAAATTGACCTTGGCTAAGGAAACTATTGCAAAATTCAAGGAGGAGATTGCAAAGATTTCCAAAGTCGGTGGAGGTTTATCTGTCACGTAATAATCGCCAAGAAACAGACATTGATGTCTGGAACCGGGAGCTCGTCATCAGTCTGATCACCAAATCACAGACTCACGTTTATTCTCGTTTTGGCCAGTGCAAAGTTGTCTTTTTTATGATTCTATAAAGTATATACAAATTGAACTCTAACGCAAACTATACTCTTGCATTTTACTTTTAGTAATCTAATTATTTCATTCTTTAATTGAAATGTATTTTCGAATTATTTTGTACGCATATTTTATGTACACGTCCTCCTTACTATCCTTTTAGGGAACTTATTATATGGAAACTATATGGAACTTATTATATGGAAACTATATGGAAATTATATGGAACTTATTATATGGAAACAAGATGACGCTGGCGGCTGGCCGATTACTCGCCGTCATTCAAATGTTACGAATCGTGTGTGATTGATTCGCAACTTGAATTCATCCGATAGTCATATGTAAATTTCATCTATCATTTCATCTTATATATAATTTCTGATCAATGTTTCGATTGACAAGAAGCTATGTATTATCGCATCTCAACAAATTACATTGTTTTATCATTTGACATTTGTGTAAACTGAATCACATGAATTGTACTCACCTAGATGTCAAGCGCTAACGTTAAGCATAATTATCACACATTATCGCGAAAGAACTTGCGCGCTCGTAATATTATCGTTGACGAATATAGATAATATAGATAACAGAGACGCATATATGCATATCAGTACACGTTGTAAGAAATAACTCTTTCTTTGCCTTGTAAATTGTAAATAAAAATAATGTATATACAAATTTCCTATTATTAAATATTATACCACTTTATACTTCTTCAACGTGTTTTCCCATTACTCTAGATAATGAGTAGTCGACTGAGATCCTCAGGCATGATGACTAAGCTCGGGGCCAGGGGCCCTAGGAAAAGATTTCACACCGTGTCAGCATGCGTCACTGTATTGCATATGCTAGATATCCATGTGTAAACATCGATGATACAGGATAACGGTGAAACGTCGACACGCGATCAGTACTCAGCAATGCGGCACGCGTGACGTTGGCGCTGCGTCTAATATAAACTGCGCGTCGCTCTCCGGATCTCCGGGATTAGTAGTGTGAAAACTCGGCGTTTCCTCCCTCCTTCTTACCCTCTCTTTCTCTTTCTCTCTGTCGCTTGGTTCCTCCTCTTGGGAAATGAGCAGGGAGTCGAACGCGGTCATCGACAAAACGTGAGAGCAAGTTCGCCCCGCGCTCGTTCTCCATCGTCGCGTCGGGCGCAACAGCGCGCGGTGTCTATTCACTGTTTTGCGCGCACGATATCACCGACAATCCGATTATTTTTCGTTTAACTTGTTTCAAAAGCTAGCACGACGGCGCGTGATTTTGACGATTATGTAACGACCGGCCGGCCGGAGTCACTCGTGCTCGGAAGATACGAGTGTCACAGTGCTCTTTTTACGATCGTGCTTATTAATAAACGAAAACGGAACGAGAAACAGATCTATATATATGTATATCTATATGTGTATATGTCAATTCCGTGGGAGAAATAAGCAAGTCGGAAAGGAATTCAGTTTGTGAAGTTGTGAACACATTCGCGCTGATCGATAGGTCGCTCGCTTCGAGAGAACGAATATGATAAGAGACAATCGATGCGCGTTTCATTGTGGAGCCTGTTATGAATTCGTGACGTTTATCGATGCGTTATAACACGTTATAACGCAAGATTATGAATTTATCGAAATGTGTATCGTTGCTTAATGAGATCCGCGATATATGTATGACTTACAGTTACTTGACGAATCTAAGGAATGTATTATTTTTTTGTGTTTTTTTTCTCTATTTCCACAGCTCGCACGGATTGCGGCAATTGTTTTACCGCAACGTCAACGTATCTATAGATTAGCGGAGAAGACAAAGTGACTTGAAACGAAGTTAACCCGGGATTCAATTATTCGCAATTTCTCGATCGTATCGCTATCTTGAGAACAATTCCCGGGTTCTCACCCGGGAATTTGTTTCACCGCTAAACCCTTTGCGTAAACTCTGTTTGTTTCTCAGGCTGGGCGTGGAATTCGCGATCGGCGCACTAGCGGCGGTAGGTGCCGGATTCTTCACGAATCCCGTGGACGTCGTGAAGGTACGATTGCAATTGCAAGGTGAACTGGAGGCGCGGGGGGCGTACAAGAAGATATACAAAAATACTTTACACGCTGCGTATCTCATAGCCAAGCATGAGGGCGTGCTCGCCCTACAGGCCGGACTCGTGCCCGCCTTGGCCTTCCAAGTGGTACTCAACGGTATTCGCTTGGGCGCGTACAAATCCGCGCAAAGGTACGAGCTGATCGTCGATAAACAGGGCAACACCGACGTGCTGAGGACCACATTGGTGTCCGGCACCGCCGGCTGCGTCGGTGCCGTTCTTGGTAGCCCGTTTTACTTGGTAATTATTATCATCTTCTCTCCTCCAATTATCCCTTCGAGCGGTCTCTCCTATCCTAGTTCTTTCATTATTCAATTAAAAATACGTCCGTGACCCTCCTCGACAACGCTCGTAGAGAATGTGCTCATCGATCTCGACTTGAGGCGCAAAGAATGATATCGATTGTTCGTTCGTTTGATACAAAAATACGACGTTAGACGACGCTGCAGATTTTTCGTCGGCGAGTCGAGTAAGTCGAGTGAACATGTGCATTATATAGTCCTAAGTTCGTCAGAATCGTCAAATTTACTTGCGATACATTTTGGATCTCGTAGTGAGTTTAGTGCTTCAATCAAGAATATTACATTAAAATAAAAAAAATTCAGTTTATTTTTCTTATGTAGTATATAAATTTTCTGATATTCTTGAGAAGAGAAAGAACTCTTTCTTCAATATATATAACGCTGCGTTTTTTTTCTCAAATTTCTTACGGATATAATTCAAGATTGTTATCAAAAGAATATTCTTCGTTGAGATGATAACCATCACTTCATTACTAGAGGAAAATAAACTGAAGAACCATTTCAGCAGTAGGATGGTACTCTTCTCTGTGCGAAGAAGACGTGCGAAGTCGCACGTCGCTTTTATCGCTGACTGAATATTCATTTTACAAAGATATAGGATATAAGATATAAATATCTTTGTCTACAAGGGACGAGGATATCGCGTGCGCATGCGATTTGATATCTTCGACAGGGCTCGAATTTTCAAGGAATCATCGCGATGCTCACTGCCCGCAGGTCAAGACGCAGCTGCAAGCACAGTCCGCGAAATCCATCGCCGTGGGCTACCAACATGACCACTCGGGCTCATGGGACGCGTTCAAGTCGCTGTGGAAGGAGGGCGGCGTCGCAGCTCTCTACCGGGGATGGAACGCGAACTTGCCGCGCGTGTTCGTTGGCTCGGCGACGCAGCTGACCACCTTCGGACTAGCATCGGACTGGCTGCGCTCGTTAAATGTAAGTAACTCAAACGGCACAACGCGGATCGTGGCGGAGCGTCTTTAATTTCTCTCAGATATTTCCAGACCGGCCGATACTGTTGACCTTTTTGGCCTCCGCGATCGGAGGCAGTTGCGTGGCAGTCACTATGCAGCCGTTCGACGTCCTGGCGACGCGGCTGTATAATCAACGTGAGTAGCACGATGGCGGAAATGCATGCGCGCGAAGAGAGGCCAGCGTTTCTAAATCGAGCGCGTGAATATACCGAAGGTCGCGCGATTTTGCGTCCAATAGCTAGCTTCGATCGGCAACCACTACCTCGCGCACTCCGAGAGAATCTCGGAGTGCAAATATACTCGCGTCGAATTGCACGAATACTCGACGGGTCGTAGAGCGGGATGAGCGAGCTTGCCGATACGCAAAATACATCGAGATTTATCTCGCGCATCGCGCTCTCTTATATACGATAACGATATCATATTAACCTAGTATGCGCAACTATAAATACGATGTGGTGTGTGCACGACTATAAATACGGTCCTCGTGTGCCCGCCTATAAATATGCCTTCAATAGAAGACGAGTCACAAGACTGCTCGAATATAACGAATGAAACATCCGGTTAGTGCACGGGAGACAAAGAGAGAAAGGGATAGCCAGCTCTCAAAAGTAAAAAGTCCGTGTGTATCGCTGATCGATAAATTTTATCAAGAAGAGTCCCCCCCCCGTACGAAACGTGTTTAATGCTAATCCGTTGTTATCTCTAACTAAGATGAATCAGCTAACTGGGTTTTGATGTGCAAATACAGAGACAGACGCGGCCGGAAAAGGTACCCTGTACAACGGACTCGTGGACGCATTTGTGAAAATATTCCGCACGGAGGGTTTCACCGGCTTGTACAAAGGAACGTTCCCTACATGGATGCGAATAGCGCCGCATACGGTTTTATGCTTGGTGTTTTACGAGCAACTAGATCAATTGTACCGCAAGCTCAGAATACAAATCGACTGATGCTAGTGGAATTTGTATAAATCCTATATTTACTAGCTAGATATACACGCACACACATACACGCGCAGTGAAGATAAGAGAGTTTTGTAAGACAGGATTGCTAGCATTAAGTATTGCAAATCCGTTTGAATAAAATTGATGTCATATATCGGCAGTGAAATTGTTTGACATATCGCTACGATATATAGGAAATTTATATAGGAGATATGGACGTACATCGAAAGATATAAATGTAGAAATCCTAACCGCGTACTCTACTTATTCTCTTACGTGTATGCCACGATGTCATTTTGTATATCCAACAATGATAAAATTCTCAGTGCAGCGGAACGTACAAATCTGTACAAATACTCGGGTGTAGAAAATCACTCGCGCGGTCGTCGCTCGAATAAGTTAGCATTGCTACGCGAATTATTTACAGAATAAACCATGAGCAACTATGCGCGATAACATCAGTACGTCGCGTGCCACCGACAATTTGTATCTCGTTAAAAAGCTGTATAAAAAAGCATTTAATTTATGCCTTATGATAAACGTTAAGACGAACCAGACGTTGCGTTTGGTCTCGATTTGAAGCCTCGCGTCATGGTCGCTGCTATATCCGCCGTGCTTCGTCCTTGTGTTTCGGGCAGATACACCCTGTATAAATAATCTCTTGTAAATCATGAATGTAACGTAATGTATGTGTTACAACGCACATCGTAACTACGTACTTGTTAACCAACACCATTAGCAGCGTGAACAAGGCGAAGATCAGGAAGGTAAGCGAGCCTATTTCAGCTTCTATGACCGGGAACATCATCCCCACGATAAAATTTCCACCCCAATTGGACACGCTGCCCAACGACATGGCGATCGGTCGGGCACCTATGTCGAATAATTCGGAGCCGATGAAATACGGTATCGGGCCGAGGCCGATACCGTAAAATACGACGTACGCTAAGACCGCGGCAATGCAAATTGCCGACATGACCGACGGTGACGCTTCCTGCAAAGAGAAGCACCGATCGGTCTCACATGGTGGCTTATTTCATCGAGAGTTTATTCGCGAGATTAGTTAATGTACTTACGATCAAGAGGATAGAAATACATAAGACGATAAGGCATATTGAGGACAGAACACCGCTCAGTATTAGTACTTTCCGTCTGCTAAAAAACAACATCACTGGTACAGATACGATCGCCATCACGATGTTGGCTACGCCCGTACCCAGAGTCGCGTATTCCGCTTCGGTGTGTCCAATTCCGGCTGCTCGAAATATCGGATTGGAATAATAGAAAACCGCATTGATTCCACTGAGTTGTTGGCCGAATTGATTGAGGCACACTAGAAACAATGGCAGTCTCAAAGCCGGATCGCTCAATACACGCTTCATGCTCCAGATCTCGGTAATTGATTTCATTTGCAGTTCCTTCTGCAGATCGGTAATCTCGTTTTGCAGGAGCATTACGTCCATGTTGCGTAAACGACTGAGCTCTGGAAAATTGTCAGAAATTGTCTTACATTACGTATGAATGGATGATTGCACACGTAGAGTCGTTGTACGCACCTTTAAGAGCCTTTCCTTGTTGTCCTTTGATTACGTACAGGTACTTTGGACTTTCCGGCAAAGTGATGAGTAAGAACAACGCAGCGGCACACAGCGGCACGAACGACGCTAACATGATGTGCCAGAACTCGAGAGTACCTAAGACATTGTCGAGCCCTGCGACTTGGCCCATCAATACACCACACGTGATTCCTAATTGACACAGAACTCCAACAGCGCCTCGTAACTTCAAAGGAGCTATCTCCGTTAGGTACATCGGTAGCAGACTGGTAGCGAGACCGCCGGAAAGTCCTACCGGTGTAATCGTGATGTTATTGGGTGAGTGCAAAAGTTCGTGCGGAGTTTCAATAGATGGAGTTATAAGCGTCGTAAAGTGTTGTCATTAATACTTCCATCTACATATTATATAACGTTGGAAAGGTGACGTCTTCAGCTGTTATTAAAAAAAAAATCATTTGTTTTCATACAAACTGCTTCGAGAAATATCACTTTAAAAATGAGTATCGATAAGGTGCATTTACGGCATGTTATGCTTTACGAGTTTCGGAAGGGAATAAACGTTGCCGCAGCCGTAAAAAACATTCAGGATGTTTATCAGGATGAAGCACCAGCTAAACGAACTGTGGAAAAATGGTTTGCTAAATTTCGGCGCGGAGAATTTAACCTTGAAGACGAGCCACGCTCTGGTCGACCTTCTGACATTGATGACGATGTTTTGCGTACTTTAGTGCTCAATAATCCGCGAATTTCAACAGAAGAAGTTGCTACAGCACTAAACGTTGACCGATCAACCGCTTTTCGGCGTTTAAAAAAGATGGGATTCGATTTGAAGCTCGATATATGGGTGCCCCATTTGCTGACCGAGAAGAACAAAATCAAGCGAATTTCTGCAGCCGTTTCTTTACTCGGGCGGCTCAATAACGTGTCGTTTTTGGATCGACTAGTGACGGGCGATGAGAAATGGGTCCTCTACAACAATGTTCAGCGCAAACGGACATGGAAACAATCAGGTGAGCATGGTGACGCAATGCCAAAGGCCAGTTTGCACCCGATGAGGGTGATACTCTCTGTTTGGTGGGATTGCAAGGGCATAATCTATTTCGAGCTTCTCCCCGCTGGCGAAACGATTGATTCGGACAAGTACTGTCGCCAATTAACCAATCTGAATTGAGAAATAAAAGAAAAACGTCCGATTTTGTCAAATCGCAAGGGAGTCGTCTTTCATCACGACAACGCCAGACCACACGTTTCGAAAAAGACGCTGCGCAAACTGAAGAGCCTGAAATGGGATGTCTTAACGCATCTACCGTATTCTCCTGATATCGCACCATCTGATTATCACTTGTTCCGGTCATTGCAAAATTATTTAAATGGAAAAAACTTTGACTCTTTGGAGGCCTTAAAAAACGGTGTCTCTTCGTTCTTCGAATCTAAACCGCGCAGTTTTTATGATCGAGGCATCCGTATGCTGCCAGAACATTGGGAAAAGATTATAGAAAACGATGGAGAATATATCATTGATTGAATAAAGATTTTTGTTTGCCTAATCACTGTGTGACTTTTACTCACAAACTCCGCACGAACTTTTGCACTCACCTAATACATTGATCGGACATTGATTAAGAAAATACAATTTAAACATGCTTGATCTGATTTCTGGATTTGTGTTCGTTGTGGATTTGTTTTCAACATTTCATGAACATCTTAATTCACTTTCGGGAAGAGAAATGTCTTGAAAAAAAAATCTTGAAATTGAAATGTCAAGAAACGAATAAATCTTCCTCTTTCTGAAGATATGAACTGGAATGTTCACGAAACGTTAGCTGTGGCACTAATTCGGATACTTAAAATATCAACAGCTAAATAGTTTAAAGGTCACCAAAGATTCGTGACTTACCGACGACGATTCGGCCGATTAAGAAAAGCTCGATTGAGTTTACGATTGGTACGAGAAAGAGTAGAACACCTCCCAAAATTCCGCTGATATTTCCAACACCTATCGCAGCCTTCCGCCCGAACCTGTCACTCAACCAACTGGCCGCTAAGGATCCAGTCACTCCTCCGATAAGAAAGATTGATACTATAGCAGACCATAGTACTTTGAGCTGGTATTCGGACATTTGTATGTCCAATCTTTCTTTGACACTCTCATTGCAGAATGATTTTATCAGCTGCAAGTCGAACATGTAGCATAAACTTTCAGACGGCATTATACTGGACTGAATCGTAAATTGGCCTACGAACTTCGGCAGGATTGTTCATGACACCTATGTTATATCCTGCTGGTAATGCTGACCCCAAACAACAAGTGGCACCAGCCAGTACCAACAACGGAGTCCACCCACCGGGCGCGGCATCGTATATGATATTGTTGCGTGTTTCCTATAAAGAAAATCGTGTCAGATTAATATCCTGCACAAGATGGACTGTGATATTTTGTCCCTTTTAAATGAAAGGTGAAGAACGGTTCGCATAATAAACATTTATTCTGCGTAACAGAAATTCAGAACTCTCGTAGTTCTTTGTAAAATATAATTCTTGCAAATAATATACAACTTAGAAATTAACACTGTCGGTACTTGTTGCTGATCGTTTTCTAATTAGCAGTACAATCACGAGAGACAAATACTCAGTGTAAATATAAATTATATCAACACAATCTATGGATAAACGTTACTTGCAGCATCTGTTGACACGAATCTTTTTATGGTGATGTATGAAGATGAGTTCTGTTAATTTCATATCATGACCCAATTACTTAATAATATCCTCTGATATCATCCGTTTTGCATGATGACTAATAAAAATTGAATATACTGCGATATCATACGTAATTACCAGTATTACTGAATAAGCAAAACAGCAGTTACAATATACTTATTCTACGTTCACAACGTTAAAAACATTAAAAACATTTTTAAAAATCGTCATTTTCCTTTCTTCTGTGATTTTTGAATCAAATAAGGGTAGAAAAGGTAGAAGGGTATCAAATAAGGTAGAAAAAGGGATCAAACAATCACGATAATATATGATTTATGTAATATCTTCGCAAATAAGCGGATATCCGATTCATTTTTAGATACAGCTTCACCAATCTCTTAAAAAAATTATGATATGTAAAATCAGAAGACCATACCGCTCATATAATTAAGCATCGTAAGCAATATGAAGTGTGTTGCACCCTCGTAGACCAATCAGTGATAACATGAAAAAGCCAGGACGGAATGATGGAACAATACTCAATAAAACCACACACCATGGATATACCTGTAAACTGTTCAGATAGCCAACCATGCATTATCATGAATTTATATAAGACAGGTATAGTCTCGACAATTTGTCTCAAAAATCATATTTGATTCACATTTATACATTGTCTCATACGCATATACACATACACACATATCTTTTTCAGCTGAGAATTAATTTGATGATTAGAACATAATTATATCTCCATTATCTCAAGATGTATCCTTTGGTCTTAAATAATAATCCTATAAATAAATATACGCAAATATTTATTTAATTCAAGGTACCATGCATTAATACAAATAACTGTAAATGTTATACTACGAGCAAAACGTTATACGTAGCAAAACAATAATTTATTAGCAAAATTTAATACTTTAATCTCAGCATTTTCCTTAGGCAGTACTTCTGTCATATTTTATTTATCATATATCTTGATTTTATCATAAAGAGATACATAGATAGCATATCTCAATTATTTAGTAAAACTTGTTATAGCTTGCACAGCCTTGTTTATTTGTTAAATTAAATGAAGTAAATGAACTAAATATTTCAAATTCATAAATAAATCTTGAATTAATCAACAAATTTTGATGTTGAATGACAAATATTAAATTACTTAATGCATAAATTATAAATATATAATTATGCAATAATTATAAATATATAATTAAAAATGGAAAAGCATTACTAAGATTATAATATTAAATTAAAAATAAGTCAAGTATCTATAAGGAAAATAGCAGAATTATTATCTCTGATATCAATGTGTTACAATGCCTGTAAAGTCAACACGTTTTGCAAATTGATAAAAAATAACCATTATTTCAGAAGCACTTTTCATTGTTCTATTGTTTTTCAAAAAGTGAAAAAATGTTCTGCATATATAATGCTAAAAATCGAAAGTTAAAATGTGTTGTGCTAACTCCTTCCTCTGAAGTACAAGAAGATGATAAATATTGTGACATCTGACGATTGTTTTAGCTAGTTCTATGCAAGTTTAATGTAAATATAACATTTCAGAGCAAAATTCTAAAAATTGACCAAAAAATCGAAAATTAAGAAATGTGCTAATTTGTCGTTCCAACATGACACCCCTTCCTCTGAAGTACAAGAAAACGATAAATATTGTGACATCTAATGATTGTTCTAGCTAGTTTTATGCAAGTTTAGTGTAAATATAACATTTCAGAGCAAAATTCCAAAAATTGACCAAGAAACCGGAAATTAAGAAGTGTAATAATTTGTCGCTCCCAAATTTTGTAATTCTCGATTTCCTGGCCAATTTTTGGAATCTTGCTCTGAAATGCTATATTTACATTAAACTTGTACAGAACTAGCTAGAACAATCGTCAGATGTCACAATATTTATCATCTTCTTGTACTTCAGAGGAAGGAGTGTCATGCTGGAACAACATATCTTAATTTTCGTTTTTTTGTTTATTATACATACAGAACATTGTTTCATTTTTTGAAGAACAACAGAACAATAAAAAGTGCTACTGGAACAATGTTTATTTATAAACTTTTAATAAATTATAAATTTGCAAAACGTTGTGCTAACTTCACAGACACTGTGTTACAGACCCAGTCAGAACCACAACATTGATTCAACAAGGGTTGAATTAACGTTGATTCAATGGTTTATTAACCATTTTAACGTCGAATCAATGTTATGGTTTTAACTGGAAGATAATTGCAGATTAGAAAGAAAATAAATTTTTTGTGGAAAAAGTGGAAATGGTATGACATGACAATTGAGATATGCATTGCTTTGACTAAATTAGCAAACTCAGAGTTAAGTGGAATAATTGTCGATATAATCATATTGTACACTAGATATATACATTATGTTTCTTCATTAGATCTGATGATACTGCCATATTGACATTAATGATCATAACTCATTGTTTACAGATTGCTACGTAATATAAAATAGGAAAGATCATACAAGTAGCTTTATTATTAATGAATTATTATTAATATTATAAATTTTGCAAAACACATGGCTATTTCTTCACATATGCGTTATACTCTTACTTTATGCAATACTGCATTTTTTTATAACACACCCATCGTAAAACCAAACATGTACTGTATGCATTTGACATAAGCAGTGACGTAGCTACTGTAGTATTACTGTTTTTTCTTTCTAAGTATGTAGATAAAGAATACAACAAGAGGACAGAACTTACGGTTTTTCGCGATCCTTCACTCGAGGATTTCACTTTTGTCACGTCGAGGCACAGCGTGGAAACGTCAGTTTCTGTAAATATAACGCAAAATTAACCAATTTCAAGTACCTTTCGCGATCGAAAACATGTGCTTGTATAGTACAATAATAGCGGCATTCGATTTAATGTTTAATATAGCGAGTAGTTCGCGAACGATAAACAAAGACAATTGAATTCGATTTACGTTTTTGCGACGTGAATCGAACGTGCACACAGAGAACACTGGAAGCTCGGTGAGTCTTTCCTTCATTTCACTGTTTTCTTTCCTTTCCTTCCAATATCCGAGTACAATATTCACGAATCTTTTTTCTTCCTATGGAAAGTATAATAAAATGTGGTCGAAGGAATATATTCCTTTACCTATTATGGTCATATCGTGTATATGTCGCGAACAACCGAGAGCAGCACTTTGCGAGTAAAATGGCACAGTGTACTGTACGGCGAGGTAAGGTTAGATATCCGCAATGCATGCTGCTTACACTCAGGCGTAAGCCCGCGTTCCGATATTCACTGCCAATACTGAAAATCTATAATATATGTGACATAAAGTATATATTTTCAGTAATGGCAGTGAATATCGGGACTCAGCCCCAATCCAATTTCTTGTGCCGCGAACTTCATGACGGTGCGCGCAAAATTGCGTGCGCAAATATGCGCAACGAAGATCACGTCTAGGCGATTTTTATTATAAATGTCTAAATGTATTTTTTTATTTCTATTTTTCTTCACACCTTCACGTCTCATCAAGTACAAAACGCGAGGAACGGTATGTATTAAGTGTATGTGAAGTCGAGAATTATAATCATACACGGTGTCGTAAATTGAGCTTGGTTAGCCGCGTTTTTTCGCACTCATGACGCTGCACGAAAAATTACAAGATTTGTACAATTGTATCAATGTATTGATACAATACAATATTTAGAAAAGCTAATACGTAAGCTTCCCAAGTATAATAGAATATAAAAATATGATGACATTAAAATGACGAAAAAATGAATTATGACGAATGACGAATTATGATGAAAAAATTAATTTTTGCTCATCATTGTGATGTCATCATGATTTTCTGTTCTGTCTGGATTAAGTTTTAGGATCAATGTATAATTTTAATTGAATAATAGACTATATCCGAGTCTAACTTAAAATTTCTGCTGAAAAGATTCACTGAAAATTATTTGTGACATACACACACAGAGAGAGAGAGAGAGAGAGAGAGAGAGAGAAAGAAAGAGAGAAAATAACTTCTTAATCTAATATATATCATATCTCTCTTTTAATCCATTATATGGCTCTATTATATAAACGAGTGAAAAGACACGTTATTTTTCAAACTCACGATCTAAATTTTCTTAATAATAATATATGACCTCTTGAAATTTGTCTCTTTTTCTATTTTTCATTACATTTCTAATATGCATTTGTTTTATTTTAGGCGACGAAACATGAAGAAAGGAATGTAGCTGGAACATCAGAACCATTATTCTTCGGACACTATATGTATGTAGAACATTATATTTCTAAACGCACGTTGCGTGTTTCCGAAGACTCGTATTACAACGAGTGACTTTGCAACGTTATACATTTGCCATTCGCAATTATTGTTAAATGGGCGTAAAACGCGCGTGTAGAGTACTCATTTCATTAGGTTTGTTCGTTCGGTATCATAGTTCCACCTTGATTACGAGTCCCATTCTCCCAAAGCAGCTTGCCGAAGTTGCTTCGATTTTATTCAAATAAGAGAACACGCACAGGAAAACGCAAGGTAAGCCGAAGCCCGAGTGGTCAAGTAGTTTGCCCTTTGGATCGCATTCTCGTCTCACCTGTTTTACATGCTCATCAATTTGCAGTACCGTTACGGCCGGTGCTGCCGCGTGGCCATGTGAATTCGACTTTCGTGTTGAAAATTGTCGATTAAAAATAGCGCGAATACATGTTCGTGCCGATACAAGAGGCTCAATTGCGTGCTCATGGGCTCGTTCGAAAGTCGACGACGTGTTTTTCGCAATGGGTTTGCAATGACCACATTATGATAGCAGTCGATACGTTCTTGAGTTCGACGCAGGTTCTTGATGCTCTTGAAGTTTTTTCGTTCACGAGTGATATATGTAATGTTGAAAAGAGCACGCATGCGAATACGACAGAAGAACAAGACAGATTGTTTTCGAATAACTCGAATCGCCGATGCAACTAGACTCGATTGTTTCAAGTCGGACTAACGGCTGTGCTATTTTGCAAGAGCACTGCGTCATCTACACTCGCGTTTGTTGTTGATCTTCACTTTCTGACGTGGACACGGGATATGTAAGTTGGTGTAAGAGAGAAGTTGACTCAGATTTGATCTTAATACAAAATTCATACAATAATGCTCCTTTTCGACTCTGGTTAGAAAGTTCGGCAAATTCCGTTGAGCGACCATGAATATCGTGGATCTGCAGTGTTAAGACTTAAATATCCGAAATCGTCTGTTCTCAACTACCTTCATTCTCTCCCATGTCGCCGTGATCGTCGTTAGTATTGGTACGTTGCATGAACAGCTGCTCGTACACAACACAGTCGTACGCGAAGCAGACCTTGAAGACAACACAAATAGGCAACCAACACAGACAGACGGCGTGGCTCGACTGACGCTGCAGACCGACTTTTTCCGTTTCGACGGAAGTCCCGCCGATGTCAGAGTGGACTGGTATTGGTCAATGATAGCAACGTGTTAGCCAATAATCGGCACGCTTAATTTAGGTTGCAATTCAACGGCGACGCGTGGGTCTCCTTATGGAAGCTGAGATTCAGCCTAAATTAAGCCGTTAAACTCTAAACGAAGGAATTAATCTGGCAGATGTTCAAATACTCGCGAGTCAGAGTCCGGAGTGAGCGTGACAGTCACGTTTCTTGATTGTTCTCGATTACATTTCCTAAATGAGCTGTCACGAGAATAGTCACGGGTATATTTTTAATTGGCATGCTTCCTCCGATTTTTTTTTCAGACAGTATAAAGTTAAAGACGTTTGAAGTATATCTGAAAAAAAAGAAAAAAGAAAATTAAGATGTCTGGAAGAGTCTTTTTGGAAATTATTGCTGCCTAGATCTGATTCCGATATTTCGATTTTTCCTTTGGGCGACTATAATTTGAGACGAAAACTTGGAAGTGAAAGAGATATTCGAGAGCACATTTAATAAATTAACGATAAAGAGTTGCGCGCATTCTGTGCGATTCGCCTCGAGTAAGGACGAGTTCGAGGATATCGAGATAATGATAGGCTCAAGGTCGAAGTGAATTAGTGAGATCTTGTGAGTTGCGTGCAAACTGATTGCTAAAACTACGATGTTGGCAAAAAAATAACGCGCGTTATCTTGAAAAATGGCTACATTAAACGCGTCTTTATATAAGCTACATATTTGGTTATTTAAGTTCTGTTTTAGCATACTCATATCACGCGATAACTTTTTTATCGCCCTCGTAGGAGAACATGGAAAATATTAATTAATTCTTTACTTCGATTAATTCATCGCGATCTAATCGGAACAAATTAAAATTAAATTAGCCAAGTAAAATCGATTGAACAAAACTCGAGATCGGATGATGGCATGGAGAAAATTGCGGCCGATACTTTTAAATCGTATTCAGATCGAGCATTTTCACGTGAAAAACGACTTAATTTCGTAACTTTGACTTTAATAGCGGTTTTCATCGTGTGCTCAGGATAATTAGTGATTAGTGATCGATGTAAACAGCCGAGCATATTTTTATGGAAAACATTCGCGCGAAGAGAGACTCGATTGTACACGGAAACGCGTTCTAGTAAAAATAGAAATGATCGCGAATATATCTCGCGATAAGGAACTACGCAGGCTCTTTAACACGTTGACTGTTTTCCATGCCTATTTTCACAGATGGTATCAATCCTCAACCTAAATTTGAATTACCAAAGCGTGTGCGAGTATCATACTTATCATATTCATACCGTCGGTATTGTGTCTATAAATCGAGCCACGTATGATTTACTGTTTCCCTTTAATCGTCTTATCGTTATTACAATTCCGGAAGTGTCGACCGATCAGTCATACACTTGACAGGTCATGACAAGACCGTGACGCGCAATCTTAATTACAAATACGCACGCTAGAACGAAGGAGCGTTTTAATCTTCGCGGGTGACGTTGCAGAAGGAGCAAAATTCGAAAGAGGAGAGACATCGTCTTCCTTTTCCCCTGTTTCTGCATCCCTCTTTCCCCGTTCTCCTCCTTCTCACAAATCTCTCCTCCTTTACGTCATCCGGAAAAGTGTCGCAATATGCAATCATTGAGCGGGTTATAACATATTAACGTAACATATCTTATTTATACAGTCGAACAATTTTTACACGCGGTGTCAAAACATCACACCCGAACCTTACGTGATCGTCGTCTGAAAGTTTTCGCGTCAATATCAGTTGTTACGACATCAGGATCATTTGCGTGGCGATCGACAATATTTTTCGTCACATTGAGCAAACCGAGCGCGACTTAACGTTATTCCGAGCCTTCACTCGGCGAATTCAAGGAGATGCTCGGACAGCTGCGACACACATGGAACAGTTACCTGATCGCAGTGCTCTTCGAACCGCAGGAATAAACTAAGCTCGCTTGATGCTCCCCAAATTTCTCGGAATGTCTCGGAGAGTCTCACTCAAAATGAATGAAAATTGGCAGTGTTTTTCCTCAAAGCGGCAATGTAAATATTACTACTCGATTCAGAGCGGAGAATTTACACTATACGAGCGAATTCTCAGTGGTCTCACTCTACTTTTCGAATGGAATTCCACTCCGAGAAGCCTGGAGAGTAAAGCATTAATCAAAAGAACACGATGCTCGGCAGTATTATTGAGATTCGACCATGACGAACGCAGGATATACGGAGATTAAACGAGAGAATCAGCGAGACAGCGACATTGCAACAAGCAACAGGATCGTAGGACGGCGTTCGTTGGGACGGTAATGCGCACTCTTCGAGTTCGACGATCACTCGCATCATCCTCTTACACGTTCTATTTCGGGATGCAGTTCAAGTGCAGTCTGTGGACCCATGATCGTCTTCTCCTCGGAGTCCGCGATTCAGCGCTGTTAACAATGGGAATGTGCCGCAGCCGCAGAGATTGTTGAAGTCGTCCAGGTCTACGGACCATGCCATACCACCGGCGAGGTTCAGTTCCTTTATGAGCTCGGCCTGAAAGCAGATTAAGTGTCTTGATGAAGCAAATTATTAAGAAAAATTTCAAATCATAATCTTCACGCGACGTACAGTTGTTTGTTAGTTAATGCTCAGCAAGGGAAAGATGTCATGTTAGGCGTCCACTGAAAAAAGAAGTTGTTTCACGTACCTTCCTCACCACGTCGGACACGTCGTCATAGCTGACCCACTGATTGTGTTTCGACGCGTACGGTCCCACATGACCCATCGGATCCTTCACCACTGACCATCCATCGTTCCTCACATAATCGCATATCTGTGTGTTAGAATATCGAAGAGTTACAGCTAGCGTAACATCTTATTGATCGAACTTTGTGCCGTTCCACTCTGTGGGTTTGTTTTTTAGCTAAACTAGGTTATTTTTTGGCAATAGAGTGAAACAAGTACACAATCCAATGTTGAAAAGAAAAGGAACCACCAAGTTCCAGTATTAATCCAGCTAACAAGAACAGATCTCAAGTGTGTCCTTACCTCATAGTAAGCCAAGAAACCAGCCGACTTCGTGAATTTGCCAGGTTCCCCAGGTCCAGAGACCTTCGCATGGAAGCCTGGCACAGTCCGAGAGCCTTGCTGAGTCTCGGACAAAGTGAAGCTCTGCCCATAAGTGGGTACACCCATGACGAGCTTCTCGGGCAGAGCGCCTTTGTTGAGCCAATACCTCATGGAGTAGTTCACGTTCAGCTGTGGAGTACCGTCACCGGAGTAGGTAGAGAGCGGCGCGATGTGGCCAGTCTTGTTCTCCCAGGAGGTGTGATAGTCGTACGCCATCACTCCGATCCAGTCGAGGTGCTCGGTGAAGGACGGCACGTCATAGGCGAGGTCGATGATGACTTTGTTGGCCGAGACTGCGGCGGACAACAGCAGTCCTCGGGACTTGAAGGCCGTGCTAAGATCTTTCACCAGCATCGCGAAGCCTTCCTTGTCGCTGCGCGAACCGCGGCTGCAGTCGGCCTGCGAAAGGTTCTGTGTGATCAACGAGTATCGAGTCGCCTTCTCTTCGTCTAAGACTGAAGTTCCACTGGCGGTGCGAATGTCGCCAAATAATTGGGAGAGGAGAGATCTTATATCGAAGGAATGTCGCGTTTTAATATTCCTGAGAGAGAAAAAGACACGTCTAGATTTTACCTGCCAGCACACCGGGTATTCCCAATCAAGATCCAGACCATCGAATCCGTGCTTCTCGACGAATAACGCGGCGCGATGAGCGAATTTCCTCCTGGCTGATTTGTCGCCGGTCAGTCGGCTGTACTTGTCGTCCTTCGAGTCGTTCCAACCGCCTAATCCAAGCAGTACCTTGACGTTGCTTTTCTTCCTGAACTCTGCCATTTGGTCCAGGAAGTCGTTGTACACCTCAACTGAATCCTCGATGTCCACCGACAGTCTCCGTGTGTTCAACGTAGCGAAAGCGTACACGATATGTGTGCAAAGTTCGCTGTTGAGGTCTTTCGGTAGGAATTTGCCGAGGCTCGCTCGCTTCCAAGCCCAATTCGTATAATAGCAAACCACCTTCTTCTTGTTGATCTTGTTGTCTTCGCTGATTCTCATCGCGATCGCTTCGTCGATCTGCAAAATGGAGAGAGCAAATTTTTTTAGTCTTAGTTACAACGATTATTCAGACAATATATGGCTTGAAAAACACATCCTGCTCTCTACATGTCATCTGGACGTCTTTTAGGTATTCATGTTGTTCAGTCAATTAGAGATTTCATCAAAGACTTTATTCATGAACTATGTGTGAACTGCGCGTGCACACACATACACACACACACACACACACACACATACTTGACGTTGAACGCTTCTGCACTTGGTGTTCTCCGGCCAATCGCATCGATCCTCGTTCCAATGGAGTTTAGGCGGGCAGGAGTGTTCCGTGAGCTTGCCAAAATTACAGAGGTAGTATTTGCTGCAATCGCTCTTATGCGGTATGAACAAACGCCCACCGCAATCTCCAATCGGAGTGGCGACCGGAGGTGCTGGACCAGCTTCGATTTCAATGGTATCATCAATATCCTGTTCCGTCGTCGTTGTCGTCATCGTTGTAGTTGCTGACGACGGTGGCAAATACGTTGGTTTCGGCGATGTGGTGGATTCGTATATCGGACGTTCCGTGACAGTCGTGGACTCGATGCCGCTTTCACCAACGTCGATCATGATCAAGCCTGTGTCTGCAAAGTGTAAAGGATCGTGTCTAAATGTCTAGATGTCATATGAGAAACATTGTAAGCGCATAACGTAGGAAAAAGATTAATTAATATTCGCATTTAGTCGTGATACCCGAAGTTTGCAACAACTCGATCAATGATGCGTCGGTTTGGAATACTTTCGTGAAAGTCGCCGTCATCACTCACCGCCAGTGACAGGGCACAGCGGACCCTTCGGGTAGTTCCTCAAGACTCGATTCATCGTTCTCAACAGCGGACTAGGCTCGCAACCGCATCTGTTTTTGAAGTCGTCCAGATCCAAGGCCCAGACCATGCCTCCGCCGAGGCCGAGTTTCTTGATAAACTCCGCCTTCAGTTTGATCTGCTGAGAGTCGTCGAAACTCACCCACTGGTCACCCTTGTACGCGTAGGGACCGATTCTCCTCTCTTTGTCTTGAACCACTGTCCATCCTCTCCTCAGTGTTCTCTCGCATATCTGTCAAAGGACAGAGAAGATTCGGATTTGTTTCTGAGATGAGGATCGCTTGAGAATTCTCTTTGTTTCTTATTCGAGTACTTGACGAGGACCTACCTCGTAATACGACAGAAATCCTCTCGCTCTGGTCGCCTCCCCAGCCTCACCACCGCCGTATGTCGGTGCGTTCAATCCGTGCTCGTTCCTCTCCGCTAACGAGAACGACTGTCCGTACAACGGCGCGCCCATCACCAACTTCTTCGGGTTCGCTCCCTTTTCGATCCAGTAACGGATCGAGAAGTTCTGTTTTCGACAAATGTGAGATTGAACGTGAAAGGTGAGATTCCGAGGTTACGTCGTTATTGTTGATCAATATCGTCCAATTATCGTTAATCGCATTATCGTTGATGATTAACCATAAGAAATTGAACAACAAGAACTTACGGCATTGAACGTGGGTTCCCAATCGTTCGGGAGACCGTACAACGGAGCGACATGGCCGGTCTTCTTGTCCCACTGGCCGTGGAAATCATATGTCATCACAGATATCCAGTCCAAGTACTCGGAGAGGGCCGGCACGTCGTATCCCGCGTCGATGACCCTCTTGCTCGGCGAGACCGCCGCGGAGAGGAGCAATCCCTTCGGCTTGAACTCGTCGCTCAGTTCCTTCACCAGCCGACTGAAGCCCTCTTTGTCCGATTCGGGGCCCTTCTTGCAATCGACCTGCCAACATACCGGGTACTCCCAATCAAGATCGAGGCCCTCGAAGCCGTACTTCTCGATGAAGTGCAACACCTGCGCCACGAACTTCCGCCTGGCCGACGGCGAGTTCACCAGTCGGCTGTACTTGTCACCCTCCGAATCGTTCCAACCGCCAAGCGCCATGAGCACCTTCAGACCCTTCGACTTGAAGGCCGCCACCTTTTCGTAGAACTTGTTGTCTATATCGGCCCATGGGTCGTGGGACTTCATCGTGAGACTCGAGCCGTCCAGCACAGCGAATCCGTAGAGAATGTGGGTGCACAGGTCGGGATCTATGTCTTCCGGTACAAATCTACCGCCTTCTTGTCGATACCAAGCCCAATTCGTGAAATAGCAGATGACCTTGAACTTGTCCTTAGCATCGTCATGCACGCGATCCGCCGGCGTGGTCACCGGCTTTATCGTTTGCGCGGATAAAGTGGTAAACGGCATCGTCGTCGTCGTTGTCGGCGGCTTCCAATCCAAGTCTTGTCCGACCGACGGTGGCTTCATGGGCTTGTCTTGTTCGTTAGGTGGACTCGCCAGCACCTCTTGAAGCACATGCATGAGCGGATGGGGCCCATCGCCGCATCGTCCGCGGAAATCGTCCAGGTCCAAGGCCCAGATCATGCCACCACCTAGTCCGAGGTCGCGCACAAATTGCGCCTTCTTCCGAATCATGCTAGGGTCGTCGAAGCTGACCCATTGACTGCCCTTGTAAGCGTATGGACCCATCCTTCCCTCCGGATCCTGCACAACCGTCCATCCGCGATTGCGCACGCGATCGCAAATCTCGTAGTACGACAAGAAGCCAGCGGCTTTGGTAAACTCACCAGCGTTCCCAGCGCTCGCTGGCGAATTCAGACCGCTGTTGGCTCTGGGATCGTTGATCGTGAAGGACTGACCGTATAAAGGTATCCCCATGACGATGCTCCTCGGCGGTGCACCTTTCGAGATCCAGTAATTGATCGTGTAGTTGGCGTTGAAGAAGTAGAACTCGTCGTTCGGGTGGTAATACAAGGGCGCGACGTGTCCGGTCTTCTTGTCCCACTGGCCGTGATAGTCGTACGTCATGACTGCGATCCAGTCCAAGTATTTAGCCAACGCGGGCACGTCGTAGCCCTTGTCGATGACCATCTTGTTCGGCGACACCGCGGCTGTCAGTAATAACTGCCTCGGCTTCAGCTCAGCACTCAGTTCTCGCAGCAGGGCCGCGAAACCATCTCGGTCCGAATCCGGGCCTTTGTTGCAGTTCACTTGCCAGCAGACTGGATACTCCCAATCCAGGTCCAAACCGTCGAAGTTGTATTTCTCGAGGAACCGGATAGCATGGTCGATGAACTTCTTCCGGGAGGCCGGGCTGTTCGCCAGTCGACTGTACTTGTCGCCAGCTGAGTCGTTCCATCCGCCCAGGGCCAAGAGTACCTTGAGGCCGCGTTTCTTATATGCCACCACTCGTTCATAAAAGCGGTTGTCGAAGTCCGCCCATGAGTCGTGCGCTTTGATGACCAGTTCGGAGTAGTCCAACACCGCGAAGCCGTACACGATATGTGTGCACAGGGTGTGATCGATGTGCTCGGGCAAGTAGCGGCCGGTTCCGCGACGGTACCAGGCCCAGTTCGTGAAGTAGCAGACTACCTTGTAGTAACCGGACAACGGGGACACTTTATCGGGGTCTATGATCGCAGAGGGTAAGGTCGACGTCGGTTGAGTCGTCGTGATCGAGCTTGTGCTCATAGTCGGAGCTTTCTCTGTGGTGGTCGTCACTTGTGTGGGCTTTTGCGAGACCTGCGGTCGAACGGGCGCCTTCGTGGTCGTCGTCGACGACGACGGTCGTTGCGTCGTCTCCTCCGCGTTGTCGTTCCCCTCTGCGCACTTGGCGATGAGCGGCCAGTCACAGATGCGAGTCTCCTTGTTGAAGTGCAAACCCGGCGGACAGCTGAACACCTCCTGCCGGCCCCACAGACACGCTCGGTAGCTCTTGCAGTCACCCGGCACGCTGCTGTAGCTACCGGATACGCAGCTCTGTATAATGTAACATCCATTACTCAATATCAATGATCGAAGTATCACGCGGAGGCGTGCGCCGATGACGAATGGAATGCGATGAATTGCGAATCGGACAATTATACAAGCAAATAAGCGGCGCGCCGGGATACTGACGCGACGTCGCAACGTTGCGCTCACAATGACATGTTAATTTCTCAGCATATTTATGAACATGCAAGCGCAATCACTCGCTCATGTAACATTGTTGTATCGGTTACTCACTTCCGACGCGCCGTCCTTCTCCAAGAGCAAGGCGTTCTTACGGGGTTTCTCCACGCATGGCATCTTGAAGGCCCAGTCGCACATGTTCTTCTCGTTGTTCCAATTTAGACCCGGGCCGCACTGCTGTGACACGAGATCACCGTTCACGCAGACCAGAAAGTGCGTGCATGAGTCCGGCGACGGATAGTACTGGCCGTGCTGACACGTTTTGTTCGGCCTGTCCGTAATGATAACGATCGGTTTCGTCGTGGTGAATCTCGTGGGTCGCTCAGTCACAGACGTCGTCGTCGTCGTCGTCGTCGTCGTCGTGGTTGTCCTCATCGTCGTCGTAGTCTTGGAAGTCGTAAGAGTCGTTGGCCTCTTCGTCGAGCTCCACAAAACACTGCTAGTCGTCGAGGTCGAGTCTGGACGAGGAAGACGCAGAAATTAATGATGCGCAATCGTAAACTGCGCGGTACATGCGATAAATGTGATTATGGATAAGCGCGATAATAAATTGCGCGAGGCAAATGGATCCAGCAGATATGTTGATGTTAATTGCAAATTTAACGAGGAAAAGAGCCGGCACCTCGGTGAGAAATCTTGTAGACTCCTTGAGAGGCGCAATCGAAAGAAAGCAGAGTCAATATTATGCACGAGCGCTGAAGCAGAAGAGCCATGGCTCCCGCAAGGCCGACCACGCGACGAGAAAGAACGAGGCGCACAGACGACAGCAAAGTCGACACCGTCGCCGTACCCTCGCCGATACTGGCTGGTGTGTCCTCGCCGTGTGCGAAGCAAACGGCAAAAGGGGGAGGATGCGAAGAGCGATGCTTGGCCGTAGGCGACAGAGACGACAGGAGAAGATATGTACAACCGCGAGGTATTTGCAAGTGTGTGACTCGCAAACAGGTTTGCGATCTCTCGTCTCTCGTCATCTTGGCGATTTATCCACGTGCTCGCGAGTTATTGAATTGCTGAAAAAAGACCCGTGACAAGCGGAGAAGGGACAGGGGAGAAGAAGAGGGAGGGAGGCGTGGTGCTTTTCGAGAATCACCGAGGGAATTTGTATTCGCTGTCCACGCGCTGATAATTTTCGACGTCACGATGACCGCGCGATAATTAACGAAACGCCAGCTGCAATTTCCTCGGCGATCACAGTGAACCCGCATCGAAACGGCCAATCAGCGGGCCGTTTGTTATTCATCGCTTGCTTCGAGCCGTTTAATTGTCAAAGGCTTCTCTCGCTTCTCTTGCTCGACCGAAAGGGAGAGAAAAGTGAGGGAGAACGGAGAGACAAAGGCGATTGTTCGAATCGATCGAGAGAAGCAACGAAATTATTCATCGGTATGTATCCGGCTGATAAGAATAGTTCCAGGCAGATAGAGGTAGATAGGTGCCTCTCTCACCGATCTTCTCTTGACATTTCGCAGCCGACGGCCAATCGCACAGACGACGTTCCGCATCCCAGTGCAATCCGGGGGCGCATTGTTCGCGCTTTAGCTCTCCTCGGACACATCGATAGTAGTTCCCGCAGTTCTCAGGGTCTCTGTAGTATTCGCCACTAGTGCAGGTCATTCCTGGTGGTACGATCGACGTCAACTCGGCTGGCCTCTGCGTTGTGAACATCGTAGGACGCGTGGTCGTAGTCGTTCTATCAAAGACGATTCTCTCTGAATGAACGAGCAAATGCAGATTTCTCCCTCGGGAGAGAATCTCACCTGGTTGTGCTCCACGGTGACGTGGTGGTGCTGGCAGATGTGCTCGGTGGCTGAGGTGACGATACAGTCGTGCTAGGCACAGTTGTCTCCTGCGGGATCTTGCTGGGTTTCGCGCTGGTCCAGGTCCACGAGGGCCACGTGGTCCTGGTGCTTTTCTGAGTCGTAGTGCTCGGTCTGTCCGTCCACGTGGGCCACGTGGTCGCCTTGGTGCTGGACGTCGTCATCGGTCTGGTGGGTCGCGGACTACCATCCGCGGCGTCACTGTGAGTGGTCAACGTCGGCGGTTGAGGTGTCACCGGTTGCGGTGGACGCTGACAGTCCTCTGAAGTGAGTGGCGGTGATGACAGGCGGCCTGTCATTTAATACGTGGTAATTAACGTCAGAATTGTTGGTGTTGGACATGACTAGTTGGTGACATGACTAGTGACAAGATGAATGATACGAACCCAGCGCGCGATTTATGGTCTTCAGCAGCGGATACGACTCTAAGCAGCAGCGGTTCTGGAAGTCGTCCAGATCGATCGTCCACATCGTGGCGCCGCCGAAGCTGTTTCCTGTGATGTACTTGCCCTTCGCGTAGACGCTCTCTCGGTCTTCGTAGCCGACCCATTGGTTGGCGAAGTGAGCGCTCGGTCCTGAAATTAATTACAGACCCTGATATGAATTTTTTTTTTCGCTTCCTCTCCGCCCCGGATAAATCGCACATGAGGATTTCTTACCCACTCCTGTCTTCCAGCCGTGTCGCTTGATCCTGTCGCAGATTTCGTAATAAGCCAACATCCCGGGTTGCTTGGTGAACTGCCCGGGCTTACCAGGGCCAGTCGTAGGGTCACCTAAATCAGCTTGGTTCTCTGTCGCGAGTCGGTAGGACTGACCATACGTCGGAATACCGACCAGAAGCTTCGTCTTCTCGGCGCCGAGCCCGACGAGGTAGTTCATCGTGAAGTTCTGGAACGTTTACAATGGTCGTAGCGTTTAGCGTCATAACGTTGCGTTTAGCGAACACGCTTTCATACGATCAGAGTTTGGACTCACGACGTTGTAGTAGGGATTGCTGTCGCTGAAAGTGCCGAACAACGGCGCTATGTGGCCCGACTTCGATTCCCAGGCTCCATGGTAGTCGTAGCTCATGACCGACATGAAATCGACAGCGTGAGAGATCTCGCGCACCTCGTACGCTTTGTCGATGACCTCCTTGTAACCCGATAGCGCGACGGCCAAGAGGAGTGGCGGCTTTTGCTTGTCGAACTCTTGTCGCAATTCGCGCACCAGCTTGGTGAAGTTTGGCTTGTCGGAATCTGGACCTTTCTTGCAGTCACTCTGCCAACACTTGGGGTAACTCCATTCGAGTGACAGACCGTCGAAGTTGTGCTTCTTTAGGTAATTCACCGCTCCGGCGATGAACTTGCGTCGAGCTGCGTCGTTGCTGACCACTCGCGAGTACTTGTCGCCGGAACTATCGGTCCATCCGCCCAAAGCCAACAGGACCCTTGAGCCCTTGATCGAGGTCACTCGCTGGTACAGATCTAAAACGATCGGGAAGTTGATCTTGTTGATTTCCTGTCTTTATACTTTATATGTGACTTAATGAGACTTGATCGTATTATAATATAATATTGGTTACGGTTATTAATTGTATTTGATTGAACAATTTCACTCACTGTGCTCGATATCAGCCCAAGGGTCGAATGGTTGAATCAGCAGGGTGTCAGGGTTCAATCCGGCGAAGGCGTAGACGATGTCGGTGCATAGTCGTGAGTCCAACTGTTCCGGCACGAATTTACCGTCGTCCTTGCGGTAGAGTGCCCAAGACGTTAAGTAACACACCACCCGTGGGCCATCCTGTTGTAGCAACTCCGTTTCTTGCTTCTTGACTTCCATGAAGGATGCCGGTGAAACTTCGTGCGTCACGATATTTCGATCGGCGAAGATAGGCTTGCAGACGTCCGCAGTTGCCGCTACGCAACGTCCTTCGCTCGGGTCGAAGAACCTGTCGTGGCCGCAGTTGCCGTGGTGCTGCAAACCTGAAGGAAAAGAGAGTACGATAGGTCTCCTGAGAGGTCACGAGAATCTTGCGCGCAGGATTCTGCGCGAGACACCGAAGACGTTACCTTTCACGCAAGAATAGTATCCAGAACAGTTCTGCGGGTCTCTGAAGAGACCGTCCTTCGAACACTTCCTCGCAGGACTGTTCTCGTAGCGTCCCAAAGCTTGCGTGGCCGCGTTCAACATTGGCCAAGGATTTCCACAGATACCCTGCAGAGATTAATTTGTAAACGACACGAGAAAGAAACACAACATGTGCCGAAGGTTGCTTGTAATCACCTGAAAATCTTCCAAATCCAGCGACCACAAGGAAATCCCGCCGAGTCCTGTCGCGCGGACGTACGCTGTTTTGATCTTCACCGAGATGGGATCCTCGTAACCGATCCACTGATCACCACGCTTCAAATACGGTCCCTCCTCGTCTCTGCCGGATACCCATAAGGTATCCTCCAATTTCTCGCACACCTACACAGAGGAATCCTTCGTATCAGCTCACAGGTCTCACGTGTGAGTCACTTTTGCAGCAGTTTACCTCGTAGTATGCCAATCTGCCGTCTCTGTGTTTGGTATACGATCCTTCTTTGCCGGGTCCTACCGCCGGCGCTCCGGCGTCGGTGAAGTTGCTGTACTTCAAGGTGTACCCTTGACCAAAGATCGGCAGACCGAGAACGATCTTGGACGCTCGTCTCGTGCCGATCTGTTCGATCCATTTGTTCGTGTTACGCGCGACAAAGTTCAGCGGAGCTGGGTGAAGAGCGAACTTCTTCCCGTCCTGATCGGTGAAGTCTTGCCAACTTCTCAAAAATATTAGATCGACGATAGATGCGATCTCCGGATCCACGGGGTCTGTCGGTCTCACTGTTACCGCCAAGGTGTACCCCTTCCTAGCCAGTGGTTTGGCGATCTTCTTCAACAGAAGTTTGTAGCTCTCCCAATATTCGACAGAGTTCGGCCAGTCGATCTCGACACCGTCGAAGCGATACTCCTCGACGAAATCGAATATAGATAGGACCAAGTCGTTGCAGTGCAGGCTGCAGTTTCGTCGTACGACCTCGGCGAAGAGTAGTCCTCGATTGGAACTCGACTGAAATCCATCCGCGATGGATATCAGCACGCGCAGCCCTGGGTCCTTCGAACGAAGCGCCGTGGCGGCATTGTAGCCACCTGTGTTGCGAAAGTGACAAGTGTGAATGCTTCGTCTGTTTACTTAGCGTCTTATCAGACACCTAGGGCCGGTATTCATAGTCGGATCTTATATTTAAGATCGTCTTAAGTTGATCTTCAGATGTTGTGCAAATTATTTCATTGGCTACGAGGTATCTGAAAGTGAACTTAAGACGGTCTTAAATATAAGACCTGGCTATGAATGAACCGGCCTTAATGTGTCTAACAGTGTAGTTCAGCGTGTCTGCCAGCGTCTGAGAGAAAACAAATCTCGGTGTGAACTGATATACCTCTCACTCGATCGTACTCTGGGTCTCTGGGCACGACGACTAGTCTCTGCGGATCTGCAAGCAATCGTCATGTATACCAAATTGATCAATTATTAAATAGATAGGTAAAAAATAATAGAAGAACAAAAAATTGAAAAAATAAAATAAATAACAGAGAAAACAGTTATCGTCGTGCGAAGTATAATACCGACAAAATGGCAGACAACAGATAGATCTGTGTATGTGTGTGTGTGTGTGTGTCGTTTACCGATCGTGGCTGCGGCGTACACCAGATGAGTGCACTTGAAGTCAGGCACGTTCTGCGGGAACAAGGAGAATGGGTCAGTCCGGTGCACGGCTCTGGAATCCAAGTGGCAAACAACTTTGGGCTCGGAGACCTGATGATGTGTCCTCCGCAGGGTCGGCGGTGCCAACGGCTCGATCCAAATGGAGTCGTAATCGACACCGCCGAGGAAAGGCGCCTCGCGATGCTCCACTGCGTCTCTCAGAGGCAATCTCCTGTTCCAGCTGTGTGCATTGGCGATTACACGTTAGAATCGTCGTCGTCTCCTTGAATGAGGAAACGCGGAGCAGCAGAGCGACTTTACGTTCGATATCCATCTAATGACTGAATTCAATTATTGAATTTAACGACATCTCGCCCGGTGGCGAATTAATTTCTGCGAGCATCGAGAAGTTGGAGCGCCGTGAGATTATACCGGTTCCGCGATTATCATCGCGGCGACTTTCAATATCCCACGAAATTGATATGCAAATTCGTGACGGTGAGTCAAATCACGGTTGTCAAATCGCGCGCAGATATTAGCCCGACACTCCGTTCAAATTCAGATGTCGTGCGCGCGGTGTGTTCACCTTTGATTCTCGTTCCGGGGCTGATTAGGCTCGCCGATTGGCAGTGCCTCGACCGCATCGCGCAGGGGATATCTGCGCGAGCCAAACTCGTCGTAATCTAAATCAGCCGGAGGACGTCGCCCGATCGGCGGGCTCTCGACGGCGCCTCGGTGGAACCGGGGAGTGTCGTCAAGATGTTGCCGTTGCTGGTGATTCGGATTCCACGGGCTAGGCGGAATCTCGCGGCTCGGCACTCGATACGGGAGAACGCCGGATGGCGATAAGCCCACCGCCAGAATCAAGATAATTGTCCACGCCGTGGCCGTGGCCATGGCTAGCTGGCTGGCTGGCTGGCTGGCTGGTTGGCTGAAATAACAAAGCAAGTGACGTTTTTCCTTTCCGCGGTTTATTTAACCGCGGCTTGGCTCGAGCTCGACTCGAGGCAGCCGGTTTCTTGAGCGCGAGGACGCAGGGTGAGACCGCTCGTGCGTCAGGACGTAGGACGTGGGATATGCGCAATAGCGGCAAGAATGTATTTCACGTACGACCGGAGATGCTGGTCGGTTCCTTCGCTTCAATGTACTTTTACTGATATCGCCTTTGCAGATATCCCCCAGTCGTCTTGTCCTCGTCTCGTTCCGAGAGGACTGAGCGCGAGGAATCGTGATACGGAAAAAGGTAACCTTGACGTGCGCACTCGTGGCCAAGTATTATTTGCTCGTGCCGCATTATTACTTTTCTTAACCGCGCGCGGCATGGTCTTTACAATTTCGACCGCGACGTTAAGTTTATCGATATCCCATCGATACGCATCGTGCATGCGATACAGGGTGAAAAGTCCAGCGGTTTTGCAATTCAGTTTTCAGCATCCTTGCGTGGATTTAATCAATTGTTAAAGCGCATGGAGACTTATCAATAATTTATTAATTATTATTTGATATTTATTTAATTTTTTAGTCATCATACACATCTTAATATTGGCTCAAATCTGCACAAGACTGTCAATAATTGGCGGAGTGCCGACTACCGGATGTTTCATCCTAATTCAAAGAAGCGACACCCCCTAAATCGCCTGCAAATTCAAAAAGCGATTTTCCCATCTGTGTTGTATTTCCGCCAATTACCGGAATGAATGATTTCGATGCGTTTCTTCCGCGTGTATTTTCTATTTTCTGAAGAGGGACAGCGTATCATTTGCGAGGAACAACCGTTCTCGAAGATTTCCGTTCTCGGCATTCGCGGCATTTTTCCACACTTGATGTTCCTTTGTGAGAATGCCGTAACGCGCTTTTAAAGAGGCCGAGAAGTGACATTGATGGATTCAAAATTTACAACGCGTTCGCCTGAATCATCCCGAGGACAAAGGCACTCGGTGGCACTCGCACTGTCTACCTCGTATCTTTTCGCCGGCGTACGCGCTCGCACCCATTAGACATGCAAAAGTCGTACGAAGATGAGACCGTACGAAGCGAGCGGTTCGCTGCTCATTGTGTCGAGGTTGCTTTTTACACCTTGCAAAAAGCCGCGCGACATGAACCCTCCTCATGTGCGAACTCATTTAATCTCTTTCGATGCCAGAGGAACGTGTGCGCGCATCCTCTAGGGAACATCCGGAACATTGTCCATCCAGATCGCGAATTATGCAGCGAACCAAAAAGAACCAAATAGCGCATTTTGCAGTCAACGAAATATATTCACGAGACTTTTTGCCGGCACTTTTTGACTAATATACGTATTCGGACTTCGGATGTATAAACTCTAGAGTTTAAAAACCTCGGTAAATTTAATATGTCATATAGAAAAAATTACATATAAGGTTTGTTAATACGATTGCTACACTGGTGATCACCAGTGACTAATGCTGTAATGTTGCCGCCGCTAATTAGTGTAAAACTTAAGCAACTGCGTGCAACAAATAAAATCTACAGCAGATAGAAAGCCAATGAAAAACGAGCTAACGGACGAATGCATCGTGAGTCGCATCTATTTACCGCTCTTTCTTGACGACTCGAAGTTGAGACGTCGAGCTTTGAAATAATGGCAGTGGAAATCAGCACGTGGCGGTCAACGTGTAAAAGTTCTGCTTCACATGTACTTAGCGAAACGTCACAGAGCTGTCTCGTTGAAATCTTGATCGCGCTTCAAGAGGAAATTTGCGGTTTTATTTGCACGGCTGCGCATTCTATATGCTCGTGATTACATAGCACTACAGATTTCTTCAGACTCGCCGAATTATTGGCGAAAGGTAGCTGACAATTAGCCAGTTCTCTCTCTCTCGTCGCACGCTCGATTTAATGAATTCTACGATTAAACGATACGGAAGAATCATCAGCAATTGGTCATAGCAGGCTATATAAAATTCGATGCATCGCATCGAAAGGCGCATCGCGTAATCGGGGATATTTTGACGCGCTGGACCTTCCGCGATTTTCTCAATTTTTGCAAACGTACATTACAAGCGAACCTTCCTGACAGGTACTTCCTCCTGCCCGACGTAGCAGCAGTGCGTGCGTATCTGCTTCTTACTGACCGGAGCCAAGTGGGACTGCTGTTCGTGTGGGCACTTGGTCCTCCGTACGAACGGAACACCCGACAGCGACGCGCGATCGGGCTGCACTGATCGAGAGAGCACGGACCCTTCAGGCGAGGACAGAGTGCAGTGAATCGCCCGAGTGGTATCTTCGAGGCGCGCGTCAAATTGCCGCGTTGAATTTTAAAAAGACACCACACCGGCTGGTCCCCACCGGTACCTGCGAGCGGCGGGGAGGACCAACTTGTGCGAATCTGGTATTCCGGGCGCGCGAGGACGCCCATATATACCTACTCCATCGAAGGCCCCGCGCGACCCGCACCCTACCCGGGCCCCGTTCCGGCGACCTTGACCACGGGAGTAGCACGAGCAGAGAGCTGGTCGACGAGAGAGCTAGCCGCCGTGATCCTCGGTGCCAACGACATCGCGCGCGGCACACGCCCTGCGCACCCGACGCGACGCCGACGTCTCGAAATCACCGCCGACTAATTAAGCGTCCCGCTCAGATCCACCTGCCGATCTGCCGGACGGGGTGCCGGACTCTCGTTGACGAGATCGAGCGATAAATTGCGATTTTACGCGCGATTTATATGCGGAGGGAGACGTGCACGAGGGAGTCTCGTTTTCTTCCTCGGTCGCAGCCGAGCGGAAGGTTGCTGATCGATCGCGTGCCTAATTAAAGCGCCATTGATTAAGTCGTCGTTCATCGTGGCGGTTTTATCGACGAACACGAAGTGTTTTCGGCAGGTCGAAATAACGCTTCGGTCCCGGGCCGTCTCGAAAACTGCCACCGGAATAAGCAAGGCGAGAAGTGACACGCGGCACAACTGATAGATGGATGGATAAGGAAAAAAGGAGGAGAAAATCCGGAGAACTTGTTCCCGAAGTTGTCTCAAACGGGAATCGATGATTACGCGTCGACGAACTTTTTACGATCTTTTTATAGAATACTCTTCTCTCTCTCTCTCTCTCTCTCTCTCTCTCTCTCTCTCTCTCTCTCTCTCTCTCTCTCTCTCTCTCTCTCTCTCTTGGCACGCAATCTTCATATTTTCAAAATCATATTTTCAGGATGTCTTGGAAACAAGCTCTTCGATTATCCCGATTCGTTGATGATATTATCCACCGCGAGATTCCGATTATGAATTGCGGTATCATCGTCGTATGTGTGTGTGTGTGTGTGTGCGTGTACAACTCCTCGATTTTGATAGGATCACAAGATAACTCTCGTGTTTGATATTCCGATGGCGATAAATGATTTAAATTATACACCACGAGCCATTGCTCGTGGGAGAAAATAGCAGTGACGTACGTACGCAAATTACACGCTTGCGTGCACACGGCAATTTCAAAAGAAGCAATTGCAGGTTCATTATGCCGAACATCCATATGATTCGGAATCGAGAGGATACATCGTTCCGATGAATGTCCGGCAAACAGGTGGGTGTCAACCACCGACACACGATGCGTTGTATGCACGCGAGAGACAGAGAGAGAGAGAGAGAGAGAGAGCCGCAACCTTGGCATCGAGTCCACCGAAACGGATCATTAGCGGTCGCATACCACACGAGAGGGAAATGTGTTATCGTCGCCGTCGAGTAGGTCTCACCGACGTGTCTGGCCGCGATCGGCCAATTGTCAGGGCCTAGGGCGACCCGCGAATCGCGATCTGTAATTAGAGCGGAGACTCGCCGGGATCTCTTCTGGTCTTGAGCGCGAGTTAATCGGCGGTTGAGAGGAAAGCTCATCGCGATGCGCGACCACCAAGGAAGACAAGTAGACAAGTCGAGTTCTCTTCTTCTCTTCAGGCTGACGGGAAGACTTTACAGTCGGCGACGATGAGGAGGAGAAGCAGGAGGAGGGCAACGACGATCGGGAGGACGGTTATAGACTAGTCTCGTCGTAGAATCTGACGATCAACGATCGTACAGGAATGCGCGAACTGACTCTCTTGAGGGGAAACTTTCCAAAAATAAGGCACCCTACGAACAGAATGGCAACGATTCGCCTTGAACTTGCCAAAGGTCGCTCGTTCTCCGTTCGCGTTTCCTCAGCAAGCAGGCTGAAAGATGCGGCACGGCGGGTAGAAAAGGAGAGAGTAAAGAAAAAGGAAAAGCAAAGAGAAATGATAGTCAAGTGAAAGGAGAAGTAAAGAAACGACGGCGGTGTTTTCGGCGGAACGATCGTGAGAGGCGCGGATTAATTAATCGAACCCTTTTCCAGTCGTGTCGTCCTCAGCGAAACGTTCGCGCGGCAATCATCGAGATGACAAACGTGTTACTTTGCCTTTTCGTTTCAGGTGGGACGCGAAACAGGCGAATTTGACACTCCGGTCTCTCCGTTGCGGTACCGTTGCGGAGGCGAGCTCCGGATACGCGCACAGAGACAAGTGCTGGCTCTCCCGGTGGACAGATCGGCGGATAGAGAATGAGAGAGGAACGCTAATAACGCTCACCGAAGGAACAAAGATCCACGAGTTAGGCGAGTATTCAAATTGGAGAATAGCGGTTTCCCCTGCCCGATTAATTGTTAGCGGACACGCGCGCAAGCACACGCCCATGCTTATGTCGCGTACGCGCCTTTTCGAATTGGCAGAGATCTGGTTCTCTCGTCTCGAGTTCGACTCGGGAGCGGTTAATATGTCGGATTATGAGTGAAACACGCCGGGTTCAACGCCACCGCGATAGAAGCTGAGAGAGCGCTAACGGCGGCGAATATATAAATTCTATGCGTCATAGATCGAACGCAACTTGAAAGAAAGAAGAAATAATAGTGGCAGAGGAAGAAAGAGAGAGAGAGAGAGAGAGAGAGAGAGAGAGAGAGAGAGAGAGAGCGAGAAAACAAGAAGAAGACGGAGCGAATCGGAATTCATAATCGGCGCCGTTAATGGACGCAAAACGTGAAATACGATCGGCCAATTCATTCGGGATGCAAATGAGCCGATGCCTCCTTCTCCTCTTTTCCCTTCCGTCTATTTCAAAGGCTCGCAATAAACGATAGTTAATAAGGGCTGCGCGATAAATCTGCGCTCGATCAGCCGTCGATAAACAATCGCTCGAGGTCTCCGCTCGCTCGCCTCCCGTCCTCCGCTCTAAGAAGCTCAGCAGCTCGTGAATTTACAGGTGACCGTCTGCATAACTATTTATCGAGTAAAGGCGAAACGGCCGCTTGCTTCATCGATTGGCTCTTCATGGTCGCGCGGGGTGCGCGACGACCTGACGCCGAGGGAGATTTACCGCAGAAAGAAGGCGAACAAGGTCGTGGTTATTCGTCGCTATAAATCGCACGTTATATCATATTGCGCTTCTAATCGGGCCCATTAGCCATTAGTGCAGCTAATGACCCTCGGGGAAGAAGGCGTGATCCCGCGTGGAGGAGGAGCAGCTTATCTCGAGCAGCTTTTCGCGACAGATCGTTACACGAGAATGCTATTAACACGCAGAGGTCAGCTCGTCCTCGAATGGACCGACCTTTCTCTCTTTTTCGCGACGATTGAGACGATTCTCCCTCTACGAGCACGCAGTTAGGTCTAGACGCTTGGGACGCTTCGGTTTCATGCACACATCCACACCTCGCCGAGACGTCTCGCAGGATGACACGCATTAATTCGCGGAACGACCTGCGGAGACGAATATGAGTCAAACGTGGTCTCGGCGAGGATGTGAAATCGTGGGTGTGGAACGTCGCGTAAATCTCCGAGCGGAGCGGAGGAGTCGAAAAAGCACTCGAGCGTTACGAAATGAGCGATAACGCGAGTCGTAATAATAATTAGACGAACACGTGCGTGGAGAGGATTGGAGAAACGAAAGGTCGAACGTTGACGATGATGAGATCTTTGGAATTCTTCGATCCTCGAGTTTGCTTGCTCCGACGTAGCGTAGCGTCTTCGTAACAGGGGCTGCGAAGTTCCAAGTTAGTTTTCTCGCGTCCCGACAATCACCAGAGATTCGAGAAAAAGCAGATATTCGGTCTCTTGATCCCGGTATGTCTCGTTCGATTCTTCTTCTTCTTCTTCTTCTTCTTCTTCTTCTTCTTCTTCCTCTTCTCGTGTATTTCACGGCGGGAATTCGCTTCCGATATTTTCATCGTGACCGGTTCGCTCTAAACTTTCGCGCGCGATTCTCCGCCGCGAATTAATTACAAATCGCGATCGATCGCGAATTGATTCCGAGACGATTCCCACCACATCCAACGGCTCCGCTGCGAAGAAAAGGCGCGAAGGCGTTCGGTTAATCCTTTCGGCTTGATCGACACTCCGCCATGCCTTCGAAGGGTCTTGAGACAGAATCAAGGTCACGACACCGGTCGCAGGCTGTTTTTCTGCTTGCTGGTTAATGACCTGCGTCTATCCCAGGAAACAGCCGGAGATTTCAACGCTGATCCATCCCTCTTCCTTCTCCCTTCTTGTTCCGTTCCTTTTTCTACGCTGCCGTCCTCTTTCTCTTTGCGTCTAGTTTATCGCGAGACAACGTAAAAAGAGGAAACAATATACGATACACACGACGTATCGTTGGTATCACTTTCGAACATCAGTGACGAAAATGCTTCAACATTCGTTAGACTCACATTTCCGTAAAAAACAAAAATTCTCCCATTCCCTATAAATTGTCGTGTGAGAATGATAATATAATTTCTACACTCGTAATTTCTATTTTCAGCTCGTACAATAAACAACGTCGAAGAACGATATTATCTTCGTCCAATAGTTGAGACGCATCGCAAGATTAATCCTAATTTGTCTTCAACTCTTTATCTCAGATGTAAACTCTTGTAAGAGTGCGACTCGTCTCAATTGATCGATATCTATTTTTCTGTATAACGAATATCGATTGACGAGTTGCTTGTGTCAGCGAACACAAGTTTGCTAAAAAGGCATTTTACGAGAGGTGCGTTACTTTTATGCGCTCGTTATTTCTTCTTTCGTTGTACAACACCAATATTATGGATTTTTTCGGACATAATAATATAGTGCAATGTCAAAAAGTATAAAACTTACAAGTTTCAGTTTGAAGAAATTCTCTACGATTCGCCTTAGGACGCAGGTACGACGGTGTCGAGAATTCGCTTCCGAATCTAATCGATCTCGATTTCTCGACGAAGCGTATCGTTCGCCTATCGAAACAACTCATTCGAAAAGTGCCTCGCAACGCGTTTTTTAGCGTTTCCAAAGATTTACTCTAATCGCAGATATGGTATTTACAAGAGACAGGGTTTCTTTTATATAACTTGGGAAAGAAGACGAAATGCATAATCTCCGCGTGACAGTTCTCAGAAGAGGACACCTGTCGTCCGCAGGACCACGTCAGTTCTACGCCCGCTATCTGTCAGTGGCAGATCCTGGCGAAAGACGACTGGTATAAAAGAACAGCGTCTTTGAATCGCGGATGCATACTACGATCGTGAGGTGCATCGAGCGCATCCGCTTGCATATCGACGACACGTTACAGGTCAACATTTGCGTTGTAAGTAATGTCGAACAGTCGCGCGATAAATAATCGGAGCGAGACGGTCCCGAGGATCTCTTCCTGTCATTGCTATTCTCGCGTTTAATAAAACGCTCTTTTACGGAAAACGTTTTTTATGTGTCGCTATTGTTCGCTTGTTGACGACGATGGACAATTCACAGACACCAATTTCTCCGTCAGATCACAACGGCGATCCGCCCGCGTTACTTCATCCTCCACGAGCAGCATCTACCGATGGCTAACTACGCGAGGTGCGGAGTGGCTGTCGTCATTGTACTCGGCCTCTTCTGCGGACAAGTATTCGGAGAGCTTGAGGATGCCGACAGGAATGTTCAGGATATGAGTATCCGATTCGGCAGAGGATTGGTAAGTTCGGTCTTTCGTGGAAGATTCGTGTTTGGAAGAAACATTTGCGTGAATTCGGGTGTAACTAATAACGATCTATCGCTCTTATCGCTGTTTCGCAACAATATCGAGCGTTTCTGTGTAGCAAACGATAGGAGAATTGATATTACGCTGACTCGAATTGGAAATACTACTTAAGCGTTGTACTGTACACGTTTGACATTTAATTTTTAAAATAAAAACGGAGATAGAACGGAAAAGGTTTTTTTCTGCGTGTTGCCTTCTGTTCTGCGTATGCTGCAAGTTCATTCCTGATGTCTCATTCTTTTTCAGGATAGCGAACTGCAATTGGCCAGACTGTTGCTGGTAGCACCGCGGTTTTGCCATCCCAAACGCAATTCCGAGATCATAAACTCGTTGTTGGGTCTACCGAAGAATATGCACAACGCTGGGAAATAAAAGTAACACCGCTTAACCGTCGTACCAAGCATAACTTGTCCGCCGTATATAGTATATGTAGAATTAGAAACATTAAAAAAAAGAAGAAAAATGCGCTGCGGACAGTACTTGTTTTACAATGTACTCGAGAACACCGACCACATGTACAGACGATGAATCAATATAGTAATATATAAACGTACAAACATATCTTGATATTTTATTCATACTTCTTTGTTACAACTCTCTTTCTCTTTCTCTTCATCGCATTTTCTATTGTTTTGCTTATTCTCATTTCTTATATATCAATGTTCTAAATGTAAATATTCGATCACAAAGACTAATTAGTATAGTATAGAATTACTACCTACAAATTTCTCGATTTTTATATGATTATCGGTATCATACCCTGTACAGTTAATAGAAATGAAAACAAGAATATTATCAGTTACACAGAAAGAGAATGGAATAAATGTACATTTATCAAGAGGCACGATAGTGCCTCGCGCCAAGTTTATCTCTTATTTAACGTTGAATCTGTCTTACTACGTACAAATAAATATGATGTATATTTTACACAATATTCAAATGATAAAAACTCCGAAATTAGAATACAAACCGTGCAAATCGGTTACTACGCGTTTAAAATTTCAAGTGAAAACCACCACCGACAGATGGGGCTCTGCCACTTTCTGTCAGTCCCATGTGAAAACCGGAGTTGCTTAAATCGGCGTCGTCACCGTCGCCCAACTGTTTATATTCTCTGCCACCGCTTGGAGGTTTAGGAGACGCGTTCGTAGTTCTGGTTCCCTGCTCCGACTTCGCGGGCCAAGTGGGAAACATCTGCGGATCGATCGGCAATGGCGCTTCCGTGAAATATCCATGACCCAGGGCGTCTTCAGCAGTTACACGCTGACGAGGATCGTATGTCAAAAATCTGCAAATGTAATTATGTAATTATTTATTTATTTATTTACGACCATCATTTTCTTTTGTTACACTACACTAAATATAAATACAATCAAAATAAGAGAAAAATAAACAATAAAGCAGCAAGAAAGAATAATATTTACAATGAGATTTGTTCAGAATAATAAACACTTATATTGTATCCTAAGCCATGTTTAACTTTCCTTTAACTTTCTATTTTGTAACCTTCTAACGATAATAACATTGTTGTTACATGTACTATTAATAGCGATGTACCATTAGAAGAAATAAAATCAACATAAAAGTGGACTTTTAACTTACTTGTTCAACAACTCAATGCCTAGTTCGGATAACGACAAGCTGAATCTTTGTCGTAGACTATTTACAGGATAATGCGCGAATGGGATTTTTGGGACTAAAGGTAATCTGTTGTATCCTGGCCAAACTCTTTCACTTGGAGTTCCTAATTCTTTGAATATCTTATTCAGCTGATCCATCTCCGACTTGCCAGGAAACAACGCCTCCATGCGCAGGAGCTCCGCAAAGATGCACCTGAGGAATGAACAATGATGACTTTTTTCACATATTCGTCGTCATGCTTGAATTAAAAGTCGCTCGCTACAAAATCCATACTATATTTTATCCATACTACATTTACATATAATGCACGTTAGTATTTATACATATATAAAATGTATTAAATATATTAAACAAGCAAATCGAGTATTTTGCATGTAATTTTGCAAATTAATTATTTTAACGTGTCACACATGTATGGCATTGATCTCTGTTGAAAAATCAGTGCATCACATGTATGTGACGTTGGTAGCGAACATATTAATTTGCAACTGGTTACAGTTACAATTACAAATACTACAATGTATTAAGTATATACTTACCCAACAGACCACATATCCACAGGAGTGCTGTATTCCTTGTCGCTGAGCAACAACTCAGGAGCCCTGTACCAAAGTGTAACCACGACCGGAGTATATTGTCTCAAAGGGGAGCCATACTCCCGTGCTAAGCCGAAGTCGCCAACCTTCAAGATGCCTCTGTGACTAAGCAACAGGTTGGACGTCTTCAAGTCACGGTGCAGTATCCAATTATCATGCAGATGCGTAACCGCGCGCAACAATTGCTGCATGAGACACTTGACCTCTCCTGTAACAGATCGAGAAGCGCTGATTATCTTCTCATGTTCGTATCATTATGTAAATCAGTCGGTTAATATCACGTTGAATACTATAATCATACCTACCAGGTATGAACACTTGTTTCTTCTGCTTCATAGTCTCCATGAGGGACTTCAGATCATGTTCCACGTAATCCATGACGATAAATATCTTGTCCATGTTGCTGCCGACAACTATCTCCCGAACAGTGACGATATTGGGATGTTGTGCCTTCAACAACGTATTGATTTCCCTGAGGCTCGTGATCGGGAAACCCTCCTTCTCCTTCTCCATCTTCAGTCGCTTCAACGCGACTATCTCGTCCGTGCGTTTATCACGCGCTCTGTATACGACTCCGTATGTACCCTCCTCGATTCGGTTCAGGCACTGAAATTCTTCGACGCTTCTACAACCTAGAAAAATAGAATTTATACATGCAGATTTTACGCAAATTTCGCCAATTATAGAAACTAAATTTCTACGATGTCAATAGATATTTCTTTTTGCAATATTCTTTATATTATACCTTGAATAGCTGGTAGATACGGCGGTAATTCAGGCTCTTCTTCTTCTTCTTTCTTCTCCTCTTTCTCCACATTCTTAGACGCATTGTTAGAGTCCACGTGTCCAGGAGATTCTCCGCCCGAATGATCAGACTTCGCTAACCGATCGACAGAGAGAGGACTCGGATTGTTATAATCCGAGCCGTCGTTAGAATCGCCATTGGAGCCTTTGTTCGACTCATTCGACTCGTCGTCATCGTCACTGCTCGATTCTGAAGAGTCCGACGAGCGTCGGTCCGACGATCGGTCGCGTATACTTCTTTCTCCTTCCGATGAATGCCTGGATTCCAGCGATTTAGAATGCGCGCCTTCGGAATGAGCAGGACTACCGCTCTCGTCCGACAACTCCACGATCGAAGGATCCGGATTATTTTCCGGACTCAAAGGCCGTTTCTCACCCCTTTTCATTCTTCTCGCTTCTAATTCCATTCTGGAAACTTCCTTTCTCCTGGCCATCTCTCGATCAGCTTCCAGAAGTCTCTCTTTCCTAAGTTCTTGTTCCGTCATTTCTTTCGGATCTTTCAGTTGTATCGGGATTTCACTTTGCGTTTCCATCTCGTTGATCTCGTCGGTCACGATTTCCATCGCCTCGCGCAGTTGCTTCTCTCTATGCTCCTTCTCGCGTTCCATCTTTTCCTGGTCTCTCTCGCGCATTCTGTCGTGCTTGTGAGACACCTTGCGGCGTTTTTTGGGCCGATCTATCAACTCGTTCTCCGAAAACTGTTCGTCCACGACCATTCGTATATGCCTCTGTTCCTCCACGCGAATTTCACGACGGTCTCTATTATCGTCCACGATTCGCAACTCACGACGTTCTCGGATGTCTTCCATCCGTACTTCCCGACGGTCGCGCGGCTCGCGCATCTCTCTCGTGTCCTCTAATCGCAATTCGCGACGAGATTCGATTTTATACTCGCGAATATCACGCGGTTCTTCCCGCCTTTCTCTTCTTTTATCTAGTAACCTAAAAATTAATCCACTCCACTAAATTTCCGAAAGAAAGTTATAAAAAAATATTTAGTGTTTTCAATTTATGAGATAGGCAGACGTAATAAGAACGACGACATAGAAGTAATACACAAGATATAATTACCTTTCTCTCAAATCTTCTAAAACACGATCTCCTGTAGTTCTTTCTTTCCGTTCGTGTCTAGATGATTCCCTGTCTCGCGAATGACTCTCCATCCTGTCTAGACGTTCTATTCTGTCACGATTTCTCTTGGAACTTTCCAAACGTTCAGATCTTTCCAAAGGCTCTCCAACATGCCTACGATGTCTGTGTTTATCCCTGTGCCTGTCCTCGCGTTCGTGTTGACGCGACTTGCGTTCTTTCTCATCCCTACGACTTCTTCTGTCACTGTGTTTCTCCCTACGACGAGATGAGCTCGACTTATGGTGACGCACAACTGCTTGTGGTGGCTTAATATCTAAAGAATCAGCAGTATCGCCACCTTCTTCCTCTGAAAAGCTGGAAATATAAGATAAATTAAAGTAAAAATATGGTATTACAATTATAAATTGTACAGATAAAAAGTGAATTTATTTGAGACCCGAACCTCACGAGCATTTTGATTATATGTAACATTATTTTATCTTTATTTAATGATATTTATATGTATACATGTATATATAAATTTGTTACTTTGCATGTTTAAAATAATATGATACTGCTGCTAAAATTTTCTGATATTATTTATATCTTTAGATAGATTGATTTGTAGTAATTAATAAAGTATACTATTGATATCTAATGTATACATAAGCATGACACTGTAAATGATAATTACAAATAATAAGTAAACTACTTGAAAAATGGTGTATATATGGTGCATATATGTATGTATGTGTGTGTGTATGTGTATGTGTGTGTGTGTGTGTGTGTGTGCGTGTGTGTGTGTATCCGTTTTACGGAATTCGAAATACCTAAAAATTCTAGGCAGCATTGCTCATCATGCTGCTCACGACACGACTCGTCTTATATATATCTACTGCCAACAGTCAGCTTGTTTCTATTGATATTCCGTAATCGGGATTAATAAAAGGTCCTTCGGAATGAACTTTGCCATTCATGGCACACGTATGGAGATTACATCGCCGATAAAACGCCGAGTGCAAAATGACAAAAAAAATCGATTGCGCAAGCGCACGCATGCAACTGTCTCGCATAATACATTTATTAACTAACCTATAAAGAGTTCGCGAACTCGTATTATAATACATATCACGCTTTCGAACAGTTCGTGCATCCAAGTAGCGCATTCCGTTCGAGAATGTCTCGAACATTCTGTCGCACTTGATCGCGCACGAAAACTCCTCGTGGTCGTTTCATGGCTGGTCAATCTTTAAACCTAACCACAAATTATAGCAACCTCAAATTACAACAATACTCCAAGGTGCACAATATATCTTACCTGTAATCACCCATATCTTTCGATGGGCTCTTCTTGATCTCCCCGTCCTCGCTCTGGTTATCAATGTCCATGTCTAACTTATATTCACACATGCGAAGAACCATGGACAACGGTGAGACAACGCGCTTCTCAAACCGATGTCCACATCACGTACTATTACGGATAGGAGTACACTTGTTACAAAATCACACGTCGCAGATTCTGGAAAGTATAATCCGAGAGAAAATAATATTATACGTTGTTAACTGACTCACTGAGCAATACAAGTTCTTTCTCTCTCTCTCTTTGACGAAGCTACGCCTCTCTCAAATAGCACTCGTTGGAATATAGCTTAGCTGTGCGGTTGCTTTGCGAGGCGGCGTCACAAACGTTCAAATGCGCTCTCTTATTGGATAAAAAGCAATTTACAGGATCGTTCAACTTGCTTTTTTCTTTTAGAAAGACGATTCCATTGACTGCGTTCAGAAAACACAGCGGTTGCACAACGGTTGAGTAATTCATCAACGTAACAGATCTCATAAATGACTTTTCTGTTTTTAGACTTTATTGCTTTTAAATCATAACGGGTCTAAGATTTAGACCCCTTATTTCCTTTCAATATAAACTTATTTTCTCTCTCTAATTTTCCCTCGAGTTAAACACGTCTGGAGAATGCTTCATTCGGAGTTGGCACCTTACCTGCACGTCGAACTAACAGGTTTGAAGAATGGTCAATTATAATTATCTCCTCCACTTGAAGTTAATCCCTTGTTTAAATTTAAATTTAAATAAAAGGCTACTTTCGAGTGGATTTGCTTTCGATTTTTGCCTATATAAGCTACGTTCCGATTCACTGCCAGCACTGAAAATCTATAATATAAGTGACACCAATTATGTATTTTTAATACTGGCAGCAGAGAGAAGCCTGAGAGCGGGCATTTACAGTGTTATGGAAAAGTTGGCTGATTCGAAGCGCTAATTGGATCCATTTTTCATAGACATGAACTACTAAGCCAATGTCCACGATTTGTCGGTACTATTCCGTGCTATGTCGATAATTATTTGGTTCTGTTTTGTGCTATGTTCACGAACGAGCTAGATTAGTTAGATCAGAGCTGGAGATTAAGGCTAGTATTCATAGTCCGGTCTTATATTTAAGATCGTCTGAAGTTCATCTTCAGATGCTACATAGATCATTTCATTGGCTACAGAATATCTGAACGTGAATTCAAGATGATCTTAAATATAAGACCCGACTATGAATACCGACCTAAGTGCCCTTTTCGACCGGATTTCAAGCGGTGACACCCACCGTTCCCCTTGCACCACTCCGCGCTCAGCGGCCGTGGCGACGATCGCGGATCGCTCAGGCCCGTCGCTACGTAAGATGTCAGCTAGAGCATACCCTCGTGTTTTATTATAATTATAATTTTTTCCTCCCTTAATAATCGCTTTAAAATATATGTGTTTATGTGTTTTATACACACATACATATATATATATATAATTATAACATAATGAAAAGAATGACATAAAAAAAGTATAATTAAAGGATTATTGCAATAGATTCCCACATCACCTGTGAGGTACTATTGCTGATGCGTTTTTTTAAGTGTTTTCCCCAGTAGGCCTACTCCACTAAATAATAAAGAACAAATACGATAAAATGTATGGCTCGGTAGGGAAACAAAATTTTAGAGCAGAGAGTACGCCGGAGAGGCAAAATTTTCATGCGCATATTTACGTCATTCACAGTCAAGGGGTTAAGCTTATAAGACAACGCTTTTTGATGAATGATGCAATGAGTAACAGAGATTTTAAAACCTTGCTCTTATTTGTTCAAAGGAGCCGTTTTTTCAAACCTATCATTGCTTTTGCGCTATCGGTGACTACAGCCGAACATTTGTAGAAATCAATGTCAAACTTTTGCAGAGTTTGGCAAACAGCCTTAAAGATTTCAACACCTGTTGTTCTCCCTTGCAACGATACAAAGTCTGAGAGGTCTTTGACATGTGAAAAATCGTTTTACGTACGATTCGAGCAAAAATACACAGTTGATACATATGCCGATTATCGGTGCTCTCATAAATACATAATGAATAATACGAATAAGACGCAAATGAACATTTTAATTTCTCTACTAAAGATGAAGCTGTATCAACTATCCGTGATTTTACAGATTTAATGGAATGCTTGTAGCTTTTTCGAAAGTCATCGAAACTCCAAATGATACGACCGCTGCAATAACGCATTTTTTAATAAACGTTCTTCTTTAAATGATACTTCCCTTTCTTCCTTGATGCAAGCTAGTTCTTCTAAAATGTCTTTGAATATATCATCCATAGTACAGTCTAAACGACCCAGGATATTCTAGTTTACTTGTTCCCATACGATCATTTACTTCTTTTCATCTATTCATCTATTCATCTATTCATCTATTCATCTATTCATCTATAATAGTTTTCCTGCCGAGCCATACATTTTATCGTATTTGTTCTTTATTATTTAGTGGAGTAGGCCTACTGGGGAAAGCACTTTAAAAAAACGCATCAGCAATAGCACCTCACAAATGATGTGGAAATCTATTGCAATAATCCTTTAAATATACCTTTTTTATGTCACTCTTTTCATTATGTTGTAATTATATATATATATATATATATGTATGTATGTGTGTATAAAAAACATACTCATATATATTTTAAAGCGATTATTAAGGGAAGAAAAAATTATAATTATAATAAAACACGAGGGTACGCTCCAGCTGACATCTTACGTAGCGACAAGCCTGAGCGATCCGCGATCGGCGCCCTGGTCGCTGAGCGCGGACCGGTGCAAGGGGAACGGTGGGTGTCACCGCTTGAAATCCGGTCGAAAAGGGCATTTCGGTCGGTATTCATAGTCGTTGATATCTCCGCTTCTACTGGGAGTAGAGAGTCGTCCATGTAGTCGAAAATGTAGGGTTTTGAGAGGATTTTATTTTAGTGCCAGACCCAGGCCTGTATCTCTAACCGTTTAGGAGATATCGAAGGTTAAAGTTTTCCAAGCTTTCTCCTTTGATATCTCCGCTTCTACTGGGAGTAGAGAGTCGTCACTTACGGCAAAATGTAGGGTTTTGAGAGGACTAATTTGGTGCCAGAACCAGGCCTGTATCTCTAACCGTTTAGGAGATATCGAAGGTTAAAGTTTTCCAAGCTTTCTCCGTTGATATCTCCGCTTCTACTGGGAGTAGAGAGTCGTCACTTACGGCAAAATGTAGGGTTTTGAGAGGACTTTAATTTGGTGCCAGAACCAGGCCTGTATCTCTAACCGTTTAGGAGATATCGAAGGTTAAAGTTTTCCAAGCTTTCTCCTTTGATATCTCCGCTTCTACTGGGAGTAGAGAGTCGTCACTTACGGCAAAATGTAGGGTTTTGAGAGGACTTTAATTTGGTGCCAGAACCAGGCCTGTATCTCTAACCGTTTAGGAGATATCGAAGGTTAAAGTTTTCCAAGCTTTCTCCGTTGATATCTCCGCTTCTACTGGGAGTAGAGAGTCGTCACTTACGGCAAAATGTAGGGTTTTGAGAGGACTTTAATTTGGTGCCAGAACCAGGCCTGTATCTCTAACCGTTTAGGAGATATCGAAGGTTAAAGTTTTCCAAGCTTTCCCCGTTGATATCTCCGCTTCTATTGGGAGTAGAGAGTCGTCACTTACGGCAAAATGTAGGGTTTTGAGAGGACTTTAATTTGGTGCCAGAACCAGGCCTGTATCTCTAACCGTTTAGGAGATATCGAAGGTTAAAGTTTTCCAAGCTTTCTCCGTTGATATCTCCGCTTCTACTGGGAGTAGAGAGTCGTCACTTACGGCAAAATGTAGGGTTTTGAGAGGACTTTAATTTGGTGCCAGAACCAGGCCTGTATCTCTAACCGTTTAGGAGATATCGAAGGTTAAAGTTTTCCAAGCTTTCTCCGTTGATATCTCCGCTTCTACTGGGAGTAGAGAGTCGTGACTTACGGCAAAATGTAGGGTTTTGAGAGGACTTTAATTTGGTGCCAGAACCAGGCCTGTATCTCTAACCGTTTAGGAGATATCGAAGGTTAAAGTTTTCCAAGCTTTCTCCGTTGATATCCCCGCTTCTACTGGGAGTAGAGAGTCGTCACTTACGGCAAAATGTAGGGTTTTGAGAGGACTTTAATTTGGTGCAAGAACCAGGCCTGTATCTCTAACCGTTTAGGAGATATCGAAGGTTAAAGTTTTCCAAGCTTTCTCCGTTGATATCTCCGCTTCTACTGGGAGTAGAGAGTCGTCACATACGGCAAAATGTAGGGTTTTGAGAGGACTTTAATTTGGTGCCAGAACCAGGCCTGTATCTCTAACCGTTTAGGAGATATCGATGGTTAAAGTTTTCCAAGCTTTCTCCTTTGATATCTCCGCTTCTACTGGGAGTAGAGAGTCGTCACTTACGGCAAAATGTAAGGTTTTGAGAGGACTTTAATTTGGTGCCAGAACCAGGCCTGTATCTCTAACCGTTTAGGAGATATCGAAGGTTAAAGTTTTCCAAACTTTCTCCGTCGATATCTCCGCTTCTACTGGGAGTAGAGAGTCGTCCATGTAGTGCAAAATGTAGGGTTTTGAAAGGGCTTTAATTTGGTACCTGTCCGAAGCCTGTATCTCTAACCGTTTAGGAGATATCGAAGGTTAAAGTTTTCCAACCTTTCTCCGTCGATATCCATCCTTCATCTGTCGATATCTCCGCTTCTACTGGGAGTAGGGAGTCGTCCATGTAGTACAAAATGTAGGGTTTTGAAAGGGCTTTAATTTGGTACCTGTCCGAAGCCTGTATCTCTAACCGTTTACGAGATATCGAAGGTTAAAGTTTTCCAACCTTTCTCCGTCGATATCTCCGCTTCTACTGGGAGTAGAGAGTCGTCCATGTAGTGCAAAATGTAGGGTTTTGAAAGGGCTTTAATTTGGTACCTGTCCGAAGCCTGTATCTCTAACCGTTTAGGAGATATCGAAGGTTAAAGTTTTCCAACATTTCTCCGTCGATATCTCCGCTTCTATTGGGAGTAGAGAGTCGTCCATGTAGTGCAAAATGTAGGGTTTTGAAAGGGCTTTAATTTGGTACCTGTCCGAAGCCTGTATCTCTAACCGTTTAGGAGATATCGAAGGTTAAAGCTTTCCAACCTTTCTCCGTCGATATCCATCCTTCATCCGTCGATATCTCCGCTTCTACTGGGAGTAGAGGGTCGTCCATGTAGTCCAAAATGTAGGGTTTTGAAAGGGCTTTAATTTGGTACCTGTCCGAAGCCTGTATCTCTAACCGTTTAGGAGATATCGAAGGTTAAAGTTTTCCAACATTTCTCCGTCGATATCTCCGCTTCTACTGGGAGTAGAGAGTCGTCCATGCAGTGCAAAATGTAGGGTTTTGAAAGGGCTTTTATTTGGTACCTGTCCGAAGCCTG